GTTTTTGTATAGTCATTTCCATTTTTAACTTGAGCGTGACTCTCCACCTTGATATTATTTTTATCCATATATAGGTAAATATACACCATATTTTTTTCTTGGGCAAGGTTATTTCATTCAAATACAATCATGCGAAAGGAATACCACAAACTCCACAAAAATGGTAGGTTCATAAAAATCCTTTAAAACAGTAGCGGAGGTAGCCAATAGGAAACAAAAACACTAGAAAAATGTAAATTCAAAGTACGGACAATATAGCCGAAACCCATTTTGCGAAAGAAAAGAGACGTGCCAAAGGCTGAATGTAGCACATATAGCATATGATTGACACTAGTACTTTCACAAGAAACTGTTTTTTTTTTTTCATGCAAACCTCTAAAAAGAAAATTGTTTAAAGTCATGATTGCTTGTGAAAGGAATAATTATAGTCGGATATCTCAACTCTGTTAAAATTTGCATTAAGATATAAATTTGTCAGTAATTTAGACAATAACGATTTGTCGAAAAAAATCAAAAAAAGTTTTTAAAAAACCAGTGGAGATTTTTGACGGTTTGCCTCTAAGGTGGATTATGGGCAACCCGCAATTTAATTTGTTAGTTGTTAGCAATTTAATTCAATTTGTATTTAAGTAATTAAAAAATAGTGTCTTATTTTTATATTTTTTTTGTTGAAGCGAAAATCCCCTCCATATAATGTTTGCTATGGTAAAAAAAAAAGCCAGTCTATTATCACAGCTGATCATTCTCGCCCAACTAACTTTTCTTAGTTAGAAATGAATAGGATATAGATTATAGAATCCCGTATTGTTTTTCAGCCTAACTTTTCTTAATCTATATTCAACTTACCAATGTATTTACGTCCCTAAAACATCCTATTTGAGAAACAAAGAGTATAAATTTTTACTTAAGATTCGAACTATATATGACGTATAGGTTTGCTTGTTATCTACAATGAAAATTTTGCAATCCCACATTTTATTCAAGTATGGTAATTGCCATTATCTTTTTATATGTACATATATATAAATCGATAATAAGAAGTCGTTATCAAATACAGGAACCTGAGAATGGGTCTATTTGATTGATTCTATTGAGAAAAGATGATTAGCTCACGAAAACATTAAAAACGAGAAAAATGAGTTTTAGGAGATAGAATCGATTCAATCATTACCTGCTTACAGTACTGGCTCTCTCCCCCTCCCCTCTTTACTATTTGCTTTCATATTTCGCCATTCACTTTCATTCTATCCTTGACTAATAATCCTAATAAAAATGACCATAGTTTATTAATTAGAACGACCCATTTTCAAGATATCTATAAGACTATAATTTTTGACCCATCCTTTGAGGCAGAAGGAAAATGGAACATCCGTTTGATTATATTTGCTTCATATACTTACCATTTATGGTTATATAACTGTCCATTAACTTCAGCGGATAAGTTTGTAAATTTCCATTAAAAATTTTAAATATGTTGTATGGGGTTACTGAGAAACTACGTAGACGACAAAACACGTACTTTATACATGCAAATTTGTCTTGCAATATGCCAATATGTACTAATTACTATATGAAATTTATAACGCACATTGAACAACTTTTGTTACAGTTAACATTTTACCCCAAAAAGATAAATTTTTACATTTCTGAATTCTCTTTCTAGAATATTTTTGTTTATTTATATGTATGATTGGAATTCCTCTAGAAAACACCATTCTTACGACTATTTATATAATGAGTGATACACGCAAGTAATATGTGGAATTCGTATTTTTATGTCTTAAATAGTTAGCACTTTGGCCATATATATGAGTAATAGTTATATCAGCCATTTTTAAGCTTCTACAAAATCGCATTCTCGTTTTTTATATTGCTTCAATTAATGTTTGATAACATAGTAATTCAGACTCGATCCGTTTATGTAATTTAATAGGTGTAATAGCTGACTTTCCAGAAGAAGATAGTATTCAAGGAAACAAAATTGTGACTGTGGTAGAAATGAATTAATTAACCTGATTTAGTCTTCGTTCTGAGTATATAGCCGATGTTCCATGATTTTGTTGTTGTAAGAAGTTTAATGTAATCAAGAGCTGGATATGGATTTGAGTGACGGATTTCACTTGCATATTGTCACCCGACCAACTAATATTAGCAACTTAACTATTACAAATGTGTATGATTTCAACAACTTTATATGATTCATTTAAAAAAAAAACAATGAGTCATTAGCTTATCTCCTATTTTCATGGATCGAGATCAATAAAGATACAAACAAAACTTCTGTTCTTCTGGCTAATATAGATTCAATTGACCGATATCATAATAATGATATAATTGTATTTATTTAGTAAATTCTTATCAATTCGCTAACATATCATCGATAGGTATCTATCATTGAATCTATATGTAGCGTAGCTATATAAATGTATGTGTGTGTAAAGCTAGATTCGTATGAACCGATAGAGATCAGAAAACGATAGGATCGGATGGTTTAATTTCGCCCACATGATTGTCATTAATTTTTCTTATATGTGGTAGCAACATACACAGATTTATTTTAACCAAACAAAATACACAGATTTATATGCATACATCATTTATCAATGTGGGTCACATAGGTGCTTGAATTATTGAGGTTTGATCAGCCGATTATATTTCTTTTCTTAGTTTGGGTTAATTCTTTAAGTGAGCAAATATCCATTGTAGAATTCTTTTTAAAATATAGTTCCATTTATAATATTCCCATTTAAAAAGTGGATGGATCAAAATTGAAAAGTTAACAAAAATGTATAATTTATAACTGATTTTGACTAAAAACAAAATATTAATCATTAACACATATTGTTAAAAGAATGTAATCGATTAATTAGAATGTATAATTCTGTTTTGTATTAGTCTATAGTCGAACCATCTAGTCCTAAGTAATAAGATAATATACAAAAAAACTAGCATATAAAATTGGATAAAATATAATCGGTGTTTGGGAGAAAACTATTTTACCAATTAAAAGTAATACATAGTACTCTTTCATTTCAAAATAGTTGATGTTTTAGCAAAACAAAAAAGTTGTTTTATTTTAAGTGATTTTAAATTTTAAATACAAAATTATTCAGTTAGCTATGTTTGATGACCATTTGTAATTTTTAGCTTGTCTATTTAGAAAAAAATAAATGTTTATTTTGAAACAGAGTATCCATTTTTAAAGTTCAATTCAAGATTACATCTTGATGTATGAAAATAAAGAGTACAGAATAGTTAGGGGAATGTGATTGCAAATCCGCAAGAACAGCATATGGGAACGTACGTGAACCAAAAACATATTAGGTACCAATCAATGAAAGAAAATGTAAGATATATATACCAACAATAGTTTCAGTAATCTGTACAATGAGAGATGGAGAAATAAGGTAGAGGAGAACCACAAAAGTGGCACCTCTCATATTTTTATAAATTTGGGACCAAAATTAAAAAAAAAATATGAGAGAGAGAGAGAGAGAACGCATAAGAACAAGCAGGACTTAACAAACCCATGATCATTGTTATCATTCGCCTACCACGTCACTCCTCTTTTGTCCATTTCTTCCCACTTTTAATATCTGTTTTAACTTGCCCTCGAAAAATGGAGAATTGTTTCGTACTTTTTTCGAAATATTTTGATTCCTTTCATCATAGATATTGGAAAAAACGAAAGAAGGAAATGTACATTCAACCAATCTCTGAATACTGATGGATATTTACTACATTAGACATTTACCAAAAGCAGAGAGAGAGAGAGATGCCTAGTCAGCATATGATGACGTGGCTTATAGCTCTCGTGTGTCTCTACAAACTCTAAAGAAACGGCTAAAAGTGGAAGCGTTTGGAGAGGTCACGTGATTTGCACAAATTTTTCATTCCCATGCTATTATTAATTACGCTTCTCCCGTAACGCATCATTTTTTTCTTGTTTAGTACCTTAATTAATTAGTTAAATAATCACGCGCGACGCTCTCTTTTGACGCGTGGAGGTGTGCCCAAAAACATGCATGATTTATCGTTTTCTTTTTGTACAAGGAAAAAAACCGTGTGCTTCTAAACAAAGAGAAATCTGATCAGGAGATGTGAATGTGTTGTTTTCTTCTTATTCTTTTCTTTCTAATTTGATTAATCATTAAAAATACCATAATTTTAAAGAAATCGGCGTCCATTTTCTGCGTATAAATGCTCTCACCTATAAATTTCATTGGAATAAATTTCAACCTAGTCATCATCCTAGATTTCTAGCTGTTTTAGACCTTAATCAATTTTACCTAGACTCCTTTATATTAAATTGATCCCATCTGTATCATTAACTAATTATATAAAGAGAATACAGACAAAACAATTAAATTCATTGTAAGCAAATATGAAATTGATTAGCCGATGATTAATCCTACTATTCTATGTTACTGTAAACTAGGTCTATAATTATTGTGTTCATTCAATAGATTGATGGATCTTTTGGAACGTCCAATTCATATTTGAAATTTGTTTTTAAAAAGGAATCACTTGGTAGCACTACATAGAAATTATACAAATCGCATTGTAATCTAGTGATTATTCCCACTATGTTGGTTGATGTTGGGTAGACTTTTGGTCACCATGATATTCATCTATCGTCTATAAAGTTCAAACTTACTATGGAATTAATCTGATTTTTGAAAGCTAGTTAAAGAAGAAGGCGTGAAGAAAATGAAATTGTGGAAGAGGACGTAAGCGCACGCGCGTGTGAGATGCGAGTGGGGAAGAAAAGGAGTATAGAGTTTAGTGAATGATAAAATGCAACGCTACCTACTAGTTTCTCCACTTGTCATGCAACCAGGCTGAGTTCGTTTCCCCTTTTCGATATTTTTTTTTTGTTATTTATTCTACTCAACACGTTACACGCTTCAAATAACTCAAAATAAAAATTAAAAATATTTTGACTAGTATGGTTATTTTGGAGCTATATATAAACCACCTGAGGCTCATTAGTTTCCTCCATGAAATAAAAAGAGGCAACTCGGAGAGAGAGAGAAAGAGAGAGAAAGAGAAAACTTTAGGGCTTCAAAAACTGAGACCCTTTAGAAATCTCTGTACGGGAAAAGCTTCTTCTAGGTGTTTATAGAGAATGGGCATCATGATCAATCACCATTTGCTCGCTATCGTATTCGGCGCCTTAGGTAATGTTTTAATGATATATACACACAATCAAATTCAAGTTTCTTCCTTAGCTTTTCTCGTTTCCTTCTCTCATTTTTTTTACTTGTTAATATATTGTATAACTAGTCGTACCAGTTATTAGAACGGGGATATATATAATAAAGAATTTGCAGCAGCATCTATAATGTTGCAACTCCGTATCTAAGGTTTGTTTTCAATATTATAAACGATAAGTACGGTTCCATTGTATTAGTAAGATGTGAACTAAAAAACGAAGTATATACTAAGAAATGAAATTTAGTATTATGGAGAGTTCATCGTGACCCACCTACCTATATATGTATATATCTCAAACAGTGCTTCTAGATTTCTCTTCGTTTACAAAACTAGACGAGTCATTTGGGATCATAGATGATCTTATAATTATGTAATAAAAAACTACCAAAAAAGTACATCAATAAGAAATTAAGCTTTACAAATTAAAATCGTCACGCATTGTTGTCCATATACTCGGTACGTGTAGTGCGGTTAATGCAGCAATTTAATTCCCTGTTGAGGTTGGTTAGAGAACTCGGGTTGATTCATTTACTTATGTCTCCAGAAAACTAGAAGCCTTTTAAAACAATCAACTCATTTGTTTATTGTGTTTTTTTTTTAATGAATTTACAGGAAACGCAATATCCTTCCTCGTATTCCTCGCTCCAGTGTAAGTAATACAATTTATTAAATATTATTTTAGCGGAAGATATTGGTTATTTGAAAAATATATAGGAATAATCTGAGAATGATTAGCTAAGAAATTTTCTCTGATTTTTGCAGGCCAACGTTTTATAGAATATACAAGAAAAAATCGACGGAAAGTTTCCAGTCTCTACCGTACCAAGTGTCGCTATTTAGCTGCATGCTATGGCTATACTACGCATTAATTAAGCAAAACGCTTTTCTCCTAATTACCATCAACTCCTTCGGCTGCGTCGTGGAGACCCTCTACATCGCCATGTTCTTCGCTTACGCCACCAAGGACAAAAGGGTAATTTTAATAACCTTTCCGCTAAGGTAATAATTAAGCATGAATAATGGTGAATTATGGGCTCTAAATGTTTCTCTAATGCATGCGTTGCAGATCGCGGCTATGAAGTTGTTCATAACGATGAACGTAGCTTTCTTCTCGTTGATTCTAATGGTTACACATTTTGTGGTTAAAAGTCCTACCCTCCAAGTCTCTGTCATCGGCTGGGTTTGCGTTGCCATCTCTGTTTCTGTCTTCGCTGCCCCTCTAATGATCGTGGTAATTAGCTATGCGTTTTTTATCCAATTTAATTTATCTTAAACTAACTAGCGGGCTAATTAAATATTAAATCCTTTAATTTGTTGTTAAAAAGGCGCGTGTAATAAAGACAAAGAGTGTGGAATTCATGCCCTTCACGCTTTCTTTCTTCCTCACTATAAGCGCCGTTATGTGGTTCGCTTATGGCTTATTCCTCCACGACATATGCATAGCTGTAAGCACAATTTTCCTTTTTATGTTTACCATTTCTTAAATTCCATATTTTTGGTTAAAAAACAGTTTACTAATTACTTTTATATTGGTTTGTTTGTAGATTCCAAACGTGGTGGGATTCATACTAGGGATGGTGCAAATGGTTTTGTACGGAGTTTACAGAAACTCAGGGGAGAAATTGGATATTGAAAAGAAGGTTAATACATCAGACCAACAACTTAAGAGTATTGTCGTGATGAGTCCGTTAGGTGTGTCGGAAGTGCACCCAATTGACGTGAAGATGACTGAGTCGGTGGACCCACTGCCTGACGCGGTTCATCATCATGAAGAAGAACCATCCAAAGTTACGAAAGAGGAGGAACCGTCACTTGAAGACGGAAAGTGCCCACGTGGAGACTGCCCGTCTTGAATCTGTTTCTTAAGTGTCAATAAATCCCAAATATCTCTCTCTCTTTTTCTCTCTCTCTCTCACTCTCTTGGCTCGTCGGCCGGCCAAAGGAAGAAATTGTATCGGTTGTTTGTTTCCATTTTTGTTTCGTTTCTTATTTATTTATTATGGATGTCCTTACTTTGCATAAAGTTTTGTGTTTCAAATTTTATCCTTTTTTTTAATAGTGAACATATTATCTTTGTGAAGTTTTATACCTATAGTTGTGTGCTCTTACAAAATTTGCTATTATAGACCGCAGCCACTAGCTAAACTACTTCTATAAATAAGCTATTTGACCACTTTTTTTCTTTTGGTTATGATTACATTTGTCTTTAAAATGTCGCCGTCAATTAGAAAACGAATGGTTTCGTACCACTGACGACATATTGTTCATTGATTTTGAGGATTAACAACTTTATACAAAGTATTTTTTTTCAGGTCAGCGATGAAAAACTTTAATAAGAGAAATTACTTAAGTAGCCGCAAGTATATATAAGTAATCCTACTAAATTCTTCCAAGATTAAATAAGCCTCTGGTGGTTTATACAGTATATAACTCTTTTGAAAATAAATGAATAAATTTTGAAGACGTTCCAATGTTTTTTCTTTTTGACGTCAAGACATACGTTCGAGGTTTAAATAAAGACTGTCTGCTAGCTAATACGTAATTCATGTGAAAGGTGTAACGTGTGCACAGTGCCAAGCAGAATTACATCATCAGTAACTCAATGGAGTAAGTGACAATCAATCTATGTATGTACTTTAGTTGCTCATTGAAAATAGAGTTATAGCGGCAAAATGCAGTATTTTTTAATTGTCGCAAAAAAGAATTTAATATTATATGATTATACTATCTCGAGTATTTAAAAAAATTTTAAAATTATTTTTGCCAATATTTATAAAAGGTCTTTAATTTTCAAAAAGAACAATATGTAAATTTGTTAATCAACTTATATATTAAATGATAGCGACATAATCCGACAAAAAAATATTTTATGGCAAAATTCGACTAATAAATAAAAGCGGTTTATGACAAGTTACTCGTAATTTATAGATTCAAAATAATCATATATTCTTTTTAGACTAACCTTTTCTTTACTTAAAATACAACTAAAAAACCACGAATTTTCGAGTAAGGGATAGATCCTCCAAATATTTAGAGGTCATAGAAAGTCATTCACAGAGAAAAAAAATTAAACATAGTAGAAAAATAAGAAATCAATCTAAATAGAGTATACTGTCAAAAAAAGAGTACACTGTCAAAAGTAAAAAGAATAAAAAAAGGTCCCGACAAAAAAACTTGATAAGACCAGCCATAAGCTAACTATCCTTAAAATTATTGTCTGATTGCGAGGGCATGTGACCCACGTTGTCCGAAACTACGCGAGTGTGGACATTAGCCACACCACAGAAACACAGAAGAAAAGGAGTGTCGAAACACAAATCTTTGGATCTTTGCAAATTCAATCATCCATCAGACGTCCACATTGCCACATGTGACACATCAAAAATCTCTTTGTCAAAAAACAAAAATAGAAAGTCTACAACAATTTACATGAACATCAACTCTCCAGTATCTTCAATTAGAGTTTGGTTATTAAAAGAGTCATCTTTTTTTTTTTCCCATATTGCAACATCACATATAATGTACAGCAACTCTTCATCCCAATGTTTTTTTCTTTTCTGTTCTCTCTTTTTTTTTTTTTTTTTATCTATGTTTCAGAATAAATGAGAGTTTGAGAAATAAGAACAAAAAAAAGGGTTAAGACCCAAAACGGCTCTACCCGGTGCTGTTACTCTCTGAGGTTCCTTGCTCGCTTTGTCTACGTTTCTCCCTCAAACTCTCTCCCCACATCTTAGCCTCTGCAACTGCACGCTCCCTATTGATATCTCGGTTCAAAATCCGAGCTGTCTCTCTCGGCGAATCTTCCTTCTCGGAACCTTCTAGATCGAATTTACTTCCCGAACCACCTCCTTCATCGTTCTTTGTTATTAACCTTCCCCCTCTTTCATCACGGTTTCTCCTACTGTCATCTTTGTTTGGATCATAAGCTTGGTTTGCAAGATAGGAGAGTGCAGTGACCACATCTGCTATGAGAGGACGTGTAGCCGCCTGCTCTTGGATGCACATTGAAGCCACAGCTAATGCTTGGTATAGTGCACGCGTTGGAAACCGACCCTTTAACTTAGGATCCGCCAGTTTTATAAACTTTCGCCTGTCGTTGAACAATGGCCGAGCCTGTTAACACCAAAAAGTTCTCAATTGTTTTTGCTTGAAAAACCAAAAAAAAAATTCAAACTTTTTGCATAAGAGAATGAGAAACTGAAAGTAAAAGTGGATGATGATGATGATGAAGAATGTATTTACCCAGGCCACCAGGTTTTGTTCTCCATGAGGCATCTCACTATCTATTGCTTTTCTACCAGTAATGAGCTCGAGAAAAACCACACCAAAACTGTAGACATCTGATTTTACTGTCAACTGACCGGTCATTGCGTACTCGGGAGCACAATAACCATAAGTGCCCATGACTCTAGTGGAGACATGAGATTTGTCTCCTGTTGGTCCGAGTTTAGCAAGCCCAAAATCAGAAAGCTTTGGGTGGAAACCCTCATCGAGTAAAATGTTTGATGACTTGAAATCTCTATAGATAACCGGAGGGTTTGCCTTATCATGCAGGAATTCCAAACCTTTTGCTGCACCAGCAGCTATCTTCATTCTCATGTTCCAGTCTAAGGCCTCCTTATCCGGTGGAAGATCTGGGGCGGTAAGGAAAATATTTAATAAGTTTATGTGTTAGTGGCTGTCAAACAAAAAAACCAGCAACTACTACTTCTCAACTTAAGCCAAGATGAATAATTTATAGGTGATACAATATAATAAAGAAACAAATGAATGAAGAATCTGCTAAAGTTAGAGTTGACATTGACTACGAGTCTAAGATCAGAAAGAATCTTTTGGTTTTGATATTGACTAAGATCACAAAGAATCTCTGGGGTCCAAAAATGGTTACAAGATCAGAAAAGTGCGGGTGATTTACCATGGAGGTGATCTTCCAGTGATCCTAAAGGCATAAACTCGTAAACCAAGAGGCGTTGATCTCCATCAGCACAGTAGCCAATAAGGTTGACTAAGTTGGGATGATGAAGAAGGCTGAGCATAAGAACCTCTACCAGAAATTCTCTGTTACCCTGTAGACCATTCCTGTCCAATTGTTTAACAGCAACAACCTGACACAGATGAAGAAAAACATAGATCAGAGGTAAAACACCATCAATGTATGCCAAATAAGCAAGCTAACTTACTGATCTGTAACACTAACATAAATGTCGAACTGTTCACCAAGTATGCAAAATTCATATTAACCTATATAACAAAGCCAGCCATTTTTTTAACACTGTAATATAGCCTTGTACTATTGGAAGATACCGAGCAGAGTCTTGCACATCCATTTCCTATCAATTTCATTATTCAAGCAAAAAGATGAAAGCCAAGGGAGCACCACGACCTTAACTTATACTCTCTTCGTTTCACAAAGAGTGTCCTTCTAAAAATAGAAATGCGATGTAATTTCCTGTAATTCAATCAAAAGCAAAAGAAACTACCTGACCGGTGCTGTCAAGCCTTCCTTTGTAGACACGTCCGAAACCACCTTCGCCTAAGAAAGTGTCAGGATGGAAGTTCATAGTTGCAGCAGCGAGCTCACGGAAAGCAAATGTATGAGCAGCAATTTGTCCAAGCCCATCCCTTGGAAGCAATAACTCCCTTTTTGACCCTCCATTGCTCTTTGAGCTAAGCTTCTCCCCACCTGCAACCATCATCAAGACCAATCAATTTACCAAACGCATCCACAGTCTTCTAATACCTCATACCAGCCTAAACTCCAAGAACAAGCATAAAACTTGCATTAATGTCTTAAGGGCACAACTCCTCAACTAAACAAATCTAAGATCCTGATCTTGATTCAGTAGGATCATGTGATCCTGATCATCCACAAGGTTCCAATTCATTTCAAAGACACAAACTTTACACTGAGAACGAACTTGAGAATTCCCAATCAGATCAAAACAAGTGAAATTGAAGCAAAGGATCATGATTCTCATTCATCTCAGGCCAAGAAATCCAATCACAGTGGAATCAGAACATGCCCAATAAGCCTAAAACATCTCACAAGTTGTTAAAACTTATAACCAGAGTAAATAGTGATGAGATCAAGTCAAGATCAGATTACCAGATCTTGGGAGCATGTAACCATAGAGGATAGCAAATAAAACAAATGAGAAATCATGATTCAATAAAAAAAAACCTGAAGGGAGTCCAGATATGTTATTGGATACTGTCGGTTGGGATTGTTTCTGACCCTTGGATTCCTCCACTGGATTCAGCGTCTCATCGTCACTCGAATCAAAACACGAGAAACAGCCCATCTCCACTCAATTTTCTCAAGGGAAGAATTAAGGAGTAATCAAAAACTACAAAAATCCTTGAATCCTATACTGAGAAAGGAACGAATGGAAAAAGAAAACGAGAAATCCAGAAACTTTTGCTATACCCAGAAAGAAAGGAGGGGAATTGAGATTCCAGGTACCAAGAGAAAGAACCAACTTTTGTTCAGATTCGAACTGGAAAAAAAACGAATTGGAGTTTGGAGAGAGAGAGAGAGAGAGATGAAGCAGCTTCTTTTGTCGTCCACGAGTGTTCACACTATTACCATTTGCAAATTAACAACAATGACGCGTTGCGGAAACTCAGTAAATCCTTCATTCCTTTAACTTTTTCGTTGACGATAATCTTCAATCCAAGCAATAAACTTCGTTTTCTTTTAGTCAAATCAAACAAATAATAAGCTTCTTTATACAGCTGAAAAAAAAATACAAAAATTCTTTTAATACAAAAATTTTAATTTTCTAAATACAGTTATTTGCTTGGGTCAATAAAAGCACAACAAACTTTGCTCTCAGATTTGTTTCTCTTTATACAATGTGATAAAAACAGAACTTTCCTGTTTTATATACTAAATATTAATTATTATTTACCTAAACTGCTAAACATAAGGATAAAATAATTAAATTTGCATAGAATATTGAAAATATTAGTCAATTCTGAAATAAATAAATTAATCCTAAAATCATCACTTATTATAAAACAGGTTAAGTATTTTTTTGTCATTTTCTAGATGTGTTATCACAGTGACAGATAATTATATCAATATTATTGTTATTAATTATAGAAAAGGAAAGAAGATGTTACAAATGGCACAGACGATGGATGACAAATATAATTTACAAAAACGGTAATTAATTGTTAGAGATTATATTGTACCAATTTTAAAATTATGATGGCAAGTTTGTTGTGTGTATTTCTATATGTGGCAAACATCTATTTCCATCAACAACTAGATATCGTTTTCATCCAATACAGATTTGCAAGAATATTGATAAAATCATCATTACAAAACTATCTTATATGGATTCACTCGAAACTCGAAAGCATGACCCTCCAAAAATAGGCGTATGCCAATGCTATTGCTAGCACATAATACAGATATATAGATCATAATTTTTTTTAGAGAATAATTAAAAAAATACATAAAAAATTACATCATGTGTGGTATGCGGACGATATGACTAGTATTGTGTATATCCATGACTGGTTGATAATCGTGTTGTAGACTGACAGTAAAAAAATCTCGACAAAAATGTTGGCAATTTACTAGTGTTTCTTTGTGTTCGACCCGACCTAGATTCATTGAATTTGGGGCTCAGGAAAATGTAAACTATTTTTATGTGTGTTTTGCTACTTTAATTTTTTGTTGAAGAACATGACAAACAAAATTATATGTGTGCTCTCAAATCTGACACTTTCTAAAATTGAGAATTTGAGATCATATTCACTACATGTTGATCTCTATAGCTAAGGGCTTTTTTTTTGCTGTAGTTGATGTGTTTGGTTGTCTATGCATTCTGCTTTTCATCTTTTTTTGTTAGAATGTTTGTCAGATGAAGAATCTCCATTTTCAACATTACATATTCTTAGACGTTTGTGGATAATTGAATTGGTTGTTGATCCTTGATCCTCGATCCTCAACCTCAGTCAGTGATCATCTCATGCTCGTCAAAAATGCACGATTGGCTAAATTGCAAGATAACGTAAGGATTGATTGTGGAGTACAAAAATATGGGCTAAATTGCAAGATAACGTAAAGATTGATTACAGTATGTTCGGCCCATGGCTAAAGCATGCAGAACATGGGCTTTAAGCCACGCAATATCATTAAGTTTTCTGGGGCCACGTTTGTGAAAGATATGGTAGTATTTCATGGCAATGGGAAGTTCCAAGTTCGAACTCCTTCCCTTCCAAGCAGGCAACCACTATCATCTAGCTTATTTTCTTTATAAAAAAATTATTAAAACACAAAAAACATTATGCCGTAACTCATTTTAGAGTAATCTATCTTGTTTATACATACACATATTAATTTAATAATAGCAAAATAATTAAAATACTAACTAAATTTTTTAGAAAGTTGAAAAATGCCTCGTTTTCTAGTTTTAGGCTTTTCAGGACTAAAGGTTGACCCTGAGTTATACAATTATACTATGTTTACAATGAAAATATTTAATCAGCCAAATGTAAACGAAATTGCTCAATATGTACATAAAAAATTCACAATGTGTATTCAACATTAAAAACTCAAAGTTTGATCAGGTTGAGTTTGATTAATACAACAATTACAAAGTACAAAAAAACTTGAAAAAAAAAACTCAATAAAGAGGAGATCGTGTGACGCATAACCTTTCCACTCTCGGTCAACGGACAATGGATACCCCGAAAAAACGAACCTCAAAAATATATAACAAAAAAAGAACAATTAAAACAGAGAAAAAAATCATAATTAGTATCGTCGAAGAAACTCTAATAATGGATTAATAAAGATAAACACTAATTCGGTCTGATCTACCATTTCCCCCAAAAGCGAAAAAAAAACCCCAAAAAAGAAAACAGAAAACGAGAAAAAAGGAAAAATCAGTTAGATAAGGGTTTATAATTTTCCCGGCGAAATGGAGAAAGCTGGAAATCACGCAACGGAATCGGAAATTCACGACGTTCGCGAGAATACACAGCATTCCGATGAATCCGAAAAACAGTTGCATAACAGCACGGAGACGGCGACGGCGAAGCCGGAATCGGAATCCTCCCAGATCAGCCTTAACCAGGTAATGGAAGCCGTCGACGATTTCATCCAGTTAATTTCCTCCGCCGCGGCTGAGAAAGATCCGTTACGGGAGATTCCTCCAGCGGTGGAACCGTTCCCGGAGACGGTGGATTCGTTGGTGTCGAAGATGGAATCTTCTGGGCTTGGGCGGGACGAAACAGAGGACTCTGCATTTATCGACGCCGTTAACCGTATTTCGAAATCGGTTACGAGATTGAGAGAGCTTCGGTTAGATTCAACGCCGGTTTCTTCGTGGTTAAACCGGGCGAGTTCGGTTCAGCACCGGGCTGTCTCGCTTCTCGACGAAGAGTTTCGTCATCTTCTAGATCGTTCCAGAGAGACGAAGAACAGCGACGGAAACAATGGCAATCACAACAATCAAAAACCTCCTCCTTCCAATTCAACGCACGAATCGGATCGATGCGCATTACAGGACAATGATCCATCTCAAGAGGAAGAAAGTTTCCCGGATTTTCCACCGGAATCGATCTCGACGTTGAAGAAAATCGCCGGAGCGATGATCTCCGCCGGTTACGAAGCAGAGTGCTGTATGTCTTATGAGATGTCGAGACGGCACGCGTTTAAGGAGGAGCTGAGCGAAGTTGGATTCGAAGGGATCAATGTAGAAGACGTACAGAGAATAGCTTGGGAATCTCTCGAAGGAGAAATCGCTTCATGGATCTCAATCGTCCGCCGTTGCTCCGCCGTTCTTTTCCCCGGCGAGCTATCTCTCTGCAACACCATCTTCCCAGATCACGATCACGCCCCGATTCGTAAACGCCTCTTCACCGGACTGGTCTCCGCCGTAACAATCCGGTTCCTAGATTTCTCCGGCGCGGTGGTGCTCACGAAAAGGTCGTCGGAGAAACTTTTCAAGTTCCTAGACATGTACGAGACGCTCCGCGACTTAATCCCGGCGGTGGAAAATACAGATTCAGATCTGATCCAGGAGATTAAACTGGCTCAGACGAGGCTAGGAGAAGCAGCAGTGACCATATTCGGAGAGCTAGAGAACTCGATCAAGAGCGATAATGGAAGAACACCAGTTCCAAGCGGAGCGGTCCATCCATTAACACGTTTCACCATGAATTACCTCAAATACGCTTGCGAGTACAAAGACACTCTAGACCAAGTTTTCCAACACTACGAGAAGTCTCAATCGGATCAAACAGAGACCAAACCTGAACCAGAGACCAAACGAAGCCAGCGAGAAGACGACGAGGAGTACAAAACTTCTGCCTTTGCTAGACAAATGATAAGAGTGATGGAATTGCTTGACGCGAATCTTGAGATTAAATCGAAACTGTACAGAGACCCATCACTGCGATCTATATTCCTAATGAATAACGGGAGATACATTTTGCAGAAGATTAAAGGGTCAACAGAGATAAGGGACTTGATGGGTCAATCTTGGACAAGGAAAAGATCAACGGAGCTTAGACAGTACCATAAGAGTTACCAGAGAGAAACTTGGGGGAAAGTGTTGCAATGTATGAATCAAGAAGGATTACAGGTGAACGGGAAAGTGTCCAAGCCGGTTTTGAAAGAAAGGTTCAAGATTTTCAATAATTTGTTCGATGAGATTCACAAGACGCAGAGCACGTGGATTGTGAGTGATGAGCAGATGCAATCAGAGCTAAGAGTGTCCATCGCGGCGTTAGTGATTCCGGCTTATAGGTCTTTCTTTGGGAGGTATAAGCAACATCTTGATTCAGGGAAGCAGACGGATAAGTATGTCAAGTATCAGCCTGAAGATATTGAGTCTTTCATTGATGACTTGTTTGATGGGAATCCAACATCTATGGCACGGAAGAGAAATTGAAAACTATGAGACTGTGTGACTAATGATCGATCGGGTTCCTTTTGTTTCTTCTTCTTTTCTTCTCTTGAATCCTTCTATGATTATTTTTCATTTACGTTCATGTTTAATTGTTTATAGAACTGTTCTCGATCAGAGATGAGACTAACTTTTTGTTTCTTTTTTCTTTTACTCAATTGTTTCTTTTTTCTTCTAAAAGTTTCGGTTTTTTTTTATTGTTAAAGTCTTATGTTTTAAATTTCTTGTACATGTTGTGAGCGAAAATTGTTTAGAACTGTTTAGGGGTTCTAAACTTATTCGAATGGTTTGTGTGTTAAAAAATGATTAATCATGAGTTAAGTTGATGATCTTGTGATATACCAATTTGAAGATATGTTAAGAGGTTTCTTTATCGTATTATCACGATTTTTAGTGATTTTATAGAAACTTGATGTCTGATCAAGTTTTGATACCCAGTAACTATTGTGTTATCCCACAAGTGCATGGTGAGAAATGATAATGTGAAATCCAATAAACCCAAATTGTTGGCGTACAAGAAATGCAAGAATTTAGTTAACACATGAATATTCCATGATATTTGAACATACATACAAAATAAGTAACATTTTCATAAAATAACATTCCACTAAGACAGACTTGCTTCTTCATTGGCAAGTTAGTCTAGCATTTTTCTTTTATGGTTTTAATAAAAAAATACAAATATCGCCGTCTGTGGGGATCGAACCCACGGCCACGGGATTAAAAGTCACGCGCTCTACCACTGAGCTAAGACGGCCTCACGTTGAAATGTCCTCCACTTAATTATATCAATATAACTAGAACGTTTACTGCATGATATACATTCAATTGATCATATCTCAATTTGACATTACTTTTTGCATGCATACATCCATTATTCAGTGGATCATATCTCAATTTGAAATTCATTTTTTTGTTCGTTTACTGTATAATCAAAGAGTAAAAATTATAAAAAGGCAAAGTAATCAGCTATTGAATTATGGACCAAATAAAGTTCCATTATCAAAGATTTCACGAAAAGTGTCATTTTCCATGTGAACTCACCAGTAAATCTTCTTCTTCTTCTTCTTTTTTAACTATCTCGGATTTCTCTCATATCAAGAAGCAAAGTTTGGATGTTGGACATTTCTGTAGAAATAAATAAATGATAGATAAATGTTTGGTACATATTGTCTCTCAGTTCAGAAGGTACATTATGTAGACCGTATATGCAAATAGATGAGATGGCTGATAGTTTGGCTTTATTGAAGCCACACACAACCAAGTTTCAGATATTTACTGAAGCAAGGTATGCATATAATTTGGATTTATCAGAATTTGAAGTCTTCTTAAGAGTGGAGTTATATAACTTACTATCAATGCATGTCTTGCAGACTTGGATCACAAGAAAGCAATAAAAAACCTTTTATCAACGAAGACACGAATATAGATAACTGGCATTATTTAAAAAAGGGAGTACAGAAAAGATAACACGTATAAAGAAATAATTGGGGTTTTGGCTCTAAATCAGTTGGATCAGAATCAGATCTGTATAAGTAAAAAGGTTACAAACTTTCTTGGAGTGTTTTTGGGTAAATTTGTCCAAAACAATTTCTTCTTCATGTCTTTGACATTGTAACGCCACAATGAGCCAAAAAAGGCTCTTCACATGTCTTTGTTTGGTAGTGGATAGAAAAAGGAATTTTTGTTACACAGTGGTTGGGTCAAAAAATTGTAGATCACGGGTTGAATATATTGCAATCACACAGAAACACACACACAGACACACACTTACATTATCATCAAAAAGAACAATAGATAGATAGTGAGAGAGATTTAGGCACAATGTATCTTCCTCTTCTCAGTCTTCTGCTTCTAGCTTCTTGCTTGACACATCAAGCTTTCGGCCGTGGTCGTGGCCGGTCACCACCGGAAGGAAGCTCCGACCCTTCTTCTCGCATCACAGTCGTCGGCGTTGTCTACTGTGACACGTGTTCTATCAAAACTTTCTCAAGACAGAGCTATTTCTTACAAGGTCAGGGATATGAAACTCTCCTTAGACTTAAACTTCTCTGGTAACTTAGAATTGGCCAATCTGGTTTAAATTCAGAAATTTTCTTCAATTTTCAGAATATAGAAACCGAATAACATGTTCCTTCTGTTTGATACACAGTCTTGGTTTTGATTCGGTTTTGTATCAACAATATCTCGAAACAGAGCTATTTCTTACAAGGCAATAATAAAGGCAGGGATCTAGAGTTCAGCATTACATGAACCAACCATAAACTTGAATGTTATCTGGAAACTTAGTTGTGAATCTGGTTTTTGATTTGGATTTTTTGGTTTATGAATATATAGAGAGATGGAGTGGAAACAGTGTTTCGAATCGGTCTTTAAATTGGTGGTTTAAATCGGTTTAAATTGGATCGTCTAAACCAGTCTCTATCTTTCTGCACAGGTGTGGAAGTTCATGTGAGCTGTAGATTCAAAGCGAGCTCACCGAAAACAGCAGAGGAAGTGAACATATCAGTGAACAGAACAACAAACAGAAGCGGCGTTTACAAGCTCGAGATCCCTCACGTCGACGGCATCGACTGCGTCGACGGAATCGCCATAGCTTCTCAGTGCAGCGCCAAGCTCCTCACAACCTCCGACGACAACGCCGGCTGCAACGTCCCTGTTTTCCGAACGGCGTCCAACGAAGTTTCCGTCAAATCGAAGCAAGATCGTGTCTGTATCTACAGCTTAAGCGCACTCAGCTACAAACCTTCACACAAAAACACAACTTTGTGCGGCGGCGGCGGCGGCGGCGGAGGAAAGAAACATCACCGGCGAGTGAGAGTGGAGGAGGAGGAAGAGAAGAAATTGAGAGATTCGAAATTCTTCTGGCCTTATCTGCCGCCGTATTGGTTTCCTTGGCCGTACCCGAATCTGCCGCCGTTGCCGACTCTGCCGCCGCTTCCGTCATTGCCTTTCCCTTTTCTTCCTTTCGGAAACCCTAATCCGGCATTGCCGGCGTTTGATTGGAGAAATCCCATCACTTGGATACCTTATCTTCCTCGTTTTCCTCCCGGCGATAGCAATCCTTAGGCGATCAGATTCTCTTCCACATTTTGGCTCTCGTCTTCTCCATCTGCTCTGTTTTTTGTTTTTGTTTTCTTGTGCTCTGTTCGATCGGGGTTGATTGTGTTTGTGTGTGAATGATTTACTTGTTAATGTGTAAATTATTCTTCAATTACAGAAGATAAAGGATTTGGTTCGAGGAGGGAAGTTTTGATGGACTTATTGTTAATTCAGATTTGAATATATTTATATCTTAGTACAAATTTAGAATGGAAAATATAATGCCTTGGATAGGAAACAAGAAAAGGAACGCAAAATATAACTCCTTGTTTAAAATAGAAACTCACAGACATTGTGATTCCTATAACAAACTACACTGAATGGATACAGATGATCGGTCAATATAATCAGATTATGGTACCCAAAATTAGATTTCCTCACACTATCATAATATCTTAATCTTTTTTTTTTTTAATTCTTTTCCAAAATGAAAAACACCAACAAATCAAGGAAATTCCAATCAATATCTACTGAATCAGTGGATCATAAGTGTAACACCCATGATCTTCAGTGCTTGTGATTGAAAATATCAATCTTGGTTAAAAGTATGACCCATAAATGAGTAACTGAAAACCTGGTCATGGACCGTCCGAAAAATTTACGAACCAAGATTATTGATCCTAGATTGATACCCCATCAAATATAACATGGTATCAATCTAGGGTCGACCTAAGATGATTTTATATATATATTTAGATCCATTAAGAAAAAAATCAATCATGATGGAGATTATAGATTGTAACACAAACATGTTACAACATGTATCTGGATCTGAGTATAAATGAATTTAACCATAAAAGCTATGAGATTTTTTTTTAAGAAAAAAATAGAAAAAAGAAATCTGGTGGTTCTGTCTGGAAGTAGAAAAAGCGACAAGAAAAATTAAAATCTAAACTGGCGTCTTTTACTAAAGTCTTCCTGAGTCTAATGAATGTACATTCTACTAAAGGATAGAGATTGTTGTACAACAACACTTCAAAACCTAGAAACGAGTTTTGAAATTCCAAGTTGTTACTTAATGCAAATGCATGTGTACCTTCTTACAATATGCTTTTTCTGCTTCGAGACTATTTGCTTTCATTGTTAGCGAATCAATGACATCAGAAGCTTCCTATTGCATTACCAAATGACTGATGTGAGTATGCATGGAGCTAACAAAAAGTAACGATTTATTTATTTTGGTAAACAATAAAAATGACTAACCCGTATTTTCTTCCTCAAGGCATCCTCAGTCACATCTCTGCGTGCTCTTTCTTCTTGAAAGATATCTGTTACTGCCTTTTGCGACTTCTCAAAGTCTCGATTCCTAGCCTGTGACACCTTGAGCTGATTCATATTACACAAAGGGATCTATGTTAGTTAAAAACCAATACAAAAGAGGACGAGAGTTTCTATTAAAAGAAGAAAAAGGTTTACTTGTGACTCAAGTAGTTCTTTCTGTTTTTGCAGTTCATCCGCCAGTTTTATCGATTCGTCGTTTACCTTCTGCAATTTCTCTAAATCTTGGATCTTGGCTTTTGAATCCTTGAGCTGGTTCATATTTTAACAGTCAATTCTATTACATCCAAAACCAATTAAAAAAAAAAGACGAAACTTTCTCAGAAAAAAATAAAAGAGCCTTACTTGTAATTCAAGCTGTCCTCTTTGTTTCTGCAGCTCAGTCACCCGTTTTGCTAATACATCTTTTACCTTCTGAGATTTCTCTAAATCTTGGATCTTAATTTTTAAATCCTTGAGCTGGTTCATAATAAACAGCGATCTTTTATAATCGAAAACCAATTAATAAAAAAGAAAAGACATACATAACTTTCTCTAAAGAAAAGAGTTTTACTTGCGACACGAGTTGTGCTTTCTGTCTGTGCAGCTCAGCAACCAATTTTGCTGATTCGTCTCTTACTTTCAGCGATTTCTCCAAAGCATAGTTCTTAGCTTTGGACTCGTTAAGCTGGTTCATATATATTCGACAATGAAATCTATTACAGGAAACAAAAAAAAAAAAATCCAAAAAACAAAATAAAGCTGACTTTTGTAAGAAAAAAAAAGGAAGTTTACTTGCGACTTAAGCTGTGTATTCTGTCTCTGCAACTCAGCCACTTGTTTTGCTGCTTCGTCTTTTACCTTCTGCAACTCCGCAGCTTGAGTAAGTGATACTGTTTCATTAAAACTACAGTAGAAGAGAAAACATTGTCAAATGAAATTAAATGATACTGGTAAGATAGACATACTACAAAATATTTTAGATTCAAGGGAAACATATCAGAGAAGAAAACCTTGTGACATGCCCATGTTTCGCGTTCTTAAGCCCGTTGTCAAGGTTTCTACCAACAAGACTTGATTGTGTAACATCCTATGTTGCAGAGAGAATTAATTATTATTAACTCAAATACTAAATGATGAATATCAATAGATTAAAAAATAAATAAAATAAATAAACCTGAAAGTTTCGTTTTCCTACAGCTGGTGCTGAAGCAGAAAAAGACCCCTTATCATTGTTTACGCGGTTAGAAGGTACATCGGATTTATGGTCCCGTTGTGAAATAGTTTCTGTTTCATTAGTCTTCGGTTTCCGCCTTCGAGCATAACCGATCTCGTGACATCTTGAAGACCTATCCAACAAAAAAGATAGTTATCTTGAGAGAGAGTCAATATATATATATATATATATATAATCATACCAATATAGGTCAATATATAAAATCATACCAATAGGCCTTTTGATATTCTCTCAATCGGTTTTCGAGTTTAGCAAGAACAGCGGTTCGCTCAAACCCTTGCTTATTATGAGCTGGTTGTATGAAATTAGCTTCCAATATACCAATTACACCGCGTCCATCACTTCCCGCAGCATTCCAAACCCTCCAAAATGGCTGAAGAAAATATAAGCAGAAACGTATATTACTAGGTTGGTTACAATGCAGTGAAGGTAGATAACCCTTTTTTGTTTGGTAGTGTTTATATAAACACAACTGTGAATTATAAGTTGTTGATTATAGTCACCTTGATAAGCCGGTTCTTGTGGTAAACATTGAACCCTTGTATGTCGATGTGATGATGAGCATCTTTCACAAAGCCAATCTTTAGAGAAGCAACCATCTGAAGTTTTTTGTGAAAACACAGAGAGATTTATTTAAGGCTTTTTTTTCAGAGGGAAAAATGAAATAGTGAAAAGTAAGACTAGTATAAGGTAAGTTATTACGTCTTCATCTGTTGACCATTCTAAAGAACGCACAGGTCTGTATGTTTTGTCTTCCGTCATCATCATGTCGTCTAATAAGCTGTGATGTTCGACATCTTTTCCACGAAGAATAATTCTGAAGTTTGGTGGAAGCCTGAGATACAGGATCGATACATAACTCTGCATATATAGCAAACACCAGAAGCTGGTTATTAATATAATGAGCACTTGAAAAAGTAATTAACAAATTGGAATTGCGTTAATTAGGGACATGAGACCACATACACGTAGGGAGTGTCGATACGTTAGAAAATGACTCGAGTTAGGATAAGCTTTCGCCATTTCTATGTTCTTCTCATCTCTGTTCACACCTCTGAGTTGAATATCCTGTAGATAAGTCACACATCATCTGTTACGTATATATACATAGATGTAGTCCAAATATTGTCTCTAATGAAAAATCGAGCTAGTGAAATTACATGAGGATCTGTATCAAAATCAAGTTCCAACTTCCCCTCATCGTCCTCCCATAGGTTATAAATCACAATCCGAGTACCTTGCTCGTCTAGGTAATCAAACTGTATCATTTGAAAAGTATGAGATACAATAAAAAAGTAGTGTCATGAAGGAAGAAGATGATAGACAAAAATAAAGAATATAATTAAAAACCTGCTCGAACAATTCTTGTTGGGATAAAAATGGCGACCACTTCACTATAGTATCTACATTATCAAACCACTCATCTGTGGAGTTGTATGTTATCTCCTTCCAATTGTTATCTACTAACTCAAAATCAACCTACACCAAGAGAGACCAAAAACAAAAGAAATAAGACTTTTATGTTTTGAGAAGAAGAGCAATCTATATAAAACAGCAATACGAATTGAGTTTACCGTGGGGACAATGGCTTCACATTTTCTTGTCTCGTAAAGATACGTATATGACAACATACCAACGCTCTGTGTCGCACTGAAACAGATATAAGATACCATTAGATTTGACATTGCGCGAAACAAATAATAAAAAAAAACTAACGTTGGTGAAATAACTTACTTATTTCCATTGGTTCCTCGACAACGTGAGAAGACAATTGCATCAGCACCAAGCCTCATTGTACTAGTTTTGAATCCATTCCCGTCTTCATTGTTTGTTTTACAAATTTAAAGATTGCAATCAACTTTAATTACTAATGCCAAGAGCAGATGCTAATTTTTTTTTTATAAAAAAAAAGATGATTTAAGGCAGGCTTACATTGACCAACTGTATTAGCCATATTACGTTTTCTTGAATATCCCAAAGAAAGGCACTCTCTAAACCTACTCGGATTCATCCCACCTCCATTGTCTGCAGTGTTAAATAAGCCGGATCATTTAAAGGTTTTCCATAATCATGTAGTTAGCACAAGTTGTCTTTAGTAATTAACCTTTAACTATGAGAATGCTGCTCCCGTCTTTTTCATTTGTTGTTGAATCAACATGAACATATGTAGCCCCATTACACACCTATTTTTACAAGTTGATCAAACACAAGTTACGTTATACAAAAACCAGAAGAATTATCAACTTAATTCGAAGCATCTAGACATCCGAGTTAACATTAATTTCAAACTCTATAAATAAAGATTGATTTGTAAAGACTATTGACTTAATTCGACGCATCTAGACATCCGTGACTAATGCACCCTAATGAGAGCCAAATTGACTTATAAAGACTATTGACTGATATGGAATTATGGATACATAATAAAGTGGATCTAATGTCGATTTAATTATAAAGATGAAGAATACCGTATATAGTAGATTTTTTTAAAAAAATAAAGGAATTGTGAAAATCACAAGGACATACCTCGTCGAGAGAATTGTCAAGAAGTTCGGCCAAAGCTCCAAGTGCCCACTTGTGGCTGGTGGCGTTAGCATGAAGAAACTGAGGATGAACCCTAACCGCCGCATCATTGCTACCTATCGAAAACAAAAACAATCACACACGATTAATTAGGGTTTCGAAATTGCAACATCTCAAATTCTCTATACAGATTATTAACAGAAGGAATCGTGTCGAATTACAATAGCGAGGTACAGGCTCGTCTTCTTTGTCATCTCCTGCTTTCCAAAACTGTCTAGAAAGCTTCGGAGTATCCGCTTCCACAATCGCCAGTGGTTTAACATCCAAAGCTAGGATTGTTTTACCATCGTGATCATGATCAGGGTTATCCATTGTCCTCGTTTTCTTGATAGGCAAGTTATCATCATCATCAACACCGTCATCATAATTTCTCGAATCTCTCTTGAGTCCCGGCTTGGAGGTTTCACCAAGAGTCGAACCAGAGGGTTTAGGGTTAGTACTCATGCCAGAACCGTTCGTGTCTCCGATCACTAATAGCGATTTCTTAGGCGTGGTTTGAGAAGAATCCATGGTTACAGAAGCGAAGCTAGGGTTTCGAACAAAGTTTGAAGTCGAAGTTGGAGAGAGAGAGAGAGAGAGAGACGAGACGTGAGAGACGAATCGTCAAGTGATGGGTGGTCCGAGTCTTTATAGGGAGAAAAGAGTGGCGCGACTTTAAATAACCGTCCACCTTCCTGAACGTACTCACGGGCCCATTTAAGTTTCCAATTAAAGCCTTCTTAGATTATTTATATTTTAAAAGCTAACTAATTAGTTAACTTCTCTTCTTCTATTTTTAAGTCTTTTGAATCTAAGGGGGAGGTATTCAATTAAAGAATTCAATTGAATTAGAATGAATTAGCATTTATGATATTGTCATTTGATAAGAATTTAATAAAATTACTCTAAAAAATACAAAGAATCAATTCCGAACAATATGTCTACTGTTATTTTGATAGAATTCAGTAAAATTCCAACAAAAATTTTAAATTACTCTAAAATTGATTGATTTTAATTTCATTTGCATTCCACCTAAGTATTTTTTTTTCCAATCACATCCTACTACTTTAAAATCTTAAGAAAAATATTTCATTTTTAACAGATTTTTTTTTTGTTCTTTTTCCATGTTAAATTCACTGATATATTAATATCTTGTGGTGTTTATCCTATGATTTATAAATACTTTGTTATTCAATACTAAGGATTTATGTATGGATTTGATTTCATAATGCATTTTATTGGTCTTTGGTTTCATAATTTAAAATCCATACATTAGATTTTTTGGAAACAATATATTTTACAACGATTTTCAAATCAATTAAAATGCACAAACGAATACAACCTCTTATAGAATCTATAAGAGATAGAACTAAATCTAAGTAGAAATGTAAATGATATTTTTATAGCTAAATTTCCTAAACTAAGATAATATCAACAATTTTCTAGATTTTCCTTGATTCTTCTACAATCATATCTTCATAATTTCTATAATTTTGAATAATCATCTTAACCATTCAACCTCAATTGATATATGATTCTTAATCTTAATGAGTTTCTTAACATGTTTCCAATTTTGTTTTCTAGACTAGACATTGAAAGAAAGTTTCCAGTTTTGAGTATTATAACAAATTTCATTTAGTTAGAAAAATGTTGAGTATTATGAAGTTTACTTAGAAAAAAATGGTGTAAATCTTTTAACTGGATACTTTGCATCTTTGAGAATCTTGTTTCCTATGATTAGCATCTTTTAAGTCTTTATGATTAAGATTAGGTTGTTGTTTGTGCAAACCCAATCAATGACACAAGCCTGGTCTGCATAGCTTGATTGTATTCTCATGTTTTGCACCTATATGATTTATATGACCCTGGTCCCCTGTAACTCCAAAAACGTTTTGCTCTCATTAATCCTCAAAATTTATAGTTTACTCAGCTAGATCAATACATTAATTAGTTTATTTTATTGTAGTATTGACTAAGTGGCTCTTGCTTTATATGATACCTTTTGCGGTTTTGCCTTTTGGTGTCTTCAAATTCATAGTGATCTGACCCGACCCGTTGACTCGATTCGAGTCCACGTCACTATGGGCAGTGGCACAACTGTAATTAATGCGGACTATTAGTGTAATTAAACAGATGATTTCTGCTTCTCAGACTCATTCGTCTATCACTCATCACCTACCAAAACAGCGAGAGCAAGAGTTCTGAGCTCCCATGGCGATTCTCTCGATGACTCTGGTGCGTTTCCTTTTTCTATTTTTTTTCCCTTTCTTTCGAGATTTTTTTTTCTTTGTTACCTTACCAATTCTTCTCATGCTCCTCTTTTTTTTTTGGTATCATCCTTAGTCAAATCCGAAGTCGTTCTCAGCTGCTCCACGAAGACTTCCTCAAATCAATACCTTCACTCTCTCACGTAACTCTGTTCGATTGGGAACCAAATCCACCATCGATTCCATCGCCTTTTCGTCCTCAGCTCCCTTCTCGGCCTCGTCGCTCCTCCTTCACCATACATCTCCCACCAAAACAAACCACCGCTGCTTCTCGGTTCAATCGAATGCTGAGGTTCGGGATCCTTACATATCCTGATACTGACTTCGTGTTGAAATTCTTGAGCCGATTGATAGCTTACGCTAGGGGTTTTCCATTAGATTTGCGAAAGCTAGTGAATCGTGTAATTTGTGAAATTTTGATTGCTGGTTTCGTGATTTCAGGCTTTAACGGAACCCCAATCGAAAATAACACACAAGGTGTATTTGGATATAAGTGTTGGAAACCCAGTGGGAAAATTAGCTGGGAGGATTGTGATTGGATTGTATGGTGATGATGTACCCCAGACTGTGGAGAACTTCCGTGCTCTATGCACAGGTAGCTCCCAATGATCATATATGTATATATGGATGTTCATTGCACAAGTTGTGGTTAATATGTCAGTGGTGTGGGAGCTTAATCCTGTTAATGATCTTTCTCAGGTGAGAAGGGATTTGGATACAAGGGTTCTACATTCCACCGTGTCATCAGAGATTTCATGATTCAGGGAGGAGACTTTGAGAAGGGCAATGTGAGTTTTTGTGAATCCTTAACATCAGGGTTCTCTATTTTATTTTATTTTTTTTGGTTGGCTTTATTTGAGTGCATGTTCTGTTTCCATCTATCTACTTGATGAATATCTTCTGTTCTTTCACATCTCAGTTACTGTAAAGTGCGTCTAGTTAACTGCTAGCATAATTCCTTTATAACGATACGAGAAGTCTAATTGTTGAGCAGGGAACTGGAGGTAAAAGTGTATATGGCCGCACATTCAAGGATGAGAATTTCAAGTGTAAGTCTATCCTAATCTCCTGTGCAACTCTAGCATCCAAAACTTGTCAGGTGTAATGCATTTCCGCATTCTCCCATGACAAAAACCTTCCATTTAATACATTTCAAGAAAGTAATGATGTGCAATACACTGCAGTATCCCATGTTGGACCAGGAGTTCTGAGTATGGCAAATGCTGGTCCTAATACTAATGGTAGTCAGTTCTTCATCTGCACTGTTAAGGTAAAATCTACAAATATTCTCCCTCTGGTTAAGGTCTACTGTTAAAGCAGAATTTATATAGTTCAACTACATAAGAATCTCAATTAATGTCATCCTTGAGCGTCAACTACATAAGAACCCGTGTTATGCTATAGAATCGAATTATACAACCTAGAGATGAAACTGGATTTAGATTGAAATGAAAAACGATCGCAAGTTTTGTTGCATAGTTGAGTTTATATCAAAATTAATATGCGGAACGATGTGGACAGACTTCATGGTTGGACGGAAGGCATGTGGTGTTCGGGCAAGTTATAGAAGGAATGGATGTGGTGAAGCTGATAGAGGAACAAGAGACAGACAGAGGAGACCGTCCCAGAAAGAAAGTGGTGATTGCAGACTGTGGTCAACTTCCAATCTCTGAAGCTTAAGTACCAATCTAAAAACTTGTGACATGACATGGAGCTATTATGTGTTTGCATTTTTACACGCTTTCTTTTGTGAAATGGATTATATCCTTTCTTAATACTGTACATCTGTTTCTTCTTTGTGACTCTTTGTTTTTCCAAAAAGAGGAAGGGCCAAGTTTGACCTGAGAGGTTTGGCCCCAAGTCTGACTTGAGAGGTTTAGGTAAGCAAAATAAACTTAGGCTTTGCTAATGACGCAAATTTAGTAGCACTCGTAGAAGATACAGAAGCAATAAATGAATCCTTAAATAAAAGTAATTATCATGAAACAGAGCTTTATACTGGTATTGTTTCAAATATCCAACTCTAGTGAAAGCCAAAAATGGTGGATACAAGATATCACTGAACCAGCCTGACCCACAACAATAAGCAAAGTAAAAATTTGGTTTAAATCTCTCTCATTAAATCTTAGAGTGGCTAATTACTCTTTACCCCTCCTTAAAATTGTTTTTAATTTAAAAAACTTGCAAAAAATACAAAATTTTTTTTTACAACTAAAATCACGATTATAATATAGACTGTAATAATATTAAATCAAATTAAAAACATGATTTTATCTCAATCTGATCAAAATCTACGATTTTATCAAATCAAAAATCACAATTTTACAACTAAAATCACGATTTTTTAAAACAAAAATAAAAAAACGAAATTAATTTTTATAAAATATATTAAAAATCGAAAATCATCATATATAATTATGTTACTCCATAAATCTTTAAGTAAGTCTTGATAAATACTTAGATATTGTTTTTTAATAAAAATATATATATGAATTATCCGATTTGCATAAATTTTAAAGATTTTTCAACCAATTTTTTTTTTTCACTTATACAGTTGTAATGTTTGGCGATCATGTAAGCTATATATTTCGTGCATTTCACATTAGTGATCTTGTGACTTCTTAAAAAAATAGGTTTTGTGCTGTTTAATTTTCTATTCGGTTGTTATTTTTGTTTTATATTCGTTTCTGTTAGCTCATGTAGATCTACATTTTTTTTTATAGCTTTCAGGAATATATTTTGTTCTGATGTATATTAGAAGTTGGATTCTATTTATATTTTATAAATTCTATTTATATATTCTATTTATATTTTATAAATTCTATTTATATTTTATAATTTTTTCTTATTAATAATAGCGTTTGACGTTTTTTTTCTGTTTAGGAGGTGGTGTTTTAGCCGGACTTTCTTGATCGTTGATTGTTTAGTTTTACTGCTATACCGAAGGGTAACATTTTTTTTTTTTTTTTTGTGCTTTAAGTTTAGATTTGTGATTTTTTTATTAACTATCATATTTATGTTTTATATATTAGCCAGTTTTGGTACACTTTTCTTTGTTTTGTTTATTGATTCTTATCTGTTTTAATTTTTTATTGTTTTTGTTTTTTCTTTCTTAGGTGCCCGCGTTTTATTGTTTCATCTTGCGATGCAACAGATTTCATTTGCTGGTGATGAAGATCTAGATTATGGTCATGAACCGAACCAGTTCTCGGAGTCAGATAAGAGCATTTAATATGTTTTAAAAAATTATTACAAAAAGATTATGTATTCTGTTTTGTGGTGTGGGCTCTTGGTGACGATTCAGAATGGTCTATAGGACATACGGTGTCGAAATCCCTCATGGCAATGAACGTGAGTTCACCTGGTTCTTGTGAAGGTTGCTAAGTTGATTAAACTTTTGGAAGGTACATGAAACTTTAGAAGAACACGTACAAAAACACAGGTTTAATCATCTGATTATGGATTATTACTTGATCTGATGAATCCTAAATTTATAACAGTTCAAAAGAAGCTTCGGTGAACGAGATGCAGAACATGGTGGTTGTGTTGTATCCAAGACCCCACATGTCGCTGCCGAGAACAAAATAAAACAAGCTAACAAGGAGTTTAGTTCCAGCAAAAATGTTAGAGTCCACTTGGTATATTCTTACTCTCAAAGTCAAAGTTAGTTCTATTGATAATAATGATGATACATGAACAAAATTACTATTTTTTATTTGAACATCACTTTATTTGAATGGGTTTTGTGTGTGTTTTGTCTCTTATTTCCAGTGTTGGGATATTTTTTGATATTGGTTTATGGTTCCTTTATGTTAGTTATGGGCAAAGACAGAAGAAAAAAAAGGTAACTATTTGTACTTTGATCTTCTGCACGTTTCTCCGACTGAAATCTTTTTCGTGTGGAGTACTTTCATCTTATGTGTTTCCAGATGAGTTTGAACTGTTAATTATTAAATGTTGTTTTTGGATCAGGGTAAAGCTTCTCTTGCTTAAGTTTCACAAAAGATGTAAAATTTATGTTTAAGTAGCTAAAACTCTAAATTTTCTTAAGTTTGTATGTTGGAATGATTCAATTCCATCTAATTTTGTATTTTCTTTATTTTTCAAAATTATTTAATAGGATAACAAATAAATATTCTAGCACAACAATGTGAAAGAAATCAATGATAAATTATATACAAAAATCTGCAAATCTTGGGACCGTGAAAATATCACAACCCTTTTGTGAAAACTCTATTTTACTTAAAGTCTTATTTTGATATTTTTTTAATTTTTGATATTTTTGTTATTAGCATAATTAAGAAATTTTGACAATTTCTTTTTTGGTATATATGTTTAAGCTCTTTTTTAAAGTTGATTACCCAGAAACAGTTTTGATTGTTTGAAAGGAGCAACCTAAAAAAGTTAATGCAGCTTTCTTATCTAACAATAAATATAACACATTTTTAAGGAGAGTTTCAAGTTTGAAATGTGTATTTATCTTTTTTTTTTAGCCTCAAAAGATATAGAGTCATAAAAAGTATGAAAAGTACGTAATATGAAAAAAAATCAGAAAGAGAAGAAGAATAAACCGTAAAAACAAAAAAGAAGAAGACGAATGTGTTAAATAAGAAAAAAAGATGTGAATGATAAACTTGAATAAGAAATATGGGAAGAAGAAAAAAAATGAAGAATAAGACATGAAAAAAAACAAGAAAAAATATGGACAAAAGAAGAATAAGGATAAAACGATGAAGAAGAAAGAAAAAATAAGAAACAAAAAACTAGAATTTATCTTAACTAAATTAGTTTGTGGATTATTCAGTTATAAATAATTTTTAAGTAATTAATTTTGAATTGTGTTTACTTTCTTAGTTAATTTTATTTTGATTTTTATGTCTTAAATAGTTGTTTTAATTATTTTCAATTTATAGCATAATTTTTTTATTTTTTTGTTTTTAAAACCTTTTAGCTTGCGCAAGTCGCGGGCTAAACACCTAGTATCAGATGAAAAGAGAAACCCTTTTGTTTTTTTTATTTATTTATTAATGGTACAGAACCAAATGCCCCAATTCTTCCAAGGCAAACCAGTAACAAAAGAGACGTAGAAAAAGCTTGATTCCTACATAAATCTATATATCAACGTGTATGACAACACAAACATATCTTTGATTGACTCAAATCATTTCCAAAAAAGTGGTTTTTACTGGTCAAGGCTGACGTCACCCCATTGGACCTTGTGCTTAGCAGCTAAATAATGAGCACCGACTGGACCACGACTCCCATAAGGATAGTACTCAGGGATTCTCTTCTTCTCTTCAATCTCTTTAAGCAATGGAGTGAATAGTGACCAAGCTGCATCAAGCTCGTCACTTCTTATGAACAACCTTCTTTCTCCTTCTATTGCATCCAGCAGAAGCCTCTCATATGCATCTGGTATCTCCTTTGAATACCTTTAAGAAATTGTTTATGGAATCAAGATTAGTTATTGCTTCAGCAAGATCTCATCTTTCTTTTTCTCTTAACTCACTCACGTACCTTGCGGAATATAGAAGATTCAAGTTACTGCGATCTAATCTCATTCCTAAACCAGGGACCTTGTTGTTTATTTTCAAATATATGGCTTCATCAGGTTGCACACGGATCACAAGCTCATTTGTAGCTCGATCAAGATCACAACCAGTATTCCGGTTATACAAATTCCCCGGAACATGCCTGAACTGCACCCTTATCTCTGCCCTGTATCAATATATATATATTTGTAAATTGACTAATTCATAAGAGTCACTATGCAAAATTTCATTCTAGGCACCTACCTCCTGGTGTGTAGTGCTTTGCCAGCTTTCATTAGAAAAGGCACGCCGTCCCATCTTGCATTGTTGATGAATAGAGCAGCAGCTGCAAATGTCGGAGTCAGACTATCTTTTGGTACAGTTTTATCATCTGTGTAGCCTGGATATGTGACTCCTCCTTTTGTGTGGCTCTTGTACTGTCCTATTACCACATCTTCAAGTTGGATTGGCTTCATTGAACGTAGAACCTTGACCTGAATACGGCACGGGGATTTCATAATATGCTTTCTTGAACCAAACTTAACTGATAAAGAGGGTTATAAAAAAAAAATCACACCTTTTCATTTCTAATATCCTCTGCATCCAAACTAACAGGTGTTTCCATGGCAAATAGTGCTAAGATTTGAAGCAGATGATTTTGCATTATATCTCTTATTATTCCGTAGTGGTCAAAGTACCTGAATTAAGCAAAAGAAATATAAGCTTTCAATACAGAAGAGATATTAAATAGCCAGATGATGGAGAACACGCAAATTTACCCTCCACGTCCTTCAGTGCCGAAATCCTCAGAAAATATGAATTGCACGTTCCTTATGTACTGCCTTGACCAAAGTGGTTCAAATATAAGGTTTGAGAATCGAAGAACAGATAAGTTCTCGACTAGCTCCTTTCCTAGGTAATGGTCTATCCTGTAAGAACCCAATTAAAATATCATATCAGCCAAACATCCAGAAGCATCAACATTATAACAACAAAGCTTTAAGTGCAGTATCTCCCACCTAAAAATCTGGTCTTCCTCCAGATACTGCTTGAGGGATTTCGTTAAAGCAGCCGAGGTTTCAGAATCTCGACCAAAAGGTTTCTCTACAATGACCCTAGTCCAGCCATTGACAGATGAAGCTGAAGAGCTTGCACATTTCACTGCATCGACAAATATATTTGGAGGGATAGACAAATAAAAGAGGCGGTTTGAGATTCTTCCAGCCTGCAGAAAGAAGAAAAGGATAAGTACACCTATAAACAGAAACAAACAAGACTTCGATCTTCTAGTTTTACTAGATTTGTGAGCGAACAAGCATAAATGAAACAATGCAAAAAAGGTTGAAAATATTCTGAAAGCAGAACAGAACAGTTGGCAGTGGGGCACATCAATACCTCATGTTCCTTGAGCTTCTTGTCCAGTTCAGTAAAATGTTCCTGAGAATCATACTGACCAGAATGGTAAAAACATCTCTTGAGAAATTCGTCCATCTTCTCACCACAGTGCTCCCTGAAATCCAGATGGAACAATGGCAGAGCGATCAGAGTTCATAATCTTCACAAACCGTCTCCAACTAAGCATAAAGTTCCGAGTCTTGACACTCCAAAAAATGAGTCTTTAAACTAAGAAATGGAAACTTTAGGAGCTCACCTCTTATCAATTCTGCAGGTCAGGGTTTTGCTGACCATGTTTCTAAGTTCAACATCTGTCATCTTACTCCTAGAATAACCGTATATCGTAAAATGCTGCGAAAATAACAAAATCAATCATTACGCTTCACTATGGACAATCATAGAGAAGTAAACATAAGAAGGTAAACAATACCTCGGGAAGACAGCCTTCATAGTAAAGGGCGAAAAGGGCCGGGAAAATCTTCTTCTTGGCAAGATCACCAGAGGCTCCAACCACCGTGATACTAACCGTTGACTGATTTTGACCATCAGATTCTGTTCCAACCTTGGCTGCTTCTTGAGATAGAACTGATAACACCTCGTCTTTCAATCCCTTAAGGGAAGCAGATTCACTCTCTGCTGGATTTGAATTGGTGACTATTGCACCTAAAAACCCAATGTAAACGTCAGAGAAAATCCCTCTTCTACTAATGATTCCATGAGTATTGAGAATTTCCACAAATCAGGAATTCAATTTGCAGTCAATAAGCTTGTTTTGACATTTGATCAAATCCAATCCGTAAAAAATAAACAGAGAAGGAAGAAGCGGAATCGAAACTAACCATCTTGCATAAAGACAGAACCACGACAAGACTTCCTCTTAAATCTAACACAGAGCTCATGAGTATTCCATCCTCGAGGAGAAGCAGACAGGAACGATAGTGATCGATGTCTGTTACCGTTAATCGGTGAGAAAGGAGCTGAAGAAGAACGATAGGATCGGGAGGTGAAGGAGGAAGACAAAGACGCCATCATCAAACTTACTACAGAGAGATAAGGAGGATTAATTAAGAAGCTTAAAAGAGGAGGTTTTGATTTAAGAGAAGAACATAAGAAACATCGAAAGGGGATTAAAGGGCATTTATGCAAATAAGAACCTTTTGAGATCTCCCAAAGGTTCACTACTGTGATGATGGTATGGCTACGTGAAGGGCGTCTGCAGAAAATATTTTTCAATTCAACCAAATTGAACTTTTGCTTTCTCTTTCTATATATTTTGTTTCTTTGGTTTCATGTAAGAGATCTTCGAATATACAAAAAAGATGCTTTCTTGACTAGTTTTTCTTATATTGTGACTCGAGCCCGAATCGTTTACGTGTATATTCATTTGAGCTGCAATGTTGCGAGACAGTTATCAACTTTAATGGTGGGAAGAATTTAGTTGGAAGCTACTCCTTTTTCGGGAACTGTCATTTAAAAGTAATCAAAACAAAATTTGCTCAGGAAAACTTATGAGTTCACACTTTTACAGCTTCTCTCAACTCTGAAAAAGACAGAAATTTCCCGTTTTCTTCCCCAATAACGAACAAAAAATCAATACCCCTCTCAAACACTACAATGATAATAAGCAGCTTTAACTCAGCAGGCCAATAACCTGCACAAATTTTCATCTCTCTCCCTAACATGATTTGATTCTACCTCCAGCACAAAAATACAACTACCAAAAACCCTCAAAAACTATTGAATTTGAAGAAGCTCAAAAATCATAGAACGAGGGCGACTTTCTCATGGGATATCATCGGAGATGGATTCGCGATCAAGGGCTCGTAATGATCTGCTCCACCACCACACCAACCTGCACGAGTAAGATGATGTTTATTATTACCAGTTCAAATCGATGTAAGGAAAATTCGAGAGTGTTTATTACTATACATACCTGTCCCTTTCATGAATAAAAAGACTGGGAATTCAATGACTTCGCTTCTTGGTTTGTGAGGAAGGAAGAACACACAATTCTCTTCCTCAACCATCCCATCTGATCCGTGCGCTTGCACCTGTGATACCAAATTTCACACCTTTACTTTCATGTGATTTGGGAACCAAAAGAATACTTGCTAGCTAATATAACTAAGTAGCTTTACTCACCACATAGATTTCTCGTTTAAACTCTGTGGCAAGACATTCAATAGCTATGTCATCCCCAAAAGCAGCAGCATGTCCTAGTCGGTTCTCATCTACAGATAACAAACCATCTTCGGTATACTGCAAGGTGATGATATCATGCTCATCTTCTGATGAACCTGAAATCGACATGTACTTAGCCCAACTAAGTCCATCATTCACCGGAATACACCTCTCTCTGTAGATCGACTCTGCAGCGGTTTCTCTACAATGGAGAAAACCAAACAAAGGTAATTAAAAACAATCCAAACCCAAGACAAATGCCTATTTCTTAAAGTCATAACAACAAAAATGCTACATTTGCTTCCTATCTTGCATATTCATAAACTTAAATCACGATACTTTCAACCTATTTGATCTTTTCGGAATCCAATCATAAAAACGTATGCTTTAAGCATTAAGATCCATTACCAACAGAAACCAGATCTGAATCGGAAGTGAAAAACCCAAGAAGTACCTCTGCATTCCAATCTGCATAAGCTCTTCAATGGCGGAATCAAGAATCTCACGCTCGTCTTTTTTGGCGAGCAACTTCTCTTCCTGAACGATATGAATCCCCCACCCAGTCTTCAGATCCGGCGAGTACATATGCCTAATCGCTTCCGTGATAACCTCCTTCTCTCCCTCGCTCGCGGATCCGAAGTCCTCCAGGAACCTCCGCACCGTACGCCGCCGTAAATCTCGCGCGTCGATCCCACGCGCCTCCATGGCCTTCTGTGACGCGGTGAAGAGGCAGTTCCCGTCGGAGGAGACCTCTCCGCCGTGAGAGAGACGGAAAACGACAGGCGGCACGGAGGATTCCTCTTTTCCGGGATGCTTCCAAAGCACACCCCTCGCGTGCAGCCGCTGAAGGTGCCGTCTTTGCTGCTCCTCCAGACCGAAAACCTCATCCCAAGCGGTGGTTGTTGTGGCGGCGGCCATCGTCTTCTCGACGGCCTCCACCGCCGCAGCCGCCGCGGATTGGTCAACAAGATCCACGTCATCGAGAGATACGGCGGCTGTTGGCGGTTCCCTCCACGGAACGGTGGGTGATGGAGATTGAAATGTCGCCGTCGAATCACACAGAAGCTTTCCCATTTTTTTTTAAAGATTATTATTAATCGCAGAGAAGACACACACAACCACAAATCTTTTTCCTCCTTGCAGATTTCGCCTTTCTTTTTCTTTCTTTCTTCTTCTAAACGAAACTGCGAGGAGAGAGAAAGAGGAGAGACAGAGAAGGAGAGAGAGAGAGAGAGAAAAATACTGTTTTGGTTAAACGGCTAGATATGGGATGTGAGAGAACACGACTGTTGGAGTTAACGGTCAGATCTGGGTAGGATATAACGCGGGAGAGGAAAGAAATACATGTGGCGTAATCTTAGTGGGTCTCATGAATTCCTCTGACTAACGAATGGCTGAGGTTTGACTGTGCCAAGGTGGACCACGCCACTCAAAAACATATCAACCTTTCTTTTCTTATTTAATTTTTTAGTATCATTATTTTACAATTTTTTTCTTTTATCGTCTCTCGTTACCTTATTTGTTAATTTGTCCCACTAGCTGTCGTTATTAGCTGGCGCATCCTCTAACGTGCACATGGTGTCTCCTTTTTGGTAGATTACCAATTATAGTTAGACACATCAGCTTTTTGCAACCGATTTGACCAATGAGAGAGCTTTCTCACACGTATGACTTGTGTCAGGGATGGTGCTATATCAAACGAGTTGCTGCTCCACATGTGCGGACTTGTCTTGGACGGCGTAAACAACGTCGTGAATCGCGCGTTAAAACTAACGGACTTTTTACTTATAACGGCTAGTGAAAGATAAATCTTTTCTCCTTCCATTTCTTTAAGAGTTCAGTTATGTGCAATAAAACCTTATATAAGTAGTAAAGAAACTTGATTTAATGTTGTAAATATCGATTAGGGCCATAAAACAAAAACGTTTTTCTTCGGTTTCGAGCTTTTCTTACTACCTAGGTTTATTGATTAGGCCAGGGCATCTTCGCGTCTTCCTTAGTGATTCTGTATTTTAACATGTCACTGTTTTATATATCACATGCATACCAAAACAATTATTTTATATCAACAGTTATGACATCAACTAAATAAAATACATTTATGTGTGCATGTAATATCTCCTCCGAGAGCTCTTGACCAGCTTTTTAGCGGGTGCCAACCAGCGAGCATATCGCAGTAATTCTACTAATGCATCAAGCCACCAACAGTATTTTTAAATTTATTGATCAGTTCTTCCAGAACAAGTTTCTTACGATCACCATCTTTGTAAACTTTGCATGCTTAAAATTCCATGAGTCATGGACCATGACTTCTTATTGTTTTATGCTCATTTAGTAATTTTTGCCTTTCGTTGTTTAAAGTTTAAAGTGGTATATTGGGTTTGTATCTTTATGTTAACAACTAACGCACGCATACTACTACTCATATTGACTTCGGATGGTATATATACAAATCACTATATTACAAATCTCGTAAATATTTGGTTTAGCTTCAGCATATTATGATGTTCAAAAAGTTGGTTAAACGTTATAATTTAAGGTTTGGATACCGTCTAAAACGTTGAGGCGCCGATTAGTTTAAGGTTTTATATAGTTCTGTTTCTTAAAATATTACATTTTTGGAAATTTTAATATAAACGGGTTAACTAATTTTAGTTTGCTTAATCGGCGATTTAAATGCCGCCTAAACTAAAGCACCGTTGACTTTCTGCTAGTCTTAGGTCTTGGCTTCTTAAACGACCCTCGTAGACTGTCCAGACACTAAGTTTTAGAACTTGACGTACTATATTAAAAATCGCTGATTTAGTGATAACAGAAGATATATTGGATGCTATTTCAGTTCGATAGGCTTGAATGATATAAGATCAGTGTTCACTGTCCACAAATCAGAATATGTATGGGTTTGTGTATGAAAGCCCATATATGTACATGGGCCTTAATGCCCGGATTGCCAGGTAGATATAGCAAAACGCAAATCCCTCTCGAATCATAAAAGTCAGTAAAAGTGTATCTGAATGATATATAAAGAGCATCTTTGAGAAGACAAGCTAATGATTAGTAGTAGCTATGAATAATTTAGAATCTTGGTAAGGTAAAGGCGTAAAGCAAAAGTATTTGACAGATTTGTTAGTATAAAACGAAGAACTTGTAGCTAACCCCTAACCATATCAATTTATTAACATCTATGTTCAATGTTCCGTATCATAATATGCCAATGCAAACTCTGTCACTGACCGATAACAAGACAAAACAGACGATATGTAATCAATTTATTAATTCGAATTTATCGACTACCCAACTTTTTCAAGTATTTAACACGTTTTTCTCCGGAAATATCTTTAACGTTTATGTTTTTTTTTTTTTAAAGGTTTAGTGTTAAAGTATAAAAATAGCAAACTTACGTACACATGAACAATTAGAACAGTCGTATAACCAAAAAAAGAAACAGTAATGTAGCAAAGTTTCTTCTTTTTCAACTGTAAATTAGTAGTGTATACAGACTAGTCGAGTACAGAGAATACGACGAAACACGAAAAAAAGTATCGAAAGAATAAAAAGCAAAAACTTGCATGGTTTTTGAAAAAAGATAGGTGAGGTGGGCCGTATAATTGGAGTCCATTTTTACTTAAAATAAATAATCAAACGCCTCCTTATCTGGAAAAAATAAAAATAAAATAAACCTCTCTCCCACTGACATTGGTAAAGAGGCAGAGGAAAAAAAAAAAAAGACTGTTCATCCTCGTCTTCCCCAAGAAAAAAAAAAATCAGCCATGAAAATGAAGAAGAAAGGAAAAGTTTACCCATCTCCTCCTCCTCCTTCATCATCGTCTTCTTCTTCTTTCTCGTCTCACCATCTCAACGAAAACGACTCTCTCTCTTTCCTCAGGCTTCTCCCTGCGGCGATTTTGGTTCTAGTTTCGGCTCTCTCTGGGGAAGACCGTGAAGTTCTAGCTTACTTAATCACAAGAGGAACCACCATTTCCGCTAGAGGAGGAAGCTCTTCTTCTTCTTCTTCTTCTGCTTCTGTTGAATCGAAGAAGAAGACGACGAAGAAGAACAAATCCAGCAAAAATCACAAACCTCCTGTTTTCGATTGCGAGTGTTTCGATTGTTACACGAACTACTGGTTCCGATGGGATTCCTCGCCGAACCGTGAGCTAATCCACGAAATCATCGAGGCTTTCGAGAATCATCATCTCACTATCGGCGGCGAAAACTCAACTTCCAGGAACAAATCCAAGAGAGCTAAGAAGAAAGAGAAATCCAGTCGTCTGGTCGGTGATAAGGAGGATAAACCCGTCGTCGAGGTCGAGCCAGAGACTGAATCCATAGTTTCCGAGAGCTACGTGTCGTCTCCAGATAACTCGTCGGGAAGATTGATTGAAGCTGAGGTGGTGGAACGAGAGCCGCGGGAAGTGGAGGAGGTTGTCGAAGAAGAAGAAGAAGAAGAATCGACGGTGGTTTTTCCGGCGGCGGATGCGACTGAGCACAAGGGATTAGCGAGGAAGGTACTACCGGACGTGTTGGGTCTTTTCAATTCCAATTTTTGGAGACTTTGGAATCCGAACGCGTAAAAGCATCGACCAAAAGTTATGCTTCTTTTTTCTCTGTTTTCAGAATGAAAAAAAAAATAATCCAATCCCAATTTCCATGCTTTATTTTTTTCTTCTTTGTTCTAAAAATATATCACTGTTTGGTTACGTTTAAAATTCTTGGTTGAAAAAAAAATGCAGGCATTAGTTCTCTTGTTATCCACTATTCATGAAGTTCTTTAAAATGTTCAAACCATAGCTCAAGTCTTGTGTGATTGTGGTTGAAAAGTTTGCACAATGTAGCCAATTATTTTTAGCAATGTCAAGGTATTTGGTTTCTGTTGGCTTTGGTTTGGTGGTGAGAACTCTAGTCTCTCTAGGCACAGTACAGCGATTTTGAGGGGATTTTTTATTGAAAGAAGTTTTTTGCTTAAGAACAAAGTTTGTGGATTAGGTAGACTGTTTCAAAGGGTGGGCCAACAAATATCTTTCCTTTTGATTAAGGCATCCTCATAGTGAGAGTGTGTCTCATTCTTGTATCTATTATATTGATAGATATAGTAGCTATTTAGCAGTTTGTGTATGTTGTTATATTAATGTTTTACCATATCCCTATAAATAAGTTGGTTTGGGTTTCTCAATTTAGTGTAGTGATCCAACTCAGGAACAAAGATTCGATTTTTTCTGTCAACCAGAATCTTTTCTCAATCTAGTGAGGTACCATAAATTCTTGTGAGTTTTCTGTAATGTTACTATTTATAGAATTGCAACCAATGTGCGGATTTGTAAGTAAAGTTATCAAAATCCACGTAATTAAAAAAAAAACTTGGTTGCTCTTATTTAGCAATGCATAACGCGATATTTTATAAAGTAGATGTTTACATGTTCAACATTCTGAATCGGCTTCAGTTGAGTCAATGTAGCTCCCAAACCATACCGTTTTACCAATCAAAATCTGTTTTACAACATCTCCCTCCGTTCTCCATAAAACTCATCTCTTTTATTATTGTCACCCAAAAAACAGAATTAAACCTGTACATATGCTCTACTCGTCTAGGCCTAAACTTTCTTCTTCTGCTTGCCCATCAACATTTGTTGGCCCAAATGACGGCCATAAAGCTTACATTTATTCCACCGACCCACGAATCCCATTTATTTAGTATGTACTGTAAGTGCTTTTGCGAACCCTTAAAGCCTCGAATTATTATTTTAGAAAACTCCCTAATACAAAATCTGATGGCTTCTCGTTCCTTTGTTTTCTAATCTGGCGGTTTTTTTTTGTTCCCCTAAAACCTGACGGGCTTGAATACTACTTAATAGATAGCAAAAAAACTCATCCTCCACGAGAGGGCTTACCGCTTAAGGGTTAACAAAGAAAAAACATGTAAAAGAACGAAACACGTGCGTTTTCCTCGAAATTTTTTAATACAGTAAAATCTCTATAAATTAATACTCTATAAATTAATAATCACTATAAAATAATAAATTTTGCTAGTTTCAAGTCGGGCCAATGTAAAAATTCATCAAATTCAATAAGATAATAAGATAATAATTTTTTTTTGAAACTTCTATGTAAATATATGGTCCCAACAAAAACATAAATTAATAATTGTATAAATTTATGCAAATATATGTAATATAATATACTAAAATATGACTAATAGTATTTGTTTTTAGAAATTTCATTGGTGTTTATCTTTTTACTTATTGCATATCTATCTTTTGTTGTTGTTTTTCGATATACATTCAAATTTGTGAAGATTTTTTGATGTGATAATTGATTTTCTTACACATAAATGTTTACAAATGTATTGTAATATTGTCTTCAGTTTCATTTTTTGATAATAGCCATGGTTTGTTATAAATTTTGAACTTGTAAACATGTATATTTTTAATAGATAAATTAATATGTTATTAAAAACTATTTTATTATAATAAATATGTTTACTAATCATAATTTTTAATAAGATATTAGCTTAAATTCTTAAATATAACATTATTCAAAAGAACTTTTTAGAAGATTATAGGCAAAAAACAGATTATCTCTATAAATTAATATCACGATAAATTAATAAAATTTCATGGTTCCAACATTATTAATTTATAGAGATTTTACTGTACACTTATCTCATACAGTCATATTTATAAGGGCATATTCAAACATCATCTACCCTCTTAATAATTGTCCCTCTTTTTCCTTTTTCCTTTACACTTTGAATGGTCAAGGAAACATGGACTAGCAACAGTAAATGGTGAGCTACTTTTTATTTTTCCTATTTGAAGCGAATTAATAATTGGTAAAAATGGTCTCAAAATTCAACCTCGGAAAATAATTATCAACCACGTCTGCGCTTAGTAAAATAATATCTCGCTCCTCTTCTACAACTCTACAAGGATTAAAAGTTTGACCGAAATTCTCAATGTACATATGAATATTTACTACTGACTTCAAAAAACAAACCATGGATTATTGAGTTTTCAACTTTTTGCCAAGGAAACAAAAACGTAACAACACACGTCACAAGTTAAATCCATATATATCAACGCAATTGGTATTTTATTAAAAAAAAATTTCGATAGTTATTCGTCATCATGCAATTAGTATTAACATAATTAATCTCCATTTAAATCAAATCCTTTATTTATCATTTGCAGCATGGAAGGAATAATCGCTTCAAATTACTTCTCCTTTTGCCACGTATGGTTAGTCAATAAAAGTCGGTGGTCCACAATTTAGCTCGTGTATATATTCAAATCGAAGGAGCGGTTTATCAATTTTAATTATTTAGCAAGGATAAATTTATATATATGGATTCAAACATAATAGACTTTTCATTGGTCAAGTTAACAAAGATATTACATATTTATTACATATACTACTGATAAATATGTAACACGAGGTTCGAAAAAAACAAAGAAAAACGTAAACCCATATGACGTTCGACAAAAAGAAAAATGCGAACTCATATGACGTCACTAAAGAAAAAATCGACGACTCTCGTTTGTTCTTTCACAAATCTATTAAGGATTCCCCAATACATAAGTAAAAATTTCATGTTCGTACGTGCATGCATCGTTGTTAATTTACTTAAAAAATATCATGAACAGCTAAATATTAATTGAATCTAACGTCAGACTAGCACAATTGCTTTTTAACGCACAATTTTATAGCACTCTCAATACTATACGTTCTTGACTTTATATATATATATATATATATATTGTTTTTGACAACATATATATATATATATCACTATCCTTATATATTAATTTCTCTGTATTCTGAATAATAAGTACTCGTGGCAATTTACCAAATAAATCGAAAGTTTGTTTTTGAGAAACAAATCGAAAGTTTGTTCGTCTGATATTTTGAGCTATTTGCCTTAGATATATAAGTATATCTTTAAAGAGATGTGGATTAGTGGGTTCATATAATGTCATTAATCAATGTGCATTAAAAAAAAATTAAAATGTAAATGCTTAACTCTTACGTGTCGTCTACGACACTGCCCCTTCTAGTTCTGCTTTTACGATTAGCAGCGGGCCGCCTCATCGTCTTTGACTTCGCAGTCTGCCATAATGTCTATATAATATACACTAAACTATAATATATTTTTTCACACATAATATCTAACAACCTATAATAATACCATAAAAACAAACGAACAAAGAACAAAAAAAAAATCTTCTTTAGGTCGATCGGTCTGTGTTGTTATAACTAAGATTCCACAGTTAGTTAGGAATATGGAGGGATTTGATAATGGATCGTTATATGCTCCGTTTTTGTCGCTGAAATCGCATCAAAACCTCGCTAAATCGGAGTTATTACACCAAGGCGAAGAAGAGGCCTCAAAAGCTAGAGAAGGTTCTTCGAGAAGCGTGGAGTTGAAAAAGAAAGGGAAGAAACAAAAGTTTGCGTTTCAGACAAGGAGCCAAGTGGATATTCTTGATGATGGTTACCGATGGAGAAAATATGGCCAAAAAGCTGTCAAGAACAACAAGTTCCCTAGGTTCCTATTACTTTCTCCCTTCTTTAATATACCAATGTTTTTATTCCCCGTTTTTCTACTGATCATACAAGTTAAGAGTTAACACATACGCTTTAGCCGATCTCAAATCAACCTTAATTTAATTTAATTTTACTAAAAAGTTCCAGGCCACCCATAATTTATTTCCCTTCTCAGTAACGAGACTCGATCTCGTATCATCAAAATTCATGTGTATGTCGAGTCTAGATTGATAGATCTTCAACTAGTTTGCATATACTATATGGTTTGGCTAATTTATGTTTTTTATCTACGTACTATTGCAAGATCGCGTTGATCCACCTTCTTTTTTTCTATGTAATAATCACAGATTAAACAGAAAGTCTTTCGGTGAAAAATCTTAGTGAATGTGCATTTGGGAACAAATTTGACTATTAAATATTAATACTCTTCGAAAGGACTCAATGAATCATCCACGACGGTTTGAATGATCTTGAGTAGTCTGCATAGTGATTTGAATAAATTTAATTATAAAAGATGGTTAATTTATATGGAAATAATGTGCAGGAGTTACTATAGGTGCACATATGGAGGATGCAACGTGAAGAAGCAAGTGCAAAGGCTAACAGCGGACCAAGAAGTCGTTGTCACAACCTACGAAGGAGTTCATTCGCATCCCATCGAAAAATCCACCGAAAATTTTGAGCATATTCTCACCCAAATGCAAATCTACTCTTCTTTTTAATTATTCTCTCAAATCTTTTATACCTTTGAAGCGTTATTTCTGAAGGCTCATGTTGTAAATTATTTTAGATAAATATATAATGTTACATCTTACGCGTGTCGAAAAAAAACAACTATGGTCAAGTGGAGTTTGTATCCAATAATAATTGTAACAAAATTTTCATTCAGTTTCTTAGGAATAATGCTCATCTACCGAGAGTTGTAACTTGTAAGTAACAAAATTTAGGGGCTACATTATTTCGTAGTCTCTAATTACCAACCAAAAGTTATCAGTAATCTACATAAAATGTGAAAAATCAGAGAATTCGTTGGATCAGTGACAAGAAAATATTTTAATAGACAACAATATTTAAAATTGAATCAGTAACAAAATACACAATTTTTATTTATTCTGCACTTGGTTCAATGGGGGAAAGAATTTGGCGTGCATTGATCTGCATTTAAAACAAGTGACAAGGTGATAGGCTGACAAGACTTTGTTCTGCAGTGAATTAAATAACCGTCGCATCAGTTCTTTGAGTATTCCGTTCTCCTTAAATCTTTTTTTGTTGTTAAAATTTTTTGGTTTAATTACAAACAAAAAATATAAAATCTGCTCAGACCCTGAAGCAGGTAGAGCCACTAGAAATCTAATGCATCGGTCTGGATTAAGATTCAAAATTGGACAGAAAGCTTCTCAACTCAATATCCAGTTGCTAAGACAGACAAGATAAGCAGCTGAAAAACAACAGTAGCTTGTTCTAAACTGTTTCATGGATTTATTATTACCATGGCTCCAAAACGTAGTCCTCTTGACTTACAAAACATTAAAAACCCCCAAATCCAAGATACTGGAACCTATAAAGTTTGGATCTTTAGATTGGAGCGGATTCTGCTTCCATATACTTACAAATTCTCTCCATCACCTCTCGCCCTTTCACGCTATTCTGCATGAATTTCTCAGCGCATTTCTGCTCAACTTTCTCAGCCATTGATGCCAGAGCTGACAAGGGTTTGATCCGAATGCTCGTCTCCTGGCTACAAACCGTCCAGGCCGACGGATTTTCTGGATGCGGATCATATCTTATCCTCTCCTCCACTTCAATGAACTTTTGGAGACTAATGTTCTTGGTTGTAAGCTGGATTAAAACCGTTCGTCCAAAGCCAAACAAAAAAGAGAGAATGAAAACGATTTAGTTAGATGTCTTTGTTTGATGTTTTACGAGCTCAAAGTCCTCTATAGTTGTTGTTTATGCCATCTTACTACAAACAAATGCTTCATGCCAATCAAGTTTCAGTCAAACAGATTACAACACACTAAAACCAGTTCCTTACCTTACAAAATTAGGCATTTTTTTCTATATAGAATTGATAACTTAACCAAATGTTTCACTAGCACTCATGCATTGTAAGTTAATCTAAACACTCACTCATCTATGGTTATTTATGCTTGTAACAACTAATAAATGCTTCTTCCCAATCAAGCTTCCTCGTTTTCAAAATACAAATTTTGCGAAAGAAGCATAGAGAAGCCGATAATACCTGCATCGAGCGTGATTTGCCATCCACAACTGTTGATTCAACACAGTGACAGATGTCCTGGCCTATGATCCTGTGAAGGAACCATGGCCCCGGAGCATGGATGGTGAGAGCACGTGTGGTGTGGAGTTTTCCGGTCTCAGTGTCAAGTTTCCGGTTCAAGGTGTCGACTTCAAGGATGTGAGAAAGAATGCGTTTGTTTTCAGGGTCTGCAAACTTCCTCCATGAGGCAGCACTCACCCGCTCCCATGGGTGCTTGTAGACATGTTCTTGTTTATATGCTTTTACCATCAAGAATCTAAAACCAACAACACATAGACCGGAGATTGAATAAGAAGAACAAATTGACAAAAGGTTAATCAAAACCAAGCAAAACCCAAATGATGAATCTTTTGTACACAGCATACAAGTTTTAAATCCCACCTATAAAGTTAGAACGAAATGGCAAGAAACTGAAGAGTGGAATCCAGAATCTAAATACGTGGAAGTAGTGTAAAGGAGAGATTTTATTAAAACAAAGTTAAAAGGATTTCGAAGCCAAGGATTGCACATAAGGGCAAGATAACAAAGAGCTGACATTGATGCATCAGGATCCAACCAAATAATTTGTTGCACAAAAGGTTTGATTTTAGCTATGAGGGAAACTAATTTTTAACAAACAATGAGGAACACGAGGATTTAAACATTGATTTCGTAGAAGAATGATCGAATCAGATAAAATCTAATTCCGAATTCAGCTGTATTATTCAACGAAACGCACATCGGCGTCACAGATGAAGAACGAAACGTACTTACAGTTGACTCGATGCTAATCGATTAGACGGAAAATTGTGCAAATGGAAAGAGAACATACCTTAGAGAGAGGTATGCAGTTGAAGATCTTGTGTGAGCGTAGAAGAAAATAACCCAAAAATGGAGAACGTGACGAGAGGAAGCAAATCAATGGCGGTGTGGAGACAACCTGCGGCTTATGTTTACGACAATGAAAATGGTTTTCTCTGGCAGGCGGCACAAAGTTTGGGCCTTTAAAAGGCCCAGTGTCCAATGTTGGGTTTTGACTTTTGATAACGTTTATGTTTTTTTTTTCTTTTTCTAATACCCATTTATTGATAACGTTTATGTTTATTGCATGGATGTTCAATTCGGTTCAGTTTCGTTTTTTATTTTATTTTAGTTTGCAAGTTTTCTAGCGTATGGTTACATGTAATAAAATATCAACTTAGGATGAATTTCTATTTCTTGTTTCTAGATATAATAAAATCAATTGGATGATAAACTGTACATTTTGATTCGGTTTGGTTGCAGTTTAAGCATTTCGGATCGGTTTAGTTTGTCGGCCATTTACATTAAGACTATGAAAGTACACCACCATATATTCAATAGTCAAAATTCTCAATCAGATTAACACAGACGCTAAAAGATTAATTACTATTTAAAGGTTTTGAAGGTTTAAGAGATTCGGGTGATTACAAGATTTCCTCTTGTTAGACTTTGATATTACACTCATTGAGTTGGAACTTTACTCTTTAGTAAGCATTTTCAGGTAGTCTGATTTTCTGAGCCATTTATAAAGAATAAATACATAACAAAAACTAACTTTGGGGGCCTCATGATATTATTGAGTTGAGAGCACATAGAGTAACAAAACATAGACCGATTATCAAAAAAAAAAGAATCCAGTTAAATGTTTTATACAGTGGTTGGGCTAGCTTGGACAGGCCGTGTAAGAATATCAGTGATGTAACTCCGAATTTCAGGTATAATTTTCTTGATAAAAATGGGAAACCTGCGTTAGATAATAAATAAAACCTGATTGAGTAAGCAAGATAAGTTATATTTTTTACCAAAAAAAAAAAGATAAGTTATATTTCCAAAATTTTATGAAGAAATAATGATTTTTTGGCCTACCATATTTCAGAGCCGAGCTTAGTGTAATGTTCAAGAACGAAGAGCGTGCAAGCTCGTCTTAAGGCTGAAGCGTTGAATGTGTCTGCTAAGTCGTACATGAATGGTATGTTATCCACACAGATGTCCTGCAGCGACATTAGTAAAGTCTATTTAGTTATACACAGAGACAAGTCACTCTGTCGAGAGAAAAAAAAACAAGATCTCGGCTTTGAGTTTTTTACCTGTGCGATTGTGTACTCACAAAGGCGTTTGAGGCCTTCGAGAAGATATTGATCAGCTGCTACAAGCAGATCTTGAGCCAAATGTTTGGTGATGTTAACTCTTCCTGTGTATATGAATCTGCACATTGTGTTTCATGTTTAAGACTCTTACCTTATATCATGGTGTAATATTTGAATGTTGATATGTTTGAATTTATAAGACTTTACCTCATCATAAGCTCAAACACTTCCCATCTGATATTTGGGATCTCCACATTTTGGGCGTTGCGTTCCTAAAACCAATTCTCAGGTTAGTTGGTTGATATTATGATCAGACAGAGTTACCAAAGTCGTATTTCAGAAGCTTACCTTGTATAGGCCATCAAACATCGCACGAAATATATCAGAGGAAGCTACCAAGCAAATCTTGTGAGCATAGAATTGTTTACCTAATGCCATGGAAATACTCAGTCAAAAAGTGTTATAATCACAGAAGTAGATTTAATTAAAACATAAATTGGATTAAATGTTATACCATCGATTAGGAAGGTGACATCGGACAAAGTAGGGTTGTTCACGAATTCCTCACCCAAAAAAACCTTCAGTAGTACAATCAATTAACATGTCAAGACCTTAAATCAGAAACAATTTTATACTTGAAATGAGAAATGAAGATTTTTTACCCGTTGGGTTGGTGAAGAAGGAGCTGAATCCTCTGGTGCAGAAGATGTAGCTTTTTTAGCTAATTCGAATAAAGCGCTTGAACTATATCTCTGCTGCTTCATGCTTGAGAAGTAAAGAAGCTCCAACAAAAACTCTACTCCTGCATTAGTAATACGTCATTTGATCAGGAACAGTAAACCAACAAAAATAAGCTTTTGTATGAAATTCTGAAATGAGAATATTACCATTGTTATCAACGAAAATTGTTTTTCCATCTTTAGGGTCACAAAGATGTGCAAGAGCCAGAGCAATTCGCATTTGTATAGTCTTCTCAGTGGTTCTCATTAGATATAATAATTGGTTTAGTACCTGAAAGAAGGGTTTGACATCAGGGGACGAAAACCAAGGCCATACTAAACTAAGAATCAGAGGGTCTAACAAAGATAGGTACTCACATGTCCATGAATCTTGTTCTCTATCCTCTTCAATGTCCTTACCACACAATCCCTAGTCGGCTGCAAAAACAAGAACGGCAATTTAGAATTCGGGAATCCATAACTAGTTTTACAAACATAAGCAGTGAAATGCATACTTGAACCGTGAAGTTGTCATCTTGCAGCCTTTGAATACCTCCAGCCTTAATGAAATCTGCTACGTTTTCCTACAAACGGAACAACTAATTAAGTACTCATGGTTTCTAAAGTGAGCAAGAGGTATAGGCATAGCCTGTAATATAAAACTATTCATTTGAATATTGTTTACCTCGTTATCTGCAAGGCCATACAAAGCAAAGGCAGCATTGTGTTGCACAGATCCAGTTTTCACATCAAGAAGATTCAATAGAGCGGTGATGCCTCCTCTTTGTCCAATGCCAGCTTGATTGTGTGTGTCCTGCAACATTCAAAACGTTGAGGATATACCGACGTATTAAGAAATGCTCTAAGCATTTTTTTTCCTTCTTATCACATTAGATTCCAGAGGCAACAAAAACATTCACATGCTAATTCAAAAACATAAGTACCTGAGCCAAACGACCGAGAGCAAAAGCTGACATTTCCATAACCTGCTCATCTGATGATTGAAGCATCTTAATTAATGGTGTAATGCCACCTCTCTGGGCAATGTGCACCTGCATGATCATGTTGCCAGTTATGTTTAAAATGTACTCTAGTTCGCATCCATCCTTTTATATCGTCAAAAGAAGCTAAGTTTGAGTGAGCATATATAGTACAGGCAGCATGTCAAGAAAGAGACAAGCTCATACCTTGCAATCGGAATCAGGCGCAGCAAATTGACCTATTAATAAAGCTGCTTCTCTTTGTGTCTCCAAACAAGTGGAGCTGTAGCAGATATCATAGCGGACAGTTACAAAACATGTTTCGAATATTCAAAAGTAAACATCTATTTCAGCAGAAGCAAGAAAGCAGAAAGAAGAAAAATAACCACACCTAAGTAGACCAATTACTGGTTGCAATGCACCAGCACGGATAACCTCTTTCTTGATGTCGGGAGATGAGTGCACAAGGTTCCCAATTGCTCCAATCTGAGAATGTCCATATTTTATTAGAAGGAACTAAACAAAGCAAACCATGTGCAACAATCTAAAGCAAAATAAGAACCAACCGCTTCGCCATGCACAGAAGAATCTTCTGATTGAAGCATCAATACAAGCGTTGGCAAAGCATTCAGCTCCACAATCTACACGGTTACTTTTTATGTAAGAAACATTGCCTCTCATAATCTCAAACAAAACAAAGCATCATCATAAGCAAAACATACTTGCTTCTTGTTCTCATCATTTCTAAATGAAACAGTTCGCAAGGCCCCTGCAGCAGCCCTCTGTACTTTAACATCCGGAAAATCCAAAAGCTCAACGAGTGGTGGAATGCCACCTTCAACCCTGAAAGTAAATTTTTAAAAGTTGTCAAGTGAAAATAGCATAGCCATGATCAAAACCATAAGGATTATTAGATAATTCACGTACCTTATGTTTGTTTTAATCCTTGGATTGTCATGAGCAATATTAGTGACTATATCAGCTGCTCTCCTAATAATAGCATTAGCATCCGTGCAACCACAACAAATCCCTCGTCTCTTCAACAACTTCACGGCGGGGACTATGGCTCCAGCATCCACAATGAGCTGCTGGTAATCAGGCTATACGGCAGAGAAAGTAAACTTCAGTGAAAAATTGTTGCAATAAACATAATTTCGGTGAATTGAAATTCGAAACTCGTCATCCACAAATTCGTAAAAAACAGTTGAAGATTGTGTTTACCTGATTAGCAGCAATAAGTCCAAGGGAAAGAGCACACTCTTTCTCTAGCTTATGATCGCAAGATTTGGGAACATTTCCGCCGATTGCCAAAGACCACGGGGATTCCAAATATCTAACCAAAGCAGGGATAGCTCCATTGTCCACGATCATCTCCACATTTTCGTCTATACAAATAGATACGAAATTAAAATTAGGCCAAAATCCACTTCTAGATCTCGCCTACTATGAGCTAGAACAAATCAATTGCTAAGTAGAATCCAAAATCTGCATTGATTCAAACAGCTGTAACACGAGATTGAGAAATTCAACGAGCCGAGTTCAATATAACCGCCGAATAGAGGAGAAATTAAGGATTACGGTACCAATTTTAGCGAGGGAGGAGATAGCAGCAGCAGCTTCTCTGACGGCTTCGCGATTAGATTCTTCATCTGAGAAGCTGGAGTTTAGAACCTCGACGTGGCGGCGGATGGCGACGACGAGATCTATGTGTTCATCTTCGACCTCGGTAAACTGTCTGAGGATTGGCATCACATCTGTGTCTCCGCAGAGCTTTCGTTTCAAGTTTCTTCCGGTGAATCGTGTTGTTTGCTTGCGCTTCGAATGGCTCTCCATCGGCGGATGGTTTGAGATTCCTAGCGGAGAACGACTCGGTGGATGATCTAGCGGCGAACTAGAGCGGTGGACTCTGATCGATTTTGAGATTTTCATTGAAAATGGAGATCCTATTTCTTCTTTATAATACCAAAAGCTTGCAGGCGGTCTTTTGTGAAAAAATGTTTTTGAGTTTGGAGCCAAAAATGTTTCCCTCGGGAGGGAAGTGTTTTTTATTTTTCCGGAATTTGGCGTTTTTCTTTATTCAAAAACGAAAACGAAACGTAATGGGCCGTAGTTGGGCTTATTATTTGAAGGCTGATATGACCCCGTGTGCAATTAGCCCACACTATATATAAGACATATCTCTGATATCATATGAGTTTGCAAATAGAGACGGCACGAAAAATCTAATAATGATGTAACTTGGGATCTTTCGAAATAAAAATGCTTTCTGTAACCTCTTAAGTTTATGTCTGCAATAATGCTATAGAGTGGACTTATCCTTGGTTCAACGAACATCATGAGTTTGGCCTTTGACCCAAACCCAGATTTCCTAGGTGAAGTGCTGTAACACCCCACACAACCCTCCCCTACCATTGGACCACAACGATGCGGGCACCTCTTAAGTCTTAACTATGGACTTTTCATGGTCCCCGAAAAAGTCTTTGTTTTGATCAAGTTACTCGTTACATATCACATTGATCAATATGTTACTTGTTCAACCAATATTTATTTTGTCTTTCGCTTAATACTGAAAATCTTCATCAATATTTCGTAGTTTAACATTAAAGTTTCTTCGTAAAATAATGTGTAAGATTTAAGCTTTTAGAGAAGAAACAAAAAGGAGGAAAAGAAGAGAGATAAAAAGGAAAAGAAAAGGAAGAAAATGTTTTGTTTTTACAGCGGAGCTTGTCCGTGATGATTGGAGCTCGCGTCTTTTGTATCACGACAGCACTACAAAGATCATCAATCTTCTTCTTCCCCAAGATCTCGACCCGACCCGTTTACAGATTATCACCCGCAACTAGACCCGTCGTCGCCATGAGCACCACCACCAGCATAAACCAAGATGAACTTGATTCCATTTTCAAGCAGAAACGGGTCGTGCGCTCAACTCTGCGTAAATCCCTAAAAGCCATGGACCCTTCCCTCCGAATCCAACAAGGTTCACTCTTTTTTCTTTCTTCTCGTTTCCCTTTCTTTGTTTTCCCGAAAGAGATATTAATTTCCAATTATCTTTGATTGATTGTAGATGATGCCATTCAAAACACTCTTCTTGAAGCTCCTTGGTTCAAATCTTGTCGAAGACTGTGTGCTTACATTAGCTGCAAGTCTCTCAATGAAGTCGACACTTCTAAAATCCTCTCTCAAATTCTGCAACATCCTGGTACAATCCTTTTTAGAATTTCACTGTCATGACATTAATAAGATTTTCGAGCTCTCATTTGTACCAGTCAGAATTGAAAAAGGAAGCCCTTTTACATTTCAGTGACTAATTGTGATTAATGAATGGTTTCATGGCATGTGCCTTACTATTAGGACGAATGAGATTTGCATCTCTCTGTATGTTAACTGATTCCCACTTTCAATGCAAGCATCTTAGTTCATTCATTGCAAAGTGCTGTATCTCTATCACAGGAGGATGTTAATTAGTTTCTGAAACCAAAAAAACCCCAAAAAACCTTCAAATTGACCTTAAAGTTGAAATTCTCTAATCTTCTTTACGTAGACTTGTTCGATTACATTGATTTCTGTCATCAAAGTTTGCCGCTGTAACTCCAAGTCTTCTATGGTGTTTTAAAGAAATGTGCACTGAGCTTCCTCTGCCTTTTTTTTTGCTTTTTCTTTTTCTTATTTAGATCCAAATACAGTGGCACAGAAAAAGCTATATGTCCCTCGGGTGGAGGATAAGAACAGTAACATGTGTATGCTCCACATATCTCATATGGATGACCTAATTGCAAATTCGATGAACATTTTGGAGCCAGCTCCAGTTGATGCCCAAGGGAACAAGCGTGAAGATGGTAGTGCCTTTTTCTTCTATGTTCCCACCACTATAAGCTTCACAGAATCATTATTATCCTCCCGCGAGAATTGAAACTTTGTTTTTCTATGGACAGTGATGCAAGCAGATGAACCGATCGATCTATTTATCTTGCCAGGTACAGAGAAACCATTTCATTTCCATATATTTTTTTTTTCTTATCTCTGTTTCTAATCATCTTTTCTTTCCAAACCCTTTTGGCCAGGGCTTGCGTTTGACAGATGTGGACGACGTTTAGGTCGTGGGGGTGGGTAAGTTTGCAATAACTCAAGTTTTCTCTTCACCATAGTGCTGTAGATTCATATCTTTTAGCTACTAACATGAAAATAATAAGAATTTTTTTCCGTTGCATTACTTTGTTAAGGATACATCTGATTTTTCACTTCTTCTCTTACCTTTTGTAACCACAAATATTTTCATCCCTAAAGGATGTAATTGTTACTTGCAGTTCAATGCTTTCTCTGTTTTTCATGCTCTAATACAACTTGTTTATATGGACAACGAATCTGGGAAAAAGCTACTACGACACTTTCTTGAAGAGATACCAGGACCGGGCAAAGGAGAAGGATTGGAGAAATCCACTAATGGGTATAGACCACAATCAAACTGATACTACAGAATCTTATCAATAGAAAGCTAAGCCGATCACTGTTTTTTTTATCCTATTGCAGTTGCATTGTCTTACTCTCCTCAGATTCTTGAGGACGGAGCTATTCCTGTAACACCGAATGATGTTATGATCGATGCCCTTGTGACACCCTCTGGTGTGGTTCCCATTAGCCCTCGTGCTATCGAGAGGTGCGACATAACATGTTTTTAGCTGTCTATGAGATCTTCTATTTATGCTTTGACTATGTTGTATTCTCTCTGTTCCTAGAATGTGAGCTCAGGAGCTTGTGTTTGGAGGTGAAAGAGGACTTTTGCTAAAACAGCATCTGCTTCAGAATTGCCACAAATCATTTTTACGAAACATAGTTCGAGTCTTGTTCTTGATTGATAAAATATGAAAAGAAGTGTAATCCAAGGTTGTTGATTTCGAAAAGATCTCTCTATTCCACATCAAGTTTCCGTGTACGAACATGCTTTTTTTTTTTTTATACTCGAACAAACAAGCTTATCATATAGAAAAGACCTAAAGCTATCGCCAATGCTAAAAGGATCCAAGCATTTCAAAATTAAAGCTAACTGACAAAACAAGAATCTGGTTCAAGTTCTAGTCTCTTGGTTCTTGGGTCCTTTTTCTGAGCTTCGCTCATGAAAATTTATGTACTCAAATCTTTATTCAATATAAAAACAAAAAGTTAAAATACCAAAGTTGTTCTTTGTCACTAATGCATTACAACCATACATATATGAGTGTTTTACTTTTTTCCTCTTCCTTTCTATAATGACAAAACGAAAATAGGAAGGAGAACTAAGAGGAGCAAGAAAGCATGCAGACACCTGGCCTGTAAGCCCAGGCTGGAGGCAACCGAGCATATTTCTCCATCCCAGGCTGTTCCTCGTAAGGCCGTTTCATTAGGCGGATCAAATTGTTGACCTCTGAGAAATCGCCTTGTTCAGCTGCATCTATTGCGCTTTGGCACAGATAATTCCTCAGAATGTACTTTGGATTCACAGAATCCATTCTTGCTTTTCTTTCTTCATCTGATGTCTCACTACCACCCACCTACAATTTCAAATCCACACAAATAAACTCAGAGTTACATCAGCTAGGAAGATACAGGGAAATAAAACAACGTAACCGTAACTTTGTGGAAAGTAAAACTAGAGGTTAAGAAGAACTGAAGATGGAAGCTTTGGGGGGAAACAAATGTAAGAACAGAATTTGATACCTCCTGTATATAGCCTCGCACCCATTTGATCCATGCTTCTTTTCTTTCCTTTCCAATGTCCAAGAGCGCAGCCTTCAAGGGCTTCAACAACTCATCTTCGGGTGTGTTGGGGTTTGCTTTGACATTTGCAAGAAGCCGGAAGAAGTTTGTGTAATCAACTTTATCAACAGCCATATTATTCAGAAGTTTACTAATAATCTCCTTGTTATACTTGGAAAGACCAAGCTTCTTCGACATTATGGCTTGATACTCATCCATGAATTTATCACCGTACCTGAATCACGAGTCCCTCAACTACTTAGTACTTCCTAGCATAGAATCAAGAATAGTGAGAAACAAAGTTACCTCTCCATGGCGTAATTGGCCTCCTTTTCGTTTATCAGCTGAGCAACTGCCAGAGTCTTAGAAAATTGAGCAATATTCCACAAGCCGATGTCAGGCTGGTTTGCAAAACAGTATCTTCTCCCGGGGAGATCTGTCGTGTTTGGGGTGTAACTCGGATCAAAAGCATCCAAGAACCCAAATGGGCCATAGTCAATGGTTTGACCCAAAATGCTCATATTGTCAGTGTTGAGCACACCATGTGTGAAACCTACACCTTGCCATCTTGCGACTAAGGTAGCTGTACGCTCCGCAATTTCAACAATCCATGCTGATATGTTTGAAAAACCAGAAGAGTTAGTTCAATATTCGCCATTTATAACACCATTGGCAACAGCAAAGAGTAACATTAGTGATACAAATGTTGATGCTGATTCAGAACAGAAAGTAAAGGCATCTCATGCAGCATTTTGATGTATATTTCATTAGGAAATTACCTGCATACTTGTTCGATGTCAGATCCACAACCGAATCATCTTCATCGCCAGTTTTGAAAGATAAGCTATCGCTTCTGTTCATGCTCTCTATATGTGGGAAATGATGTCTAATGGCATAGTCTGCCAACTTCCGAACAATTTCGAGATCCTCTTTTCCTCGAGAAGCATGTATTTGGTATGAGCCAAAACGGAGAAACGACTGAGAAACTCTGCAAACGATTGCGCCAGGTTCTTCTTTCGGATTGCCACTGCAAACACATGATGCAAAACTAGTCAATCACCTAGAATCCTAACATCATTGATAAAATTAATTTCAAACTATTTGATACAGAGATAGAACATCACAAAAGAACAAGTTAGACAGGGTTTGGAAGATTTTGGACATACTCATAGAACATGTCGCGAGTGACATCTTGACCTGTTGTGAGAAGACAAAGGGCACGTGTGGTAGGGATTCCAAGACAATGCATAGTTTCACTGCAAAGGAACTCCCTGATGCTACTACGCAGCACTGCAAGCCCATCAGCGAAACGGCTATAAGGAGTCCTACCCGCACCTTTGAGCTGAAGTTCCCATCTTTCGCCTTTGGAGTTCAAAACTTCTCCAAGAGTTATGGCACGACCATCACCTAGCTGTCCAGCCCACATGCCAAACTGGTGTCCTCCATAACATTGAGCATAAGGCATTCTGTAGAAAAAGAGTATCAATAAGTGCGTTGGAGTTAAGAAGGTTGAACCTAACATCAGATTTTGGGTAAGGAATACGTACGATCCAGGCAAAGGTTTAGCACCAGACAGTAGGAGAGGGAAATCTGGCCTCTCAAATCTGAAAGTCCAACATAATTTTTTTAAGAGTTAAAAAAAGTCCCAGGTAGAAAGAGAAAGATAATGGGTTCAGAAATGGCAACAAATATATAAAATTCTAGCACTCTTAAAGCTTAAAATTCACAAAATGAAATCGTATTAGACGAAATGAACCAAATGCGTGAATTTCTTCGAATGAACTACAGAACGAAACCCATGAAGGTGAATTGGAAGCAATGGCATCAATAATAATCAATGCTCATCTACGTGCTATTTCTGTCTAAACCCGTGAACACCAAATTATCTTCTGCACTAAGCAAACTCACTCTTTAGGATCCAAATCTAACAGCTCTGCAACAGATTCAGACCATGCTACAAGCTGAGGATCATCTACTTCTACTGATGGCGAAACTTTTGAATAGCAAGCATGCAATACCTGCAAATTACAAGAAACAATCAAAATCTGGATGGCCGAGTGGATCAGCTCAAAGGGAAATAATAATGAGCAGATAAAGTAAATAATCCTCAATTTAGCCTTTAAACAACTATGCTCTAACAATACAAATGCAGAAATTTTCAAGTTTCGTAGTCTTCAAAAAAGCAATAACCACAAGGAAAATACTACAAAAATAAATTTTTAGCCTGAGTACAATCCACTCAACCAACAACTACAAATATCAACTTCGTGATTCCAGATTAAACCACGTAAAACAAAGTATTGGCAGACAAAAGAAAAAAAAATCAAATAAAGATATCTCCTCTTATCTCTGCCTAAAAAACCACAAAAATACCTCACGAGAGATAACATCGGTTCTCGGATCACCAGGCAATTCCTTAACAAAGGAGTGGTCCCAGTTAAAATCTTCGAGCTTCCGCTTGATCTTAGCACCTTCATCAACAGCTCCAAGAGTTTGATTCTGCAGATCTTTTGCTAATGAATCGGCGTCCGATGCGGTTACCGGCGTCGGAGACGAAGACGATGCCGGAAAGGATTCCATCCGACGGAAGGAAGAAGAAGATCGAGAAGGGCTGAATCGAAATTCTCGGCGAAGAGAGGGACAAAAAGGGAAATTTGCAGAGGAACTGAAGAGATGAAGCGGTCGGAGGTAGAAGAAAGACGACGGACACACACGCAACAACATTTCTTCCTTGCTTTCCCCTCTTCACATTTTTCTATTGCAAGTTTTGTTGAAATTTAATTTCGGACCGAACCGCCTTCCTTGGTTTGTCTTTTTCAGACCGGCTTAATCGAAACTATGTTTGGTTTAACTGATTCGACTTTGGTAATAAGTTTGCTTCTCCAGCATTATATTCCTTATTTTTTCACATGAATCACTTAGAAAATTTGATGATTTGATTTTTCATAAGGTAAAGGAATACGAATCTCGGCCGGATTTTCTGTAATTGTGATGCAAAGTATTGGTTTGAAAGCGTACCAAAAAATAAAATCAGGTTTAAGACAGAACCAAGAGATACGAGGTGAGACTGAAACGACAAATCTTGCCGTCGTTTGTGTAACTCAAACGAACCTATCAACTGGAAAAAAATTAGGGCACAATATTCTCGTTTCACGTCCGCGACTCATAGATCCCTCGGAAAATCCTTCACGGTTTGTCCAGTAATTCTGAATTCCGCGGCGTATTTTCAGCTTCCGGGAGATCTAACATTATCTTAACTTGAATTGGGCGTGAGGAAATTTCTTACTTTAGTCTCCCTTGTTCCGGTCTTCTGATTTATAGATTTGTCGTTTGCTTCCGCTCAAATCTATGATCTTTCGGGAGTAATTTTCTCGATGGAAAATTTTGGCTGATTGAAGTTTTCGAGAACAGATCCAGAGAACATTCTCGAAGAAGGTATTTGCTTTTTTGATCTTACATACTTATCTGTGCAATTTGAGTTTTGTTCATCTTGAGAGATATTGTTGGTGTGCTTCGTTCCGTCGGCAATTAGGGTTGATGAAAGTGTAGTCCTCGAATTGGAAATTCTTTTTTTTTTATTTCAGAAATTTAGCTGAAAGACGATTTCTTTAATGATTGTGATTGCATAAAACCACTTTCTTGATTCTTGGGATTTCTGTTGTTAGAAACCCATCAATCTGAGGGAGGGAACATGGTTTAGCTCGAGTTTAAGAATTGTGAGCTTGATTGTTCTATGAGTTACTGCGTTATGTGAAGGATTCATGGTTAACTTTTTCAACGAAAGTTCTTACTTTTCGTGCACTTAGAGTTTCCAGTTTTGACCTGAAAAGTGAAGGTCTTCGTTTGTTCCTGTAAAAAGTGAAAGTTTTGGCTTTTTCCTCCATTGAAACGTTATTTTTACTTGGTTTTGCAGCTCGTGCTTTGGTGCATCTAGACAGGTCTCGTACCACGTTTTGATTTCTTAGGTTCCCTGTGAAGAATCATCGGGAAAGGACACAAATGGATTACCGACCTTCTGATAGTAGTGGTGAGTCTTATGTTCTCTCAAAGATGTTCAATTGAGCCGTTTCTTAACTATCATCCTCTTAGTCTGTGTCCTCAGTCTCTCTCTTTCTGCTGTCCACAATTGGATATTCTCTTCTATTGTTATTCTACTTTACTGATTCTTTTTCTCGTATAGCTCTTAACTGGTTTACTATGTTTTGTTTGTATAATTGTATATGTTTCTATCTGTCTGTTGATATGTTATTTTCTGCGGGAACTCAGGTACAGATGATGACCTACCTCCATCACATCAAAGTAGATATCAAAGAAGTGGCAGACCTGCTGGTAATGGCAGGCCTTCAGTTCTCAATTCTGCTCCTTTATCAAGGGTGCACAATGACATGGAAACTCAAATTCATCTCATTGAGCAAGAAGCGTATAGCTCGATACTCCGTGCATTTAAAGCCCAGTCTGATGCAATTACCTGGGTACTAATTTACATGTCTTCTTCATTAATTAGTCCATGTTTATGTACCTTCGCCATCTAAGAAAACTTACCCTTCTTTCTTGTTCCTTTGGCTATATATTATTCAGGAAAAAGAAAGTTTGATCACTGAACTCAGAAAAGAACTCCGGGTATCTGATGAGGAACACAGAGAGCTGTTATCAAGGGTTAATGCTGATGAAATGATCAGGCGAATAAGGTCTGTTTTACATGTGACCAGTCGCTTATATATCTTTTCAATTAATCAAAAGCAGCTTTCTAGCTAATGAGGTTAATTTAAATAATGTCAGAGAATGGAGAAAGGCGAACGGCCTTCAGTCCAGTGTTCCACAGCTAGTTCATGATGCTGCTCCGAGTCCTGCTGTTTCAGGATCACGTAAGAAGCAAAAGACATCACAATCAATCGCTTCGTTAGCAATGGGCCCGCCATCTCCTGCTCTTCACCCCTCGATGCAACCATCTTCATCTGCGCTTAGGAGGGGAGGTCCTCCACCAGGTCCAAAGACCAAGAAGCCAAAGACAGTAAGTCATAATGCTGCGTGACTTTATAATTTACTCTTGTTCTTAAATTCTTCATTGACTAAGGGATGAAAATATTCCATCATTTTTGCTTGATGGAGTCGATGCAGTTCCCAGCTACAGGCATTGCTGGAAGGCCCCAGGCTGGCGCCTTAACAAATGAACCAGGTGAATCAGGATCATATGACCCGTTGATTGGAAGGAAGGTTTGGACAAAGTGGCCTGAGGACAACCATTTCTATGAAGCTGTTATTACTGACTACAACCCTGTTGAGGTATCTTATCTTTCATTCCATATAATAGTGTTTTAGTGCTAGATCTTCGCTTTCTGATATTATGTTTTTCCTGTTTCCAACACTGAAAAGGGGCGGCATGCTTTAGTGTATGATATTAACACCGGGAATGAAACTTGGGAATGGGTAAATCTCAAAGAGGTAATAATGATTTCAGTTTTTCTACTTCGTCTTTTTTACCTTTCATAGTAGTGCAGAAGATGACACTGCATCATAAAATTGGGAGAGACCAAGAAATATTGTCTTATTATATTGGTATATGTTCTCGATGGTTCTTTATTCGATATACGTCAATGAGAGGCTTGCTAGTTTTTAAAACAACAGCAATCTCTTTCGGGTCTCCACATTAGGAGAAGTTTTACTTGTTCACTGCCACCCAAGTTCAGTCCTGAATGATGATGAACTGCTTCATATGATTGATAATTTAGACTCAAAGAACGTCAATAAATGTATAAAATTTGTTGATTAAAACTGGTTAGTACCATACTTGTACCCATCCAGTATTTTCTCATCTGGTGGTTCAGTTACTTGTTTGCAATCAGTAAGGGACCGGGACAAAATTGTATAACTAGTGCTCAATTCTGTTCTTTTAAATGATTTTTTTCAAGAGCTCGTCTCATTCTTGGATACTGAATGTTCTTTCTATATATATCATAGATATCTCCGGGAGATATCAGATGGGAAGGTGAGGATCCTGGGGTTTCTCGTAAAGGAGGACATCCTGGGCAAGGCCGTGGAACAGCAAAGACCATGGCTCGTGGTGGTCCCACAGGCAACGCCGTGGGTAGAGGTAGGGGAAGCATGAAGACACAGCAACCCAAGGCACAGAATGGCATCGGGAAGAAAGCTTTAGGCGATATCGAAATACTCCACACTGATACACTAATAAAAGAGGTATCTATCATCCAAGTTTTTAGATCATGGGAATGAATGTTCACAATCGTTATCAGTCTGAGTATTACTTATATTACTATTTGTAACAGGTAGAAAAAGTTTTTGGATCAGTTAACCCCAACCCAGCAGAGGTAGAGAAGGCAAAGAAAGTGCTGAGAGTAAGAACCATATATTTGAATCTGGTCTTTTACTCCACAATATCATGAAAAGAGAAGCTGACTATAGTTGTACTTGGAAACGGTAGGATCATGAGCAAGCTCTTATGGATGCAATTGCGAAGCTCGAAGAAATATCAGACGGAGAAAGTGGTAATATATGATAGGGCTACCCTTCTAACTCTCCTCAGGTTCACATCTCTATCTTAGTGCTCTTAGATTTATGCGTCTGTTGAATTGAAGTTATAATGTGGCTGCGATTTTTTATTTGGCTAAAACGCAGATGATGGAGTCAGAGCATTGGACTGGCTAGAAGGTGTAGATGGTGGTGGCAATGTGAATTAATGAGGGAGATTTCGAAACTTATATGGGATGGCAAAATGTATTTTATTTAGGGAGATGATTTTTAATGACCTTTGTGTGCCACATAACTCCAATAACTGGATTTGGAAATTAGGGTCTTAAGCATTGTAAAATCCATCAGACTTCATATAAATGTAGAATGTTGCAGAGACGGGATGATGGGCAAAACACAACTCCTTACAAGGATGAGATAGAGTAGCTAAAAAATAGCATGTAGATGCTGAATTTAGATGTAAAAACGTAAGAAGATGCGGACGAGCTTTTTCTTGTTAATCAGATCATTGAATTTGAATGCCGAACTTTAATAAAATTTGATTAATTAGCCACGATTCCTTGTACTAAATTGAAAACTTCTATTTCTAATTTTTAAATGAAGGGAGTGAAGCAGATGTGAAACAGAAAGTTGAAATTATAACTGTGAAACTCATAAGATATTGTTAGTCCACTTACTCCATCACAATCAACGGAAAATAGTCTATCACAAGATCATCAACTCTCAAGGAACCCCTTTTCTGAGACTCGAAATGCTGGTGACACAGCTTTGCTGGGACTGAGACAGCATCCATGAACTTGGCGTGTGTTTATTTTTAAAGACCAGGGTTGCATCTCAAGTCTCAACCCCCTAATCTACTAAATTGGCTTTCTTGCTCTGGTAATTAGTCCTTTCTTAAGTATTAGTTTTAAACTTACAAATTGTTGAGTTTAATTCACAACTTAGCTATTTTAGATTTGTAGTGCACATCTCAAATAAATGGCGAGAAAAAAACTCAATCTAAGCTTGGAACAATTGTTCTCATTAACTAATAACGGAACACAGTCGGAGACTCGGAAACAAAGTAATACAATTTTCTCTGTTTTGGTTCTGTTTTTTTTTTCTTTTTGTTCTTTTCTTTCTTTAGTAAAGTTTTGGCTACATTACCAAACCGGTCTTTTGGGGTTTCACCTATTTGACAAATAAGATTACAATGTTCACAGGCCAAACTTCTTAGGCCTGAGGTACGTGGTGCCTTTTCTCAAGCCAGGACCTGACACCTGTTGCTGCTGCTTTGCCCTTTTCTGTTTCTCTCTCTCTTTGCTTCTGACCTCCGATTCTGCTTGATCTCTTCTCAGTTTCTCCATCTCTTCCTCCATTGCTGTTTTCTCTTCCTTCTGCTTCTTTTTATGCTCCAACATCGATGTATCCGAGTCCTTCACCGAGAAGAACATGGGCCCTAACTCAGCCAGCCAATGTGGCTCAACCGATGTAGCACACTGCATGTACTCCTTCGTGGTCAAGATCAGCTCATGGTACACCACATAATCCGGTGTGTATCCCAGACCGTACAGTGCACTGCTCGGATGCAAATGGCAAGGCATCCCAGTTCTACAGTTCACATACTCACCAACACCTTTTAATCTGGCTGAGTTATGGAAATACGCTGAACATATGGCTTTTCTCACAATATCCCAATCCGGTCCACACGACTTGAGTGGTATCTTCAGTTGCTTGAGGATATCTAGAAGCTGGGATCTTACTTCTCTAGCTTTTCTCAGACCTTTGACTTGCAGGTAATGGTCATTGCACCAGTCTCCTCTATAGTCGTGCTCTTTCCACTGCTGATACACATTCAGTAGCGTTAGATGATCGGATTCCGGCACGAAAAACTTCTCCCTTGCGGCATCGCTCTCTTCTGCTCTCTCTTTAGGTCTGAAGAACACTGAAGGTACTGAAAGCATTGACACGATCGTCAAGACCTCGTTTATGCAATCAAGCCGTTCACCCATTAAGAGCATCTTTGCAAGAGGTGGATCCAATGGGAACTCCACCATCTTCCACCCGAGATCCGTTAGTCCTCCAACATTGCTAAGAGCACCCAACACCCAAAGCTGGTACATAGAGTTGAGGATGTTCTCTTGTGGAGGTGGATCCATAAAATCAAAATCAAGCAAGTTGTCTATTTTCAGTGACTTCAACAACAAGACAACGTTACCCAGATTCGTTCGTTGAATCTCTGGCACGGGACTTGGCAACATCTCATTCAAATAAGCACTCTCTGTATACAGCCTGTAACATGTTCCCGGCCCTGTCCTCCCTGCTCTTCCTGCACGCTGATCAGAGGCAGCACGACTTATGGGGAAAACCTGAAGAGCATCCATACCCATTCTGGGATTGAAAACCTTCATCTTTCCATACCCCGAGTCAATCACATAATATATTCCATCGACTGTCAGTGATGTTTCAGCAATATTGGTGGCAACAATGCATTTACGAGCTCCATCTTCTGGTTTCTGGAATATTTTTGCTTGCAAATCAGCGGGTAACTGAGAGTATATTGGGAGAATCAGTAGGTTCGTGATTTCTCTGCTGGAGGATGCAATAAGCTGTTCCATTCTCTCCTTAAGTGAAAAGCATGCTGCTTCAATTTCATCTTGCCCGGTCATAAATATGAGAATGTCCCCAGGTGGGCTCGCTATGTGGATCGTCATTGCCTGTTTAACAGCAGCTTCAACATAGTCTTCACAAGGACTTTTAGAGTAGAGAATATTGACAGGGAAAGTCCTTCCAGGAATGTTGAATATAGGAACACTGCATTACCAAAGCAAAAACACTGTCACATAAAAATTCAACCTTTAGATTCAAAACTGGTTTGTGTGAAGGATGGTAAATTACCTCCCAAAGAAATTGGAAAACTTTTGAGCATTAAGGGTTGCTGACGTGACTATCAGTTTGAAATCACGACGCCGAGCCACAACTTTTTTTAGTATTCCAAAAAGTACGTCTGTGTTGAGTGACCTTTCATGCGCTTCATCCATCACCACCACACTATACAAAGTCCACAACACGGGTTAGCACAACATTCTACTTAAGCCGGTTTATAGTACGATCTATCACAGATAAGGTTGATGCATACATACCGATACTTATCCAGGTCGGAATCTTTGAGTGTCTCTCTCAGTAGCACTCCATCGGTCATGTACTGTAATTTCAAAGGGAAATATGGAGTTTCAGAAGAAAGTTTAAATGAATTGCAGATGCTAATAGCATGATAAGCCAAGCTTTACGTGGCTAACTAAACCAGAAATATAAGTAAGCAATACGGAGCTTCATTACTAGATAACACCCTTACCTTTATGACAGTGTTTGGACCAGTTACATCTTCAAAACGAATCGCATACCCTACTTTATCGCCCAACTCTGTTTCCATCTCTTCACTAACTCTCTTTGCAACACTCATGGCTGCTACACGCCTTGGTTGGGTGCAACCTACTATACCGTTTATAGTGTACCCATCCTCGTGAAGATACTAAAAAAAAGAAACAAATTATAAGTTCAATGTTTTAAATATTTCATAACTATGTATTAAAACATGGTTATGAAACGCCATAGAGTAAGGGAGCAACCTGTGTTAGTTGAGTGGTCTTCCCCGAACCAGTTTCGCCAACCACCACAATTACCTGGTTTTCTCTTACTACCTAGAGAATGCATTCAAAAGCAGATTAGTTGAAGATTACTAATTGGAGAAAAGGATGAGATCGAAAAACAGAACCCCCCTGAGGTTAAATTCCCAAAAATAAAGCTTATTATGAGTCTATGGCCCAACTTCCAAGGCCCTCAAAAGGAAAGACTACCAACCTGCAATAATTCATCTCTAACAGAAAATATGGGGAGATACTGTCGTTGCTCTGCCAAGGTTTTTGACATGGCAAAATCACTCACAGCTTCCCCCTTCTTCATATGTTGTGCAAATTTAGCCTCTCCTTTAAAGTCTACTTCACCTTCGTCACCAACTACAGCAGTATCGGCATCAATCTACAAGAAGATCACAAAGTCACAATATGTCCAACAACCACAGACAAGTAAAGTGAAAAAACCAACAGCCATGAGGTGCATTACCTGCTCAGCTGATTTTTCAACACCAAGGATATTACCAAGGTTAGATCCTGCAAGCTCCCAAAATCGCTGTCGTGATTTATGCATACTTTGTTTCTCCCGAATTTCTCTGACAAGGCCCGATCCTTTTCGTGAAATTATAGCCATATCTGATGTGGGATCCTTTACAGGCATTACTGGCTCCGCTTGCTTTGTGAAAACGACTCTTCCATCAAGAAAAGGAGGCTTCGTATCTGCAATTACCCAACAAATAGAATATTACTTATCTATGTTAAATATACAACGATTTTAACCTTGTCTCCTTATGGTTAACTTTGAGCTATTATAGTAGTGTACACACCGTGTACAAGAAGAATTGCTTTCCGTTCTTCTTCACTATCAAACTCAGTCTGCACTTCTGTGCCTCTAACAGCTCCAGATCTGAGAAGCTGACGGTCTTCCCACTGAGCATTATCTGCATTAAGCTGAGAGTATTTTTTACTCTGAGCAAGTGACATTTTGCTACCGTCCCTTCTAACCTGCATTATAGATATTATAAAATATTTAATATCTGAAGTCAGAATACCAAGAAAAGAAGGTTTGATGCATTGGACAAAGAACATCATGTGATACTGCTATTTCAGCATAACTAGAATCCAAAATTACATAATCAAAACAACATAATTTAGCTGACGTAAACTCAATCAAGAGCAGTGAAAGGAGATGAAAAAATTAATGCTTCAGCCAGAATGAATTTAAACTAGATCATTAATGCGAGAAAGACACCGAACAGCCTAGCCACAGATAGGAGATATAAGCAGCATCAAATAAAAAAATCATAAAGGAAGAGTGTGTAGTTGGTATAGAGAAATACCAGTCTTTTTGCCAGCTCGGCTTCCTTCTTTTGTAGAGACGCATCATCTCCAAGAAAAAAGGATGCACTATCTGCATCAAACAGTGAGTTCCCTTCGTCCGTATCATACCTGTTAAATGACAATAATTTAGTTCATAAAGGCTATATAAAACTTGGAAATGGTTTGAAAATTAACATGAAGAGTGAGACTATGCTCTCACTCATAAAACATTATTGATTTTCCAATGCTTACTTTCCAGCCTCTAAAGGAAATTAAATACTTACCATGCAAGGTCCGAGTGATATTCCATCTCCAAACGCATTTTTTCTGTGATCTCAGGGTTATATTCTTCAGCTCCTTGCGATCTATCCTCATCTGGATGCCCCTATAGAATGCATAACAACATGTGGCACATCTATTACTAAAAAAACCAAACAATGTTCTTCAAGCAAGCCTGATAAGGACTTCTCAAAAGACAGGAAACAAGACGGGAATTCAGATCTATCTGATAACAAGTGGCATGACCTTGGGTGCACAATCCCAACTAAGAATGCTTACCTCCTCAGTCAGATCACCTTCCCTAGAGTGTGCAAGTTGATTGGATCTTCCACCATACCTAGAGCTTGCGGATCTGATAGAGGACCCAGAAGCCCGGATTGGAACAGGGGAAGGTGCACCAATATCCCATGGAGAAGCAGAAGACACTGCATGTGAATAAGGACATGGTAATAAATCCGGTTGTTAGTCTTAGCACGTCGATGCAGCTAAATAAAACCAGCTTACAAATAATAAAATTCAAACACAGCATACTTGTTAAACGTGGTGTATCCAGCCACGGGGAGGCTAAACGAGCATCTGGTGAAGCTGCAGCTAACATGGGTGACGGGGAAGGCTGATGTCGCTTGCTGTAACTAGAGTCTCGATCTCCGTGTGGACTATCTTCCCATTCCCATTTTCCATCATCCCAGTCTGACCTACCTGCACGATTTTGTGTTAATAGCCATTGAAAGGGTCCAATAAGAGTTGTGTTGGTGACACTTATGAGGATAAGAGAACAAAACTTTGAAAGTAGAACAATAGTAACGAAATAAATAAATTGATATCTTTTTGAGCTTCTACAATATATTGCATACCTGGAGTTCTCCTATCGCTACTGCATCTTCCACGCTTTTCTCCGTGATAATCTCGGTTAGCTTGGCGATAGGACTCCCTCCCTCGGTAGCGATCCATCTCATCATAGGTGTTTCTCTGCCTTGACCGCGGGGTTTCACTTTTATCATACCTATGTTCTTTTCGATATCTGATGCTATCATCTCTCTCATATCTAGCAGTGCTGGATGAACTCCTGGGAGTCATGGAAACCTTCATTTCAACAGGTGGAAGAAAGATCAGAATACTAAAATTCAAGTTTCAAATACTAATAAAAATCGGCTAAGTAATTCGAAAAGATAAATAACCCGAGGCAAAACGACGATTTCATTATTTGGATGAAGTTGACTTACATCTGAAGCCGCAGCATTCTCTGTAGTCACGGTACTTTCTGCAATACAAAAAAAAATGTCATAAGGCATAAACAAAAAGCTAATGACGGTGGTATTCCAACATTATACTTCAGCTCACAAAGAGGAATCAAAAGTATAATGCGAGTTTTCTCTTTCCAAAATTCTTCCATGCATAGAAGGATGCTGAATGCATAACTGTATCAGCTTAGAAAACCTTGGATTAACTAGGAAATCACTGTAATGTAAATACTCATTAGAAAAAGTACCTTCCGCAGTCTCAGATCTTGAAGATTTCTCTCTATAGCGTCTGCTGGAATGGTCATGTAGAGTATTTCCTGCTCCAAAATCTGATCCTGATACATCAGATTTATCCTCTTCATCCAAAGATGCTGTAACAGATATTGTTGGCTTCTTGGGGACCTTAAACTCCGCCTCGGACTTGCCATTCTCCCTCTTCTCAATTGCCCTAACATCGAAACCTAAAGGCATATATCCAGTGGGTTACAGAAGAGTTAAGCTGAATACATCTATCAATTGGATTGCAATTGTTACAAATCTCAATTCATACCTAGACGGGACTTTCTCTCAGGAGCTGTAAAAGTTAGTTTATCCTTCAGAGGGAGATCACCGCCGGTTTCCTTCTCAGCTTCTAACGTGTCCGTGGTTTTGAATGGATCGACCTATATCAGAACTATACAATTAAGGCTTGTACACAGCACGTTCCTCAAAAGCAAAGCAACCTAAACCCGAAAATAGCAAAAACACAAATTTAATTATTCCTCGAGACTTACCCCCATATTTACTCAGTGGACGAATTTCGTCGATTTCAGCTCAAAACCTCTAATAGTCACAATCTGTCCCGGAAATTAACAACACACAGCTTCCTCGTGCGTTTTTCTCGGCGAGAAAACGACTCTGCTGGGAAGAATTACTTTCCCTTCCTTAGAGCTTCGATTCCTTCACCTCCTATTAGAGCGTGAGGTAGCGATTCCAGGAGCTTTTTCTGGATATCCAATTATAACAGTGCGAACTCCTTCTTCGGGTTAATCATTCATACATAAATCGCTCCAAAGTCGGTCTTTCGAAGGCGTGGAGGAGAGGGATAAATTTGGGAACTGTGAAAGTAGCAACACGATCGGAAAAAATATGACGAGCGATCACCGCCGGTTAGGTTACACACGCTTAACGCGATTCGATACGCGCGTGGGATAATTTATTATTAATATAAGTTTTGAATGAGAAATAAGTTTTCCTTATGGGCCGATTGTTTTATATATGGGCCTTTCACATTAACGGGTTTATGTGTTTTCTCTTTTGGTCGGCGATTTATGAAGACCGACGTAAGTTTTGTAGTCATTTTTTCCACAATAACCAAAACTTTCCCATGTGGTCAATCAGTCAAAAACCGAGTCAACTGTTGTTTTCTCTGCGAGCACTGCTTTGACATAAAGATTATGACGTAAAGAGACTAACTATAACGAGTCACATACTATAACGCATTTTTAAGTTAATTTCCGGAAATTATTGTTAGCTGCGGAGTTTCTATAACTTGTGAATGTGATTATTGTAAGCTGCGGAGTTTCGATAACTTGTGAATGTGGAAAAAGTATGATGTATGCAACGTAAGTGTTTCTAAAAGAGTATGATTAAGATTGATATGTTCCTTTAAATATTCACCGATTACATGGATCTAAAATATATTTCTTTCTTTATGCGTTTATTCGAGTTTATAAAAAAAAAAAATTGTTTTCTCATTCGAATGGAATGGCTAATGGCTCTTATCTGGTTTGAGTTTGAGGCATTGGTCCTCAAGGCAATTGAACCACAAAAATATAACAATATATAACAAAAAGCAGTATATAAATAATTCCATCAGAGTTCATAACCGTAACATTGTCCCCAAAATGATTGCTCACGTAACATTTTAGACATTTCGAATAGAAATATTATTTTTAGTTAAATTTTTATTAAGACTGCGACAAATCCTCAGATCTTGTTATTATCTAAAGAAAATCCTCAAATGTTGTTAAGAAAAACGAAAGAAACGGTAAAAATATTGTTGAAAAGAAACGGTAAATTATTTTTCAAAAGTATTGACGAGTCGTATGAGGTCAAAGAAGCCATTCAAGTTTTTGGAAACGGCTTACTTTTTTTTTATCGGAATCTCGACTTTTTTGAAATTCCAATTGCCCTTACAAAAACACCCTCTCTTTTCAGAAGTATTACGTTCTTTGTCTTGTCTCAATGAAAAATTGGAGGGACCTTGCTCCAAGACAAATCCGAAAATACCCCAGGATCGAGTGTTCAAACTTGTGGTATTACTGTAATTTAATCAAAGATAGAGCCTCTTTGCTGACACGAACTCCGAAAGTGTACCTTTTATATATATTTTTTAATTTGTTTTCCATTAAAGCTGTGCTAAAAAAGGAAGAAAAACACAAAAAACATTCATTCAGCCCCCACAGGATTTATCTCTCTCTTTCTCCCACTTCGCGTACTTAGCAGCTAAGTAGCTGAAAGTTGAGCTGCTTCTCTTTCTTCCTTTGCTCCTCCATTGTTAGGGTTTCGGGATCTCTCTATCTCTCTCTGGTATGTTCATTCCAATGTCCCATCCCTGCTCATTGTTAATATCACCTTGTTTACCTCTGTCCTCTAATGAGTTGTTTTTGTTTCAAGGAGGCTTAGGAACCTTTTAATACAGCTTATCCTGGAGGTTTAGATTAGGAGTAATGTCTGCTTCAAGAGGAGGTCCTGATCAAGGACCATCCCAGCCTCAGCAGCGCCGGATCATACGGACTCAGACTGCTGGTAATCTCGGAGAATCATTCGATAGTGAAGTTGTCCCGTCGTCGCTTGTTGAGATTGCCCCTATTCTCCGTGTTGCTAATGAGGTTGAATCTAGCAACCCAAGGGTTGCGTATCTCTGTAAGCACTCTCCCATTTCTTTTATTTTTGGCTTGTGATTTGCTTCTACTGCTTCTTTTGTTGTTAATCTGCTTTCTGGGGATTTTTGTTGTTCTTGCTCTCTCCCTTAGGTCGGTTTTATGCATTCGAGAAAGCTCACAGGCTGGATCCCACCTCCAGTGGAAGAGGTGTTCGGCAGTTTAAGACTGCGCTTCTTCAGCGTCTTGAAAGAGTGAGCATTTCTTAATCACCCTGCTTAGCTCGTGCATGTGGCAGATTTGGGAAGCTACTGATATTTTTAGGAAGAACTCTTGGTTTTAGTACTTCTCGTTTAACAAATGTTCACTACCGTTTCTTGAATTTTTGCAGGAACATGATCCAACACTGATGGGCAGGGTTAAGAAAAGTGATGCCCGTGAAATGCAAAGCTTTTACCAACATTACTATAAGAAGTATATCCAAGCTTTGCAGAATGCCGCTGATAAGGCTGACCGGTTCGTCTAAACCTTCTTTAAAATTTCTTTGTTTTAACTGTTTAGATGCCAGTTAGTGTTCTCTCAGTGTTTGAAAGCACCAAATTCATTAGCTGATGCGTTACTTGCTGTTCATTTCCAGTGCTCAGCTGACAAAGGCATACCAAACTGCCAATGTTTTGTTTGAGGTTCTGAAGGCTGTTAATCTGACACAGTCTATTGAGGTTGACCGGGAGGTAAGGCATTGTGACTTTTTAGTCATGTCTCTATTTAGTATATTTCCTTATTTATCTTTTTTTTTCCATCTCTTGTGAAACGTTACAATGAAGTTTGTTGTTCCCAGATTTTGGAAGCTCAAGATAAGGTTGCAGAAAAGACACAGTTGTATGTCCCCTATAATATCCTACCTCTCGATCCTGATAGTGCAAATCAAGCCATTATGAGATATCCTGAGGTTAGTCCTCTTTTTCCACTGTGGGCACTGTTATATATCAGTAACATGTTATCAGCGGTTAATGTGATCCTTACTGCAGATCCAAGCTGCCGTTCTTGCTCTTCGCAACACTAGAGGGCTTCCTTGGCCAGAAGGTCACAAGAAAAAGAAAGATGAAGACATGCTTGATTGGCTTCAAGAAATGTTTGGATTTCAGGTAATTTTGCTAGTTCGGAGAAATTCCCAATAAATTCGTAAATGGTGTGTCATAAAGACAATGCGACTAAATTTTGGAGCTCTTGATCATATTACCTGCTAACATGCATATTGTATGCGTATGTTATGGTTCTGCAGAAAGACAATGTGGCTAATCAAAGGGAGCACCTGATCTTATTACTTGCTAATGTGCATATAAGACAGTTTCCCAAGCCTGATCAGCAGCCAAAGGTTTGTACCTTAATTCTGGCATTTGTTGAAAGACCCCTTTTATATAAATGTGGTGTGTCTATTGACGAAAACTTCCGTTTTATCCTTTAGTTGGTCATTTTTCACAGTTTCTTTTTGTCTTATTTCACTTTGATTTTTTTCCAGCCGAGGAGTTTTCTTTGCAATGTGTTTTTTTTTTTTTCCCCCATGGAAGTTACATATCTTTTGATAATATCTAGTACATGTACTTTCAAGTCCTTTGGTTTGTTCTCATTATGGCAACCCATTGTCCTCCCACAGTTAGATGATCAAGCGCTGACAGAAGTGATGAAGAAGCTCTTCAAGAACTATAAGAAATGGTGCAAATACCTTGGTCGAAAGAGTAGTCTATGGTAAGGGAATCTTAGACACGTCACCTATACTTGATTCTATTTAGTTTTTGTGTAGTCTCCATGAGCGGGGAATCAATTTTTTTGTTTGTGGCTAAATGTTTATGCAAACTCTGGTGTCGAGAATCTTTAAACAAACCTGTTATAACGTGTTATCTGCTTGTAGGTTGCCAACTATACAGCAGGAAATGCAACAGCGCAAACTATTGTATATGGCTTTGTATCTTCTGATCTGGGGTGAAGCAGCGAACTTGAGATTCATGCCAGAGTGTCTCTGCTACATTTATCATCATGTATGTTTCAGCTTGCACAGTCTTCTGTAGTTTATGCGTGATTCTTGTCTTTTTGTACTCGTCCGTGAGTGATAATATGCTTTACTGTCATTTTTTAATCTTTGGATGTGTTGTCTTTGCTCGTTTATTTTTCCGTACTCATTGATGTATTTCTCATGATAAAGTGCCAACTGATGTGTGTTTCATTAGAAATTAGAATTTTGTTACAATACAGCGATTGCCGATGAGTATTGCTTTTAAATATACACTGAATATGTGCTGAATTATACGTTCCTGAATGTGGTGTTTCTTACCTCCTGCCCCATCTCATGGTTTTGCAGATGGCATTTGAACTCTATGGTATGCTGGCTGGGAATGTTAGTCCCATGACTGGGGAAAATGTGAAGCCAGCTTATGGAGGCGAGGAAGACGCATTCTTGAGGAAAGTTGTGACTCCTATTTATGAAGTGATTGGCATGGTATGGCTTAAATTATGAGTTTTTCCTTCTGCTTTCAGCATTTTTCTTGCTTGTTAATATCGTTACTTACGTAATCGTACCATTCGCAGGAGGCTCAAAGGAGCAAGAAAGGGAAGTCCAAGCACTCTCAGTGGAGGAACTATGATGATTTGAATGAATACTTTTGGTGATATATCTATCTACCCGCTTTCACACAATCGTAACAGTCTGAATAAGTGGTTTTTAATGATTAGTTTTACATATGGTTTTCTATATTGCAGGTCAGTTGATTGTTTCCGATTAGGCTGGCCTATGAGAGCTGATGCTGATTTCTTTTATCCACCTGTTGCTGAGCTCAATACAGAAAAAGAAGGGGTACACTATGACTACACCTCTTCTCTGTTCTTTTCTACACTTGTTTTTTTTTTTGTCTTTTTGGACTTTGCTACACAGTTCTAGTTTTCAGTTAGTGTAAATTTTGATTCTAGGAACTCTTATCTCTTGCTGCTGAATTTTTCTATCAGATAATTACTACCACTTATTACGTCTTTTTTTTTTTCTCTTCTTTTTGTTACTCTATATCACAGGATAACAGCAAGCCTGCTGTTGCAAGGGATAGATGGGTCGGGAAAGTTAATTTTGTTGAGATTCGTTCCTTCTGGCATGTCTTCAGAAGTTTCGATCGAATGTGGAGCTTCTATATTCTGTGCCTTCAGGTATTACTTTCTCCTAATTGTCATTGCTCCTCTTTATGCGTATTCCCACAAGATTTGACGCTGATGATAAAATTTGGAAGGCCATGATTATTATGGCTTGGGATGGTGGAGAACCAAGTTCAGTCTTTGGAGCTGATGTTTTCAAGAAAGTTCTGAGTGTGTTTATCACAGCTGCAATAATGAAGCTTGGACAAGGTCGGTCATGTCGTTTTTCAATACTTTCATAAGTTTACTTGAGTGACGAAACCTCATCTACGAAAACTGTCTGTGCAGCTTCTCTTGATGTGATCCTTAATTTCAAAGCTCATCGAAGCATGTCACTACATGTTAAACTAAGATACATCCTGAAGGTGCTCTCTGCTGCAGCATGGGTTATAATTCTGCCTGTTACTTATGCCTACAGCTGGAAAGACCCTCCAGCATTTGCCAGAACTATCAAGAGTTGGTTTGGGAGTGCCATGCATTCACCTTCACTATTTATAATAGCTGTCGTTTTCTATTTGTCCCCTAATATGCTCGCGGGCGTACTGTTTCTTTTCCCTCTGCTACGTCGGTTTCTTGAGAGGTCCAACTACAGAATTGTAATGCTAATGATGTGGTGGTCTCAGGTATTCCTCTATTCACTCACTTTATTCATAAGTGATGGAAAGTAATCATCAGCTCGTAATGTGTATTATTGCTGATGTGACCATAAATAACCGAATTTTATTCCACCTTGTAGCCCAGACTCTATGTTGGCAGAGGAATGCATGAGAGCGCATTTTCCCTCTTGAAGTAGGATTTCTAATTTTAACACATACATCATTGGCTTTTATTTACTGGTGTAAGCCTGGATCCTCAGTTATGTCTTTCTACCTTTTCTTTCGTAGATATACCATGTTCTGGGTGTCGCTTATTGCAACAAAGCTAGCATTCAGTTACTACATTGAGGTACGTGTTCATTATATCTAGTTTGGTAACCATTAACTGCATGCTGGAGAAGAGTACCACAATTGTTGGATTCTGATAAACTTGCTTCGCTCACAGATCAAGCCTTTAGTTGCTCCAACACAAGCCATTATGAAGGCCCGTGTGACTAATTTTCAGTGGCATGAATTCTTTCCTCGTGGTAATGCACTTTTCACACACACTACATGATTATTGGAATGAAGATATACACTATTTCTTCCTCACACCATCTTTATTTTATCTGTCCAGCCAAAAACAATATTGGTGTCGTTATCGCGCTCTGGGCACCTATTATTCTGGTAAGCATGGTGATGTTTAACTTGTCTCCACGTCTTCCCCTGCTTTGTGGTGTTGCTAATTTTGATTTTGGGTCCATCCCACTGTAGGTATACTTTATGGATAGTCAGATTTGGTATGCCATATTTTCCACATTATTTGGAGGTATATACGGTGCATTCCGCCGCCTTGGAGAGGTATACTCTTTTAAGATAATCCAAGTTATATGAAATTTTGACCTTGAGAATTCCCTTTTAATTGTCAGTGATGATCCTTAAATCCTTACTTTTTCAACTGTTACAGATTCGTACACTGGGAATGCTTAGATCACGATTTGAATCACTGCCTGGCGCTTTTAATGACCGCTTAATTCCGGATGGAAAGAATCAGGAAAGGAAGAAGGGATTAAGGGCAACTTTGTCTCATAACTTTACAGAGGATAAGGTTAGTTGAACCGAGTGAACTGCTATTTACTTCGTGTGTACTGAATATTTAATCGTGTGTACTGAATATTTACTTCAGGTACCTGTTAACAAAGAGAAAGAGGCTGCAAGATTTGCACAGCTGTGGAACACAATAATCAGTAGTTTTAGAGAGGAAGATCTTATAAGTGATAGGTAAATTTTGTATGCCACTTACCAAGCTGAGAGAAACTATGTAAAACTCAAGATTTTGAACTATCGTCTTACATTTTGGACTTTCTTAGGGAGATGGATCTATTGCTTGTTCCGTATTGGGCTGACCGTGATTTGGATCTCATACAGTGGCCTCCGTTCTTACTGGCTAGCAAGGTTTGTTCTCACATAAACACTAATCTTTAGGATAATCTAATTTATTATATTTTGCCGTAGATTCCAATAGCATTGGATATGGCAAAAGACAGTAATGGGAAGGACAGAGAGCTCAAGAAGAGAATTGAGAGTGACTCTTATATGAAATGTGCTGTCCGTGAGTGCTATGCTTCATTCAAGAATATCATAAAATTTTTGGTTCAGGGAAACCGTGAAAAAGAGTAAGTTGGGTTAAAGTTGTTGGAACCATAGCGTTGGAGTACTTGCTTTTGTTTCATACGTATGTGCTTTTGATTTTGATAATAGCAACTTATCACACTGTATTATAACCAACTTATATCTCTTTGTCTCAGAGTGATAGAGATTATATTTTCCGAGGTCGACAAACATATAGAAGCAGGTCATTTAATTCAAGAGTGCAAGATGAGTGCTCTTCCTAGCCTCTATGACCACTTTGTCAAGCTGATCAAATATTTGGTAATGTTCTCCTTGTGGTACTGTTTCTTCTTTAGTTCTTTTTTTTTTCATTTATTTGACTCTTGATCCAATATCTTTGTTTTCTTATCTCATGTAGCTAGACAATAAGGTGGAAGATAGAGATCACGTTGTAATTCTCTTCCAAGACATGCTGGAAGTTGTAACAAGAGACATTATGATGGAGGATTACAACATATCGAGGTTGGCAAGTTTCTTGTGCAATATATTGTCATATGAATATCAAATTCTTATGTATCAGTTGTCTCTGTAGCTTGGTAGATTCGAGTCATGGTGGCACTTGGCATGGGGGAATGATCCCGCTCGAACAACAGTATCAGCTGTTTGCATCTTCAGGTGCCATTAGATTTCCTATTGAACCAGTTACAGAAGCTTGGAAAGAGAAGGTTGTGTCAGCTTGGGTTATTTATTAGTTATATTCCTTCAGTCTTCATTATCATTTCTGCTCAACATTTTAATGCCTGTACGTACAGATCAAACGGCTGTATCTTTTGCTGACTACTAAAGAGTCTGCCATGGATGTCCCCTCTAACTTAGAAGCAAGAAGGCGGATCTCTTTCTTCTCAAATTCATTGTTCATGGACATGCCTACGGCACCTAAAGTTCGCAACATGCTATCATTTTCGTAAGCCTTTTCTGGTCATTTTTATATATGAATCCATCACCTCGGAATTTGCATGCTCACATATTGTTGGAGGAGTTGATAGTGGGAAGTTGATAGTTTCCTCAAGTTTATTCACGTAAAATCTTAGATATGAAACTGTTGTATCATGATGTCTATTGCTATTGGTTCATAATTCTAATGAAGTACACTGTAGTTTTTCGTAACTAAACTGGCTGGGCTTTTTCTCTTTGTTATGCGTATTGTAGTGTATTGACTCCATATTACACTGAAGAGGTCCTCTTCTCCTTGCGTGACCTGGAAACACCAAATGAAGATGGTGTTTCGATCCTCTTTTACCTACAAAAGATTTTTCCAGGTTAATTTTGTTTATAGTCTGTTATGGTTGTAGCCTAAATTCTTGAACCACGTCTTGAACCTGACCTTTTATCTCTAGATGAATGGAACAATTTTCTTGAGCGGGTGAAGTGCGTAAGTGAAGAGGAACTTAAAGACTTTGATGAATTAGAGGAGGAACTTCGTTTATGGGCTTCATACAGGGGGCAAACTCTGACTAGAACTGGTATGCTGTTTTTGTCATTTTCTATCTGGCGAAAGATTAAATGGACAGATGGATATTTGTTGTTAATCTTTTAATATTTTTGCAGTAAGAGGAATGATGTACTATCGAAAAGCATTGGAGCTTCAGGCATTCCTTGACATGGCCATGCACGAAGGTATTCTTCTCTAATTTATATTATACGAAATAGGGGCATTGATTAATGCCCACAACTTGTTGTTAATGCTGACTCATTCTAAACTTTGCTTCTCCAGATTTGATGGAAGGTTACAAGGCTGTAGAACTGAATTCAGAGAACAATTCAAGAGGCGAAAGATCACTCTGGGCACAGTGCCAGGCTGTTGCCGACATGAAGTTTACATATGTTGTATCATGTCAACAATATGGTATCCATAAACGATCCGGTGATCCTCGTGCACAGGATATATTAAGGCTTATGACAAGGTGTGCAGAATCATCCTATTTTGTTGTCTTTTTTAACTTGTTTGAAACTTATGGCTTTACTTACAATTGGCAGATACCCTTCGCTCCGTGTTGCATATATTGATGAGGTCGAAGAACCAGTGAAAGACAAGTCAAAGAAAGGGAACCAGAAAGTGTATTATTCTGTGTTGGTAAAGGTGCCTAAATCAACTGAATCCAGCCTAGCGCAAAATCTGGACCAGGTGATGCAAAGTAGTCAATAAACATTTGTCTCAAGTTCTAGAATGTGCAGTTTATTATATTGTTGAATTTATTCTTGCACCTGTAAGGTAAACTCGCCCAGAAGGTGTTGTTAGTGCTGTTTTTTTTTACTGATTTTTTCTTAGAGTAAGTGCCGAACATGGAGTCATACAAGGATTAGTTAAATGGCAACCTAATGTTATACACCTGCGTTAAGTCATACATATTTTTGCCTCTAGGAAACATACTTCTTTTCGCCAAATTTTCCTGTTATACATGCTATCTTGTGTTAGAATACCTTCTTGTTTTGACTTGATTCTTACATGTATCAAATTTCTCTGCCTTCTAGGTTATCTACAGAATTAAGCTTCCTGGACCTGCTATTCTTGGAGAGGGAAAGCCAGAAAACCAAAATCATGCTATCATTTTTTCTCGTGGAGAGGGTTTACAGACAATCGATATGAATCAGGCATGAACTTGTTATTTTCGCTCAACCTTCTAGTTATCTCAATGCTTGAAGCTGATATTAAGTTTCCCATGATGCACTTTTTTCAGGATAATTACATGGAGGAAGCCTTAAAGATGAGAAATTTGCTTCAAGAATTTCTTACAAAGCATGATGGTGTGAGGCATCCGTCCATTCTTGGGCTCAGGGAACATATATTTACTGGATCGTGAGTATTTCAGCATTTCCATTTATTTTACGGATTTGTTTCTATTTAGCCTAATGAAAATTGGATATCTCTAAGAACTATTGGTGTTAACACTTCGCAGCGTTTCCTCCCTTGCTTGGTTCATGTCAAATCAAGAGACTAGTTTTGTTACCATTGGTCAGAGATTACTGGCAAACCCTTTGAGGTAAGTATGTTTGCAGAGATCGACCGTAGTGATAATTGCACATGATTTTATTTGTTGTCATTCCCAAATCATATTGTTCTCTTGCTCCTATGTAGGGTTCGTTTCCACTATGGTCATCCAGATGTATTTGATAGACTGTTTCATCTAACAAGAGGTGGTGTTAGCAAAGCATCCAAGGTAATCAACCTCAGTGAAGACATATTTGCAGGTATATTCTACTCTTGCGGAGGAATATCTTTTTCTTTCATTGACTCTAAGTGATGTCCTCGCTTATGGATTGCTGGTGATGTGTATTGAGCAGGATTCAATTCTACACTTCGTGAAGGAAATGTTACTCATCATGAATACATACAAGTTGGTAAAGGAAGAGATGTTGGTTTAAATCAGATCTCTATGTTTGAGGCCAAGATTGCTAACGGCAATGGAGAGCAGACATTGAGTCGTGACATTTACAGGCTTGGACACCGTTTTGACTTTTTCCGTATGATGTCATGTTACTTCACCACTGTCGGCTTTTACTTCAGCACCCTGGTACTGTTTCGTTCTGTTTTGGTTAAACCAAGTATCACACGACCAGTTCGGATCTGATTGATTTTCTACTGTTTTCGCAGATTACCGTTCTCACTGTCTATATCTTCCTTTATGGACGTCTCTACCTTGTTTTGAGTGGGCTCGAACAAGGACTAAGTACACAGAAAGGCATCCGAGACAATACACCGTTGCAAATAGCTCTTGCTTCACAGTCTTTTGTTCAGATTGGTTTCCTGATGGCTTTACCTATGCTTATGGAAATTGGATTAGAGAGAGGTTTTAGGACTGCCTTGAGTGAATTCGTGCTGATGCAGCTTCAATTGGCGCCAGTGTTCTTTACGTTCTCTCTTGGGACGAAGACTCACTACTATGGAAGGACTTTACTTCATGGTGGTGCCAAGTACAGGTCGACAGGCAGAGGTTTTGTCGTCTTTCATGCCAAATTCGCTGATAACTACAGGCTCTATTCCCGGAGCCATTTTGTAAAGGGGCTTGAGATGATGCTGCTACTTGTTGTGTATCAAATATTTGGAAGTGCTTACAGAGGCGTACTTGCATATCTTCTGATCACCATATCTATGTGGTTCATGGTCGGGACTTGGCTTTTTGCTCCCTTCCTCTTCAATCCTTCTGGTTTTGAATGGCAGAAAATTGTTGATGATTGGACTGACTGGAACAAATGGATAAACAACATTGGTGGTATTGGTGTCCCGGCAGAGAAAAGTTGGGAATCGTGGTGGGAAGAAGAGCAAGAACATCTCCGATATTCCGGAAAGCGTGGCATAATCGTTGAGATTTTGTTATCCCTGCGGTTCTTTATCTATCAATACGGGCTTGTTTATCATCTCACGATTACGGAGAACACTAAAAACTTTCTGGTATGTAACAAAAACCTTTCAGGACTTCAGCTTTCTTCTCTATTAGGCTCTTATTGTCGCTTCATTCACTAAATCCCTTCTTAACTCAGGTTTACGGAGTATCGTGGCTGGTGATTTTCTTGATATTGTTTGTGATGAAGGTGCGTTTTACATGATACAATGATATATATCATTCTCTTGTTAATTACAGGGATATCCTCAATAATAATAAAATATCTTTTGTCTCAGACTGTTTCTGTTGGAAGGCGGAAATTCAGCGCTAGTTTCCAGCTGATGTTCCGGCTGATAAAGGGGCTAATATTCATGACATTCATCGCAATTATTGTGATATTGATCACTCTTGCTCACATGACGATACAAGACATAATTGTATGCATCCTTGCATTTATGCCTACAGGCTGGGGCATGCTCTTGGTAAGTAAAAAACAAAAAGCAAACTTTCTAGTTGGAAATGAAATGTTGTGTGTGGATAAAAAAACAAGGCAACAATCTGGTGTGTGTTTTGTGTTTACAGATTGCGCAAGCGTGTAAGCCTCTGGTACATAGACTAGGATTCTGGGGATCAGTGAGGACACTAGCTCGTGGGTACGAGATAGTTATGGGACTGTTGCTGTTCACGCCGGTGGCTTTCTTGGCTTGGTTTCCATTTGTGTCGGAGTTCCAAACACGTATGCTCTTCAATCAAGCTTTCAGTAGAGGTCTTCAGATCTCTCGTATCCTTGGAGGACATAGGAAGGATCGCTCTTCAAGAAACAAGGAGTGAATCATCACTTCTCCTCCTCCCACTTCACTGTCATGCAGGGATGTCTAATTTATCATTTTGTTCCTCTAGTCTTGTCGTGTGTAGAAGTAGCGAATCTTGTGGATTGAGTAGTGTTAAATTATATCGCCTAGGTTTTTTTTAAAAAAAAAAAACACTAGTACGTAATCTACTATTATCAATCAATTTTACTTCTATAAAATGTTTGGATCATAAGAATGTTTTAGGAGCTTACTAACTAGACCACTCTTGGCACTTCACTTCTTACAGAGATAATCAAAAACTCCCAGTCCATTTTTTTAAGACTGATAACTTTGGGTTGACATGACTTGTGTGATATTACCATGAAAAAACGAATTTGGAGATGGAAATGGAGGGTTCAGTAGATCGATATCGTTTTGGAGTTAAATTTGAACTGATATTTCGTCGCGCCTTTATTTATTTTATTTTTATTGATAGAAGCCCAACTATAGTTCGTAAATGGGCCGACTCGAAAGCTCATAAGTCGCATAAATTTCAACAAAAAAAAAGCTCTTTATTGGGCATAAACAAACAAGCAGCAACGTGGCGGCTATTAATAGCACCACGACATTTGTACGAGAATGATATTTGTCTGGCTCGTTCCAGCCTGTAAACGGTAATCTGTGTCCGTACAGATTAAACCCCATCCCTATAAGACTAAAATGACGGATTTGCCCATCCTCTCCACATCCGAGCTGTAAAACGAGGGTAAAACCGGAACTTTTTCCTTATTAGACGACAACTCTCGACGCATCTCGTCACTCGTCGTCTCTTTCACAGAGAGGTTTTTGAAAATGGCGGCGATGAGATACAAAGGAAGCGTTTTTATCACTATCATCTTCTTCTCCATCGTCTTTCTTACGTGCCCACTTGCTCACTCTTCTTCTACAAAATGTAAGTCGCTTTCAAGAATCTTTTCATCTTTTTTCCATACTTGGTTCTTAAATTAAATATGACTCCTCTTCTCTACTTCTTCGCTTATTTTTGTTTTTTTTTTTTCTAGCGTTCTTCTGGTTAGGAGAAACAGAAGCTATGAAAGCCATGAAAAAGGTAAGTATTTACTCAAAAATGAGATATCACTCTTCTTATACCAAAAAGATTAAGCGACTGTTTTGAAGGGGATGAACTCATGAACATGATTAGTTTTCCTATTTTTCACCCAAAAAGAATGAACTTTTTGTTTTCTAGCTTTGTATTTGATATTCGTTTGTATTTCAACTTCGGGTATGATATTCATTTGTATTTTCTGTAACTAAATCAACTTTTTGGGAAACAGGACAAGGAGATTGATGTTGGATCAGCTAATGAAGTTGAAGAAAGACAAGTTCCTACTGGATCCGACCCTCTCCATCATAACCATATTCCCTTTACTTCTCCATAGATTGATTCCATTAATTTCTTTTACATCTTCCGAGTCTTAATCACTTATTAGTTTGTAACACTTTTTACATTCCAGTTTTGGGTTTTGTACTTTTGTTTATGCAAATGTTAATTTTAATTTCAGGGTTACAAATTATTATCCTCGTAGTCGTAGCATTTCAATTGAATAACGTATGAAGCATTCTTGTCATCTTCTGATCAAATATTTGTGAGTGCTTAGAAAGATTTCAAAGTGCATTATCCAACTCATATATTTTTAAAAAATAATAATAACTTTAGATGATGTTATTACAATATTACTCATTCATCCTAATCTAACAAAATCTTCCTCCGGAGTATTTTATAATTTTATTTTATTTCTATGATCTTATATACACCGGAGTCTAATTAAATTTCAAGCCACACTATATAAGATGAAATACAATTTTGTTATAGATATCTTTTTGTAAATTTTAAATAGCTGGCCTTAAATCCTGGTCAAAACTTTAAATTACTGACCTTAAAGATTGGTCAATACTTATAAACCCTATTAAGTCATGCACAGTAAACAGATTTTACAAAATGTGTGTTTTTTGTTGTTAAGTACATCATAAATTTGTTTTTGTCATGAAATATAAAAAATTAGAACCATAATGAAAATAATTCCATCTTTCAAGATTTTTTAAAAATAATAATATTTTGTCCCCACTAATTTTGAAACTTAGATATGAAAGATCCAAAGATATAAATTTTGTTAATAAATGGAGGCAAACTAAAATGGAATTGTATCTAGTATACCATTGATTATTTTTGTTGGTAAAAAAACAAAGCTCGACTTACCAGAATCAAATAAACAATGTAAAAAAGTTAATATTAATCGGTTTAACAGTTTTGATGCGTTAAACACAAGTAAGATAATATATCGTTAAATTAGTTTGTTTTACCGCGAAAACAAATTTAGATATTCTCATTTTTCTGATATAAAGTAATGCCTTAGAAATTTACTATTTTCCCCTAATTAGCTATGTTAATCATATAAACTCCATGGTTAATTCTCTTGATAATACAGTACACTATATGCATCCCCATGACCCCCATCCTTTGACAAACAAAAATACATATGCGTCCCCTAACCGTAACGGCAAAAGAAAAAAGAAAAAAAAAACCAAAGAAACAAACAGACAAGCCGTAACGGAGCAAGTGAGGCACGTGGGGAACACGCCCCGGGCATATAAATAGTTGTCCCTTCACTCTAATTCACACTTAGTGATTGATTCCCTTTGCGGCGCGTGGAGACGGTGAAAGCTATGGCTAATCTTCCCCCTTCGCTATCTTTGAAATCTGTCACTTTCTCCGGACCTTCTTCTTCCTCCAACGATCGCAAGTTATCGCCGCCGGAGCAGCTGGTGCTCGACATCTGCAACCCCGAACTCAGGGAAAATGCTCTTCACGAGTTGTCCAAGGTGATTTCTCTCTAACGCAATTCGACTTGCTGGTTTCAATGACGAATTTTGATTGTTTTGGGATTTCGTTTCCTGCATTTTATTCAATGATCTTCGCTTCCTTAGTCTGGTGAATCAATCTAGGACATGCTGTCGGATTAGCGATTTTTCTTCTTCTTCATTGCGTCAAATTTTTAAGATAATTTTTAGGATAATCATTGGGAATCTAGACCTTGTCTGAACTCTGAAGAGCGGAGGAGATTGAATTTATTATTAAAAAAATCGACTTTGCATCCGATTGTGAACTTTATAATATTGAAAGATCAGCGTCTGAACAATTAAAGAGTTCAATGGTTTTGATGTTCTGATTTTCAATTTGATATGTACTGACCTCATTACTTTTGATTTTCATACATTAGGCGGAGGATACTTTGGTGTATACGTTCTTCTAACACAAATCTATGTCTATCATTGATTTAGCCTGTGTCCTGTGTTTTTGTTTCTCTTTTGTTTTTTTTTCAGAAGAGAGAAATCTTTCAAGATTTGGCTCCGCTTCTATGGCATTCTGTTGGTACCATTGCTGCTCTTCTACAGGTACTTCTCCATGTTTTCTGTTCTACTTTTGGCACCTGTTCTTTTATTCTTCAGGGGAAATGATTTATTGTTCTGCTGTATTTTTAACATTTGTAACTTTTTCGATTTGATGTACACCGAAATGGTTAAGATCTAGTCATTTTCTACCTTTCCTCTTTTCAGGAGATCATCTCGGTTTACCATGTCCTATCTCCTCCAACTATGACTCCTGCTCAATCCAACAGGGTCTGCAATGCCCTTGCGCTTCTTCAGGTGCATAAATTCTTGTTAACTTTCTCTTTGTTTTTTGAGAATAACGAAACGTTTATCTATGTATGCTCAATTTGGAAGACTCTTATTTTATATTAATTCGACCCTCCTTTATGACATCCAGTGTGTTGCTTCTCATCCTGAAACGAGAATGTTGTTCCTCAAAGGTACAATCCTATACCCACAAACAATTACAAGAATATCCTGGCTTATGAATATGTAGATTTGTTGTTTTGCTGGAAGCTTATGTTTCAAGTCGCCATTTCTTTCATGGTTCTTATCAAAATAATATTCGGTGTTCGCTCTGTGTGACTGAAGTAAAGGTTTAGTTTATATTAGCTGATGTCCCAACCTGTCTACCGAAACTGGTTTTAACAGTCGCCTTGTTGGTCTCTTTTTGATTGAACACATTTATTGGATGTGTGTGGTTATAATATGCTTGAAGCTTAAGGCAGTTGCTTTTCAAAATACAGCTCAGCTACCATTGTACCTTTATGCTTTCTTGAATACATCAAGCAAGTCAAGACCCTTTGAGTACCTGCGGCTGACTAGCTTGGGGGTTATTGGTGCACTTGTCAAGGTATGCCTTCGATCTTTTGAGTTTGTTTTTCTCCTATAGTTATGAAAACTACTTTATGTCAGGAAGGCAGGAACACTCCTTCCACTCGATTACCACTGTTTAGCTATTAAATACCACATTTTTCTGGTATATATAGCTTGTTGATTTGAGAAACAACTGTTTTACCGAGCTAGGACCTTTGAGCATTACTGTTACGACATTTTGTATTTTTTGTGATATTGGTGTTGCAACACTCTTCATTTTTTTTGGCAGGTTGATGATACAGAAGTGATCAGATTCCTTCTTAAAACTGAAATTGTCCCATTGTGCCTCCGGACAATGGAAAATGGCAGCGAGTTATCAAAGACTGTAAGTTTGTCTACTTACAGATGCTTATCTTTACATTCACATGCTTGAAACATGTATATCAAGTTTCCTATCAGTTATTGTAACCATTTGTATAGGTCTGAAATCGTTGCTTTACACAAATAACTCGTACAAGCATCGCTTCTGTAATTGATGTTTCTGATTGGTTTTGGGCATTGCACAGCTCATCTGATAAATTTGTTTGAGCTGGTTATGTCAGGTTGCTACCTTCATTGTTCAGAAGGTTTTGCTGGACGATGTTGGGCTTGAGTACATGTGCACCACAGCGGAGAGATTCTTTGCTCTGGGTCGAGTTTTGGGAAATATGGTGACTTCACTTGCAGAAGGACCTTCTCCTAGGCTGCTAAAGCACATCATACGCTGTTATCTCCGCTTGACAGATAACCCCAGGTCCAATAGTTATCTCTTTTACTTCATTGAAAACAAATTTATATACACCCGTGCTTACACGATACAGTTATTGGTAACATTCAGGGCCTGCGATGCACTCGGAAACTGCCTTCCAAGTCTTCTAAGGGATGCCACCTTCAGCAGCTGTCTCTATGTAAGTTTTCTTCTTTTTTCTTTTTTGTAAGTCTATGTAAGTTTTATGTCTCTTTGATAGCACATTATCCAAATATTACTGATATCGATACCAGATTATTTTCTATCAGATTTATTGTTATCTTGTCTCGATTCTTTTGGTAAAATTGGGTCTTGACTGTGTTATCTAATCTTTTTGCTTATTTTGACAGGATGATCCTCCTGCAAGGCAATGGCTGCAGCAACTGCTCCACAACGTTAGTGTTGGTGGTCGACCACCTCGAGGGTTCGAGCAGATGCTTCTGAACTAAATCGAATCCCTGAGATTATATTATGGGCAAAAACTATTATTCATTGGACAAAAAAGTTAGGCAGAATCAGATTTTACAGATGAGGAAAAGAAACTCATAACAACAGATTTTGAGTATGATATGGATATATGTATTCGGATTTCCAAACTGCCTTATGATGTTGCAATTAATAACTAAAATTCCATTAAAAAGACAAAAACAAGCATTAAACCCCAAGTTCTTAGAAACTCAACAAACGTTTTTTTTTTCCTTATAAAAAAAGGCAGATGCAGATAATAATGTCTATAATAGACTGTCAGATCTTGCAGGTAGCCTCCTGAGGAGATTGAGTGGCACAGAGGGGAGCTTGTGCCTGAACCTTGGATGCCTCAGCACATAGATCCCAGCAAGAAGTGCCACAACCTGAAACGGTGTAACATACAACACAACAGCAGCTATGAGACAGAAGAAGACAAACAATGTGGTTGCCCTCGGGTCTCTCCAGCTCAGCAGCGATAAAAACCGCTCTCCCTGTGTTGCTAGATCGCCTATCACTGTCTGAACACGTCCTGCAATGCTCCTGAGCCGGTCATACCGCATCCTCACAATCTCAGAGGATCGTGAAGTCGGGAAAGTATCAAACTCTTCATCCAGCTCGTCAGGATGGACTGCGTCTGCGTGAGACAACCGTGTGTCCATGTGTGGCGGGTGCCTTGGTCTCCACCGGAAATTCCAGATACCGATCAAGAAAAGGTACAAGAAAACCGTTGGTAGGATGAGTTCCGGGTAGAGAACTAAGATTATGAAAAGAACATGAATGAGAATCGTGGTTATTGGGTTTCTCCAGTTGCATATCTGATCAAACCATTTCCCCACAGCGATGAGGCCACTCAGGACGTTCATGATTCTGAAGAAGTTAGCTTTACTCCTCCTCATGCTCCACATATGGGAATCCACGTCAAGCATGTACTCTACAATCTCTTTGCGAAGAGGCGGCTCTGCTCGGTTCAGCCTCGCCGAGACAATGTTCATCGCCTGGTGCCTCAAGCTGTCCAGCTGGAGAACTGATAACGGGTGGATGTAATGCATTTTGGGAAGTAATGGCTGAGAATACATGTGAAGCATGTTGATGAGAGATAAGCAAGTGAACCGTACAGCTAACTGTATTTCACCCGTTTTCTTGATTCCAGAAGGATGAAAGACGAGCAGAGGATATGAATGTGTGTAGATACGGTCAGCTTCAAGTGTCGAGAGACGGATTCTCACTTTCCCGATTCTCATATCTTTACCGCTTCCTCCTGGAATGTGTCCATTGTCGAATGCTCCAAAAGTTATGACAGTGCAGGTATCAAACACTTCCCATGTGTACTGCTCGTTCCATTTAGGCGTGAAACTATCAACAATTGTTCTCGTTCTGATCCATTTTTGCCCGTACTTAGCCACACAATACGCATCTGTTGTTCCCTTGCCGTCTTTTGTCTTCATCGGCATCAGTCCATGAGCGCTTATGATCCCTACTTCAAGCACTCCAATACTCGGTTTCCACAGCTGTTTCGCTGTTGGTCTTAGGTCGCTGCTGTAGTGAGTTGATTCATCAAGAACATGGTATCCTCCTTCAAGAAATATCCTTAGATGGATCCTGCTTGCGAATTTTATCTCTTTTTTCTCTCCATCCACCATGATATGTTTCTCCAAGTTGAACCACCTCGAGCTAAGTGGTCTATGGTCTAACCTCCTCTGCACATGCTGCAAAGGGATCGCACACCTTCCTAACGTTTCATCTTTGTTCGGTGCAACCCTATCTTCAACCGCGAGGATCAACGGCTCCTCAAATGGCTCAGCAACAACAAACATCAGATCTTCATTCCACATCGGGTTCAATGTTTTGGTCTGAGAAATCCGAGTTCGAAGAGTCTGGTTCCCAAGCATTGCTTTCACGTAAACTTCAGGGAACTTAGTTTTATCATGAGGTATCAAATCTTGAGCCTCGATCACATTGACTCTCACATACCAGAGCTTTGGTGAAAGATAAACCTTTGACCGGATATGCGTCACACCCTCGGGTCCAACCGTGGCTGCATCTGAGTGCCAAGCATCAGAGAAAGCTTCATCAGCTTGTGTCCCCATCCAAACAGCTAACATAAGCTCTCCTTTAACCTTGCGGCCATGTCGATCCTCCAAACGATACCACTGAGGAGCCAATGGACTATCAGGTGGAACTCGCTTAGGAATCTCATTAAGATCAAACATGATTCGACCAATCAAATCATCCACCATTAAATCTTTGTCTTTCACTACAACCTCCAAGATTGATGCTTGGATCCTCTCCTTTGAAAAAGCAAACACTTGCTTCCACTCCGGATTCGACTTCTTCTCGAAATGCTTAGTCACTCCTTTGTAGTTTCCCAGCTTCACTTCCACATAAGGATCACAACTACCGGTCATATCTTTCCCCGGTAATTCCTTAGCCTTCATGACCCGGACGTAGAGGTAATGCATCTGCTCAACCAAATCATAAGTGCAGGAGAGTTTATCACCTGTCACAGCTCCTGCACCAATCTTTGGTGAAGTCTCCTTCAGTGCAAAATCTATATTTTGCCCAGGTTTCTGCATCTTGTCTCTGAATTATTGATACTTCTGCAATTCTATTTCAAAGAATCCCTCTTCTGAGATCCAAGAACTTGTAATAAGGAATCTGTTTTCAGGGAAACTGCTTGAGTTCTGTTATCTTAAGACAACCTTCTGGTAAAAGAAAAGAAAAACAGAACACAGCAACAAATGGATCAGAGAGATTTTAACAGTTTACCAACATGGCAAAAACATATTAGTAACATAGACATCTCTGGAATCTAAATCAGATTAATGAGCAAGGAGTTTGAGATCTACACTCTTTTGAGAATAATATATGCAGTGTTGAAAATATTTATGGAGAAAATTAAAAAGGGGAAAAAAGTGAATAATTTTTATAGAAATTAAATGTTATTTGGGACTCTTGTTGAAGTTTTCTCACCAAACAAGCAGCTACCAAAACAAAAAAATGTTGACAGACATTTCCTAAATAATAAATATTCCAAGAAATGTATTTTACTTTTTCTTCCATAAAATTAGAGCAACCCCTCTTAGCTTTCTCCTAATCTGATTCCAACAAAGCTAGAAAGTCAAAAAAAAAATATAGAAAAAAGATTATCGATTACTTTACAGAAAAACAGAAAAAGAAGAGTAAACTTAAAGATCCATTATGTAACCCAAAAACAAAAATCAAATCTTTGAGAGACATCTAAACCCCACAAGAAATGTTATGTTTTAATGTCTTTTACTCTTTCACTATCGCTGTTACTTGAGCAACTGATCAAAACAACACTACAACTACACACAATATATTCTTTCAAGAAAAAGTAGAACTACACACAATATATCTACAAATATAAAAACCAATAAAAATAAATTAAGTCATGGTAATGTACCTCAGGGGATCTAAGGAAGAACAGAGAAAAGAACTTGGAAATACATTGTTTCTATAATGGAAAGTTTAGAAGAAAAAGAAGATACTGAAAATGAGATGGCGAAGCAGAGTGAGAGTGAGCTTTAGAGAGGTGAATGAAGAAGAGAGTGTACAGTCGAAAATAGAATATATGGGGACATGTGGGTGCTAAGATCTGCTGCTTTTTAGTGGACCTACTCTTTTGACCTCTTCTTTCTTTAGTTTATTCATCTTTTTCTTTTCTTAATTTTCTATTTGCCACTTCCAGTTTCACTCTCTCCTAAAGGTTTTTTTTCCACTTATTAGTTTATTTATTTATTAAAGCATTTAATGTTGAGTGTATTGATTGAAGGAAATCAATGTTCCTAGTATTTGCTTGTTTTCTTGTCTACAGCTTCTTTCATTGCAGGGAAATATGCTTTCTGTCTACAAACATTATTTTTGTATTCAACATCTTACTTCTACAAAGTTACAATGTGCTTTTTCATTTCTGCAAATGTTTGTATCTTTTTTGTGGTCGACCCTATAAATTTTGTCCATAAGTTTATCGCGATTAAAGTTCGCTTTAATACGAATTCATTAATATATGGATTTCTATCCAGAAGAATTTACATAACACTTTATTTTAAAAGAACTTTAAATGGTAGAGGAATCAGAACGGATCAATCTATGGCAGACTAGGCTGCTCTTTTATTAATAGAGATGGGTAGTAACTTTTTTTTTTTTTTTTTTTTTAGATGGGTAGTAACTTTCATTACAATTTATAAAAACATTGCCTATATTTATATTTTATTGTAACATGCAACATACATTTGTAGATTAAATTGAACACAAACCACCTAAGAGGCTAAACATCTAAACACAACCCTTGTAGCTAATTCCATAAGACTTTTTTTCTTTCTTATTTTGCTCCCAATCTAATGTACTAAAGGAGTTCTAAAGGTTATTTTCTTCAAGTTTGTACACTGAAGTACACATTGTATGTTTCATCTCTTAAGCTGAACAAAGGCGATAACACAAAGTTCCTCTGTGTTCCACTCATCACGAAACTCATCGGATTGTATTGACTCATTCCTTTTTTAAACCTAAAGCTTGCTCCCTGTTTATACTTCTCATCAGTCGCATCCGAATTACATTCAAGCCTCAGTTTCATTCCCGGCTCTAGGACTTGATCGCTGTAGACAAAGCAACCCTTTTTGCTCTCTAGCCTAAGCGACACGCTTCCTGGCTTCCCGTCAACTCCAGCTACTAACCGAAACCTCGAAGCATCTTGGTCGGTGGAAGAAGAGTCTTGAACCGCAAGGGAGCTATTAGTTGCTTGCATCACAAGCATGCCAGGGAAATCAAACGGTTCGATCATGACCAGGCTTCCAATTAGCTCCTCTGGACCCGAAATCCGTCCTTTGGAATCAGCGGTCACGAGCCTGAAAGTCGCCGCAACAGCGTTTTGTGTCCCAGGGGCAGGCGATACTTCCATCGTGATGGTTTGGTTGCTATTTGACAAGACGTAAGATATGTTTCCAGATTGTTGTGAGAGTGTGACAAGGTGGCTGTTATGAGTTTCAGGTATAGAATTTATCCATTTTTCAGCTTTAGCCTGAGTTGTGATGCTCCAGTCCTTGCTCGTGTGTCCAGCTAACAAGTAGGGACCATACAGTATGGCCTGAAGAGAAGAGTACTCGGGCCGATCATCTGAAATATTCACCAAAAACGGAAAAAAAACAAAAAAAACAGTTTCTGTTAGTATTGCTCTGTTAAAACAGAGTTGTATACAATTTATACATCATGAACAAGAACCGTTTTTTATTTACTTAACCAACTCTACATAGCATAAATGATACAATATATTCAATATCCTGCTAGGAAATAATTTTTACCAGAGTAAGGATAGTGCAATCAGAAGATTCAGAACAGTGGCTGTACCTTTTATAGCTTCGGTTCTGATACTCAACGGTAGTTCCATCGTTACTTGATCACCGGATTTCCAGTTCTGTTTGATTGATAGAAAATTACCTGCAAAGAAAAATGCAGGTCCAGTAAGATTCTTATTTTCACAATCTAGAGACTATAACAGAAACAGAGGACACTCGAGTCAAGCGGTTTCTGCTTTTAGAATCTAAAAACCAAGTTTTCGTAACCTTTTATTCGGTTCCACTGATATATAAAGGTTACAAATACAGAACTCTCAAATCACCTGAAGCTGGTACTTTCAGGGATTGCCCATTCAAAGATACTTTGGCACCTTCAGAGTTTGTCCAAACTGGAATTCTTAGATTCAAAGTCAACTCCTTGCCCATTCCCTGCAAGAAAGTTGGATCCATCAAACTCTCTATTTTACAGGAATGGGTTGCATCTGGTTTTAAACCAAAAAGTTTACCCCTTTGGAAGAAGAGAAAGAGAATGTCACACGCATGTACGGATCCCACGACACAACGGGTTTAACTTTCTGAGATAGCGAAAGACCAGCAGATTTCCAATCGAGTGAGCTAGATATATATTGGGTGACATAAAGAGCTGGAGATTCCCCATCTTCTTGAAAATAAATAGAATCTCCCAGTTTTGAGAAAGATTCAATTCCTATGGACAGAAACAAACAAACAAACAAAAACCTTCAAGAATTATCTATTTTTGTTAAGTAAATACAAATGTAGCTAACCAGATGATGATGCTTAAAAGTTACCAGTGCCATAGCAACACCAGAAGGCACCATATGGTGTTCCCCAACCGTGATAAGTCACGGCCTTAGAAACACCTCTACCCAATGGGAGCATGTAAATCATCAGTCCAGGCTCGGTTCCTCTTTGAATTCCGAGCACACCGTTGGTCAAAGCTCGCTCGTAATAGTCTGCATAGCTAACCTCTTTTGTCCACCTGAATAGATTCCTAGAGACCTGAAATTGTAGAAGTTTGGAGATATGTTACCTTTAGTTGAGAAAATCAAACAGAGAAAAACAAAAACAAAAAACAAAACAAAACAAGCTTAAAATCCTACCTTGAGCATGTTATAAGTAGTACATGATTCCTCGTTTTCAGTTTGGAGCGTAGTCGCCATTCTCTTTGGATCTTGCCTGAAGTTAGCATTTTCCAAATCATGGTGAAGAGTTAGAACCAAGGTCTTGTTAAAATGAACCAAACTCTTAAAAGTCAAGGTAATGGTAGTACCAGAACTCACTGACTGATGTTCCTCCAGTTGCATAGCTGTGAGAAGCATTAACGATGTCCATAAAAAACATCGAGATTTCCTGGAAATGCCAAATTTCAAAGTCAAGAGAAACCGATGTTTTCTTTACTTTTCCGGGGCTTATGCTTTAATACCTACCTTATGGAGTGGATCACCAGTGATTTCATACCGGAGTTGGGATCCGACAACAATGGGAATATGTGTGTTAGAGTGAAATCCGCTTATGTCATCGGCCTGAAAAGAAAGTTTATGCAAGATTCTGTTATATTACCATTCACATCTATTCAAAGCTAATCATCAAGTAAACTACCTGAATTGCAAGCACCCCGAGAAAGCAAGGCTTGTCAAAGAGATGTGCGAGCAGCAAATACTTGGAATCTCCCTGCAGAGTCCAATAAAAACTATGATGTGAAGCAAAAGCTAGACAGAAATCTAAGGAGCCTTTTTTTTGGAGAGTCTAATAAGATTTTAACCCACAGTGATGCTGTATATCTGATAGAGAACATCATTCATGCCACCAGTCTCCTCGTTCAGAGATTGCCAGTGTCGTTCAACGCTGTACTTCTTTATCACATTACGAACACGGCCATAGAAGTAATCAGCCATCCAGGTTGCCATTTTCAGAGCTTGACTGTTCCCAGCCAACTTGTATTGATCCACTAGGCCGGCTAAAATCTGTCAAAGTCAAGAATGTAAAGTTGAAACCTTTTTTTTTCAAACACAAGCATATTATCTACATCTAATTTCAGAAAGTCTGAGTTTTCACCTTGTGAATGGTGTAGTAAGGAGCCCAGACAGGCGTTATAGCTTCAAACCGGTCGAAAAAACTGGAAGGGAAAGCAGAGAGATACCCTGTGCCAAATTTCTGCTGGCAAGCAGATAGAGCTGAGATAAGATCCGACATTTTCTGCTTGAGAGTATCGTTATGAGTACTTGCCCACATATAAGCTGTTGCACTCAAATAGTGACCTTCAAAACAAACAGTCAGATTTTATGAGCCATGCAGTAAAAGGTAACTCCTTTCAGACTCAAGGCAATTAAAAGGTAAGAATCCTCTATAAGTATATGCAATCAAAAGGTCATTCCTTTAACGGGCCTATGCAATCCTAACTGTAAAACCCTTTTGAGGGTCTAAGCAATCTAATACCAAAGATTATATCTTTAAACCATTTTTGCATAGTATCAAATACATGAATCAAGAAACTGTATTTGAATTGAGGGAAAAGGAATCAGGTTTTTACCGACGAAATGGCCACGGAGTTCAATATCTGGTCTCTCCCATCCTCCATAGTAATCTCCCGGAGCATCAAGACCAGCTGCTTTACGGAAGCTCCAGGTCAAACTATCAACATCCAACATCAATAGATACTCAAGGTTTGTCTGCTGAGCCCTCCAGTGGAAGCTATTTGGGTCCAGTCTAACGTCGTGCAAAGAGACTTCCTTGAGAAAGCTACCAGAGGCGTTGTCTGAGTTCTTTATCTTCCTGTACATCATAGTCCAACCATATTCATCTTCCTCTTCCCTTAACATCTTCCTTGGCAACAGACTAGACCAAGCTGTGTCATCAGTTGGTGTTAGATGGTAATGAGAGAACATCTCTGTCTTCAAAGATTCGTTCTTTGATTGCAGAAGGTCGTAGCGGAAAGTATGCGATGAGAGCTGCGTAGGAATGTTTGTACACTCTTTTGCTACACAGATAACAAAGCTTATGCATAATAGAGCAATGGTTATGATGAGACCAGACATCATCTTACCCATCCTCTTTTGTCTTAAAAGAAACAAACCAAACTCAAAAGTATGTAAAAAGAAAGATTTTGTGAAGTTCAAACTCAAAACGCAAAACCCCCAAAATCCTAAATTCAGATTCCAGGAATAGAATGCAGAGACACAAAACCCATTAACAGTTACAGAGATCAGTTTGTAAGATCGTTGGAAAAAGGTTTTGAATTGGAAGAGAGAATAATGTAATGAAAGGGGATATTTATAAAGCGTAATAAAGCAAAAGAGTCCCGACGATTTAAGCAATGTATACCACAAAACAAACAAATGTAATAAGATCACGTGAAAAAGAAAAAAAAGAGGGAATTTTTTGATAAAAATTCCGAAAAATAAAAGAATCGAGGAGGTCACGGATAGTTTGTCGCTTTCACTGCCTGCTTTTGTATTTGACTCTGTAAAAAGGAAGAACTGTTTCGAGAGAGATCAGTGGGATGTTTCTGGTTTTTCTCGAGATGAAGAATGGACTACTAAACAAAATATCCAAATTGTAGAGGATTAGTGTGTTTTTTTTTTCCTTCCGATTTGAAGGATTAAATTTTGTTTGTCCTTTTAAATCGCTAATTAACGAAAATGGAGAGAGACAAGAAGAGGTTTAGCGTTGCAGAGAAGAAGATAGTGGAGTATAGGGAAAATAGTTGAAGGAGAGAGAAATAATAATGAAAAAAATAATTTATTTGCATACCGTGGCGTCAAAATTGATACCACACAAAATTGTGCTTTTTGCTGTGTTACTGACTTAAATTAAAAAGTTAATAATAATAACATTCTTAACCTTTTTAATAGTATATAGATGTAGGGACGTTAAGTATTGGTGGTATTCAAACTTATTTAACTGTTCAATTTAAAATTAAACTAACATACTACAAATAGAAACTAATTAGTTTGAATGATTGGAACACAGCTGGATATACATAACTAAGTGGAATACGATGACATGTGAGTCATTTCTAAACTATATATATATATATATATTGCGTGACTTATAAAGATTTTTTTGGATTTTTATTTGTCAAAAAAATAGTATTCCCTCTGTTCAGAATGTTTAAGGTTTTTGCACACAGTTTAAGGATTCATTTAATTTTTATTTTTTCTATACTAAAAATATTATTTATAATTCATTTAAATATCATTCAGCCAATAATAAGACAATCTGCAGAATATAAAAGGTCAAAAACTATAAAAATTCATTAAATTTTGCATTGAAAAGTGAGAACATCAAATAATTCTGAACAAAAAAACCTTCTAAAACATCAAATAATTCTGAACAGAGAGAGTATAAATCTTTTTTATAAGGTTTATACATATCACTAACTACTGATATTTGTTTACTTATTACGAATGGATGGCTCTTGTAGATCGTCTGGTCTGTGAAGGCTGCCTCTATGATTACAACGTGTAACGTGTTCGACGTTCTAGCTAGGCATATAATGGCTTGTGGATAAAACATACTTATTTGTCAAAGAAGCTAACTTTGTACAGACAAAAATATTATAAATAATTCATTACTATGAGATTTTTATATCACTAGAACAAGACATGTGGTTTCTGTTAATACGTGATGTTGCAAATAATAAGATGAAAAGAATACGCATCACAAAAATGCATCTAAAAACACTAAAACAAAATAATTACAGCTATATATGGCATAAACAATAAAAAGGACAATAGTCGTATGTTATGTCTTTGTTGGATTAAAATTAAATAGTCTTATGTTATGTCTTTGTTTTAGTACACGGACACAAAATATATGTATTTACGGTTTTCTTCCTTCCACAAGTGAGGACTCCTTCAACCAATTTCTCTAAATTTGTGATAGATATTAACAAAGACAAAAAATCGTGAAAAATATTGAAGGAGTATTCAATGGGTTTCGTTTATAGTAATTAATTTGAAACGGAAGGTATACTTATAAATGCTAGTATAATCGTGAGACGCCGATATTGATGTTAATTCCCTGGAATTAATGACTTGAAATTATTACGTATGTAGTATTAAATACTAAATAAATCTACAAGATATACATTGAAAGAGTTGTTGTGTAGTTATGGAGAGTGATGGCTGGTTAGTTAGATGTACTCGTCATCAGTCTATTTTGAGGATAAAATATTTTGGACATTCCGACAATTAATTTGTTATTTTCATCTCTGCTAAGATATTTGCTGCCGTCAATTATTGGATCAATTGAATTATTTCTGTTGGGAAAGCCATTGGTTCTTAAAAGTTAAGGTAATATTCTCTGAATAATATGATGACGGTTTAGTTTGTTGCTTCAAGAAAGGATCATCATCTTCACGTCAAAGTTAACAACCAAATGTCTCTTTTTCGAGTATAGTGCAAAGGATACACGAGTTACTTTTCAATTCCCACTTGTACACTGCATATCTATATATGCAATTATGCATAAGATATTCACCCCAAAATTTATGATCACGAGTTGTTGATAACAAAACTGGTATATACTGTAAATAATTTGTTCTTTTTTTTGTCAACTTCTGAAAAATGTGCTAGTGATAAAAAAAAATGTTTTAGCGATAATATGTAAATATAGTTTGTGAACATTTTCTCTCTAACTTCTTTAGTAAATTTTATAAAATTTTGAAAAGGTTGTGCCTTAACAAAACGCGGTTTCTTTGTTCATTATCGACAAAAAAAAATCATGTGTAATATATGATTTTAGGTTTTGTGCATGTGTTAGATAAATATTTTCGTAACCAGCCAGTTTAATTAAAACTAATTTTGAAGAATTATTTTTATCTAAACTCATTAATAAATCTTCCAAGGTATCACAAAATACATTTTTATCCATTCCAATGCTCCGAGTTGGTGAGAAACTACAGTCTGCTATATTTAAGTTCATCGCACAAATATATAGGAACGTACTAAGATTTTAATAATACCAAAATATGGTATTTGAAGACCAAATATGCAATCTTTACCTCTGGATTTAGCTTTGGCTTCAGTTCCAATTCCAGCTCCTATGTTTCGGTTTCAGCAACAATTCTTAACTTCAACACTGTAGTTCCAGTTCGACAGCATCTCAATAAAAGTTTATTTGCTTCAAAATATTATCTATATAACCCTCTTCAAAAAAAATTATCTCTATGTAATTATATCTTCACTACTTTCTCAACATACAAGCGGGGGATATAAGAACTCTCCTATTGTTTCAAAGGAAAAAAATGGACGAATTCAGACGGATAATGAATTTTGCAGATAAAAAAGAAAGTTTTGGCTGAGAAAATAAAAACAATAAGTGGTCTAGATGAACCAAAAAAGCTGGCAGTTAAGTTAAAACTTACTATAAATTTCAAAATCAGCAGTAAGCACAAATATATACTTTAATTAATAGAATGCTTCAAAGCATACTTTGCATCACATATTCACATACTTGTTATGAAATTCTTTCATGTACGGTATACTTGTCAATAAGAAAGTAACTTAAAAGCATCACATACGTGTTGTGCAATTTTCTCCCGCACGATATTCATATGTTCTTTGTGTCGTATCTTCTTGTTATTCTAACAAAAAATTATAACTGTCTACTTCATAGTTATGAATTTATGATGATCTTTATCGGGCAAGGCATCATCACTAATAGCAGAATCTAAATCAATGTAAAAATCCATACCATCAATGAATTAAGTATGTAATCTAGTTTTGATTTTGGTTTGTGTTTTAGAGTCATCTTACATATTCGAACTATCAAATGTGTATTTAATGACGGACCAAAGAGAAGAATGTCAACCATAGAATTTATATTTCTCTTTTTTATGCGTATCAAAAAGACGGTAAAAATAACAAAAGCACAGCCAAACCGTAGACAATTAGATTAAAAGATCCATACCAAACCGTACCGAAATCGATCGGGTCGAAACTACCTAACCGTAAACCAAAGTAAACTCTGAGTTGCTCTCTCTCTCTCTATTCTCGCCTTTTTATTATTATTTTCTTTTTGTTTTCGTTAAAAGACGCCGTTTTCTTACCAGTCAACAAAACCGTTACACGCTCTCCCAATAACGAACTCTTTTTCCCGCCCGACTCAAGTACAGTCCCTATTGCCATTTTTTTCTCTTCCTCCAAAAATTTGCAAGGTATTTTCTACGCTCATCGTTGTGGTTGATTTGTGAATCGGTATATATGGAAAGAAAGTCGGAATCGATTTCTGGAAGTTTCTGTAAATTGGAGTGTGTATTATGTTCAAATCTTCTTCTTTTCTCTGTGTTTCCCTCTTGAGGATTCTATTCGCTAAACCGATATATGGAAAGCCGAATTTGTTGTCTGGTCAAATTCCTTTTATGTTTATTTTGAGTTTATTGGTCAAATCGATACATGAGCTGATAGGTCGAATCGTGAAACAATCGTTTTTCTATGGATGTGTTAGGTTTTGAAAGAATGGTTGGAATTTTGACTCTGTTTAATGGGTTTTGTCTCTTCAAGGATATGGAGAACCAATTTCGACCTTTCTGTTTGGGCATCTTTGTTTATAATATTTGAAAACTGATCTCCTGTGTATGTATCTATGAGTTTCTGTGTTTATGCAAGACGGCTAAATACGTTAAGATGTGCAGAGCCTTAAAGTCTCTGACTTTTGTTTCATATATAAAAAGCAGGAAAGTAAATGCTGCAGAACCAATGAATCGGATTACTCCTGAAGCAACGTATGAGGCTGTGGTTGCAGACCCTGAGCTTTTCATGGCTTCCTTGAAAAAGCTGCACTCTGACTTGGGTACTAAATTCAGGTAAGATTCTTCTTTTTCCTTTTAATCCTTTCTTTACTTATGAGAGTAAGTTCAGTTGTTGTTATCTATCTGTTGGCTCTGACTAAACTTTAGTGTTCAGCAAGTTTCCATCTTTGAGATATGTATGATTTCACCATTCTACAATATTGCATTGTGATTGTAGGGTTCCTGTTGTATCAGGGAGAATCTTGGACTTGCACAAGCTTTTCGTTGAGGTAACCTCTCTTGGTGGTATCAATAAGGTATGTCCTCTCCAAATGAGATTTTAGTTCACAGGATATATGATACATGCTTTCTTATGTCTCAATTATTTCGCCTTTGTCCTTAAAATCTTTGAAATTCTACATTGATAGTTGTCCTTGGGTCATTTTTCCTTCTTTGAAATTGCAGGTACTTGTTGAAAAGAAATTGAACGAAGTCGCTGCTACATTTGATTTTCCTCCAACAGCAACAAGTGCATCATATAGACTGCACAAACACTACATGTCGCTGCTTTACAATTACGAGCAGGCCTATTACTTAAGATCTAATGACCAGAATCCTCCAGGTTTTGCTCCCATTTACTATTTTACCTAATTCAAATTTTGAGTTACTTTTTCTCTCTCTCTCTCTCTCTCTCTCTCTCTCTCTCTCTCATGAATATATTGCAAAATCTGAGCAAAACCCTTTTCTTTTGTGTTGTTATCTCTTCAGGATCTCTAACTGGTTCAAATGTGACTGAAGTGGTCGACAGGATATCAAAAAACGGATATCTTGAAGCTGTACCAATGATATCAGAGCAGTTTAAAGAAGCTCTGTATCATCAGCTTCTTCGACAAAACACAGTTGCTCATCAACAAAGTCGTGGTGTTTTCCCCAACACTTGGAACAATAATGCCATGAGAACTGAAAAGGAAGAGTACAAAGCGAAGCTTAGGACAGGACAGCTCACAAGTAACGCTGTTCCACTGCAACAGAGGCTTCCAGAGCAAAATGTAGACAGGGCTGAAGCTGAACTTCCAATAGCAGAAGCCGAAGAAGAGGAAGGCGAATCTGATCCCAAACTGGAAGAGATAGCTGTAGCTCCTAATGAGAAAACTGGCGATGTTGTGATTAAACATCTCCAGTGAAGAAAGCTGAAGAGCCGATTATGGTGGTGACTGCTGAGCAGAACTGATAGGGTGGAGATTGTTTACTTGTTGCACGAGACAACCTCTATTGGGCTTAGTACTGTGATTTTACTGTTTTTTTAGATTTCTTCGGCAACAAGGCAGGTTTGGGAGTGAACGGGTTTAACAATTTGTTGGTCTTTTAAAATGCTAAGTCTTGTTTTGTTGCATAGGAGTGGTGAGGGAGAGAAAGTGAAAGAGCGGAGAGGACGTTTTCTTTTATCTTGAAGGATTTCGTTATTTTCAATTTCATTTTTATTGATATAATTATGTCATGGAAAAAAAAAAGGAAGATAATACTCTTTTTAATCTTGATCTGTGAAAACAACAAATTCATAACTGAGTGAAAGATATTGGATTGCTTAAGGGAGAATCCAGAGATTTTATCCACAAAAACACCGATATAAAACCAACGAGAAAATATTCTACTTCAAATGTTCTGATTATCATGAGGTAACCGATGTATATTACGATTGTACATTGCATAAATGATATTCCATAATAATAAATGATATCTCTTATAGTGTCTATATCTATAGTATGTGTTTTGCATTTAACCAAGTCTAAAGTCTCCCCGGACAGCCACAACAGCTTGAAACATAATTGGGTCAAACAACTTTTTTCTTATAAAACTATGTCCAAGGCTTCATACACTCTCAGCGGATCGAATCCATAAGGGATACCTAAGTTTTCTAAATCCTTTATGGATTCTCTTATAATGTGTCTATATCTATAGTGGACATACTCTTTAATCATAAAAATAAATATTGGTTTTGAAGGTAATTTACATTGACAACGATATTACTTTTTCTTTTTTACTTATAAGTTCTAAGTTTATTTTGACATGCTCTTATTGATGACAATGTTTGGAGATTCAAAGCATATAACAGTGAGAAAAAAACTTACAAAAAAAAATAATAAAAATACCAAATGGAAATATTGCAAATGCCTCATTCAAACGGCTAGCTACATGGCAATGGTAATGAGGAAATATAAATAATTTATATCAAAATCAAGTTTTTGGTATGATTTCCCAAATCATTTTAATAATTGATAAAATTATTTCTTACAATTCCCGAGAGGCTTTCCACATAGGCAGCTATTATAAGCGAACGATGTGGCTTCCAGATGATCAAAATGAGATCCCGTTGGAATCTTCCCACACAGATGGTTGTGACTCACGTCGAGGTGCCCAATAAACGATGCCGCCGTTATACTTGCCGGAATTGGTCCCTGTAGACGGTTGTTGGAAAGATCCAGCACCGTGAAGTACGATCTCGGCCCAAACGTGTTAGGTATCCGTCCGGCGATAAGGTTCCCGCTCAGATTCAAATTCGAGATCGAAGAGCTCATCAAAGTCCCCGGAATTGGACCGGAGATCAAGTTCCCCTCGAGATTAAGCGTCGCGAGCACCGACATTTTGCCAAGCGAAGCCGGTATTGGGCCGGTGATTCGGTTCATGGAGAGCTCAAGATCCGCGAGACGGTAGATTCGGGTCAGAGATACGGGTATTTGACCCGAGATTTTGTTACCGCTTAAGAGCACACGACTCAGCATCTTTAACCGGCCCATATCTCGCGGTATGACTCCAGAGATATAGTTATTCCTGAGATCCAGATGCGATAAACTCGTTAATCTCGTGATCGACGAAGGAATCCCACCGGATATTTGATTATCGGCGAGATTCAACACTCTCAGTCTATGCAGCTTCCCAATGTTCGCCGGAATCACGCCGGAGATTTTATTCCCGACGAGATCTATATGTCTCATGAAAAGCAGATTTGCGATGCAGCTGGGAATCACGCCGGAGATTCCCTGCCAGTCGGCGATGATGATGCCGGAGAGGTGGGTGAGTTTACATATCGCCGGCGAGATTGAGCCGGTCATCAGCCCACTCCGTTTTGCCTGCTGGAAAATCGGGTCCTCGGATTCCGCGCGGAGAGTGATGCCGGAGACTCGGTGAGTATTGGGATCGCAGCTCACGCCGTACCAGCCGTTGCAGCAGTCCTGGCCTTTCCAAGTGTTGAAAACGCCGATGTAAGGCTCATTGAGCTTTGATCGGAACTCAAGAAGCGCCGCTCGTTCGGAGGGTAGACAAGCTTGGACCACCGTGGCGCCACCGACGAGAAGCAATACGACGACGTTGGTTAATACGATCACCAACGACTTCTTAGCATCCATTGTCTCGATCATTACAAGACCTGACTTATACAGAAATTTATCTTCCAAGAATCTCTTGGTGTGATGTGTTTATTGAGCTTACATAGGTTGACATTGAAATGACTTTAACTACTTTGTTCCTATATTTATAGTCATATTGATATTACTTTTAGTGCAAAGACGACGAATCAATACTTTTTTTTTTTGTTAATGTATATTGCTTCTTTGAACCTTCTCCTTTATTGCCACGTCACATTTGCATGCTCCTTCTTTCTTCAGTTTTCCCGCTTTCTAATCCAAATATTAATTTTGGGTCATTAGTACATCATTATTGATGTAAGTAATAATAACATGGTGTTGTTTGTTTCTGTCGCCTGTCTGTACTAAATAATAGAAATATACTACAGTATTTTTGATTTTCGATGAGCCAAGAGTTAAATAAAACATGGAGACTCACGTATACGATGGTAGAATTGTGGTAATGTTACGAAGGTTTCTAGCGGTTCCATTCTAAACTATAGCCTATAGGTAGGATAAAATCATAGTAAATTCAACTATGGTTTTTTTTTGTCTCTATACTGAAATTTTGGACCTAATAGTGAAGACAAGATTCAAGTGGCTTAGCTACACCAGTTAATTATATCCTAGTTTCTTCTTTTTGTCCACACTGCTGTACTTTTTGGTTGGACTAGTTACCACTAGTTTTTATTTATGTATAGGTTTATTTAATATATATTGTCATTGATCTTGATCTTATCGTTGTATATGAACATGTGATCTTTTGTCCTTGTTACCATTTAACACATAAATTATATCAACCTAATGATGTATATTTATTCGACCACTTGTTTCAACCTTGGGTCCATTGTACAACTATTATATATAAAAAGATCATATCGTTAACATTTAGTATTTTTCTACACTGAATGATACTACCCTAAATCCCTAATCATTGTTGCAAATCGCTTCCACGTTGGCCACAATGTCACTGTACACAAACTTAATAGACTGTCACCAGTATAATTTTACTGAAATTCGTGTTAACTTTATACGATCCTTAAATGCATCATGACGTTCCATTAGCGATGACAAAACAAACCTAATTTCGTTACTAAAAATGACAGTTGAATCGATAATAGTAAGACAAACATTATCTTATCGTTTTGCTAGTAGTATATATAACAAACCCTTTTTCCCCCTGGTTTGAGACCACTATTAAATTCTTGTTTTTTATATAGTTTCCTACAACTTCCCTTTTTCCGGTGTTTTTATGTGAAAGTATTTTGTTCATTACTAAAGAAACTTTTATTTTACAAAACGAAAACTTTATAAGAAAAATGTAAAAAAAAACCCACTAATTTTATATTTTGGCTTGAGGTTTCTCATATTTCTTGGTCGGTCCTAAATATAAGTCAGGTCAGGAGACAGCTAGAATAAACGTGATACTGAGATTTGGCAGTTATTAATTGTTCTAGAGATTTAGAAGGAAGTGAGATAAGTCAGACTGTCTTAATGGCTTTGACGTTATTCGAAACACAACTCATGTGCGTGCATGTGCTTCTTTCTGCTTCATCACCCTCCTCTTCATTTCCATTTACTTCCCTAGCTCATAGTATATTCTATACTTTTTGATTAGATCAAAGTAAAGAGGATTTGTAAATACTTCCTTTTAGTAGTCATATTTCCACCATCGGATTGTAAATTCAGAATTGTAATTACGTTTATAAGTATATATAACATAAATATATAATTTTTTCCCAAAACAATCTTACCGCTCTAGATGCCCATGTGTGCTAGTAGCTAGACGTTCGTTCGCCGTCTAGTATGCATTTTAGACCTTTTAAAATTATTCATAGTTCAATCAATTGAAATACTAACATGGATTGTGACAACAATGATTATACAACTTTATGAAATGATCCACAAATCATTACTTTTTGCCGGATATTGTGTTGACGTGGAGATGAGAAATTTGTGGGAAACAATATAAATTAATACTCAAACCGAAGGTTGTATGCAGGGGAGTCAACAACAGACGACTTTCGACCAAACTTGAGAATAACGAAGGTAAAGAAAAGAAGAAAAACAAAAGGAAAGGTCGATTTCCCAATGACTAGGACATAGCACGTGTCCAAATCACTCGAGCATATATCACTTATTCACTTAAGACTTCACGTGTAATCGTGTATTAATAAGGCTTCAGAAAATGTTTTCTAAATATCTATTCTGCTAGCTAAATTGCATTAAAAAAAATGGTTTAAGTGAAAACAAATGTTTATTATTAGGCGTTAACTGTTCAATAGATAATAAACACATATTCATCTGAAATGTTTAACTTATTGTTCTCTCATTATATTAAAAAAAATATTGAAAGAAAAAATATTTAAAGAATCAATTTATTTCAGAGGTAAAACTAAAATTTTAATCATATATTATCCATAGTTTTCAGATAAATTACATATAAGTAATAAGTGTCAAAACCACATCAAATTTATTGCTCTAAACAACTCACATTCATGTACTTTCTTTTTGGTTGTTACTTGTTGCTCAACTCACATTCATGTGCTTATATCTTAAATAACTCAAATGATTAGTAGTAAACTAAAGCTGTGCCTTTGAAACCTTGCCACATTGCTACACATAGTCAGCTGTTAAGAAAAATAAATCAAAACGAAACAATATTCTATCATCTTTTTCCTCTGCCACTGGTCTCAAACACCCAACTAAAGAGAACTATAATGTAATCATGCATGAATCATAGGAGAGCCGAGAAAAATGCAGTCAACACCTCAGCAGTATGCCATAAAAAAAAAAAAAAATTTCTTAACATTTTACCCAAAAAAAAAAGAATAAAGAGAAACATATATATTTGCTTTGAATAAAGTCAAATCTCACCTATCTAATTTTCTTTCTTAATAAAACTCTGATGCATACCAAAAAAAGGAAGAAAAAAAATTCGAACCGAAATTCAGATTGAATTTGGTGATAATGAAAAAAATGAGTAAAGACAAAAATGATTAAAAAGTGTAGTAGACCCAGATGGTGATGGCCAGCCCAACGTTAACCTTGAATCGCTTCGTCTTCCCTAATCCCCTACGGAGGGAAATTCCCAATTTTGAAATCACAGAAAATTCCAAATCCAAAAATGCAAAATTGAAAAAAAAAAATCTCCCTTAAAGACTCTTCCTTGAAGACGAACCAAACCTCGTTCATTCCTCCTCCGCTCCAATGGAGGAACCCGGTTTGGATCCCGGATCGTACCCAATTCCGCCCGCTTCAGTCCATCTCGCCCCATTCTTCTCCCTCGGTCCGCCTCCGTCTGCTCGTCTCCTGTCAAGCCACTTCACTCGTCGTACCCAGCCACTGCATTCGTCTCGGCGGCTCGGTTACACATCTCTCCAGGGTTTGCTCGTCAATTCCCATGAGGCCAGCTCGGCGCGATCCATCGGCGGCGGCGGGTTGAGCCGAGAGGAAACCCTCGCGTGGGAGCTCTTCACGCCTTACCAAAGGTTCCTGATTGTGGCGGTCATTGGCGTCGCCGCCTCTGAGTCGAAGAAGAATGGTTTGATTCGGCAGCTCCAGAAATCGGTTGACCTCAGGGTTCGTTTCCTTCTTTTATATCTGATAGAGAAAATTTCGTTAAAATTCGCTCCTTTGACAGTTGATTTGATTAATAATATAGCGTTAATCTCGGATTGTTTAGTTAAAGCACTTGGTTACCTCATGATTTTGTTTCATTATGCTTCAATTTCCGTTACTTCCTTTTGAATTCTCTGTTTAACATCATACAATTTTGTGTGTTTTCTCTATAGAAGCGGTGTGTTCTTTAACTGTAAAATGTTTTGATGAATTTGTGGTTTTGTTTCTTTTTTTCGCAGGACCATGTTCTTTCAAGCATGCAGCAGAAGCTGGATGATCTGTGTCAACAACTAAATCTTGCCAAGGATCAGTCTGGAAATGCTTTCAAGGTCTCAGATCATGATGATCTACAATCAACTTTTACAGAAAATTTCGGATCTGAGAAAGTTAAATTCGTAGACTGTGGTTGCTGGCTATGTGATCAACATCATCACTCACCACCTGCTATACAGGTAATGTGTGCTCTCTTGCTTTTCCATGGAAAAATCATTGAGATCACTGAGCATCTTCTATATGAACCAATTTGATTATGTTTTCGCTGTTTCGGCTGTTTAGGATAAAACTCCCACAAATCCGGTGATTGACACAGAGCCAGAGGAAAGGCGTATGTCTTACATGTCAGATTGGTGTTCTAGTGTCACTTCTGCTGCAGAAATCCATGTATGTATGTTTTAGAAACATGTGACTTGCTGAAACAATCTTTGTGGTGAATCTTGTCTGGTTTTTGTTGCAAATGAAGACTACTTAGTTTACATGTTTATTGTTGCAAATGCAGTTCGAGAATCTTTCACTCGACCAAGACATGCTTTCTCTCAGAAAGGAGTGTCAAGAGAAAGATGCTACAATAAAGGACCTAACTTCATTTCTTCAGTTAACCAACAAAGCTGGTTCAAAAGTAAGACTTTTTCAAAAAGCCCTTAAATATTTTAATTTTTGATTTTTGTTTTTATCTTGTAAATTGGAGAAACATGTTTCTATTCTCTCTTTACCAGCGAGAAACAGAACTTGAAGAGATTATTCGCAGGAAGAAGACGATAATTAAGAAGCTCAAGAGAGACGTACTGGTGTTAGAAGAAAAGGTGAGATACTTAGACTACATTGTTCGATTATATCCCAAAGTGTTCTTGGTAACAACACCTTTCAGCATTTAAAATATTACCGTCCATTGGCTGTGAAATGTGTAGGTCACACAGCTCACTAGGCTCCGGAGGTCCTCCTATTCACCTGCAATCCCAAGTACCCGTGAATTCCCAATGAGATTGGACAATCTTCTTTATGATGTGGATGCTTCTACAACTTCTTCATCCTCTGATTCAGACACTCCTGCAAGCAGACCTCGACAAACTGTGGTGGAGGATGATCCAGTTGATTCCATGAAGGAGAAACCTTTATATTTGGGACAAATCCATAAATCAGCCCCAGCTAAATCCTCGGCCTCACTTGTGAAACCTGTGAAGCCGCATTCAGTTGTTACTCCATCAACTAACCGGAAGCCTGTCTCAGCTTCTTATTCTTCTTCTTCATCTTCTTCTTCTTCTTTAAGGATGAGACGGGCTTCTTCTGCTGGTGATTCAAAGAAACCTAGAAGGCCAATTCAGGTTGCCGCAAGAGCTTCCTCAGGTTCAAATAAGAGATGGGTTTAGTAAATATGGTCTACTAGTATGCATCATTTGCCATTTCTGAGAAAAAAAATGCTATATTGTAGCTAAAAGTATGTTATATTCCAAAAAAAATTCATTCCATAATGTTGACTTCATATCAATATCGAATTGGGTTCTTTGAGTTTGAAAATGAGTTTTTCAAGAGAATGTAAATGTTCAGATGTGTCTGCTTAGTCACCAAAAAAAATGACCTTTTGTAATGGAGCAAATTTCAAATTTCTACATCAATCTCTACATCTTAGCCGTTAGTGCAGAAGGAAAAAAAATGAAACAGTCAAAAATCATTTACAATTGCTTGAAGGATTGAGTTTTTTTTTTAAAAAAATTCTTCTCTCTGAGACCTCTTACAGTACGATCTTGTCACTAATGAAAAAAACTTGGGTCTAAAATCTGCATCTCCATCTAAAAGCTTCGAACGAGGCCACCACTAGAGGATCAAAGTAGAGTTTGATTGGATTACTTGGTCTAAAATCTCACAATTTATTCTGAACATTTTTTTGGTCTCACAATTTATTCTGAAAAAGGGCTAATCCGGAATTTTCTTGCAAGTCTTAACTCCTTTTAACACTCTGGGCTCACAAATATCACACGCGCGCGCGCATACCCACACACACTATTCGATCGATTAAGGGAAAAGGCGGGAAAATTAAGACTCCCCAATTTAGCGGACGAGGTCAAAGCAATGGAGAAATTCTTGGTTCCGACTGAATCGTCGCCGCCAGAACCTACAACTGTGCTTAGGTAATTCGAGCGATCTACTGGGTTTTTCTTTTCTTTTCTTCTTCCCTTTATCGTCTTTGTATCCCAAATGGTGATTTATGGACCCGTGAAGGCGACCATGGAAGCGATGTTTAGTCGAATTGAATGGACGATTGGAGGCACACTACCGACACGAATTGTACACTCTGTTTGCTCATTCCTACTCGGAGGTTTACTCTCTCCCTTTCGCTTTCAATTGATTTTTCTGATTAATTTCTTCTTCTGATTCACATTTTGGTTAACTGGGTTCCTTTTTGGGTGGCTAAGATTGGGAAATTTTCACATCTTTATCACGTGAATGAGGGGCCATGTCAAACCCATGTACGATTTTTTCCTTTTAGTTTTTAAGTTTCTCAGTGTTTGATTATTACTATTTTTTTTTTTTTTTGTTGTCTTGGAGCATTTTATTTTGTTGAGAGCTAAGAGTTTGTGTTTCAGATCAACGAGATCTTACACCAGCATTCCTCGACAATGTCAGTCTCTCTTGTTTCGAATATTTACACTACTGACTATGTCGAATTTTGAAGCCGAGTTGGTAACAGATTTGTTAAGTGAATGATTTGTATTTGATTCACTTCCAGGCGAGGCGTTGCGGGGCTTGAGTTTGACAGCCAGGTGAGTTCTCCACAATACTTTTTTTGGTCTTTTCCCGTACATGTTTCAATGTTATTTCATCATTTCTGTTGCTTTAAGTCCTTGTGTTATTTGCCTTGAGTGTCTACTTCTTTGGTTTCTTGTTACCATTTGTGAGGTAAAGGTATTGTTTTCAGGGAATATACATAGTGTCTGTCACACGATCAGGATGCTTGACCGTGCATGACTTTGACACTCTATATTGCCAGAGTAGGCTTGGCCCAGGTAAAGCTTCAAACACTGCTCTCTTACTTGTATAGGCTCTTTATTCAAAAGTCTTTATCTTCTGTCTTTGGTTCTTAGCTGGAATGGTTTCCAAGCCATAGTAATTAACTGAGTCACCAATAATAGGTTCTGTGGAAGATGAGAGTAAGCATGTTGTGCATTTGTCTTTTTCTCTGGGTAGGGAATTCGATGTCGCTAGATGGAATCCTACAAACCAGAATGAGGTATGGACTCCTAACAATCCCCATCTGACATCTTAATTCCTTGTTAGAACTTAAATTTCATAACACTTTTTTTATATAATTTCTATAGGTGGCTTGCACATCGAGGAAACGGGATAAAGTCTCTATCTTCGATATCAGTTACATGTCTCCGAAACCAACTGAGGTATGATTTGAAACATCTGATTTTGAGATGGCATGGATTTTAACTATACATGGTTTTTTTGGTAAATACTTTTAGTTCCAACTCCTGAGACCGCATCATCACGAATTAGGTTGTCTTCGTGCAAGCTCGGTTTATGTTATTATCTAATAGAAACGGACAGAATCACATCTGTATCGCTGTATTTTTACTGAGGCATAGCATATTTTCCTTTCCAATATGGTTTCAACTTTCAAGAAACTAGCGAGTATAGGGAATAATGTCTGTATGCTTCCCATCACGATTATAAGAAAGCCAGGCAATTTTTACTAAAATGTCATTGCCACTGAGATGGTCATGGTAAAATTTATCGCTCGTCAAGTCTTTGTCTGCTCTGCTAAATATTCATGTCCTCCCACCCACATTTCAGTGATTGTTCTAGTTGTGATTCAGGAATTGCAAACTAGACAAAAGCTCTCGATTATTGGCCGCAAAATTTCTAGTGGTTTATCTGACGTTGCCATTACTAGTTATGGAGATTCAAGGTTTGTACCAATGACGCATCCCTGTATGTAAAACTGTTATAGCTTCTTTGTAGCTACTTTCTTCAGCATTTAATCTGAATTTGTTCTTTATGCAGAATATTTTCTCCGGATACATTTGGTACAGTTCATGTGTGGGATAGAAGAGCAGGCGTGTCTCCATGCATTGAACTTTCAACAAACAGATATGATTCGATCAAGAGTATTCAGATATATGTGGATAATCAGGTAATCATAAAATAAGACATCACCACCCCCAGTAAAGTTATGATCCATGAAAATTGCAGTAAGCATTTGACTTGAGATTCAGTTAAGCCCCAAAGTTTTGTTTCTTTCTAGCGACTATGTTTCTTTTCTACCATGTAGACTATTTTTGGAGCTGGTAAAGAAGGAATCATTCATATCTGGGACCTTCGTGGAGGAACAAACTCTACTGCTTTTCAGAGCCGCAAAGATGTAAGTCTTACAAGGGGAGAACCGGAGTTGGCTATGGCAGTATATTTTGTTTTTACTCTTACATGAAATTTACGTTCATTTCGTGTTCTTTGGCTCTTCTAAACATGTATTTGTCGTCACGTTATGACATTGGCAACTTTCAGATGAGCCACTTGCCTTTAGCATCTCTACATCTTACACCGATGCTGCAGAAAATTCCATCTCTTAAGGTAAGTTCTGCCTTTTGATTTGCATCTCACTTGTGCCATCATTCGAGCAATCTTTTGAGGCTTCTTTGATTTTTTCCTAAGAATTTGTTTATCTGAATCAAAATTTTGACTCCCAACTTGTTCCCAAAACCTGAAAGCTGCTTGATTCAATACTCACCGAGAAATACCGAATAGTCATGTGGGAATCATATTAATCCCGAAACTTCCAGCAGATGAGCATTAGAAGAAAGGTTGCATCTCAATTTGAATCCTTTGCAGGCACAATCAGAAATCGTCCCCAAGGAAATCCATTCCATCAATGTAAACCCATCTTCTCCTCATCAACTGGCATTTCACCTTGACGATGGTTGGTAAGTCATTCTTCTATCAACAGTTCATTTCACCTTGGAAAAACGGTTTAATAAGATGCAGTTTTCATGTTTCGTCGCGTTTGTTGAGTTTATATCATTTTCCTTTGGTGGATCTCTCTATTGCAGGTCCGGTGTTCTTGACATTTATAAATCTGAAGTTACTCATGTACATTGCCCTCCTCCAGCTTGGTTGTAAGTTAATAACCAAAACTCAGGAACTTGCTTCTTGATTTGTTACAAGAAGCGATTAGATTGATCTGAACTTGGGGAAAATTTGCTGTAATATTGGATTTTGGTTCACTAGGGATGGTTCCAACAATTCAGCTGACTTGATCTTGCGGAAACCATCATGGCTGCCAACATCATCTGTAAGCCTGCACTTTGTAATACCATTAAAATCGTAACTTCAGATTTCCTGACCTTATCGGATTTTCAATACAAAAATTACATGTTTTCTGTTGCAGATCTATGTGGCTGGGTCCATGAGCGAGAAAGGGATTCATGTTCTTGATTTTCATCCGAGCTCTAGGTCTCCTTGTCATGTTGACTACGAGTAAGGATTTTTCTTAGAAACTCCCCATATGTGTGATGTTCGGATCTAAACTTCTTATACATTGCTAATATCTTGTTGCAGTGAGGATTCACGTAGAAAGGAGAAGAGAGAGAAGTGTAATCACAGTAACAAGTTTGTTTCATTGTCTGAAACTGTCACGGGCTGTGCTGCGCATCCTCTCAACAGCATGATCGTAGCTGGAACTCAGGTATCAAAGTATCGATCAATTTTTTGCCTGTAAGACCATGATTTTGGATTAGTTTTAGTAGTGTCTGGCTAATAAGACAAACCAGTGAAGCAAATAGACTTGTTGGTAGTTGTAGAACGGTGTAATTGGCATTGTGCATTTTATTCTGACAAAAACAAGTTTATTTCTAAATGAAAATGGTGATTCTGCAGAAATCGTCGTTGCTGTTGATCGCGCAGAGACATTGCTCATCTATACCAGAAACTGTAGAAGGTGAATCGTAGCATCTACTAGTTAGAGTGGGCTTGTTGGCTTGTAATATAGAAATAACTCACGAGAATTATATATCAGTATAAGTTTTGCGTTACTGGCCTCGATTCTTATTTCACTGGCGATGCTCTTAAATGATAAAATTAGTGTTATGTATTAGTTAATATTATCTTATTTTTCTGCAAATTGTTCAAATAAGAAAAAAAATTGTAACGCGAGTCAAGAATAAAACCATGCAAACAGGGAAATATAATATGAAGGTATGAAAATCCCGTAAACTATTTTGTTAAAGGCAAAATTGGTCGGAGCGACCACAGTCTCCAACTATTTTAGATGTTACAGAAAAAAAGAAAAAAAAAGATATCTCCAACGGCCGGACTACGCAGTGTCACTGGAACCATACCTAACCACTTAAAAAAGCTGTATAAACAACAACAGACAAATTGTGTTTCAAAAAAAAAAAAAAAAAAACAGACAAGTTGTAGCTAGTCCATCGTATAACACAACAATCAAACTGCATCTTTGGATTCTCTTGGCTTTTTGATATGTTGAGACTTTTGATTGGTTTTTTTTGGTAATAAGTAAATCTTGTATAAAATTATTTACTTCGGAAAAGAAAATCCAACATCGAAACTAGGTAGGTACGGGGTGTTTAAAATTTTGCTAGGTGTTAATCATAATTATGTTCATGAGTTCCACATGTTTCATACCATCTAAAACAGATTAGTTGTGACATTCAAACTTCTTCGCATATAACTGTTACATTCTATATGTGTATGATAATACATAATTATAACTTGTTAGTTGTTAGATATATTCAACAGACAAATCTAATCATGAAAAAAAATGTCAACCAAACAGATTTTATTTCATGCAAATAAGCGGAGAAATATACAATCAAGTAATGGGAATATGTATTAATCCCCAAAAACTATAACGATAAAATACCATATGGTTTCAAAACTCAAGTACCTCGAATCCTCCTAGCAAGCTGGAGATCCTTAGGCATGATGGTCACTCGTTTGGCATGTAAAGTACACAAATGCGTATCCTCAAACAAACCAACGAGAAAAGCTTCAGCGGCTTCTTGGATAGCAGCAACAGCAGTGCTCTGGAACCGTATATCCGCATTTAAATTTCGAGCTATTTCTTTCACCAGTCTCTGGAATGGAAGTTTTTTTATCACTGTTTCTGTGCTCGTTTGGTATTTCCTGATCTCACTTAGTGCTGCAGTACCTGGCCTGTATCTATATGGCCTTTTAGCAATCCTAAAGCTGTTGTTCTTTACTTCCATCATGTCAGGATTCCCTGGGGCTTTTCCTCCTGTTGACTGCCGAGCTGTCTGTTTGGAACGAGCCATTTTGAACAAACAAAAATTGAAATGTGAAAAGCTTTAGATTTGATTGTGAAAGATGTGTGTTGTAAATTTGTGGTTGAAGACATTTATTTGTTTGTTATAAATGAAAATTAGGAAAAAATCTTCGTTAAAGGAATTTTCAGGTGATCTTATCCGCATGGAAATAGATTTAGCCAATAGAAACCGTTAATTTGTTTTCATTTCTTAAAAGTAAAAAACAACCGTAGATTAGTGAGAAAACCAACGCTCGATATTTGTCATCTCAAATTGTAATCTATGTTGGCTTGCAATGACCAATAAAAATGCAAATACACAAGTAGAATTTTTCACAAAAATTTATCACCATTACATAATAGGAGAACTTTGATTAAATATTTCCTCTAAAGCTTTGGAAAAAGAGTATAATGCAACAATAGTCATTCAAGAAAAAATACGAGGTTAATGTTAATATATGTTAAAATGATATAGCAAATAAAGACCGTTGATTTGCTTATGCCATTCAAAATTCCCAACAAGTGTAAATTAAATTTTAAAAAACCAATACATTTACACTGTGATCTATGATATTGTGCAACAATCAATTAAAATGTAAAAATGTGAAAAAAAAATTATATTTGATTGTGAAAGATGTTTGTTGAAAACTTGTAGTGGTAGACATTTATTTGTTTGCTCTAAATGGAAAATTAGGAAAAAAAAAACTTTGTTATTAGAATTTTCAGATGATTTTATCCGTATAGAAAAAGATTTAGCCAATAGAAATCGTTAGTTTGTTTTCACTTTTTAAGAGTAAAAAAAACCGTAGATTAGTCCGAAAACTAACGCTCAATATTTGTCCTCTCAAATTGAATTCTGTTTTGGCTTGCAATGACCAATAAAAATGCAAAATAGTACATAAATAAAATTGTTCTCAAAAGCTTATCACCATTTCAAAATTGGAGAACAATGATTAAATATTTCCTCTAAAGCTTTGAAAAAAAGAGTATTATGCAACAATAATCATTTAAAGAAAAATATGAGATTAATGTTAATATATGTTAAAAATGATATAACAAATAAAGATTGTTGATTTGCTTCTGCCATTCAAACTTTCAACAATTGTAAATTAGATAGAAAACCAATAAATTTAGTATGTGATCTACGATGCTGTGCAACAATCAATAAAAATGTAAAATATCTTAACGGACGGACTTTCTTACAAAAGCCCATCCCCATTTCACAACACAAGAAAGTTGATTTATAAATATGAGGTAAATGTTGATTTGTGTTAAAATTGATGTAACAAATAAAGACCGTTGATACGTTTAAAAAAAAATACAAATAACGACCGTCGACTTTCTTCCGCCTTTCAAAATTCTACGAAAACATAAAAAATAAACTATTCAGTAAGGATGATCATCCCGTTTAATTTACTAGAAAACTAGATATGTGTTTCAGTGTTTTGCATTATATATATTTTGTTTTTACTCTTTAGTTATTAGATGAGGTATGAACTAACGCATGATGCAGACACGCATATTTAGTTTGTTAGTAGATTTAGGGAGATGATCGTCCTTAGTGAATAGTTCACTTTCTTATGTTTTCATTGTCATGTAGAAAAAGGGTAAGGTATAAGTTTAAATGCGAGATTAAGGACGACTCGATATTTTGATATTTGAGCTTATGGGGTTTTAGTTATTTGGAATAAACACTATTATAGCCTTCATACATTTAAATGACAATTTTTTTTTCTCATAAAAAAGGTCCTCCATAGAATATGGACAAAAATACTAATAAATCTAATATATTTAAACGCATGATTCTGGGTTGGTTATTTGAAACAGCTTATTTCCATTATTTTTGCGGGGTATTACAAACTCCTTTTCAGTAAATCATTTATTTAAAATTTTGGTTTAAAATTTAAAACACATTTGACACTAAAGAAACCAAATATATTTTGGTGATATACATAAACTATATCAGTTCTAAGAAAAAGTGAACTCATAAACATCATTCAGAATCTAGAATACTATGGACAAAAAATCAATAGACAAATTTAAATATTTTGAAACTGTTGAAAGAAATTTGTTTAGAAATGAACCTTAAATAAATGGTAACAAAGAAGTAAGTGTAAAGAAAATTAATAGTTCATTCGCAAGAAAAGGGCAAAAAGGCTACAAGGCATACTTTTACGCATGTGGAGGGTTTGACAAAACGCTTTATTAGGTTAGACTCTTTGTACTTTATATATGGGTTCGGTGGGTTTGGTTTTGAAAGTTAAACACAATTACTTAACAATAATTTTCTCATCATTAAATTATTAACAGTTTAATACATTTTTTCTTAAAGTCTTGACTTCTTTTCTTGCTGATGTAAAAAAACTCGCCTTTACAACATTATTGCAAATCAACTCTTAAGAAATGATCAATCCCACACGGAAATATTATCTTCTATTAACAAATCTGGTTTTGTCTGAAAGTCTTCTTGGCTTTTACTTATTTGTTTTCTAATAAACCCATTCTTCTGAGAGACTTTTCTTATCGCCTTTGATCTTCGTGGTGATATGCAAGATCATTCGACAAATCTTTAAAATTTTCAGGATTAAAGAACCGATTATAAGAAGAAGATATATAGAAAATTTAACATACCCAAAAAGGCTGAGAAACACGAGTTCACCCCGATAACGCTTTATATGACCTTTTCAGTTTTCATCTGGTCAACTTTTCACCCAAACTTTTTTTTCTCTAAATTTTAATTTTAATGCGCTTATATATAGTGTCTACCCTAGGGTTTCTTTTTTATCTGATCGATCTCTTACGCTAAAAGGCTGTTAATTTTGTTCATGGAATAATTAAACACGATTATGTCTGTCTGAAATTGTTTCAATCTATATAGTAATATAATGTTTTAGTTGATGGCCACTTAAACCATAAAATGATCTAAACGTGAATTAAATCTTTAGTTTCTAAGCGTCAAATTACTGATCGGTTAGTGTGTATGGTGTTTCTGTGAACGTCTTCATCGGGCTATTCGCATTTGATACACAGACAATAATTCAACACAATTTACACACAGTCCAAATTTAAACTCGAAGTACGCCACACCAACAACATTATCACAAACCAAGTAGACTATTCGATCAAATATGATAACGCATGTAAGAAAAAAAATATGAAAATTTTGATTTCATTACTTAATAGTGCTGACTGATATAGAAAAACCGATTATTATTTTCTATTATTGTCAACAAAATAGAAACCAAAAATTTGTTATATTTCTTGAGACCTCTAATCAATTGCAATAGATTTTGTAACAATGAGGTGATTCGTGATATATTCTCCAATGACTAATATGGTACTTTTGATGACATTTTAATCATTTAATATTATCTAGTTTTATTATTTTTATAGTACAAGTTTGGTTGGTAATAAATCTAGTAATTATCAAGCAAAACTTTTAACCAATTTATCCACACACATTTTTCCCCCTCAAAACCACATAACACGGTGGAATTGTGTTTCGTAGTGGAGAAAAGAACAATCATGTAGAAAGAGTGGAAGTATATTTCATAAACTTATAAACGACATTTTATTTAAACTGTTCAATTGTTCTGCTATGTTAGCATTTTACCAAAGAAACAAAAATAGAAAGTGATACAAAGATAATAGAGGAAAATGCAAGGAAATCGAAAAAAAAAACAAAGTAAACAATGAGGGGCATTTTGGTAAACTTAAGGAATTGGCTCTGCCCTTCACATGCGCTCTTTTTATCAGTCCTTTTTAGAGAAGGGAGACAGAACATTCTTTGGATTTTCTCTCTCTCACACACAGATATCATCCTCATCACAACCCTTTCCTCTCGCACAATCGCATTCACTATCTCTCTTCTCTCTCTCTTTTTTTTCTCTCTCTCTCTTTGTTTTGTGTTACATCATCTAATCTTCGTGTTCTTGTTCTACCATATATGGCTTCTTCTGAAACAAGAATGAACAAGGGAAGAGAAAAAGAAGAGGCCATAGCAAACGGAGTGATGAAGGTGAGAGCACTTCAAGCGGGTCTTATGCAGAAGTCAAGCCCATCTTCTACTTACATTATCAGAGTCCCTTCTTCCTCTTCTGCTGCTTCACCTGCCTCTCGTCCTCTCCCCAACCTCTCTGCTCATGATTACCCTGTTTTCACTCCTGTAACTTCTCTCTCCTTCTCTCTTCACTTTTTCTTGTCTCTAACTTGATTGCTTTCGACATTTTGTATGGGAATTTGGGTTTGTTTTAAAGCTATTGGATTTCTAAAGACATTTTTTTTAAAAAACTTCATCGAACCCGAGATTTATTGGTCTAACCCGGTTTAAGCTGTGTAATTATTGCATTTCAGTATCTAATTTACCTTTTTATTAAAGAAACAGATTGTATCTTTCTCATCTCATTTATTATTGTATACATGTCTTTATGCGTTTTGGAGCTTCACATAACTTCCATTATTTTGAGAAAAAAATACATTATGTAATTTGGTTAAACCCTTTAATAATTTAAACCACTGTGAAGTGTGTAAGTATAAAAGACAAACAGAAAAGACCTGAATTTGGTAGAACCATTGTTTTTCTTTTGTCCTAAGCTGACATACTGTACTGAATTTGGACAGAAGCAACAGTATTTCTTACTGTACACATTTTCTCTGCTTAACTTCTTTCTTGGTTTTGAAACAGAGCTATGAGGATGAGCCTGTGTCTGCATTTCATCACAAGAATCTCACTTTATCTGAGAATTGGGATGAATCTGGTGTTGGTTTAGTGGAAGGAGACGAAGATCAAGACTTGAGGCATACTTACCTCTCTGATTCTTACAAAACCTCAAATTCAAGAAAGACTTTCACGCCTCATCAAGATTCTCATCATCATCATCAACAGTCTCATGTTTACACGATGTCTGACGCTCTCAAATCCCCACCGCTACATTTTTATACTTCCGGTAGAAGCAACTGCGGTTCGGTTGACTTTAGATCGGTCTCTTCTTGCAATGAGTATAAACAAAGAGGTTTCGACAACAAGAGCTTGAAGAGCTCTAATCTTGTTGTGCCCTTGACGGATTCTCACTCATCTATTGTTTCTTCTCAGCCAAGGAACCGTGGAGGAAGAGTGATGTCTTGGTTATTCCCCAAGTTAAAGAGGAAGCAAAAGAGCAACTCTATCTTTAATTCCCCTAATAGAACTGAGAAATCAGAAGAAGTTTCCGAGGTGTTCAAGGACTCTGGTTCTGGTGTTGAGAAGTTGAAGAGGGAGTTGATGGAAGCAAATAGAAGTAGGGACGCTGCGTTAACACAAGTCTCAGAGATGAAATCTTCGTTGGGAGAGTTCAGTGAGAAGCTTCAGTACTTGGAAAGATACTGTGACAGTTTAAAGAAAGCTTTGAGAGAAGCAACAGAAGTAGTGTCACAAGAGAACACTAATGCTGCAAAAAGCTCAGGGAAGAAGAACTCAGAGATGCCAGTGAGTGAGGATGTGATGGTTGAAGGATTCTTGCAGATTGTATCGGAATCAAGACTATCGATTAAGCAGTTCTTGAAAACGTTAGTTTCAGAGATCGATGAAGAAGACTCTACTCTAATCGGAAACATCAACACTCTCCTTCAACCCCACAACCTATCATTCACCTCCAAGTACTCCAAAATCATTCAGTACCACTTAGAAGCGATCATAAGCCAATCGGTATACCAAGATTTCGAGAACTGCGTATTCCAGAAGAACGGTAAACCAAAACTGCTTGATCCGGAACAAGAGCGACAAGCAAAATTCTCGTCCTTTGCTTCTTTGAGAAACTTGAGCTGGAACGAGGTATTGAAAAAGGGTACAAAATACTACAGTGAAGAGTTCAGTAGATTCTGCGATGAGAAGATGAGTTTGATCATTACAACATTGAATTGGACGAGACCTTGGTCTGAACAAATGCTTCAAGCATTCTTTGTGGCAGCAAAATGTGTATGGTTGCTCCATTTGCTTGCCTTCTCGTTCAGTCCAGCGTTAGGGATCTTGAGGGTTGAGGAGAACAGAGTGTTTGAACCGAGTTATATGGAAGATATGGGTGCAGATAGAGACAGGCAGAGATCATCATCGTCCCGTGGACCGGCACGGGTTAAGGTTATGGTGATGCCTGGGTTTTATGTTCAAGATAGGGTTTTGAGATGTAAGGTTCTTTGCAGGTACAAGTCATTAGGTTGAAGAGAGTCACACTCTCTAGTCTAATCATTTTTTTCTTTTTAACTTTTCCTCTTATTTATTTATCTTTTGTGTTTCTTCTCTTAGTTTTCAGTGGTCGTTTTTTTTACATTTGTTTTTTTTTGTTAAGAATTATTATAGGTTATTTTAATTGTTGTCAATGTCAAATATTAGTTGTCAAGCAGGTTTTGTTTCTTTTTTTTTATATGAGAACAAATTATACCCGATTTCTCTGTCGAAGAAAGTGTTGCCAATTGGAGATTTTTTTTTATTTGGGTTAAAAATTGAGTTTCTTTTCAAAAATGTAATAAATTACTTTTGTCTTTTCTTCAAATTAACCAAAAATTATTGCATAAAGTTGTGCAAGTTGTGCAACGACAAACGAAATGGACCCTTTTTTATTTCTCAATTTCAAAAGTCTAGTTTGTTTATGAAAAGTATAAGATATAGATATAGACTATAGAGAAAACTGTGGAAGAACTGTAACTGAAAAACAGACTCACAGGTTAAAATACATTATATGTGGGCCTAAAGTATTAGTATATCGTTAGCAAGGCCCATAACTTTTTTTTTGGTTGCCTCCATATCTCTCTTTTGTGTGTAGGCCAGAAAGATAATTTATGATCGAGGAGCTCTTGTATTCTATAGTAAGTCCATAAACATTTTGAGCTGGCATCTTGTTACTGACTTACTGGGACATAAGTCAACAATGTTGTAGAACTATTGGCCGTTTATATATATCTTCAGTTCATGAATTTATCCCCCAAAAACAAATCTATAATTATAATTAAAAGAGTCGAAGTCACTTATCAAGAAAAGAAATCATCTAATACACTATAGTTGCGTGCCTGAATTTAATTAAAATCCGGCACGCCTTTCGAACAGAACTAAATTTAACTAAAAAGCCAACGTCACGTCACAATAATAAATGAGTTCTTGAAAAAGAAAAAAAAAAAATGGACGAATGAGGAAAAGAAGAGACTAGAAAAGTGAGTTGACCAAACGCGCCTCTTTCAAGAGTGACAAATAACGTGAACTCTCTTCCACTTTCAATTCAGACCAAAACACACACATTTGCTTTTGTCTGAATTTTTAAAGTTATCATCAACACGGCAAACACCCAACCGCAAAAATCTCGTTTCTCCTCAGGAAATGGCGGATGCTAAACTCAGAAATCTGAAAATAGTGATGTTTCCTTTCATGGCACAAGGCCATATCATCCCTTTTGTAGCTTTAGCCCTTCGCTTAGAGAAGATTCTGAAGAACAGAGACAAAACCACCATCTCTTTGGTCAACACTCCTCTGAATATCCCCAAAATACGCTCCAATCTTCCACCTGAATCCTCCATAAGACTCATAGAGTTACCTTTCAACAGCTCCGATCATGGCCTCCCTAGCGACGCCGAGAATTTCGATTCTCTCCCTTACTCTCTCGTCATCAGCCTTCTAGAAGCTTCAAGATCGCTCCGTGAGCCCTTTCGAGACCTGATGAAGAGGATCTTGAAGGAAGGAGATGATGATCAGAGCAAGGTTATGGTGGTCGGTGATTTCTTCTTGGGATGGATCGGTAAAGTCTGCAAAGAGATGAGTGTCTCTTCAGTGATCTTTAGCGCTTCTGGTGCTTTTGGGTTAGGCTGTTACAGATCCGTGTGGCTTAACTTGCCACACAAAGAAACTAAACAAGATCGGTTTCTCTTAGATGATTTCCCAGAGGCAGGGGAGATTGAGAAAACTCAGTTGAATTCTTTCATGTTAGAAGCTGACGGAATCGATTCTTGGTCGGTTTTCATGAAGGAGAATTTGCCCGGATGGTCTGATTTCGACGGATTCTTGTTCAACACGGTTGAGGAAATCGATCAGATCGGATTATCTTACTTCCGTAGAATAACCGGTTTTAAACCGGTTTGGCCAGTCGGACCGGTTTTGCTCTCTCCGGAGAGAAAGGATTCGGGATCGAAGTCGACAGAGGAAGCTGTGAATGCATGGCTTGACTCAAAACCGGATCATTCGGTGCTCTACGTATGTTTTGGTTCAATGAACTCTATCTCTCAAACTCATATGTTCGAACTGGCTATGGCATTAGAGACTAGTGAGAAGAACTTCATATGGGTCGTGAGGCCTCCGATAGGAGTGGAGGTGAAGAACGAGTTTGATTTGAAAGAGTATTTACCGGAAGGATTCGAGGAAAGGATAAGCAGATCGCAAAGAGGAGTGATTGTGAAGAAATGGGCACCACAGGTAGATATATTGTCACACAAGGCAACGTGTATGTTTTTGAGTCATTGTGGATGGAACTCGACACTCGAATCGCTTAGCCATGGTGTGCCATTGCTCGGATGGCCAATGGCTGCTGAACAGTTCTTTAACTCGATATTGATGGAGAAACATGTTGGGGTATCGGTGGAGGTGGCGCGTGGGAAGAAGTGTGGTATCAAATGTGATGAGATTGTTTCTAAGATCAAATTGGTGATGGAGGAGGAGAGTGAAGTAGGGAGAAAGATTAGGAAAAGGGCTAAAGAGGTGAAGGAATTAGTGAGGAGAGCAATGGAGGGTGGAGTTAATGGGTCTTGTGTCAATGGTTTGGAAGAGTTTCTTGGTCAAGAAAGAGATGAAATAAGAAAATAGGTGGTTTATAAGCATCTTATTCGGAGTCATATATTGGAAAATAATGAATAACCATGACCGGTAGTTATATTATACCACATAGGTGTTGTGATAAGAGGAGTTAATGTTTTATAAAACTCGAAGAGTGGTACACTCGATTCGTTTGTTTCTCGAGTTTTCAGCTTAGATAATTTGGAGTAAAACAAGGTGTGGGTTATGAAGACAAAATAGGACGACAATATATAGAGGGGATAAAACCCAAAAAAATAAAATAAGAGCCGGCTGTGAAAGTCTTTTCTATATGTTTCTAGGCAACAATCTGATTCTAACGATGCAGTTTCACAAGTTATAGTAAGTATCCTCTGTTTTTGTGCTATGTTTTAACAACAATGTCTAATGTCTTATGTTTTTTTTTTTCTGTATAGGATATTTGCCAATGTCTGTAATGTCTCATTTCTCTCACCAATGTAAAGAAAAAACAATGTTAGAGCGTTGAAAACAGAGCAAGAAAAGAACACATTTCTATTTTCTCAAATAATAAAAAAAAAATACAAAAATAAGAAATTCTTGTAAGGTTTTATAGTCTTATCTAAATAACAAGAAAACTTAATAACCTAGAAAATAATTTTAAAATTATAGCCTGAGCAATAAAAAAAAATCAAAGAAAAATAACATCCAAAATTAGAATATTCTATAGAATTAAATCCGATCTAGTAGGCACTTTTTCATTTTCTTTTTAATATATAGCAGGATATACATTAAAAAAATATACAACGACACAAGAAACAACTAAATCGCGAATTAGATTTTCCATATCTTTTTTTATACATTATTTCCAACGCCAGATCTGTAATTTTTTTTTTTGGTCGATTTTTAAATTAATTTCTCGAAATTACGTTTAGTCTTTTTTTTTTCTTTCTTTATTCAATTCAACGAATCTCACCGTTTTAATAGCTCTACAAATTTCTCCCTATAGCAAGTAGGACTAGTATAGGAGCAAAACAAATAAATAAATTAAGATGTTGTTGCCATGTTGTTAAATTATAATAAAACCAAAACTTTTGACTTTTGTTAAAACAACTATTCCTCTATATAATTAAGGCATCCCATGAGACTCAACATCTAAAAAAATAAAAAATAAAAAGTATAAAAGCTTCAAAAATTCTCTTAAAGGAATTTGAAAGATGAGACGATCATGGCCGACACGCCTCATCTTATTGATGGTTCTCACCGTCGTAATCACCATGATTGCCGTAGCCTATGGTTATTCCTCTGTCTCATCACAAAATCATAAGTTTCCTCATTACAAATACAAAGCCCCACTTCCTCCGACTACTTATTCTCCTTACCGTTATTTCTCGCCGCCTCCACCTCCTCCGGTTACTGATTCATATTAATTATGCAGCTTTTGCTCGATCAACGCAGTGTCGCACGTCAATTCTTGGTTTTTGTTTCCTATGCTCACTATTCTTTTTTTATTATTATGTTTTTTCTTTTCTTTTTGAGTTTGATGTAACAAAATTATTTAATGGCCAGTTTTCCAAGTTAACGCGAGAAAGGTATGCACGAAATCGATTGTTAACATTATGTGAGATGAATAATTATCAGAATTATTGCAGTAGTTTCTGCTATTCTCTTTGTTTTGGGGCCGGGGTAGATTTTAGACTATTCAATGAAGTAATTATTGGATTACGACTTTGTTAGTATACGAACTGTGTTTGATGTTTAAGAACGTGGAATAACTTCCCCAAAAGTGTGACCATATGAAGAAAGAGTTTTTTTTTTTTCTAAATTGCTATGCTCTCTCTCTTTTTTTAAATATCCAAAAAAAAAAAAATCTCATTTAAGAAAAACCGTTGAAATCATATCTAATTCCACTTTATCGTTTAACATATTAGAATAAAATTTGATCTTGGTTACTTAGACAAGATCAGCTAATACTGAACGCGGAGTGACTTCGTAGATAATCACATAGGTTGAAAATTCGTTAAGTGAGTCTAGATCGGAGTTCAATCAATTTCTAGTTTTAAGTTCTAGTTGACCAATGTCATCTAACAAAAAATATCCATTTTTTACAGGTTTCAGACTTGTTTAGGATTGGATCAGAATTCCTTACATATATATTCCATATTGAAAATTTGGATATGTTAATGAATTCCATTAGCGCCCCATTAGCCAAAAAAATTAGTGGTGCCCTACTACATTTAGCTTTTAGTACTTTATACTGGAAAAAAGTACAAAATTGAAGTATTATTACCCTATTGACTTTTTCTTTTATTTTGACTGAAATATGTTCATTTGAAGCCGTCTTGGCCGACGCGGTTTAGCTAGGTTGTAGATTATGAGAAGGCAAATTTTATTTTATTCTTTTTAAAGTTATAAAATCGAATATAACGCCGCGTCAAAGCAAATACAACGAAAAATGGTCAAATAAAACAAAAATAACAGCTTAACAAATGTAAGGTATTAGCTGCTAACAGCTAATACATGTAATGAAATTATTAACAGGTAATAAACTTCTTCTATGACTTTTTGTTGCACTAATAGTTTTTAAATCTTTATCAATAAACCATTTGCTGATCCAACAGGACGGGATGGGTATAGGTTGAAGATTACAATTGCTGCTGATGGAACTGTTCAATTGAAAGAGCATGAATTCCATTTTTATATGTGTGTTTCTTCAAAGACAATCTAATCAGACACAAGTGGTAACAGAAAGTTATCCACCACAAATTTTAAGTAAATGCATAATGATTAACCAATTAGATTTTGTCACCAAAAAGATAGACCCTCAAGTGAGTAATACTTTAATTCATCTTTTTGTTATTATTATTCCAAAAAAAAATAGATATGTAATACATATATAAAATTATAGGTTAAGATACATCACCCTGTAAAGTAAGATTCAAGTTTAAGTTAATGCTTTGATTCAATGGTCGTTTGTTAATTTTCCTTTATTCGGGGCTCTCTTCTCATGAATGATAATTGCTTTCCTCGTTAGTAACCACTTTGTCTTCATTTAAGAAAATGTTATACTGTATATGCATGATTAATATATTTTCAAATGAATAAACTTGAGGTTTCCGTTACCAGTTTCAAAAGAGTTTAAATTCACATGACCCTACACTTGTACAGTAATTAACCTCACTCTACTGTATAGCAGCTAGCCAAGTTTAGCATAGAATCGCAATTAAAAAAATCAACTTTTACAGTTTTGTTACAATATAATGATTGTTTCCTTTGTTAATAATTAATTTATTACCAAAAACTCACGTTCCCCTTACGATAAAGGAACATATATTTTCTTGCTAAAACACAGTCTCTACTTCGTTTATACAAATTGAATATTCGTTTGAGTTTTTAGTGAATAGATCCCTGAAGACATCTGATCCTTTTTACAAAAAAAAAAGAAGAAGAGAGACATCACTTAATTAATGTATAAATACTCAAAGTTTGTAAATTCGCTACATGTCAAGTGAGCCTAATGGTAAGAAAAATGAAAATTGATGAACTTATGATTATCTTGTTTAGATCCAAAAACAAAAGTCTTCACAGGGCGTGTTTGATTTCAACAAAGCACAATATTTCCCCTGTTACATAAGATATTGGGACTTGCCCATTAGAAATTATGTTCACGAAGTATTTAACTTCTTTTGTACTTTATCTATGGATGTTTTATTTATGATTATATAAAAGTTATGTTTTTTCGGATGGGTGGGCTAAAGATATTGATATTATATAAATCATACGAGTGTAAATTGAGAAGTTAAAAATCATGACCCACGTTTATATCAATAAAAAGAGAAAATATATGATTAAGGAGTATAATTTTTTCTCCATAACAATAATTTGATTTCTTCAAGTATACGTGTTGGTGCGCGAGAGGTGGTGGTGTAAAGCCGAAGCAAAACTTCTTTCTCGGCTAAGCCTAAATATAAAACAAACAAAAAGAGTTATGACACTCGTCGACTTATTATTTATACAATCGAAATATGCTGATATACGTAAACAATTAATGGAATAACACAACATTTGCTTACCTTGAAAATGAAGACATCTTTGTATAGAAAATAGACATGTTCATGAATATATATTATATATATTGCACACGTAAGGTTAACGAATTAGACATGTCTGTAATATATACCTTGTGAATGAAGAAACTAATATACATGGGTTATATAATCAAAAAGAAAAAGAAGGAAAAAAAAAACAAAAAGAACAAGTGAAGAGCACTTCTCCTTGTTGTCTTTGATGTTTGCATTTTGGGTCTCTCTCAAAACCGTTTTCGTCCATGACCGATCAACTAACGTTTCTTCACTTGGTTAAATTAGTTATATACAAGCATACATTTGTTGTTGGTGTATTTTATTCTCCTAAAAAAATAATGGTCTACTAAAATTGGATATAAATATATAATTTGAAAAAGAGCCCTGGTTCGGATGTTTTTTTTTTTCATGTTTCAAAACAAAGCAACATACCATCTATTCTATTATATTATAGTATATAAACGAAATAAATAAAATTTGTGTAACAAGTATATAAAATAATACTAAAACCAAGGAATAGAGATTAAAAAGGAAGAAGAAGAAAATTGCTGTGTAATGGTTTTCCTTCCCAGAATTGTAAGCAAACCATACAACCATCCCTTTCATCATCATCATCATTCTCCCTTCATCAAGTCTTCTCTTTTTTTCTCTCTCTATTATAAAAACAAACTTCACTCGTTCACATCAATAAATCGAGCCTTGAGAAAGACAAACAAATTTAAGAGAAACAATTAACTCAACAATGAGGAAACCAGAGGTAGCAATTGCAGCTACTAATCAAGTAAAGAAGATGAAGAAGGGACTTTGGTCTCCAGAAGAAGACTCAAAGCTGATGCAATATATGATAAGCAATGGGCAAGGATGTTGGAGCGATGTCGCCAAAAACGCAGGCCTTCAACGATGTGGCAAAAGCTGCCGTCTTCGTTGGATCAACTATCTTCGTCCTGACCTCAAGCGTGGCGCTTTCTCTCCTCAAGAAGAGGAACTCATCATTCGCTTTCATTCCATTCTTGGCAACAGGTTTATATTTTTTGCCATCATTTTGCTTATTTTTACATGTTTTTCATTAAGAAATAAGCTAACTCTAGTGGATAAATGTTCTTCTAGCTAGAGAACTAGCATTTTTCAGGTGAATATTATTTTTAAATTGTCTGGCTAAGGTTTTGTGGGAACCCTTTTTACAAAAAAAAAAAAAAGGTTTTGTGGGATAATGGGTAAAAGTAAAAAAAAATCTTAGAAGGCCAATTAAGCCTACTGTTTTAGAACAGAAGTCCACCCTAAAACGGCCAAATAAGAAGTGAGCTATCGCCTCATGTATGAAGCAAGTTAACATAATTCATTCTGTGTGTGTTGCTCTATTGTGAATATGATATGCATTATACTATAAATTTCATAGATACATATACGTCAAAGAAATGTATAGTCGAACTTCATGTTGAAGATAGAGTTTGGTTCGAATTTTCATTGGCACGATAACTATTTAAATTCAAAGGGATGAATGATTGTTTGTGAAGAAAGTTGACTCAATAGAAATTTGAATTATATAAAAATAGTAATAATAGAAAATAGACGCAAAAAGCCTAATTAGGGATGAGTACATTTACATGTAATTATGTGAATGGTCAAAGTTCGGTAATCGTGGGTGTTACGACTTCAGAGTCCATCTTATCAATAAACACTTGTTTTAGTGAAAGCGGCTTTTGTCTCTCTATCACCTTTTCTTCTCTTCTTTAGGGTTTTACTTCAACTTCCATTTTCTAATTATGCATATGTAAATTTGTTACCTGTCACTTTCTCCAGAAACATACATTCATTAGTTTATACTTTACGTTGAAAATGATTTCCAAAAAAGAATTTTATATTTTATATTATATAATCTCTTCCGATCCGTTTTAAAATGTTGCTTCAACAGGTTTTATACGAATTAAAACAACTTTTTTTTTTTATTGGGCCAAAGAACTAAAATAAAAAGTTTAAAAATGTTATTGTACCTATAAAAACTATTCGAGTCGTGGGCTTATGTTAACTTTTATATTTATTTGTTAGTTTTGAATAGAGATAAATTATTACATACTTTTGTGTCAAAACTTAATTATGTGAGATCATATAACGACTATTTGGTTTGAAAATAAAAGTTAAGTGTCTAAAACTGTAGTTATTGTGTATTTTTCTAATACCTTACTTGTATTGCCTTGTTTAAACTTGTCAGTTTCAAAAACTAATTTTCTCGAACAAGTTCTAATTCCCATGCAAACCATGCACTTGTGTAAATTTTATATAACATCGTCTCATAATATTTCTTCATCTTTCGAAATCATAGGTGGTCTCAGATTGCAGCAAGATTGCCTGGTCGGACCGACAACGAGATCAAAAATTTTTGGAACTCGACAATAAAGAAAAGGCTAAAGAAGATGTCCGATACATCCAATCTCATCAACAACTCATCCTCATCACCTAACGCAAGTGACACCTCTTCTAATTCTTCCTCTTCTTTGGAGCTTAAAGACATTATAGGAAACTTCATGTCCTTACAAGAACAAGGATTCGTCAACCCCTCTTTGACCAACATAACAACCAACAACAATCCATTCCCAGCGCCACACATGATCAGCCACCCGTGTAATGACGACTTTACCCCTTACGTAGATGGTTTCTTTGGGGTAAACACAGGGCCACAAGGGGAACTCTACTTTCCACCTCTGGAATGTGAAGAAGGTGATTGGTACAAGGCAGATATTATTAACAACTTAGACGACATGAACAATAATGGAGCTGGAAACGTACCTGAGAGTATGAGAATGGAAGAATATTGGGACCTTGACCAGTTGATCATGAACACCGAGGTCCCTTCGTTTTACTTCAACTTCAAACAAAACCTATGAATTTTTACGTCATCTTATTCTTTTTCTGTTGCGGAATTATACTCAAGATTCTTAGCCTCACATAAATGCAAATATATATACATTGTTATAGTTAGATGAAAGTTAGAGAGTGTTTTGTATTTCGAATAATCTTTTCATACTAGGGCTTGACGTGCCATGTCTAATGATTAGTCAATGTAAAATACATATATCTCTTAATAAAAGAAGAAATAAACAAATTAATACAAGCTTGAGCTACTAAAAAGGTATAGTCGATTATTGCGCATTGTGTGGTCAATCTTGCATAAAATATCGAGGAATGGGATCTATTTCGGTTACATTAAAGTGAAACACATATATAATAGATAAGTCGGTATAACCGTATAACCTACACTGTGTTATCTTGGTGTCAAACCAAGTTCGAACTTCGAAGAAAAGCTAAAGCTTTCAAATCACTCATGGAAATATATTGTTTTAACGATTCTCTGGTTACAAATATATTTTAACATATGCGACCATGCATTCCACATAATGAATGATATATGAAAAATATTTGTTACCATACATTAAAAATAATTTCTATTCTTTCTTCTGATGAAATTAAGGTCAATAATTTACTAATTATATGTTACATTCCAACATAATTTTACCTTTTCAAATAATCCTATAGTAAAAAATAAAATTAAAAATTTAAATTCATAGAAAATTTGGTTGAGTGAAGGCTTTTTTGTTTGTGTGTTTTGCTGGATCTAAAAGACCATATGGATTTGACAAAAAAAAAAGGGGTAAAAAAAAAAAAAAAAGACCATATGGCTTTTGGATGGTATTTTGGCCAATAGATGAGGTGACCCACCAAAGACGGAGATCTCAATTTCCCACCTCACGACTTGTACTCTTAACTCATCGCCGTATCTTGATCACTCATCTCTGTCCGTAGATTCCTTTTTCCACATCCACCGTCCGATTTTTCATCCAACGGTCATCATTCAAGTCTCTTCTCATTTCCTCTTCTTACTCCTCTTCTTCACTCTTGTTTCTTCTTCACGTCCTTTGCTCTCGCCGACGCTACAACAATGGCGTCTCTCGCTCTCTCCGGCTCCTGCTCTCTCGCTTTTCCCCTCAAATCTCGATCTCTCCTTCTCCCTCGTCCTCCTTCCTCTCTCAATTTGCTGAAACCTCTCCGATCTGCCGATTCTCGCATCTCCTTACTCAAATCTCCACTTCCCGTCGCTCTCACCCGGAGGTCAACTCTCGTTAAAGCCTCTTCCGCCGCAGCTGCCTCATCTTCCTCCTCTCCGGCTCCCGTCCTCCCAGCTCCGGCGCCATGGCAAGGAGCCGCGATTAAGCCGCTTCTCGCGTCGATCGCCACCGGTTTGATTCTATGGTTCGTACCGGTTCCCGAGGGAGTCACCCGCAACGCGTGGCAGCTACTCGCGATCTTCCTCGCCACGATCGTCGGGATTATCACGCAGCCGCTTCCGCTCGGCGCGGTGGCTCTATTGGGACTGGGAGCTTCCGTTCTCACCAAAACCCTAACGTTCGCAGCCGCCTTCTCCGCTTTCGGAGATCCGATCCCGTGGCTCATCGCTCTCGCTTTCTTCTTCGCTCGTGGTTTCATCAAAACCGGTCTCGGTAACCGAGTGGCCTACCAGTTCGTTAGGCTCTTCGGGAGCTCATCTCTCGGGCTCGGTTACAGTCTCGTCTTCAGTGAGGCTCTTTTGGCTCCTGCGATTCCTTCCGTGTCAGCTCGTGCCGGTGGAATCTTCCTCCCTTTGGTGAAATCTCTCTGCGTCGCTTGTGGTAGCAACGTTGGGGATGGAACCGAGCACCGTCTTGGCTCGTGGCTGATGCTTACCTGTTTCCAGACTTCCGTGATCTCTTCCTCTATGTTCTTGACGGCTATGGCAGCGAATCCCTTGAGCGCTAATCTGGCGTTCAACACGATCAAGCAGACTATTGGATGGACTGATTGGGCTAAAGCTGCGATTGTGCCAGGACTTGTGTCATTGATTGTTGTTCCGTTTCTTCTGTATATCATCTATCCTCCTACGGTGAAAAGTAGTCCTGATGCCCCGAAGCTGGCTCAGGAGAAGCTAGATAAGATGGGACCTATGTCCAAGAACGAGTTGATTATGGCTGCCACTTTGTTCCTCACGGTAAGTGTTCTACTTCTTCATACTTCTCTGGATTTGCTTTTTAGAGTCTGAAATAAAAAGGTGCTTCAATAGTTGAACATGGAGAGATTTTTAGCCATTGTGATATTTAGATGAAGCAAAGGGCTCTGCTTCTGTTTAACTTTCTTTGAGTGCTAAAAGGTCCTGGTTTTGGTGTTTTATTGAACACAAGATTTCCCTTTTGTAATAAGTTCTCTCTTTGACACAGGTTGGTCTCTGGATTTTCGGAGCTAAGTTGGGTGTGGATGCTGTTACTGCAGCCATTCTTGGATTATCAGTCCTCCTTGTGACAGGTGTTGTGACATGGAAGGAGTGCTTAGCTGAGTCAGTCGCATGGGACACGCTCACATGGTTCGCTGCTCTCATTGCAATGGCTGGTTATCTTAACAAATACGGTCTCATTGAGTGGTTCAGCCAGACTGTAGTCAAGGTTTGTTTACGATTTGATGAATGCTTAGAAAAGCCAGATGGCTTGGTTAATTGAAATGTCTTTGACATTTTTTGTGTGTGTTTGATTGCAGTTTGTGGGAGGATTGGGTTTGTCATGGCAACTATCTTTTGGAATCCTCGTCCTCTTGTATTTCTACACTCACTACTTCTTTGCCAGTGGAGCGGCTCACATCGGGGCTATGTTCACTGCCTTTTTATCGGTCTCAACCGCTCTAGGCACTCCACCTTACTTTGCAGCCTTGGTTCTTGCATTCCTTTCGAACCTGATGGGAGGATTAACCCATTATGGTATCGGGTCTGCACCTATCTTCTACGGGGCTAACTACGTGCCGCTGGCCAAATGGTGGGGCTATGGATTCGCGATTTCAATAGTCAACATTCTTATCTGGCTTGGTGTAGGTGGTGCCTGGTGGAAGTTCATTGGCTTGTGGTGAGGATCACCACACAACAACAGTATTCCCATTCTTTTCCTTAACTTATATATCTTCTCTCGGAATGCCTTTGAGATTCGGATTTGATAAGGATTTATATCAGGAATTTTTAAGAGTTGAGCTGGGAATTTTTCTGCGATTTTTGTTCTCTCTCACATTTTGATGTGTAAGTAAGCCTTGCATCAGTTTTGTTTGTCGGCTAACTTTTACATTTTAAGTGAGACCACAACCTTTACTTGATACTTACTTTACTTCCACATCCGTAAACGTGATTTGCGCCACCAACTCCAAGAAAATTAACTTTGAGAAATTCATGTGTACATAAAGTAAGCTATAGTTACTGGAAAACAGAGTAAACCAAAAGGAAATGAATGAATCTTATTAGCTAAAACAGTATGTTATTATTTCTCATACAATGTTGTTTGACAAATATGAATGAGAGAGAGATTAGAAACAATTGACAGACGAGAATACCAAAAAAAAATACGGGAAATAATAAGAGGCAAAAGGGGAACACTTGGCCTTTGCTACAACAGAGAGACAATAATCAATTTAATGATGTAAACAAATACAAAGTAAATGAAATTTCAGAAAGGAGTCTGAAAAAACTGAGCCTTTTAGGGTTATTAGAATCGAAAAAGCGCTTACCCGGAATTTGGCTTCCCGTTGTGCTTTCTTGAATAATAAATAAACAAATCATCACAGTTTCACAGCTTCGCTTGCAGAAACGTGAACCTCTCTCTTTCCCTGAGTTAGCGATCCAGCTGCAGCTGCTCGAGCCACGCATCAAGAATGTCGCCCTCACGACCGTCACTGTGAGGGTTCACACTCGAACCACCTTGAACCAATGGCCTCGCACCATTCATGTTCATGACTCGGTTGCTGTTGTTCCTCGGTGATGCAGAGTCTTTTACCAGCTGCTGAACCCATGAAACATCTGCGTCCCTGTTCGAGTTGTTATTAGCCAAGGAATGAGATTTTCTTAACCGACCTAGCTCATCCGACTGTACCGACCAATCCACTTTGTTTCCATGGTTCTGGTCCCAACTTGACCAAGGACTTAGTGGCGAGCCAGAATCAGTCGGCATTAAATCACGGGGCATGCTGGATCCAAAATCACGGGAGCTAAGGCTACGTGAATGCAGCTGTTGTTTCATCCGCGAGTTCATTGGGGAGATAGGCTCCATGGCTCGGGGTGACGAGCCTTGTTGCAGCAGAGAATGTTGCTCCACATTCTTTGGAGAAGACATTAGATTTGTCTTAATAGGAGAGAGCATGCTCTGCTTGTTATTCTGAAGCTGATTAAGAAGCGCGGATTTGTGGGACGGCGATAGAACAGATGAGACAGCAAGTTGATCAGAGAAGCGAGGGGATGAAACCTCGGATGAGAAAATCTCTTCCAGATTCGAAGGGGTCAGGGTCTTGGGACGAGCGGAATGATTCATAAAACGTGGACTAGACATATCGCCAACGAGCTGACGCTGCATCTCAAACTCTTGCAGCATGCTAAGCTGCTCAGAAGGAATATCTCTAGCGTTTAGAGAAGATCTCAGGCGACTCAACTGGATATTGCTTCCAGGAAGATGCAACGCAGGTATGTTCTGTTGAGGCCAACCCATGGATGAATGCGGCATAACACCATTTCCAGAAGGAGAGATTGGAGGGGTGAACGAATGTTGAGCAGCAGATGGTGAGCCTGGTAACATGTTCAAAACTGAAGCCATGTCCATGGTAGAGGTGGAAACAGCAGAAGAAGCCCTAGGAGATGGCAAGCCAGAGCCTGTGGAAGCGTACAAGGGACGCAACTCCTCATTTGCGTGAGCAAAGAAGCAAACCCTTCGGTTGCAACTCATCCCATCCTTGCACAATCGTGTTCTGTACTGAGCAGGGTGTAGCCAGCATTCAAACACCCCATGAGCATATTCACACATATCGCCTTGCTTACAGGAACCCTTCTTAAAATCCGGGCATGGGACACATGTATAGTGAAACTTCCTCGGGTCCCTTCTCCTGGCATTCTCACCTGGGTGTGCGAATGGACATTCAGTCCAGTCATGAGAATAAGCTCGAGAACATGGACGGATCTTAAACGCGAACATACGGAACTCATCGGTCGAATAAATCCCACTTTTGATGTCGGGCAATGATGGGTCAATTGGGTACTCCTTCTTCTCTGATGCAAATGTTCCATCCATCCCGTTCACCTTAGTCGGAGAGGATACTGAATCTAAAGAGAGTAAGGAGGAGCCATTATCTGGTGATGACGAGAGAGACCGGAAGCTTGATCCTAGGCTAGATGACGAGGCATGCAGATCTTCAGAAATAATCTCATCTTTCTTCAAGATCTCTTCAAGGATGGTTCTTAAACCGGGAGCGTGTGGAGACACAACGAGAACATCAACAGGACGATTCCCATGAGCATCAGGGATATTAGGATCTGCTCCTGCACTCAGAAGCTGCTTGACAACATCCAAGGAATTCACAGAAGCACCAGAGGCAGCGCAATGAAGAGCAGTGCTTTTATCTGGACCGCAAGACAGATTCAACTCCGCTTCCGGGAAAGAAAGAATAAGCTTCACAACGTCTAAGCTTCCATATATCGAAGCAACCATCAGAGGGGTTCTTTGTTCAAGAACCATTTTTCTAACAAACCTCTGGCGTCTGTACCAGAGACCCTCCTGGTTGATACAGGGCACAACAGAGAGTTGACGTTTAAAGCCCTCCACATTGTTGTCTGCAGCGAACTCAAGCAAGGCAGAGAATGAATGTTCCCACTCAGCATCGTTCATGGGTTTGGCCACAGAATCACACTCTTGGTCTGACAGCGATGAAAGAGTGTTATTATCCGTATCCAACTTCTTAGAGAGACCACACATGCTTTATCGGCACCGGAAAAAGATCTGAATTGATCAACCAAAAGATGGGAGTGAATCAACCAATAACGTATGCCTGCAATGTAAAAGAAGCATAAAAAAGTTTGGTCAAACAAAATTGGCAAATCAGGAATACTATTGAATCGTTAATAATAAAAATTTGACCGAGAAAAAGGAAACAACGGAAAGTCAGAAGATTTACCAAAAAAAATAAGACTCAACGGATCTAATAAATGCTGTAATCTTTTAGGATGAAAAGCGTCTGGAAATAATTTCTAAGGCTAAACCCAGAAGAAAGGGTAAAAAAAAATATAAGAATCACCAGATTCAGTATAGTTTAGACGAACATCCTCATCAAACATTCTCTCACAAATTTCCTACCAACCAAACAGATAAACAACTTTAAGAACAGAACAGACGATTTAAAATACCAACTAGTCTAAAAACCAAAATACAACTAAAATTAAAATATCTTGAAAATAAAAGCCAGGAAGAAGAAGAAGAAGTCAATGAACAGTCAACCACAAGACAAATCTCAAAACTACACGAAACCAAACTATTTGACTTAAATCTTAAATCACCCAGTAACATCACCTTCACACAAGCTGAAAGTTCAGATTGAGAATATATATATATCTAAACAGAAACACAAATCAATTAAAAACGAATTTAAAACGAAAGTTGTTCACCAAATCTACTTCCATGATATTTGGTGAGCTCACCTTGTGGGAAGATCAGAAGCCGAATCGTGCGATCCGGAACACAAACCAGCTGAATCTAGACGGTAATGCCCAGAAGAGAGAACAACATTTCCAGATCCAGAATGGTAAAATGCAATAGACAAAGATGCACAAATCTAAGACGGAGATGAAGATCGATCACCTTCAGCTGAGCGAGCGAGAGAGCGTTTTTTTTTTTTTTTGGGTGTTAGGAAGAAAAACGAAAACGGATGAGAGGTAACTGGTGTGACCGGAAGAGGAGGTGAGAGATAGAGTAGGGATGTTAAAAGAGCTTTGCAGCGTATGTGACGGGATAAAGCGGTAGAAGGTGGCGGGCGCGTGGGGAAATATTTAAGCGTATTGGAATACAGGTTTCAAATCCACGTAAATAAAAAAAATAGAATCTGATTCTTAAATCGGAGCCGTTGGATGTGAGGAGCGGACTTCGACTGACTTTTGGACGGTGGTCAAGCTGCAGGTCTTTCGGCAGTTTTTTATATATTAAAAAAAACTATATAATATATCTACATAAAAATATTCTTCATTCTTAATTGATAGTTATTTTTATAGTTTTTTTTTTGCAAAAGAGAATAGAATGAAGAGCATATATATAAAGACGCCTAATGCACACCAGAGATCGAGTGACATTGATCGCATCAGTGACATCACGGCTTTGCTCTCTTTGTTACATTCTCCACCTTTTCTCTCTTAGGGCGGGATTGGTAAAATGAGTCTAAACGAATTACATACATGTCGGTATCGTGTGAATGTTTCCACAAAACCAGACAATGGCTTTGGGTTTTAGCCGGACTTTGTCTACTTTACCCCTTCACGTACCTTGAAATGTATCTTAATTGAGTCATTATTCTTCTAATTAATATATGTCTAGATTATAACTTTTGGTGTGTGTTAAAGATGTCTAGATTAGGACGAATCCTCAAAACCAAATTACACCTAAAGAACGGGTCTTTAATCTTTATAATCAGATTTTTACTTTCCTTTACAAGATGTAATTCCGTGATGGAGTCGGTTTTAGTTTACCAGATTGTATATTCATAAGGTAATTTAGATGCAAATCATATACTCTAATACCACATACCTGAAGCTTCGAGTATCTTGCATGTAAACGGTCAGTAAAAGAAAAACATAAGGGTCTTTGTAAATACCTACATTTTTACATTTTTAACCAAAAAAGTCTTTAATTAGATGCAATTAAGATGCAAATCATATACTTTGATACCACCTACATGAAACTTCGAGTGACTTGCATAGTTGCATGTAAACTGTCAGTAAAAGAAAAACATAAGGGTTTTTGTAAACACCTACATTTTACATTTTTAACCAAAAAAGACTTTGCATATCTATGTTGAAACTAGTTATTATTTTCTTTGAGACAAAACAGAAGTTAATCTCAGTATGTTTTTGTCATTTTTTATGTTGAACTGGATGTGTAATTAAGCAATGTATACCATATTTGATAATTATTGTAGCGATAGACAATTGAAACATGCACGATAAATTAGAAGCAGTTGAGTTCCAACAACAAAGGTTTCTTAACCAAACATGCTTCATCACCCGTGTTTGTGTGAACTCATCACGAACATAAGCTCACTATCACCTAGCTCTTGGAAGAACATGATACGACGGTAAAAAAAGTAGCATCTTAATCATAAGAGACTTCGAAAACCTTTTCATATTATAGAACTTAAAATACGTTATAGTACTCATGCATATAATATATGGGGAATCTGCTTATTACTTGTTTGAGCTTTTTCTCGTTTCCTGTTCAAAGTCAGGAGAGAATCGATCGGATTAATAAATTATCATCTTTTAGGAGACATACATCCGTCCAAAACAAATAACTATATATATATATATCTTCAATTTTGTGCGTATATAAGGGAATCACATTAGAAACAAAAAGTTTGTAGTAATTTTCTCCAAAATTGACTTTGACATTGGGAAAATGGTTCCTACATTTTCCATGTGTCACTCGTCCCAGCCGATCACTTGCGTGTCACTTGGACCCAATTTACTCTTTGTTAATATTACTATTCTTCTTCGAAATTTTTTTTAAAAAAATGAACCTATGATAACGTCACCCAGAGAAGATCCCAGATCTGCGCGCTGGCATCTTTCATAAGTCGCCACGTGGCAATTTTTTTTTAACTTTCGTTTGTGATCTTATCAAATCTCGCTCTTTTGGGTTCAGCGAGCGATAAAATTATTTTCCTTATTAGGAGTATTCTACTTTTTTTTTTCTTTTCAAAGTTTATTAACTTCCTTCCTCGAATTATATATACAGAAAACAGAAAATAGAATCCTGGGAAAAGAAAAGAGAGAAAATCCCCAAAAATCTAGGGTTTTTTCTTCTACGAAATCTCGTTACTGCCGGCTGTCGGGTGTCCCCAATCGCTTCTCTTTACCAACTTCTTCTCTGTTCGTTTTCCTCTGAACTCTGCAAAATCGTGATCGGTTTAAACAACTTCAGGGTTTCAAAATTTTCAATCTTCAACAAGTTATCATCATAGAAGAAGGTTGCAAAAACTCTTGCTGCGAATTCCCTCTGGTATGCTGATTTTTTATCCTCTTTATTTATTTGAATTTTTTCGTGATGGATTCAGAAAACTAGATTCAGGTTCCAAAACAAAATTGCTCGAATATTATCTTCAGCTTATGTATGATTTGAATTGTAAATTCGATACACGAGGAAGTTTATAAGTTTTCACCTTTTTGCTTGCATGTCTCCGCATTGCTTAATAGCCTAGAAATTGCCGTTTTGTAGTCGAGGAGCGGTTTTAGTGATGAGTTTCTTATTCCCTTTGATTCTATTTTGAATTGGTTACTAACATATGTTGACTTTGTTTTTGAAGAGATGCAATCGAAACCGGGAAGAGGAAATGAAGCCGAAGTCGATCACCATGCTGATCAGCAACCGATGATGTATCCAGAGCCCTGGTGGAAAAATAACTCTTTTGGTGTCGTGCCTCAAGCGAGACCTTCTGGAATTCCATCAAATTCCTCTTCTTTGGAATGTCCCAACGGTTCCGAATCAAACGATGTTCATTCTGCATCCGAAGACGGGGCCTTGAATGGTGAAAACGATGGCGCTTGGAAGGATTCTCAAGCTGCAACTTCGTCCCGTTCAGGTTTGTGACTGGGACGTATCATTCCCCTTCAGTATCGTTTTGATGTGTGATCTTGTGATCTCCTCTTCTCTTTCAACGTGTATGGATTACAGTGTCTTGTTAAATGGTTACCAAGCGAACGCATTCTTGAATGCTTGTTTTGCAATTTGGTGAAGAATTGTTCCTCAAGCAGGCAGGAAAAAAAGTAAAGTTTTGATGATTTGATTTTGGGCTCTATAGGACAAGCCAAAGTCATAAAGTTATGAAATCTGGCCCCTGGGATGTAATTGATGGGGTTTGTTGTTCTTTGAATGCAAAAATGCCAAGTAAATGTTGCGCTGCAATGTGCATCCTTTTTCTAATGGGGTATCTATAACAGTGTCTCTCTTCAATTTCAGTAGATAACCGTGGAGTGGAAGGGAATGATGCAGCGCACTTGGCAGCTTCTATGCATAACACGCATGAGCAGCAACTTGTACAACCACCAGAGCTTGTCGGACACTATATTGTATGTGGTCTCTCTCAGTCATTGGTTATAAAATATGCTTTGTCAGTTCTTGAGGCGTTAAATTTACTTCTTTTTGGTCCCTGCAATAATTCATCATGTATGATACCCTTAATATGTATGATAAAGCCATGCTTCCATTTACAGGCTTGTGTCCCAAATCCATATCAGGATCCATATTATGGGGGAATGATGGGAGCATATGGTCATCAGCCATTGGTATCTTCTCGAACCCTCTCTCAATCTCTATAATACTTCCATATGGTGCAGTGTTTATTTGTGGTGATTCTGTTTGCTGTCTGGAATGATTCTGGATTCAGACGTTTTGCTTATCAGTCTTAGTGATATATTTATGAAATTCATATCTTAAAGATCCTAAAACAAATCTTGGCTTTTCTCAGGGTCTTATGAGCTGAGTAATTTCGATTACCTAATAAGTCTATTTGTTTCGTTTTTTTGTGCCATGACTTGAGCAGGGTTTTCGCCCATATCTTGGAATGCCTCGTGCACGAACAGCGCTACCACTTGACATGACACAAGAACCTGTTTTTGTGAATGCGAAACAGTACGAGGGAATTCTAAGGCGAAGAAAAGCACGTGCTAAGGCAGAGCTAGAAAGGAAAGTGATCAACAGAAAGGTATTTTTTTTTTCATTTGATAAAAATTGTATCTTATTGGCAAATGGGAATAAGATAGGAAATGTGGCAGCACAGGTTGGGAATCTAAGCATGATGTACAGTCATTTAAAGTTGAAGGTCAAATTTGTAAAAAACAACTTGACACCCATTTACATATATAGGATTGAAAATGAAGATGAAGGATTTATAAGTTTCCTGTGTAGCTCGATTAACTTTTGGCGTCTTCTGTAACAGCCATATCTTCATGAGTCGAGACACAAGCATGCGATGAGAAGGGCAAGAGCTAGTGGAGGCCGGTTTGCGAAGAAAAGTGAGGTAGAAGCATCAGAAGATGCAGCAGCAGGGAGAGAAAGAGAAAAGGGTTCAGCAACCAACTCATCAGGCTCTGAACCAGTCGAGACAGACTCTAATGAGACCCTGAATTCTGCAGGTGCACCATAATAAGCCAAGGCTCTGGGAAAGAGAGAGAGAGACACTTTGGCTAGATACAACCATTGCCCGAAACCGGCAAATCATTCTTGGCTTTTGAGTTTAGTGCTTGCTTAGTTCTTGTGATAGTCTCATATTGTGTGGTTTTGCAGTTACGATGTACAAAGAGAGTCGAGTTATGTTAGGTGTTAGATTTGGGGACAAGAGACGGGGAATAGTCAGTAGGTCTTGTTTTTATTCTTTTACCAGTTTCCCGTATTTCTTTTGGAAAATTGGAAAATACGTTTGTTTAATCGTTTGCTTTTTCTGAGAAGAAAGTGTTACAGAGATGAAATTTGCCGTCCATCTGTATGTTTTCCTTTATATTGATCGAGAGAAAAAAATTTGGGCACGAGATGTGAATTCATCATAACAAAAAAATTTAGAGCATATAAATGCATATTTTAACCGCAGAGTTCAAAAGGACATTAAAGCAAAAATACAGTAGTTTGGTTTATGTACAGTGTACAACGGGAAGATTGATTATTATATGTACAAAAAACACGAAGAGCAAATGAAAAATGAATCAGGTGAAACACAAACTAAAATTAGGCGTAGTCATTTTTTGAATTCATAAGAGAGAAGAAGAAGACGAAGAAGAGAGTCAATTTGTGTGTTTCCTCTTTTGAAGAAGAGAGAGAAAGAGGAAGACTTTGACTCGTCTTCTTCCTCTCTCTCTATCACTGCATCTATTTTTTCACACCGTATGATGACTTTTCCCTTAATTTATTATCCTTCTACATATCCCTTTTGCTTCAACTGATTATACCCATTAAGTGTATCGTTTCTCCCCACTTTACGTTTTGAGGTCTGTTTTGCCTTTCCACTTTTTTAGAATCTCTGTTTGGTCTTAGCTAGGGTTTACTTATCCAGTTTTGAATATCGTAGGGTTCTCTGTGATTTTGGATTCGTTGTTGGGGTCACAAGCCACATGTAATGAAACCCGATTTGCTACTTGTTGATTGGATATAGTTCTAGGCTTAAGAAATTAATGGCACCTAAGAGATTAGTGCTCAAAGTTTTGAACTTTTTTTTTAATTAGTGCTCAAAAGTTTTGAACTTTCTTTCTGGGTTTGAGAAATGAGACTGTTTGATGGAATTTCAGGAATCCTGAGATTTGATTAGATGGGGAACTGTTGTGGCAATCCAAGTTCGGCTACGAACGAGAGTAAACAAGTGAAACCCAAGAACAAAAACAATCCGTTTTACAGCAACGAATACACTACAGCAAATGGATCTGGAGCTGGCTTTAAGCTCTCTGTGCTGAAAGATCCTACAGGACATGATATATCCTTGCAGTATGACCTGGGGCGCGAGGTTGGTCGAGGCGAGTTTGGTGTAACTTACTTGTGTACTGATATCAAAACAGGCGAAAAGTATGCGTGCAAGTCCATATCGAAGAAGAAGCTGAGAACAGCAGTAGACATTGAAGATGTGAGGAGGGAGGTTGAGATAATGAAGCATATGCCTAAACACCCAAATATCGTCTCTTTGAAGGATTCGTTTGAGGATGATGATGCAGTGCATATAGTTATGGAGTTGTGTGAAGGAGGGGAACTGTTTGATCGGATTGTGGCAAGAGGGCATTACACTGAGCGGGCTGCTGCTGCGGTTATGAAGACTATTGTTGAAGTTGTTCAGGTTCTGTAGCTGTGTGTACTGTGTACATTGTCTGAAATTTCTAATTTTGTTTGTGTATGTTTCTGCTCTCACACATCCTTTGTTTGTCTTTTACAGGTATGCCATAAGCAGGGAGTGATGCATCGAGATCTTAAACCAGAGAACTTTCTTTTTGCAAATAAGAAAGAGACATCACCTCTTAAGGCCATTGATTTTGGATTATCTGTCTTCTTTAAACCTGGTACATATCAGATTTTGAAGAGTATCAATGGAGCACATATCGTGTATCTTCACTATACCTGAATTTTGCTAAACTGTAACAGGTGAGCAGTTTAATGAGATTGTTGGAAGTCCTTATTACATGGCACCCGAGGTGTTGCGACGAAACTATGGACCTGAGATCGATGTCTGGAGCGCAGGAGTCATCCTCTATATTCTTCTTTGTGGTGTCCCACCATTTTGGGCCGGTTTGTTTATGCTTTACCGTATTCTCTTCGTTTCCTATGGGTTTTCCACTTATGACCTCTTTCAGACGTTTTATTTGTTTATTTCTGGTAAAGAGACTGAACAAGGGGTGGCTCAAGCGATCATTAGGTCAGCAATCGACTTTAAGAGAGACCCATGGCCAAGAGTTTCTGACAGCGCCAAAGACCTTGTGAGAAAGATGCTTGAACCTGATCCCAGAAAGCGGCTTTCTGCTGCAGAAGTACTCGGTAGGCTTCTGTTTTTAGCAGCGCCTGAGTTTTCTGATGGATAAATACTTTGACATCGTATACTTACGTAGTTATATTCTGTATGCAGAACATTCTTGGATACTGAATGCAAAGAAGGCTCCAAATGTATCTCTCGGGGAGACTGTGAAAGCAAGGCTCAAAGCAGTTTTCTGTTATGAACAAGCTCAAGAAACGAGCTCTTCGAGTATTGATTTTGTTAAACCATGCCTCTGATTTGCCATCTGCTTCCAGTTTTATTAAGAAGCAAAAAAATGTAAACTTGTTTTCCTCTTGTAGGTGATAGCTGAACACTTGTCAGTGGAGGAAGCAGCTGGGATAAAGGAAGCATTTGAAATGATGGACGTAAACAAGAGAGGCAAGATAAACCTCGAGGAGCTTAAATATGGACTTCAAAAAGCTGGACAACAAATCGCTGATGCCGATCTTCAGATTCTTATGGAAGCTGTATGAATTTTTTATAAATTCAAAGAAATAAGCTCGAAACGGGAGCTATATCACTTCTGGGAATTGAAACCCCAATTTTTTTTTCTCCCGCAGACTGATGTTGATGGGGATGGTACACTGAACTATGGCGAGTTTGTGGCTGTTTCGGTGCACCTTAAGAAGATGGCGAATGATGAACACTTGCATAAAGCTTTTAACTTCTTTGATCAGAACCAGAGTGGTTACATAGAGATTGAAGAACTTCGTGAAGCCTTGAATGATGAATTGGATGATACTAGTAGCGAGGAAGTCATTGCTGCCATCATGCAAGATGTTGATACCGACAAGGTAATCACACAAACAAAAAGATGAGATTATTTTTCACATTTCTTTGCTCCAATCGGTTAAGGACTCACTTTTGAATCCTCTGTGAATACAATTACTTTTGAATCTTGTCAAAAGGGTATTTCAGACTTCAACATATCTGAATCCTCTGTTCATTTTGAGATGATAAAGAATGCAGCATATTTGTTTCTTGTGATCAGGACGGGCGTATAAGCTATGAAGAGTTTGCTGCGATGATGAAAGCTGGGACGGATTGGAGAAAAGCGTCGAGACAGTATTCCCGGGAAAGATTCAACAGTTTGAGCCTCAAGTTAATGAGAGATGGTTCATTGCAATTAGAAGGCGAGGCCTAAGAAGCAAACATCGTTTGGATTTTTTTTTTTTTGTCCTTTTCAATGGCGCACACGAAATTAACACGAAGCAGAAGAAAAAGCATCAGTGTTGATGAAAAATTGTCAAAAAGACAAAATTTATGGTTTATAAGCAAATTAACACGGTAATGATAGAGAAGACTGGTGTTGGTTTTCCTCTTTCCTTTCCCACGTGTTTAGATAGTGTTTTCAATTGTTTGTAGTTGTTCATTGGATGGACGATGTGAATGTGATGATGTCAACAAGCTTCTGAGTTTCCAAGATGAGTTTTTTTTATTATTATTATCTGAAATAACCGTTGCAGCTACTGTCTTAAAAGTGTGTTGCAGCTACTGTCTTTAAAGTATGTTGCAGGTACTGTCTTAAAAGTATGAAGATGAGTCTGTTTTTTTTTCTAAAGAAAAAACAGCCTAAAAATTGTAAGAATTTGCAACATATACTGCAAAAAAGAATAATATAGTTGGAATCTTCTATATCGTGAGGCCCACCAAAAGAAAAGTAGAGAAGAAAAAACCCTTAAAGAGAAAGAATCTTCCTTTTCGCTGACTCTCCACTGCTCTCAATCGACCGCCTACCTTCACATAGAGACTGAAGAACCTGACGACTTTCACAGATCTCTCTCTGTAACGGTAGTCGCATCAATGGCAATCGCTTCCTGCTTCTTCTGTGTCCCGACTCCGAACACATCTATCTCTGAATCCAATCTCAAATGGCCTCTCCTCGCTTCTTCTCCTAGACTCTCTTCCTCCTCCTTCGCCGGTGTAATCTCGGCCAAGTCCGTCTCTTTCCACCGCCGTGTCCCAATTTCCCCTGTTTTCTCCGCTTCAATCGACAACGGCGGCTCTGATAATAACAACAACGGTGGTGGTGGTGGTGGCGACGACGGAGGTAAGAATGATGGGAATGGAGACGGTGGCGAGGACAGGGACAGGAACAGGAACGAGGCGATGATTTTATTGGCGGAGTCTGGGACCGGATTGGATACTCTTCCCAAGGATCTAGCGGCTGCTATTGAGTCGGGTCGGATTCCTGGATCGGTTATTACCCGGTTCCTCGAACTCCAGAGATCGGCTGTGATGCGGTGGCTGATGCAGTTTGCTGGGTTTAGGGAAAGATTGTTGGCCGATGATCTCTTCTTGGCCAAACTCGCCATGGAATGTGGTGTTGGAGTCTTCACTAAGGTTTCTGGAGAACTCAATTCAATTCAATTCAATTTATTAATAGGAAGTTTTGATTTTTGGTTTAGAATTTTGCTAATATGTATTGGAATGTGTTTGGTTCTTTTGTTCCAGACTGCAGCTGAGTATGAACGGCGTAGAGAAAACTTCTTCAATGAACTTGAAGTTGTTTGTGCCGATGTGGTAATCATTCTTCTCTGCCTCTTTTTTCTTTTTTTTTGTTTTCCGGTGTTGCATGTAGTGACTTTTTTTCTTTATTGTTCCTATCAGATTCTGTGAACGGACTAAGAACGTTCTTTAGCAACATTATAAATTAAACTGTCAATTTGTTAGATTGTTGGGATGGATGAGAAAAATTGAGAACAATAAATTTTTTAGATGACCCATTCAGATAGACGAAGGGTTGGGTAGTTTGTGATTGTGATGGGGTCTGGGACTTTTCATCATTAGTTTTTGCATAACTATGAGAAAGTGGTTGAGATTTGATTTGTCACTGAGGTAGGAACCAAATTTTGAACTGTACAATAGTAGACCCGAGTCTCATTGGTTTTCAACTTTTATATCTCTAGCTTCTCTTGTTTATGATGAATGAAGGGTCACCTTTTGCTGCTGTGTCACTTTGTAAAGCAAAGCTCCTTGAACTGTATGAATGACGTTTTGTCACGTCTGTGTTCATTGTGATCATCTGCTGAATAGTATTGGATTTAGATTTTTTTTTTTTTCTTTTTGGTGGACTCACTATCACTTTTGTTTCTTTTGTTTCTTTTTCCTTTTTTTTTGTTTCTTTACTAGGCAATGGCTATCATTGCTGATTTCATGTTAGTGTATCTTCCTGCTCCTACCGTTTCTCTACGACCACCACTCGCACTTACTGCTGGAGGTATATCCAAGTTTTTCCACAACTGCCCAGAGAATGCCTTCCAGGTTTGGTTTTTTTTTATAAGAATTGTTTGGCACACGCTGGAGAAGTTTACAAAGGTTCATTCTCGTCTAATTATCTAATGTGTTTGCTACAGATTGCTATCTCTGGAACCTCATATACTCTCTTGCAAAGGCTAGGTGCTATAGCGGTGTGTAGTATTTTTTATATCAATTTCTTCCTATATGATCTCAGTTGCAATGTAATAGTTCGTTTTAAGGGCTGATCGTTTCTGGATAATATTTAACGTTTGTATATGTTATGCAGCGGAATGGGGCTAAGCTATTTGCCGTAGGCACCACATCATCGCTGGTGAGTCAAAACATATCTATCTACCTTTAAAGGGAAACATAAATCAGAAGATGCATGGTTTTCCACAAATAATTTTTTTAGGCTCAGCTTTTGACTTAACGAAAATCTGTATAATTTGGTTAGGTTGGTACTGCTGTTACAAATGCATTTATAAAAGCAAAAGGAGCAGTGGACCAGTCTTCTGAAGGTGAACTCGAGACTGTTCCAATTGTCTCCACAAGCGTTGCATACGGTGTCTATATGGCAGTTTCTAGCAACCTAAGGTACTGAGTTTCTTTCTACCTAAAGTATGAACAAAGACGATATAGATGATTTGGTTTGGATAAAGTAATGGGGTATGGTTTGAAATAAACAGGTACCAAGTATTGGCTGGTGTGATTGAACAACGTCTCCTGGAGCCAATGCTACACCAACACAAACTTGCACTCAGTGCGATGTGTTTTGCTGTTAGAACAGGCAACACTTTCTTGGGTTCCTTACTGTAAGTTGTTTTTAAAACCCAAGACTGGTTCTTACTCTTTGTCCTCGCCAGTTTTTATTCACATGTTCTTTGTTCTTTGTTTTGCTTCTCAGATGGGTGGATTATGCACGTCTCATAGGGATCCAGAAATCTCATTGATTAAGCAGAAGATGAAGAAGAACCTTATGAGCCCGATTCGAACATGATCTGCTTTTGACCTATGTATACGAAACTACTTTGTCTTCCTTCGCAATTGTTTCTGATTTTCAGGCCATTTTATTGTCTTTTTGGTCCTTTTTTTCTAGAAAATTAGTCGATAAATCCATGCAAACTTTCACAAAGCACATAAGACTACGCATTTTGATTCCCTGATGTGGAGAGGTGAGAATTAATAATGTTCTCACTATCTATTTCACTGCAACTATAAGTAATACAGCATGTCAATAAATGTTAGATTCCATTTTTATACAAAATGAAAAATGAAAAAAAAAACAAGTATTACACTATATAGTTATCATTGATCAATGTATCACTAGACATATGGCCTAAGCAAGAATTTCATCTTTATGACAAGCTCTTATCTTCACTTCCAAAATTTCCGTACTGTTAACATTTTGCACATCGCAACATTCGATTCCATCACCCTGTTAATTGAACATTCAAGCAATTACGTTTAAGACTTTTAGATCATATAGAAATGGATTTCTATGATCTGATTACAAGATATTAGAGAGTATATTTATGAGTAATTTGAAGTATCTGATTACCATTTTGTGTATAGTAGCAGCAATGACTCGGACTTGTGAGATGTTACGAGCAGAATGGTTGCCATTATCGAAACAAGGAGGCAAACTACGTGCCATTTTAACCTTGTACGTAGTAGTTACCAAGCTTTGGTTCATGTGTTCCACAACCGAATCAAAGAAAAACTGACGAGGCATCTCACAAGGATCATTCGTCACACGTCTAGTGTTAAAAGTATACAACGGTGTTTTAACATTCTTCCATGGCCGGAACGTTTGTAGAGGGCGTTTCAAGTGGTTTCTTGGGAATATAGATTGGTAAATGTGGACCGAGTAGCCCCAAGAAACAGAGACTGACCAATTATATGCTCTTTGGTAACATATTGTTTGTTGCAGGATACGAGACTGGTCAGTTTTCGCGGTTTTCATGAGGTGGTTCACGGATTGTTGGCGGTTCATGGCTGGGAAAATCGGGTCTATGACATCGAAATGGTGGAGACTGATAAGTGGAGACTGAGGATGAGCTGATAAGAGACCTGATATGTCACCGTGCAGATCAATCTGGTTATACACCACAAGCAGAACAGAGTGAGAATATGTGAATAAGTAGTGGAGTGAGGCACAAGAATCACTTTCTTGTTCACACGAAATCTTCAATTAGTTTACAGTGGTAAGACTATAATATTCAAGATTTGAAACGTGAAAACTCCAAAAAGAAATTTGAGTTGAACATAAATACCTGGTGCATGCCTTTCTCCAAAGTAAGATCAATTCCCAAGTCAGCTAAGCAACGAAATGAGAGAAGATCGCTATAAACTCCAAGGTATCTTCCAATACAATCTTCCATTTTGTTGAGAAGTGTTTCTACGGTTGGATAGCTCAATGCATATCCACCACCTCCATATCCCATGTCGAAAGCGAAAATTGCATTTGACCATATGTTTTCTGAGTTCATCCCTATGTAATAGTGTTTCTTGTGGTCGTACCTGTCGAGAGCTTCGACTAAATTGTCCAAGAAGAAGAGAGTATCATCATCCGCTACCACAAACCATCTTGTCTCTTTGGAAGCTTTCTTGAACGATTCTTGGAGCGATTGGAAAAGGCGGATCTGAGTCTTGAATTTCGTGTTTGCTATGAATATGTCTTTGTTGACAGAGAAAGGAGGAGATTGTTGAGGCCAAGGCAAGAGATTACGACCAGGTGGTCTTTCGAGAAAGACATGTCCTTTTGTGATGTTTGGTCTCCACCAAGGCTCTATGTAGCCTCTCCTATATCTCCAGGTTCTTGTACTACCAACGATGACAAACAATAGATGGCGGATATTTGTAGGAGGCTCTCTCTCTGTTTGCTTGGACGATGATGCGGATATTTCTGAGGAAGAGAAGGAAGAGGAGGAGAAACTAAGGTCGAGAGGCGCAAAGAATTTATGGGTTATCGTTTTATGAGGAAAATTAAACGCAAATGTGTGTAACAAGAAAAGTAGTGCACCGGAAACCGCTATGGACTTCCATAAGGTAGGTAACGATAGGTTTTGAGAGAGGTTACTTAATTTGGTTAGTTTTGTGGTGTTGTTGTCAAATGCCATTGAGAGACTCAGAAACACTAATTAAGGATTTGATAGTTATAATTTGTCTCTGAACATATAAGGATCCATATATATGTTATTATAGTTAGTTAATAAAGTTGTGGGGAATGCTGATCATGAGAGCCGTTGTGCATAAATCATGTGATTTGAATGTTAAAGTAGGTGATTAATATTTTTAAAGTAGTACTGAAACTTTCTCGTTTTAGAGAAAAGGAAAAAAATAAACCAAAAATAAAAGCCAAAAAGGGGTGATGGAACAACTTTCATGCTGCTTCTATGCATAATTGCATTGCATGTACAGATAGAGTTATAAAAATTTTAAACTAATATTGAACCATCTCACTCATTATGAGATAACACACACTTTCCTGTTTCTTTCACTTGTTAAAAAAAAAAAATAACAAATTACCCGGAAGGAAAAACCTCGCTATGTTTTGCTTTAATTTATTTAACCTCTTTCTTTTGTTCTTTCTAGATTTCACACTGAAGCAAGCAATCAAGATCCTAGTAAATGTCTCTTAAACCTAGTTAGACATCTAAAAGCAAATAATTAAATCCATAATTCGGATTTTTAAGAGTGACACTGAATCAGATACTTGAAGAAGAACAATTCAGGTGATAAAAATCCATAAACATGAAACATGTATGATCAATATATCAGTAGCTCCAATTAAGCAGTAATATGATAGGTAAAACCATATAGACATCCCTAAATGTATAGGTAAAAGTTAGGATTTTTCGGAGATAAAACGTAACAAACCTATAGCTAGTACAAGCATTGTTTTCTGCATTCCCTATATATAATGTATAATATATGTCTGAAAATAATTAGCATCAGTACAATACTTTTCTTGTTGAGATCATAATACTGGACATAAATATATCAGATTACTTGAAGTTGAAGACAGAGTTAGCTTGATTAGTTGCTGAATGCGTACACCAACTTGGAACTTAATTAATTAGATTGAAGACTGAAAATTACAATATAACCAATATTTGTGCTCTTCATTAGGCGATGATTTCGTCTCTCCTACAATCTCTAAGTATTATGTTTGCGACATCTGAACCCTCATATTCCACGTCGCAACATTCCACTGTTCTTCCCTAAAACAGAATAGTAAAAGAGACTGAATTGTGAGATAAAATCAAAATAAGCGATTTTTGGCTAACAATTTATATGGTAGTTAGCAATAAGTAAATTATAAAATACAGTATAGACATCCATCAACTCTTGTGACTAAAATTTAATAAAATGAATCTGTTCTTACAAAGTTTTTAATTATTAGATATAGAACCCTAATAGGAATAGATCCACGCAAATGAATGAATAATTGAATAGGAGGTTAAAAAAAATGAAAAAAACTTAGTCGTAGGTATTATTTCCGTATGTTTCTTATATTAAATGCCATCATATCATACTAAAATTCTTTTTTTTTTTGTCAAAGCATATTAGTAAAATTAAAATGCACATGAGATAATTAGACGAACGAACCTGTTTGGGAGGTTTGGGAGCGAAGACTCGGATCGAAGCAAGAGGATCCGCAGAAATATTACCAGAAAAGGAACAAGAAGTCATGTTTCTAGGAAACGTCCTTGTGTAAGAAGTAACAATTCCTTCGCTCTCTTGTTCAATCGAATCAAAGAAAAACCAGTGAGGAGCTTCACATGGATCTCGAGAAACCGGTCTTGTGTTAAACATGTAAAACGGAGGCCGTCCTCGGATCCAAGGACGGAATGTCTCGATGGGACGCTTCAAGTGGCTGCGTGGGAATATCTTCTCATAGACATGAGCAGAGTATCCCCACGAGACCGAGAAGGTCCAGTTTCTGGCTCTGACGTGGCATATTGACTGTTGTAGCATCCGTGATTGGTCCACGTTGGCCGCTTTCATTAGGTGAAGGACTGAGGCATGACGGTCCATGCCCGGGAAAAGTGGTGCGACAATCCCAAAGTGGTGGAGGCTGAGAAGAGGTGCAGTTGGGTGGGCCGAGAGTAAGCCCGATAAGTCACCGTGCAGATCCATCTGTCGTATACGTTATAATCAAATTAATTGTGTGATACAATCTTTTTGCGTAGTCTAGCTACGTTAATTTTCTTTATATATTGGATGTATCTCGAGGAACTTCATTGTGTGATACATTTTAGACGCTTAAATATTTATCAAGATAATTGCAAGGTGTAGAAAAAACTTCTAAACTCTAATCACAAATTAAACTGGCCTTAATTTGAGTAATCATCCCAATCGTGGTTTAATTTTGTAATTTTCTGCATGAATCCGTTTTAAACTGAATGATTGTACTGCAATGGTTTCTCAATATACGATGCTTGATGAATATGATCCTAGAATTACTAATAAAAAAAAATAAATAAAATCACTCTAGAGGCGATACATATAGCACACTTCTTTTGTTCTCTCATTAATTTTTTTTTTCAAATCTTCTACTGCTACTTTAAATGATTTTTTTTTAAAGGAATTATTTTAGCTTGTTGTTAACTTCTGTGACACATGAGAAATATTGTTGACATACCTGATGAAATCCTTTCTCGTGTATAACATCAACGCCCAAATCAGCCAAACAAAAACTCTGTAACTGATCTACTGCCCAAATGTAATGATACCTCTCAACACACTCATCCAATTTTACAGCCATAGCCTCCACCAGAGGATAACTTAGAGCACATCCTCCTCCTCCAAACCCCATGTCAAACGATAAGTAAAAATTTGATTTTATCGTCTCCGAAAACATTCCGATGTAATGTTTTTCCGTGTGGTTGTATTTTGACAATACATCCACTATGTTGTCTACGAAGAAAAGACTATCATCATCACCCATCACGTACCTGCTTATTTTGGACAAGATCTAAGTTATATCACAATTTTTGTAATATCAAACACAAACATATACTTTTATTACTACTAAAACCAAAGAATGTGAGAGGCAAAAACAAAATTGTGTCAAAGTCATCCGATAGAAACATGACATCAAATTTTCTTACAAAAGACTTGGCTAAAAAGAAAAGAGAGAATTGATAAAATTGAGATGTAAAATATGAAAATTTCTAATTTTTGGACTACTTGTTGGAATATAGTCATATAATGCTTTAATTTTATTTTATTTTAACATCCTTTTTAATTCAAGAATTTCCTTATACTAAGTAATCTGGTAATCTATATATCCATATATTAAATTATATAATAATAGCATACCATCTCACACCCTCGTCTTGTTTGAGCCTGTGAGTCTCGAGAACGGATCTATAGATCCGAATGTGTTTTGGGTTTCGGAGCTTCCGGTAGATTCTCAGTTTCTTGAGGTCTTCGTTGACTTTATACGGCGGGAAGGTCGGAGACCAAGGCCGGAACTCTGGAGACGGCTTTACGTCCAAGAATAGATTGCCACGTGTCACGTTTGGTCTCCACCATGATTCTATGTAAGTTCTTCGATGCTTCCACGCACGAGAAGTCCCGACCAAAACGAACATCAAGTGGCTCAAGTTTGTCGCCGCCTCCATAGGCTGCAAGAGCCTCTCTTGACATTTTATGGTGAATATGTTACTGTCGAAATATTGTGAATTGGTGTAGGTTTGGTTGAAGAAGATGACAATGAAGAAGAATGCGACTAGGCCTAAGATCACGAGATATTTGCATAAGATGTTTGTGTGGTAACTTCTTGACGACATTGTAATATAAAAATATAGTAAGATCGAGATTTCAGATGGAGAAAGGTACGTGATGAAGGGTATTTGAAGGCTGAGACAAGAGGTTTTGGGTGGTTGAACAAAGAAACTACTGATAAAAAATACAATAAGGGAAAAATTTGGTGTCCTTAGTTTGAAGTCATAGAAATCATATTTATATAAAATTTTTGAACCCGATAAACATTCCATCGAAATATATACTAATTCCCTGTATTTATAAAATTTCGGCTATTCTAAGTCATTTCAAAATGTAATGTTCAAAGTATATATGGTGACGAGTCTTTTACCGGGTTTTACTACTATACCATAGTATAAAGTATATATGGTGACCAAAGTATAAATGTTTTTACCGGCTTGATACTTTGAACATTTTTACCGGCTTGATACTTTGAACATTTTTACCGGCTTGATACTTTTATTTGCTGGTTTCGTTTGCCTTTGCCCCATGTGTTGTAGACTAGCAGTTTTCGGTCACGTCAATGAGATGATGTATAGCGTTTAAGTATAGCTCAAACTTTATCAGAAACGGCGTAATTAATTGGAAACTTTTAATGTCTTCCTGACTTGTCCAACACTAAAACAATCTTGATTAAAAAAAAAAAATCATAAAGTAAGCGAAAAAATATATGTTAAGAAAAACTGTCAATTCATACAACAAATTTAGTCCGTGGTTACAATCCAAACCTGAACTAATACATAATTAACTATGGTTCGTGGTGTGTGGGTAATTCTCTGTATAGTTTGTTTTACTGTCAACTCTGCCATTACTTAAACATTTTAAAAATAATACAATAGCACTTTAATTTTCGGCCATATATCTTATTTTCTATCTCTATTCTCTTTATCATTTTGTTTCTTCTCTCTCTTATCTTATTTGCTCTCAATCTCTTATCAACAAAGTTGATTCAAGCAAGTGATCATATTATGTCATAATTTGAATTTCTGTAACGGATACAATCTTTTCCAAAATAGATATATAAGTAACAATATTTCATTTTATATAGAACACGATAGCATCACATTCTATATATATCTAAACATAATTACAGTATACGTAAATACTTAGTTCCACTTATCCATGGTATATGCAAAAAATATCTATGCTATGATTTAAAGTTAACATTAGAGCAAGTAATCAAGATCCTAGTAATTAAACTTTTGCACCTAGTTAGTTATCCGCAGATATTTAATCCATAATTCGGATTTTTTTAGGAGTGACACTGAATCAGATACTTGAAAAAGAACAATTTATGTAATAAAATCCATTACATGTAGGTGACCAAAAAAATCCATTACATGTATGATCAGTAGCTGAGCTCCGAACATTAATATGTATCATAAAACCCTATTAACATCCCTAAATGTATGGGTAAAAGTTCGGATAATTTTCGGATATAAAAAGTAACAAACTTAATCAGCTGGTACGAGCAATTGTTTTCTGCCTCAAATATAGGACGTGTGATATACAGTAAAACCTCTATAAATTAATAATGTTGGGACCATAATAATTTATAAATTTATCGTGATATTAATTTATCTTTAAATTAATAATTATTAATTTATAGAGAAAATTTGGTTTTCGTATATAATTTTTAAAAAAAATCTTTATAATAATATTATATTTTAAAATTTTAACAAATCTCATCATATAAATTATGATTAAGAATCATAACTATCACAATAAAATAGTTTTTAACACCATATTGGATTGTCTGTGTAAAAATATACATGTTCATAAGTTTAAAATTTATAAAAAACCATAGCTACTATCAGTATTACTGATGATAAAAATGAAGATAATACTATAATACATTTAAAAATATTTAAAGGTAAGAAAATCAATTATCACATCAAAAAATAATCACAAATGTTGAATGTATATAGTAAAAGAGCAATAAAAGCTACTGATATAATAATTAGAGAGATAAAAACCAATGAGATTTCAACTCTAAGTAAAGACAAAAACATTAGTCATATTTTAGAATATTATATTTACATATATTTGCATAATTTTATATCATTATTAATTTATGTTTTTGTTGGGACCATAAATTTACATAAGGATTTTAAAAAAAATTATTATCTTATTATCTTATCGAATTTGATGAATTTTTACATTGGTCCGACTTGGGACCAGCAAAATTTATTAATTTATAGTGATTATTAATTTTTCGAATATTAATTTATTGAGGTTTTACTGTAGTAGAAACTTGAAAATAATTATTATATTTTTGCTAAAATATCAAATCTCTATTAACCGTGACAACTGACAATATATAGTCTTTCATAATAACATCCTTTAATAAACCACACAGTATCACCACAACAGACAGGACAAACAAGTCTTTCCTAATAATATTCCCAACAAATTTTCTTGTTGAGATAATATTACTGGACAATAATATATCAGATTACTTGGAGACATAATTAGCTTAGTTGTTGAACGTACACCGGCTTAGAACTTAATTGAACAATTACAATTAACTAATATTTATGCTCTCCATTTATCTTACGCAATGATTTCGTCTCTCCTACAATCTCGAAGTCTTATGTTTGCAACATCTGCACCTTCATATTCCACGTCGCAACATTCCACTTTTCTTCCCTGAAAAACAGGACAATTTATAAAACAATATTAATTGAGATTATAAAATGGTTTCTAGTGTAAAACTCAAATGCCCATGAGATATGATGAACGAACCTGTTTGGGAGTTTTGGGAGAGAAGACTCGGATAGAAGCGAGAGGATCCGCAGAAATAGTACCAGAGAAGTAACAAGAATTCATGTTTCTAGGAAACTTCCTTGTGTAAGAAGTAACAATTTCTTCGTTCTCTTGTTCACTTGAATCAAAGAAGAACCAGTGAGGAGCTTCACATGGATCTCGAGAAACCGGTCTCGTGTTAAACATGTAAAACGGAGGCCGTCCTCGGAGCCAAGGACGGAATGTCTCGATGGGACGCTTCAAGTAGCTGCGTGGGAATATCCTCTCATAGACATGAGCAGAGTATCCCCACGAGACCGAGAAAGTCCAATGTCTGGCTCTGACGTGGCAAATCGACTGTTGTAGCATCCGTGATTGGTCCACGTTGACCGCTTTCATTATATGAAGGACTGAGCCATTACGGTCCATGCCCGGGAAAAGTGGTGCGACGACCCCTAAATGGTGGAAGCTGACAAGAGGAGCATTTGAATGGGACGAGAGAAAGCCCGATACGTCACCGCGCAGATCCATCTGTCGCATGTAACCAAATACTTAATGTGTTATACAATTTCTTGCGTAACCTATGTTTATCTTCTTTGTATGGTTTCAAATTTATTGGATGTATCGGGAAGGACGTTAACGTGTGATACAATTCGAAGCTTGAATATTTATCAAGATAATTCCAAGGTAGAAAAATTAGTTTCCTTCTAAAACTCCAATCTCAGATTACACTGGCCTTAACCATCCAATCGTGGTTAAAAATTTTGTTATGGGTTGGTAATTTTCTGCATGAATACAATTAATTAGATAATTCATATATAAATTTTAGTGTTCTATAATTTCTTTATTTTAATTTATATTTTTTTATAATTCGTAATCCTAGAATTAATAGTTAAAAAAAAAAATCAAATCACTCTACTGGCGAAAATAACACATTTCTTTAGTTTCCTCATTAAAATGTTTTCCAGTTCTTCTACGTCTATTGAATTTAATTAGCTTTTTGTTAGCTTCCATGAACATGTGAATCCTAGGATATGAGTCATATGACACATGAACAAAATAGTTGGTATACATACCTGATGAAATCCTTTCTCGAGGCTAAGATCAACGCCGAAATCAGCCAAGCAAAGACTCTGTAAGTGATCAACTCCCCAAATGAAATGGTACCTCTCAACACATTCATCTAACTTTGCCACCAAAGCCTCCACTAACGGATAACTTAGGGCATATCCTCCTCCTCCGAATGCCATATCAAACGAGATGTAAAAATTTGATTTTATCGTCTCCGAAAACATTCCGATGTAATGTTTTTTCGTGTGGTCGTATTTTGACAACACATCCACTATGTTGTCTACAAAGAAAAGAGTATCATCATCACCTGTCAGATACCTGTTTATTTTGGACAAGATCTAAGTTAGAGCACAAATTTCTGTAATACCATTCACAAACATATATTTTTATTACTAATAAGAATAAGGACGAAAGAAACTTGTGGACAGTCATCCGATAAAATCATGATTAATTATCTTTTTTTTTTTTTTAACAAAAGTTGTAGGTAAAGGGAGAAGAGAGAATTGATGAAATTGAGATGTAAGAAATGAAAAGTTCAAATTTATTGACTACTTATTGGAATATGTTCATATAATAATTTAAATTTAAATTTGGTAGCATTTATAGGTCAGTAATTTCAAATTATATTTTTGTGTAAATCATAAAACAACATTATCTCAAAATTGCTATGTGATATATAGAAATTGTTTCACAAAATAATTGTAACATAAATTACAATTTTTTCGTGAAATCATTTGTGTGTATATATATATATATATATAACATACCATATCTCAGTTTGATACAATGATCTAACTAGTACATAACATACCATCTCACACCATCATCTTGTTTGAGCCTGTAATTCTCGAGAATGGATCTATAGATCCGAGTATGAATTGGGTTTGGTAGCTTCGGGTAGATTCTCAGTTTCTTGAGGTCTTCGTTGACTTGATACGGCGGGAAGGTCGGAGACCAAGGCATGAACTCTTTCGACGGCTCCACGTCCAAGAAGATGTTGCCACGTGTCAAGTTTGGTCTCCACCATGATTCTACGTAAATTCTTCGATCCTGCCACGTACGTGAGCTCCCGACCAAAACGAACATCAAATGGCTCAAGTTTGTCTCCGTCTCCTTTGGCTGCAAGAGCCGCTCTTGACATTTTACGGTGAATATGTTACTATCGAAAGATCGTGAACTGATGTAGGTTTGGTTGAAGACGAGAATGAAGAAGATTGCGACCACGCCTAAGATCAAGAGATACTTGCATAAGATGTTTTTGTGGTAAATTTGAGACGGCATTGTATTATACAGAATAGTAAGATCGAGATTTCAGATGGAAAAAAGTGATGAGAGATATTTAATGAAGGCTAGGAGAAGAGGTTTTGGGTTGTTTGTCCAAAGAAACTACTTTTGATTAAATGATACCATAACAGATAAGTTTTGGAGTCTTTAGTTTGAAAGCCATATAAATAATAATTATACTTTTTTCTTAAACCCGATAAATAATGGGTTGTCCAAATCTATACTATACTAATTCCTATATCTATAGAGTTTCAGATATATCATTTAAAACATCTATAATGTTCAAGAGAAAACCACAGTGATATATGGTGCCGAGTCGTTTACCGAATATCATCACCTCCAAACCACAATCCCTTAGTTATAAACTTATAATGTCTCTACTTTGATTGGTAAAATAGGATGGTACTTTAATTTACCGGTTTAGTTTTGCCCATATGTGTTTTAGACTAGTAGTTTTGGGTCACGAGTCAATGTGACGATGTATAGCCCTCTAAGTATATTCAACTTTATTATAGACGTGACTAATTGGAAACTTCTAATGTTTCTTCTTCACTTGTCAAACATTAAAACAATCTTGATTCAAAAAGGGAAATTATGTGGGGACTAACTATAAAAATATAATAATTCGTGAAGTAATCGATTTCATAGGGAAATATATAGTCAATTCTATTATTAATTATGGTATGTGATTACAATCCAAACATACACTGTATGTACATAGCTGTACCAACGAATACATAACCAACTATATGACATACGAGGTACATAGCTGAAAAATGCAACTTTCTTTTTGGCCAAAATGCAATCGTGTTGTTTGCCGATAGAAATATTTCCAAAATTTTGAACGCTAAAATGAGATTTTATAGTTTTCTTGCTCAACACAGTTTCATGATATTTTCAGTCATCACTGATATCTTCGAAATTTGGTGACAACCCTCGATTTTGTACTTTTTCCACAACCCTGACCAACTTATTATGCCAGCTAAGTAAAAAACAATTCAAGCAATAGTTTAAAGGATAAACACTAATTCGAAAGGTCCTCAAAACATAAAAATGAGGTTGAAAATTCTCCGACACAATTGTTGTTACTGTTGCTATTGCCAAAATTTCTCAAAACCACTCTAAAAAGGTCCCCGCGGGAAGGACCTATATAAGTATAACAGAAACCGGTTTGACTCCAAAAGACACGCACCACATGGAAAACATCGGTGACAAAACGCAACACTAATCATTTTCTTGTTCCGATAATCACGACCGTCCAATTATTTCACATCACAAAGACTTTCTCAAACTAATAATGCATACCAAAAAACAAAAACAAAACGTTAGGAAGCAGTGATAGAAAAAAGAAATAAATCGGTGCTCGTGATTCCTTAAAAGAGAGAAGAAAAGAGATTGACCTCACGCGCGCGCGTGAAACACAATGGCCTGTGAAAAGAAAAAAAAAAGTCTGTCTTAAAAGTTGGCATCCACACGCGCTCTCTCTATCTATCTGACACTGATTTAACAGTACCTGTAGATTTTATCATAATCTAAAAAATCTTTTCTTTTCGTAATAATTTTTCCCTTTTTACCTCTTAAAAAGAATATATTTCCATCGTTGAAAAAAGGCAACAAAATTTTCTTTCTGAAGTGCTAGCATTAAAAATAAATTATTAAATTAATTAATGAAATTAGGGAATACAACTATACAAGAACAAGTACCCAAAAAAACTTTTCCCAATATTAATTTCCTTATTTGCATTAAATAGAATATACGGGTAAGATGTTTGGCTTTCCTTATAGGACAAAACGAGAATAGAATATTGACTGTATTCTGGGGTGTATTACTACGAGTTAAATAATATGGTTTTCTGCTCGACAGCAAATTATTTGTTTATTGATTTTGATCTAGAAGACACTTCAAAATAATATCCGACCTAGTTGGAAAAAGTCCATTACTCGTCAAACCTATATTTACAGAGATCTTTATATGCGAAAAACAATCCATATTTTACTAAACACAGTCTGTATAGATTAAGCAAGAGCATCAAAAATTTCCGTAAAAATAATAATACAAATTTTGATTTAAGGAATTACAGTTTCCAAGAAAGTTGAATAAAAATTAAAAGCAGAACATTTCCCCAAGTGGTCTTACCAGTAGGAGAGAGCACCAACTGGAGCGATAAAGATAGGAGTGAGTGAGGAAGTGAGATTCAAAAAAACCAAAAAAAAAAACAAAAAAAAACCAGAAAAAAAAACACACAAAGAAATCAAACCAGAAGCGAGCAAAGAGGAGGGAGGATTTCCCTCTTCTTATCTACTTAATCCCCGCTCAGAAATTTTCAAGTTTAGCTTCAAAATCCTTAATCTTTCTCTTCTCCTTCTCTGTTTCGAAACCCTAAATCAACCTCCAAAGTTGATTACTTTACTGTTGGGGAAGCCATGGATTCCGGCGACCCGACAGCCTTGCTTTTAACGAAAATCAGAAGCTTGGAGCCAGATTACGCTCCTAAGATCATCGGATATCTTCTTTTACAGGATTTCGAGGAGAAAGACTTGATGCATCTGGCTCTTGGACCTGAATCACTCCTTCAATCCGTTATTCTGAAAGTGAAAAGTCAGTTGGGACTTTCTTCACCTTCTACTCCGCCGTCTCCTTCTCCGTTGAACCCTATTTCCCGACCACCCATTAACGGAAGAGGAGTAAGCTCTCACTCTAATGGGTTCGTGGATTTCCGTAGAAAGTCCCCATCTTCTCCTTCTACCACCTCTCCTTGGTCTCTCAACACTGTGAACCCTAACAATGGGAGCAACGCCAACATTTCCCCCAAAAACACACCTTTGCTTTCGCTCGACGGTGCTCGTACTACACCGATCTCGAAACCCTTGAGCTCTCATCAAAGCAACGGACTTTCTGCTGCAGATGCTGGTGCTGACGCTGCTGATTTACTGGATGATCAGCAGCTAAGTGATTACCTTTCATTTCTAGACGATTCCTGTTCCAAAACCGAGGATGTTGTAGATTCCAGGATTCCTTTGGACTACGATGGCGAGACCCATCTGCACCACAGGAGGAGTTTCTCGGCAGATGCGTCTTTTGGGTACGGAGAGGATGGATTTGGTGCTGGATGCAAACCTTGTGTTTATTTTAGTCGAGGGTTGTGCAAGAACGGAGAAGGCTGCAAGTTTGTCCACGGAGGATATCCGGATAACGTTGATGGTAATGGCATTGTCGCTGATTCGCCTACGAAAATTGAAAACTTTGTCAGGCAGCGCGAGGAGCTGATGAGGTTGAAAATAGCTTACCAGCACCAGAGGCTTGCTTCTCAAATCCTTGGCAGGGCTCCCCAGTTGCCAATGCCATACGAGAAGAGAATGGATTTTCTCTTGCATCAGCATGCTCATAGGTAACTATCCCGATTAGTTTGCTTTTAGTAATTGTCCGAATTGGTCTTGCTATTGTTAGAAGTAATCGAATTTAGTTCTGCCTTGGCTTTCTTTCGGGTAGCCCTTGTTTGTTTTATCAGCAATTTTCTAGCTTTTGTTGCAGTGGATGCAACTTTGGTTGTCATTTTGTTAGTTCCTTCAAGTGTAAAGCTTTGTGCTTTCTCCTCAATGCAGAGATGGTGGACTACCTTTTGGTGATGAAAGATATTGGAGCAGCAGCCCAGGACGGCTTGAGAGGATGGAACTAATGGCAATGCATTTTGGTGATCAGTCTAGCTCGGCATCTAGACAGATTTACTTGACATTCCCAGCTGACAGCACGTTTAAGGATGAGGACGTTGCAACTTATTTCAGGTATTTCTAGACTACAATCTCTGTCAAACAAATTTTGGATAAAGATAATGTTTCTTGTAGATTTTTTTGGAAGAATGTTTTGAAAAATCAGTTCTTTGGTTGATTGATGTCTGATAATTCACGGATGCGGCTTTTTGAGAAAATAACCTTATTGATTTGTTTTCTTTATGAAGCCTTTTCGGTACAGTGCAAGATGTGCGGATCCCATACCAGCAGAAGCGTATGTTTGGCTTTGTTTCATTTGCCCATCCTGAGGCTGTGAAGGTTGTACTAGCTAGAGGAAACCCCCACTTCATTTGCGACTCACGTGTACTTGTCAAACCTTACAAAGAAAAAGGCAAAGTGTTGGACAAGTATGGTGCCTATTTTTTCTTCCCTTGAATTATTGTTCTAGTCTTTCTTCTTTGGGTTTCAGTGTGTCATTGTAAATGATATGATAACAGGAAGCAGCAGCATTTGCTACAACAGCAGATTGAGCGTGGAGTTTACTCCCCATGTTCCAGTCCATCTGGGATTGATCCTAGAGAACAGTCTGATTTCCATGTTGGTGAGTATTCTTGTTTATTTATTTTTAGAGACCAGTTTAGGCGTCTCTAGGTGTTAACTTCCTGCACTTTCTGTCAACTAACTTGCTTTGTTTCTATGTGGTAGGTTCGAAGATGTTCTATGAGAGGCGGGAGATGATGAGAAGGAAAATGGAGCAGGCTGATCTGCAGAGGGCTATTGAAATTGAAAGAAGACGCTTCATTAATTTGCAGCTTCCTGAGTTCAAGAACAGTGTAGTGCCTAATCATCACCGTAGCTTTTCTGTGGGGTCTCCTGGTTATTTTTCATCTGCCAGCAACCAAAGCCCTGATTTTCAATCTGAACTCACTGGTGCCGATGCTTTAGAAGGTTAGTGAAGTGAAGAATGCTGGTTTTGAATGTAGAGAGGCTAATATCTTTGCCGGTCATTTGTTATTTCAGTCTCATTAATGTTGTTGCTTCGTTCTGTGGCAGTAGTTGATGACACCTCAGAGCTGCATCCTTACTCGGCAATCAATAACAATAATTACTCAAATGGTGCAAAAGAAGGGACCAACAAGAGCGAAACGCTTGAACCCGACACCGGAAGCACTATAGAGCTTGTGCTGCCTAGTAACCTCTTCCCTTCAGCAACATCTACCGATGATCACGAAACCGATGATTCTGCTGAAACTAATGCAAAAACTGGAGTCTCCTCTACTAATGGAAATGACCATGAACCACCAGCCACCACCAGTAACCTGATGCAGTAGGCTATTTCACCTCATAAATGCCAAGGGTTAGTGTACTCTCTGATCTCTTCTCCTATGTTATCTTAAGTTATATATGGATAACAAACCTTTAACTTTGGACTCAGGTTTTTTTTTCTTATGGATAAGATGAGGCTACCGAAGTGTATGTAATAAAGGTAAACATAATTTTTATAGATAGTAAGTAGCCGTGAATAAATTCATAATGTGTTAATGTTGATGTTCATAACTTTTTCTTGGTTTTGGATTTGTGCAGATAAAGTAAAAAAGCATACACAAGGAAGTAGGATGATGTATATGTATAGCTAAGTTATATATATATGGAGAACAGAAAGAAGGTAGGAGAGATGATAATGTCGTATGAAGATCGAAAGTTTCCTCAGGTGATACTATCTATACTACTAACAAGTGGATGCGTAAGATATACTTTAAAAAAGACAGAGACGAATCTATATCGTAACTTTCTTTTGGTGCTTTTATTTCTCTTTTGCTTCTTGTACTCGATTGCTCATGTGGTTGTTCCGGTTTGTGTGGGTAATAAACCACAAGAGTCTATGATGTACCAAGAAGAATAGAAATTTCTGTAACATTATATATATTAAGCCGTTTTAGAGTATGACGGGTCCTCCTGTGCATCCCGATTATGAAGTCTTAGCTTTAGAGAATCTCATTCACTTTGGACTCTTGTTTTATACATACAACAACAGTTGGAACTTGGAACCATGTCTTTCATGTTTAGTGATCTTTCATAGCTCAAGTTTACTATATGACCAGGTTTGGAGATCCAAAATACTCAATGGCACACCAACAAAAGCCACACTAACCACATTAGATATTGATTTAACAAACTATGTTAAATACGCAGAAAAACATGTTTAGAAAACCACCGAAGACTTATGTAATTGACATGCAGCAAATGAAGACAGAATACATTTAATGCAATGCAATACGGTGCATATATGTACACATTTTACAGGTCTCAAATGCAAGTAAATCAAAATAACTTTTGACACTGAATGTAACGAACCATACATTACAACTTTGCAACTAGATTTGATAAAACCTATAATCTAGGAGAACAGATGTCCCGTGACAAGTCCTTATACAAAAACCATGTGTAAAGTATAGAAATTGGTTCTTTTTTTTTTTGGGTTGAATCAGAGGAAAAGGGTGGGTGAGATTTAAGAGAACCATGTGGTATGGTTTTGGTAATCTAATGGTTTAGGTCCTTGAAGGAACTCTTTGGAAAGTGAGGAAAAAAAAATGCAAGTAAAATAGACATGAAATTATTAATTTTTCCTTGTTACATTCTTGTGTTGCGTAACAACCATGGATGATGACCCAATTTCAATTCAATCAGAAATTATTTTGAAATTTTCTTGAATTCTTTTTTTCTTCTTCAAAAGTTATTCTTTTGATCGATCCACCCTGAAAGTTTCAACATTTCCATCTCAAATCGTCTTCTTGCCAAAATCCAACTTCAATATTCGCTTTCCGTTTTCCGATTAGACGACTTTCTATCTATCTCCCATGTCGCCGGCTATTCTGGTAGATACCTGACACCTCTCTTCTTCTCCCTTACTTCTCCTTGACGATTTTTCGTTTTTCATCTGATCGAATCTATCAACAATGAACAACTTCGGCGACTTGAATCCCGCCTTCTCCGGTACGGGTCGAACCAGCAATAACCCTGATCCGAGTTTCAATTCAGCGCCGTTTTCCCGGTCTTCTTCTGGGCTCTCTAAGCCGAGATTCTCTAAGGTCAGAAGGCAAGTGAAGCCTCAGAACTTGATGAAGCCCTCAGTGACTTCAGATTCCTTACCGGGTCAGGGTTTCAACCCGTTTCATTACCGCGGGTCTTTTGATCCACTTCCGGGTGAGACCGGATTCGGTCGGAGCAGCAATGAGGGTTTTGTATTTGGATCAAAAAAAGATGGTTCTTGTGACGAAGTTGGGAAAAGTGTAATGGAGGAGTTGGGAAAGTTGAAGATTGAGGGTGAAGATGGTTACAAGAAGAGTTTTAGCTCTGATGTGCATTTAGCTTCGAGTCTTCCTGGAGATATGCAGAATCTAAATATCAAGGATTCTCATTCCAGCTTTAGTTTCGGTGCTAATGCGAGGAGAAACGTGGAAGATGAGCTTCCATCTCTGTTGAGTAATAAACTAAAGTTTGATACCAGCAAGTCTAGCTCCGGTTCTTCTTCTTTTTCTTCGTGGAGTGAAGGACATGTGATCCAGGAAAGTATAAAGAAGTTGAATATTTCAGAGAGTGTGATCCATCAACAAAGTAATAATGTCAAAGCCAAAGGAAAACCCGAGTCCCTAGATTATGTTGGGGAGAAGATACTATCTGATGAATTGTGTCGAAAGCTAAGCGTTGGAAGTATAGCTACTGATGGGATCACCGTAGGGCATGCATCAGCTGATAACCTACCATCAGGTTCACATCAGGGAAGTATGAATGAGAAGAAAGTTCATGATTTAAACAGTTCATGTCCGATGAATTATAGTTTTGTAGGGACAGAGCCAAGTGAGCGTCCGAATCCGAGAAATGTTCATGATGTGACCTCTACAGTAAATACTTCCGGGTTTAATTTTTCGAGTAATCAAGACAATGGGGGAAATATTTCTATGGAGTTCAAGACCCCGAGTTCGAAAGTAAACCCATTTTCTAGCTTGGACCAGAAATTGGGGTTCGGCGCAAAGAAGGACAATGTTGGTGCCACGAGAGCGAGAAGAAAAGGTGGTAAACAGCCTGTGAAAGTGCAGCTAAATATTGGACATGAATTTGCTTTTGTAGAAAGTGCGTCTCCACATGGAAGCAATGAGGCTACTGAGTCTTATTCACCGATGGATGTATCTCCATATGAGGAGACAGCAGATTACAGAGACTTTTCTGCTACATCACATCAGTTTACGAATCCTGACAAAAGCCATCTCTCATCTGATATACCGCCTGCTGCTCCAAATGATGTGTTTGATGCAGACCTAGTTGCTGCAACTGAACGGATGGAAATAAACGAGGAGGATGAAGTTAATAACTATCAAGCTAAGGAGCTTAATACTGGTAAATGTGCTGATCATGAAGACCTTGCTGAAGATTCTGTATCTGGGGCTGAAACTGAAAGTTTTAAATCAGCAGCGGAAGAGATGGAAACTAGTAGCGAAACTTTCGCCACAGCTTCAGAAAGTGAGGTTACTTCAAGGTTTAAGTCTGATAGGCAAGAAAATGACGACCATTCCCTTTTTAATTCAAATGGTGCTAGCTCCAGCTTTACCTTTTCTGCTTCATCGTTTTCGGGAGTGCACGGGCAACTGTCAACTTCAAAGCGTATCAACAGAAAGAAAAATCCAGTTAAAATTGGGCAGGATCCATATATCTTAATTCCAAATGCTTCAGCATTAAAATCTTCACAACATTCGCCGTTAACTGGTGTTCAGTCACACCTGTCCACCGGGAAACCCAGTGAAAGGGATCCGCTCACTCGTCTACACAAGCCTATTAATAATCCTGTGATGGACAAAGCACGAGACGAAAAAGACGTATCTAATGCATCGCAAGAAGCATGTGAAAAGTGGCGACTAAGGTTCTTTAGAAATCAGCTATTTCATGCCCATTTTATTATTCTACTCATCGTGTTCTGATTATCTAGTTGTTAACGTTTCTGTCTTTATATTTACTGAACATTTTTTTGAATGCCTTTTCTCCAGAGGAAACAATGCTTACAAAAATGGAGATCTTTCCAAAGCTGAGGAATCTTACACTCAAGGGATAGATGCAGTGCCTAAAATCGAGACTTCTAGAAACTGTCTCAGGGCACTGATGCTTTGCTATAGCAACCGTGCTGCAACACGCATGGCCCTTGGAAGAATGAGAGAAGCAATAGCAGATTGTACGATGGCTTCTTCAATAGACTCCAACTTCCTTAAAGTTCAAGTCAGAGCTGGAAAGTAAAAATCGACCCTCCTTAAAACGTTTTATACTTTCTAATGAGCCTAGATAATATATTTTTGGTTAGTTTTTGATACGAAAGCTTGAACTGGGAAATGAGTGATGTGATATTTTCTTTTTATGCTTCAAGCTCGAGCTGCCTGGGTTACCTTGCTAGTCCATGCTCGTCTTTAGTTAGCAATTATAAATTGTATCTTTTAATTTATGATGTCTTATTGGCTGATTTGGGAGTTTTCTTGGTAGTTGTTATCTTTCACTTGGGGAGATTGAAGATGCGTCCATGTATTTTAAAAAATGCTTGCAATCTGGAAGTGACATCTGTGTGGACCGCAAAATTATTGTAGAGGCTTCTGAAGGTCTACAAAAGGCACAGGTAGAGTTCTCTCTTCTTTTCAAGGGACGCTATGTTCTTTGTAAATGGTTGTATCTTATGGATCTTAGCATATGATAGCAGGACACATGTCACACACTTATTTCTCCCAAGAACTGGATATTATAATTTGTATTAGTTGATTTAGGATCTGGACTGAACTGCACTAATAGCATGGCTAATGATTTCATTGAGATGCGTGGCAATAAAATTACTTAATGCTCTGGTGTTTGAGTTGTTTCTTGTTATATGATGGAGTTGACCATCCTTTAATCGCTTGGCAGAATTTGATATCTGTCCAGAATCTCGTTTCTTTAGTATGACATCCAGTTAATATTTTAAATAGGGGACTTACATTTACCCATTCTTTTTTTTTTGACCGATCAATATTGTTTTTGTCTTGCAGAGAGTTTCGGAATGCATGCATGAAGCTGGCTGCCGTTTGCAACTTAGGACATCAACTGATGTTGAGAAAGCTTTGGAAGTATTGGAAGAATCTCTATTGATAAGTCCATACTCTGAAAACTTACTCACCATGAAGGGAGAGGCGCTTTTGATGGTATGTTTCACTCATATTCAAATATCAATTGAAATGTTCATTTTTAACCCTTCAGATAACTGTGAGTAGGAAATCAAAAACTTTATACAGGAACAGATTAAGAAACCTGCTCTCTGTTTATTTGGTTACAGCTTGAGAAGTATGAAGCATCAATAAAGCTTTGTGAGCAGACAGTTGATTTGGCTGGAAAGAATTCTCTTCCCGTAGACGCTAATAAACTTTTGTCCAAGCCAGATTCTCATGACATTCCCAAGGATATAAACTTTAGAGTTTGGCGGTGTCGTCTCATGCTTAAAACATATTTCCTTATGGGAAAGCTTGAGGAGGCGATATCTTCTCTAGAGAAGCAAGAGCAATTACTATCTGCTACAAAAAGGTGATTCAGATTTACTCCTTTTACGTTTATTTTTGACAGATGAGGTTAAATCTAACAAGTCTCTCTTGTCTGTCTTTCTGATACAGAGATGGCAACAAACCACTTGAGTCCTTCATCCCATTGGCTGCTACTATACGTGAGCTGTTACGCCTTAAGGTATTTCCTGCCTCTGCTACAGCTATAGCTCTGAATTGGCACTTCCTTTTCAGAATCCAACTTTACAGATTAATTCTGCTATTTACTCACTTTTTCTACCGTTTTGATATTCCACCAAATCCAGTCGGCAGGGAATGAAGCCTTTCAGTCTGGACGACACACTGAAGCAGTTGAACATTACACAGCAGCCTTGTCTTGCAATGTGGAATCACGTTTTTTTACAGCTGTGTGTTTTTGTAATCGTGCTGCGGCATATAAGGCCCTAGGTCAATTTTCAGACGCTATTGCAGACTGCAGTCTTGCTATTGCTCTTGACCAAAATTACTCAAAGGTTTCTTCCCTTGAACATTTTGCCACTGTTCCCATGTGTGTATGGTTATATGCTTACAGAAAGATTTGGCAGCGATTCTCTTATGAAATAAGGCCTGCAAAAGTACTCCATTACATGACTGAATTTGTTAACTTTTTCTTTATTTTTCAGGCTATTTCTAGACGGGCCACGTTGTTCGAGATGATTAGGGATTATGGACAGGCTGCCAGTGATATGCATAAATATGTTAATAGTCTAACCAAGCAAATGGAAGAGAAGACCTCCGGAGTTCACGACAGATTCACTAATTTGGCCAATGACATAAGACAAGCTCGTATACGACTTTCTGAACTGGAAGAGAAATCAAGGAAAGAAACTTCTTTGGATATGTACCTCGTCTTGTAAGTAGACTATCCTGCTAATTTAATTTCTATTCCACCAACATCATCCGCGGAAATTAGAAACTACCTTAGGGAATCCATGAATCTGTTTTTCCTTTGTCATACCGCTTTTGCGGTTGAAATAATGTTCTTGGAGGAAGAACCTAGTGGTACTGAGATAAATAGTGTGTCAACGCTTTGCTAATTAGAATGGAATCTACTTTGTGGCAGGGGTTTAGTGCCTTCATGCTCGGCTTCAGATATCAGAAAGGCATATAGGAAGGCCGCACTCAAACATCATCCGGACAAGGTATTTCATTATGCTGAAGCTGTTTACTTTGCCATGCTTGCGGATTCAGCTAAAACTGATTCGAATGTGGAAAGCAAAGAGTTGCAGACTATAATAAGTGCTTAAAATTATTTTGAACTTGTTTAAGGCTGGTCAGTCTTTGACAAGAAACGAGACTAAAGATGAGAGACTATGGAAGGAGATAGGAGAAGAAGTGCGCAGAGATACCGATAAATTATTTAAAATGATCGGTGAAGCGTATGCTGTGCTTTCAGACCCTACAAAGGTAAAACATCTTAACCGATAACACTTCCTCATCTCTGTTTTCATTTTCTCGTCTTGGAATCAAGAAATGTGATTTCTATGTCCTGGTGCTTTTTGCAGCGTTCGCAATATGATCTTGAAGAAGAGATGAATAATGCACAAAGGAGACGTGAGGGAAGCAGCACATCTGGAGCAGAGGCAGATGTTAATTATCCATTCAATAGCAGTAGACGAAACTGGAGGGAAGGATGGAGTTCACGTAGGGACACATCAGCTCCGAGGTGGTTTGACCCAAACCGATCAAACAGATACCCGTTGTGACAGTGAAGCATCTCGAAGATATCTTTTTACCAAATTCCTCACCAGAAAATGTTTGAGGCTTCCTGCAAATACTCAGGCTGATACCGCGTGGACAAAAATTATCAAATGCTCAGATTCTTGGAGAATATAAGACACATCACACGATAATCATGGAAAGACTTGAGATGCAGAAAATTTACTCAGGTAATGGAGAAAAACAAGGAATCTCTATTGTATAATCGTTTTTGTTTGTGAGGTAGAGAGATTTCTCCATTGTTCTCCACATGGCCGTGCGTACTGAAGACGTAAATAAAGAAACATTCGCTCAGTCAATTTGTATGTAAATGTTTGAAATCAAATTTGAAAATATATTATTATGTACGATTTATGCTAAGTTTCTCTAAAAAAAAAAAAGTCATGGATTGTATAAGCTGTAAGAGATTCGTTAAATATAATCATGCAGTAAAGTATTTCCGTGATCTATTGAAAAATTGCCGTGTGTTTTATTTTTTTGGTCACGATCTCTACTGTATTATGTCAAAAACCTCTAAGATATGCAGATTACCCAATGATTTAACATAGTCAAACTATATATAGCGAAAAGAAGATATAATGTCGTCCATAACTTGTATAATTACTAAAAAAAAATCTGTCCAATTAATTTTTTTTTTTTTGAAATCGTTGTCGTTTTCCTCAACCAATTTTCTCGGAACTAATTTTTCCAATTGTAGGTGGTCGGAAAAAAAAAGTCTTGCCAATTGTAGGTGGTCGGGAAAAAAAAAAGAAAGTCTTGCCAATTCTAGGTGTACTTATTGATAAGCCCCCAAAATGAAATAATGCTGCCTTTCTCCAACAGTTTTGATGTTTAATTATTTTAGAGTTAACATAAGCAAAAAGTCTTGCCAACTACTAACGACATTTTTTTAGGTTTTAGAAAAGCATAACACTTTCGTTGAATTTCAGAATTTTCTTACCAACATAAATGGTTTGAAACTTGAACCACAAGCCAAGTGAATCAACCTAACGAACGCTTTGTGAGTTTTGTCCTCATTAGTTAATGTTCACACCCGACCACTTTGTAGATTTACGTTATAAATAACTGTAGCATGAGAGAAGATAGATCAAACAAATATCGAAAATGAAAGGAAGAATAACGGCAGAGGAGGAGGAGGAGGAGCAGCCGCTAAGCCCGATGGCGCGTGTATTCCAATCGCCGGGAGTAGACTACTGCGCCGTCACAATCATGGGCTTCAAAACCAAGATTAATCCCGACGTCCTTCTTGATGCATTGAAGCATAATGTCTCCAAGCATCCTCGTTTCTCTACCAATCTGGTACCAACTTACTTATACATATATTATTATGATTTGCGCATGCATTCGAACATGATCCTGATCTTACTTGATTTGTGTTTTTGAACTTCATCATAGTCTGAGAATGGTGCAAAATGGATAGAGACACAAGTCAACGTAGAAGACCATGTAGTTGTACCATACATAGACCAAGAAGAGGTAGGTGAAGATGGACAAGGCTTCGTCGATGAATATATCTCACGTCTCACCATGATTCCTCTTGATAGATCAAGACCATTGTGGGACATGCACATACTTAACGTCAGAACAGCAGATGCAGAAGCTGTCGGTGTAATAAGATCTCACCATTCATTGGGAGATGGAATGTCTTTGATTTCTCTCATGCTCGCATGCACACATAAAACATCAGACCCCGACAATACTGCTATTCCTTCGTTGAAAAGGCGTACGGTGTCGCATGGGCTTAGAAACAAAGGCTGGTTCTTAAGGTCGATACTCACCGTTGGTTCTACGACGAGGCTGATTTGGAATACAGTCGTAGATATGTTGCTTCTTATGGCGACTCTGACGTTTTTGAAGGATACAAAGACGCCTCTAAAAGGCGGTGCAGAGGTTGGGAGTAATCCAAAGAGATTTTATCACAGAATTATCAATTTGGATGATGTTAAGTTTATAAAGAACGCTATGAATATGGTAAACTCATTATTTTGAAGGTTTCTCTTCATTTTCTTTTCTTTCTTGCAATGGATGTTTATTTTTCCTCTTTCGCCTGTTGCTAGACTATCAACGATGTTCTCCTTGGAATTACACAAGCTTCTCTTTCTAGCTATTTGAACCAACAATATGGTAACCATTAAGTTCATGATGTCTTTTTAAGATAATTAACATGATAAATATATGTTTATCAAGTGTATATCTTCTTTCTTGATAAACAAGGCAAGAAGAATGAGGAGGAGGGTGGAGCATTGACATCGTATCCGAACCATCTTCCAAGCAAACTACGATTCCGTGTAGGTTGTACAGTAAATCTAAGGTCGGACATCGGATTCAAGGTTAGAGATATTCATACACCTCATCAATTTTTAGATCTATATATTTTTATTAGCTGTTGTCATTGACAAGCAATTTATTTGTATAAATGTGTATAAAGCCTTTGGAAGATATGATGGTCAAGGATTCAAAATGCAGATGGGGAAACTACTTTAGCTTTATCATTTTGCCCTTCTCCATCGGTTTACAAACCGATCCATTAGTCTATCTAAAAAAATCTAAATCCACGATGGCTCGAAAGAAGCACTCTTATCACGCTGCTCTAGTCTATTTCATTATCAAAATCGTCCTCAAAGTGTTTGGAGCTAAGGTAAATCAAAGTGATCAATGAACTTCATTAGAGATAATTAATTTGTTTACAATTTTCCGGACCATTTGATAACAATATAACGCAATCTTGTCATTGTAGGCAGCAGCAACATTATTCAACCGACCAGTGATGAACATAACGACATGCGTTTCAAACGTGATAGGTCCCATGGAAGAAATTAGTTTCCGTGGTCATCCTATCGCTTACATCGCTCCAAGCTCTTATGGACACTCACAAGTACGTACGTAGTTAAAATAAATAAATTTGATAAGGTTTTATGTTCTGATATTTTCTTCCTACACGTGTTCTTGTGTGTTGATAGGCATTGTTGGTACACTACCTAAGTTATGCGGGGAAAATGATAATCTCCTTAGCAGTTGATCCTTCTATCATACCGGAACCCGAAAAGATCTGTGATGAAATGGAGGAATCATTGAAAGCGATGAAAGCTGCTCTTTGGGAAAGAGGTTTACACTAATTAATAAGGCTCGTGAGCCATTAGTATCCATTTTATATAAACCGTAGACGTGCGGTGAGGGAATATATATTTGTTTGGTTGAAAATGTTTATGTTTTAGAAGCTTTAAACTAATGCACTTGTTGTATCTATAATTATTGGAATGAGAAAAATGTCAAAGGCCGCCCGGTCATAGTTGTTGAACAAGAAAAATGCTTACGAAATTTGAAAAGATTTCAAAAGTTTATATACGACACACACAAAACCATATTCTAATATCTAAAGTACATAATACTTTCAAACACCATACAAAAAAATGAATTATTTAAGGTATTTTTTTTATAAACTTTATGCATGTATTTAGTAATATGATGGCCAAGGATTCAAAATGCAGATGGGGAAACTATTTTAGCTTTATTGTTTTGCCCTGTCTCCATCGGTTTACATACCGATCCATTGGTTTATCTAAAAATATCGAAATGCATGATGGCTCGTAAGTCGTAAGAAGCATTCTTAGAGCATCAGCAATGCTAGCATCGATTTAAGAATGCTTAGCAATAAAATAATATTAAACTTAAGAAAGAAGAAAAAAAAGAAAAAAATGAAGAAAGAGAAAAAGAAAAGAGAGAAAATGAAGAGAGAAAAAACAAACACCAATAAACATCGCTTCTTTTCTATCGGTCCAATAAATAAACTCCACGTGCCTTATAGGCATCGATGCTTATTGGTCTTATTTAAACAGCGATTCTTCAATTTATTTTCATTTTGGATTTATTTTTTGAGCTAAGCATCATCTAAACACTCCTGTTGTGGATGCTCTAACGCTTCTAGCTTATATTTGATGATACAAATTGGCCAAAAAGTGTTAGGAAAGCGATGGAAGCTGCTCTTTCGGATAGAGGTTTACTCTAAGGCTCGAGCGCCATTGTAATCCGCAAACGTGTGGATGGATTTATTATATTTGGTTGGAGTATTTGTTTGGAATCTATAAATGCTTTTGTAGTATTTATAGTCAGTTTTCTTTTTTTTGTTTTTCATCCATCGAACAACAGTCTGTGTAACAAAACACAATTCAGTTTTGAATGATTGATTGATACTTTAGACTTACTCGTAGATCTGCTTTGAACAAAATGATTTTGCAAATTACCAATCAAAATTTTAATATACCCCACACCAATACATTCAAAAGTTTATAGTTTATGATGCTTTTTTTGTCCTAGTTCATGTCTGAAATGAAATATGGTAGGAAAAAAAATAATAATTTGAAAGGACAGTTTAGGTATCTGGAAAAAATATTGAAAAGTCGAGGTTTTGGGCTATTGTGTCAAGGCCCAAGCCTAAGAGGCCCGCAACGACATGACCTAACTAATGTTTGCTTTCACTGTGTCCTTTGACTGAAACTCAAAAAATACTTCTCTCTCCGTCTCCGACGATGGCTTCCGGTGACCAGAGCAAGAAGAGAAAGCAGCGTTATCTCCCTCAAAATGTAATCTTTCTCTCTTTCTCTTTCTTATGTCTCCACACGACGCTTTTCTATGAATCTGCTGCTAATTTTGTTTTATTTTTTTGTTTGGTGTAGAGACCAGCGAAGAAGAAGGGTGCTTATCCTTTGAAGCCAGGGGTACAAGGTTTTTTCATCTCCTGCGATGGTGGACGCGAATTCCAAGCTTCTCAGGAAGCTCTTAACGTCATAGATTCCGTAAAGTTTTTCTTTTTGTCTTAAATTGATATTTAGTCTCCGACTAGTTGTTCATATTTTGGTTAAAATTAGCTGTTTCTTCCACAAAATTGATTTCTTTTCCACGTTTTCTGATTATGGTCAACAAGTGAACTAGCTCTTTAATTCGTGGTCGAATTGCGTTTCTGTGTTTCCTTATAAATTTCGTTCACAAAAGACCTCGATTGGTTTGTTGTCTGGTTTCTCGACTTCTCTATGCACTGAATCTTCCATGCCATTGTTAGCTTTCTCTTGACCTTTTTTTTCTTTATGTTTTTTAAGTTTGAGTAGTTCTTTGAATCTTTGGAGTGTTTCTCAAATGTAAATCTCTTCATGTTACAGTTTTTTGAGGAGTTAGTGCATGGGACTGGCTTGAAAGTAAATTCTTCTGGGTTTCTTGAGAAACCAATCAACAAAAAGGTTACATTTTCCTATAGCGAGGATGAGGATGAGGATGAAGAGGAAGGTAATAATGGCGAGGAAGAGGAAAACAAAGGGGATGGGAATTTGACGGAAGTGAGTGAAAGCGGTAATAATCAAGTGAATGAGAAAGAATTAGCAGCAAGCGAAGGGTCATGTGAGGTCAAACAATTGGCAGAAAATGAGACTGAAAAGAACGAAGAAGATGAAGGGAAACAGAAGAACGAAGAAGATGAAGGGAAACAGAAGAACGAAGAAGATGAAGGGAAACAGAAGAACGAAGACGATGAAGGGAAACAGAAGAACGAAGAAGATGAAGGGAAACAGAAGAACGGTGTCGATGAACCTCCAAGAAAGAAGGCTTGTATGGAAGAAGCAAATGCATCAACAAAAGTAAACGAGAATGCAGAGATGTCAATTGATAAGCTGATTGATGCTGAACTAAAAGAGCTCGGAGACAAGAGTAAGGTAAGCTATATATTATCTATGGGTCCATGAGAGGAGCTTTTAATAACAAATTTTCTTAAGTCTATGTTTTTATCTCTTTGTGGATCATAAGTGTCTTACTATCTATATTGCTTTCTTCGTCTGGACAGAGACGATTTATGAAGCTAGATCCGGGTTGCAACGGTATTGCCTTCATCCAAATGAAAAGGAGAGATGGTGACCCAAGTCCCAAAGATATTGCACAGCATGCAATGACTTCTGCTGCTGCAACAAAAAAACATATGTCAAGGTTTGATCTTACTCAAAAAAATGCAACATACCAAGAACTCTCTAACTGTTATGCCTTTGTCGGATTTTTGCTAATGTATCTTGTGACGCTTAGGTTCATCCTAAGACTTGTACCAATTGAAGTGTCATGTTATCCTTCAGAGGAAGAAATTTCAAGAGCCATTAAGCCTCTTGTAGAACAGTATTTTCCCATTGAGACTGATAATCCCCGCAAGGTAGGATCTTTACCAATATTACGGTTTACATGTCTGTCACCACTATTGCTTTACCTGCCTATACCATCATTGCAGTTTGCTGTGTTGTATGGAGCCCGTGCAAACACAGGGCTTGATAGGATGAAAATAATAAACACAGTGGCAAAATCTATTCCTGCTCCTCACAAAGTTGATTTGAGCAATCCGGAGATGTCAATCGTAGTGGAAATTGTCAAGGTGAACAAGGATAATTTTGATGCCTGATTTTTTTGCATTAACAGATTGGTTGGTTATAAACTCAAATCCGATTTTGTGTTGGAATTTACAGACTGTATGCTTAATTGGGGTGGTAGAGAAGTACAAGGAGCTGGCAAAGTACAATCTCAGGCAGCTCACGTCAACCAAGTGACACAATCTCACTTTCTTCTATGTTTTTTTTCTTCTGAAGACTAAGATGCGTTGTCTTTACTGGTTGTTCAAGATTTCTGGCTTAATGTATTAAAATGGTCGAAGTTGGTCTTTAGATCCTATTTTCCTGATCAATAAAGTTTTTTTCTTTGATGAATGGTGTCAGTACAATGCAATAACTCAGATTTGATTTTGTTGAATGGTGGCTTAACCAAACGAAACCACAGGTTCAAGGAAGTGGTTGTTTACCTCATCTTCTCATTTGGCCTATACTTAATAGAAAATCAAGTCAAGAGAAGCTGGGAGAACTTCCATAGTTACGTAATGATCTCAAGCACATTAAAAGATTGAAATGGGTAAATATGGTATATAAGCTAAGCCTAAGAGAAGAACCAACATTCTTACAATTAGACACTAATGAGAGCAAAGGTAGAACTTGGAAGCTAATAAACAGCACTACCAATGGATTTCAATAGAGAATGGATTCAACATATTCTTTACATACATTCACTTGTTTGATGACTCCCTCTATTCCGAAAAGCAAATGAAATCATGTTATAAATCAACTCTGGTGTTCTTAAATCCCCTTTTTTGTTCACTCTAATTCTAAGTCAACCACTTCACTTTAGTACCTACTCATCCAAGTTAGCAGTCCCAACAAGCCAACTAACTTCATACTAGCACCAAACTCTTTCCTCATCTGCTTCCGCTTCTCCTTCTCCTTGATTCTCTCCTCATACTCTTCTCCCATAAATTTATAGACATCTCCAAGTTACATCTAGCCCTGTCTGATCCTTCCAACCTGATCCCCAGCCTAAGAATATGCTATCCCATATGTGGACAGGTAGGAGAAGACTTTCCGCGACAGAGATGGCACAGGAATCCAATCACCGTACTTAAATTCTTCTCGTCAATCCCATATGCATCTCCATGGTACCACCGTTCTACAAACATTACCAAAAACAAAACAAAAATCTGAGATACAAAAGGAAACCAACTTTTGCAATTTAGATAATGGTGAAGCAAAAGAAGAAGATTAGTACTTGGACAGTTTTCGCAAGAGATGAAAATTGATCCAGATTCAGATTCATTCGAGCCGCATAAATGACACGTAGGTTGATCATGATCCGAGTTCTCCGAAGGTATAAAACATCTATCTTCCCGGAACTTCTTTACCCGTTCATCACCAGGCTTTCTGGATAATCTGATTCCATTCAACCAATAGCTAGAGCAGCTTTCTTTTCTCTTATTTCTTAAGGATATCTCTTGTTTTACTTTCTTAGGCCTGCCTCTGCCTCTTTTGGTTTCCAGTTTCCGTTTCTTACTCTCTCCAGGAACTTTACTTTCATCCTGCAACCGAATAACATGTTTCGGTTTCCTGCCTGAACGTCGCAATGGTTTGCTTGCAACAACCTTCTTATGATTCTTTAACCTAACGGAAATTCTCTCTGCCAGTGAGGTTTTAGTCTTCTTTAGCCGAGTTGATTTGCGAGCAGGTACGACCTTTTTACGCTTTTGTGTCTGAACGCCAATTTTTTTACGGAAACTCCCTGGGGGCCGCCCTCTTTTCCGTACGCCGGGTTGTTCTCTTGCTACTACTTCACTTCTGCATGGAAGACAGATGTACGTGCCTTCCTTATCCGCTTTCCTGATATGCTTTTTGTGAAACAATCCTGAAATTTTTATCATAGCTAATATCAATAAAATATTTCTTGTGCATGAAAACTGAAGAAATGCTTCTTTAAACATATCACTTCTGATTCAAGAAAGTTTTGTGGAGTTTCGTTTGTGTTGTGTATGGACTATGTTCTTATTAAATTACCTACACAGGCAAAGAAAAAAAACGCTTTAACAAAAGAACAGCAAAAGAGACTTACTTTTGCAGATGTGGCAGCACGCAGCATCACTGTGATTAAAGAAAAACAAATAAGATCAAAAAGCAGTTAAAGAAAGATCATTACTCTACAAACAAAGAAAAACTAAAAGATATGTTTGTAGGTCAAATGTAAGCAGAGTCCAAGTGACAAACCCTTTTTAAGCTTAGTCAAGATCAGATTGCTATGCTAATCAAGACAAGGACTTCTGAAGAAGAAAAGGGTTTCGATAAGTACATACCTCAAAAGCACATCTTTCTTACATTGCTCACACAAAGAGGACTCAGATCTTTCTGCCCTTTCAAAGAGGTATGAGAATCCTTTTCCCTCTGAGGACCTTTTCCGTACTTTTTCTAACTCAGAGTGTCTGAAAGAGCCTCCTGGCTTACTAGTTTTTCGTATAGCTTTTTTCTCTTCAAATCCTTTCAGAAGATGTAAAGGCACATACGATTCATTCAGCCAGAATTTTTTTCTTTCACTTGAGGATTCTTCAATCATGCTACCATTCTTCAGCACAACATCCGGAATATTTCTCCTTTTACCAAAGTCAAGGAGATATTTCACAGTCTCTTCCTCTATGCACTTCCTACGGACAATCGCTTTTTTGAACAGCCTGGCAGTTTTTTTGGATTCTTTGTCCGATGCAGGAAGTAGATGACTGTTTTCAATATCATCCCACTTTATGTAAGAATGGAGTGTCCTCACCTGTAAATCACTGACTCGTTAGCTGAAAATAGCCCAAGGCTAAAAAAACATCCCACAATATTTATAGGAGACAGTTGTATAAGACAAATGATCAGTGTATAAAACTGCACATGTCTGTAAAATAACAATTCTGATAACATACTAAAGAAAAATCAAATTTACTTAACCGCAATTTGACAATTAGAGTAGATAAAAAAAACTTTAAGGATCTCATACCATCTACATTCATGCATAAGCCAAATGGAAACGAAAATTATTGTCAGGATGTGCATTACCAATACACCCTTGGAAACTTCAACATTGGTATTTCTTGTCAAAACCAACGAAAGAAGAATTACATTCAGTTTGACCAAGATTATATTACCTGAAAACCGAGCTGATCTGAAGTCGTCGATGACTCAACAGCTGCTTCCCAAGCAACACGTCGGCTTCTCTTAGCGGGCTCTGAATTCTCAGGATACAGTATTCCTGGAATATTCATACTTCCACCTGCATAGTGTAGAGTGCATGAAAAATGAGACAGCTAAATGGAAGTGGGAGGAACAAAAGAATAGTAAACGACTGTAGAAGAACAAACGCGAAAGCAAGAACAAAAGAGAAAATGTTAACCTTGTCTAGCAGCCTTCGAGACCAAAGAGCGAGGTAAAACCTTCCAGTTGAATAATTGCCGTGAAATCCGGCCACCTCTCCACCAACACATGGTCAATCCAACATTTTTCTTTGCAGTACGGTTAACCCCAGACTCCAACAATGTTCCCCGTCTTTTACCAATAGCAGCCTTTGACCATGACAGTGCTGATCCCATTTCTACAGCAGAATCGACATGGTTATGCCACTCAAGTGAAAGAACACGATGATGCAAATTCGCCTCTAGCTGCCAAGGTAATTCACAAAATCTTCATTAGGAACAGAATAATTGATGCACACCTAGATTAATCACTAATGCACAGCACAACAATCAAGTGCTCAAGAAATCCTACTTTTCTGAAGATAGTTAAGTCTTAATCAAATAGTAGCAAAACATTCAACATTTCCTAGCCACACTAAAAAAGTGAATAGAAGTTGATTAATGCCAGCTTTTCAAGTAGGAATTAAACGAACCAAAACTAAAGTTCTACATAGCAGCAGACCATAATGATAATTTCGAATATGAAGCTTCGGCATGGGGTAGTTCAGAGTTTAGATAATTTGCCAAAAAAATGATTAAATTTAGAAATAATCCAATACCACCATTGCAAAATGAATTTTTTTTTGGAGTAAGAAAATGAGAAAAACTTACTTCAACTAATGAATGTTTCAGGCTTGATATATTTGATGCTTTCAGAATGTGTTCACGCCAAATCCCGGAGTGCTGTGGATTCAACCATGGACCAACCAAAAGACCTTGCAGTCGACTTTCCATGGATAATATCTGGCATATGATAGCCATAAGATGACTTTTCTTATCAATGGATTGACTGTTAGCAACTTCACTTTCCGAAGGGCCCCGTAAAACCCCGAGACTCATGTTAAACAAACAATTTGTCTCACTCCCGGCATCCTCAGATTTGCATGAATGACACCATCCACATTTTTCTTTCCATGCATCTAGGTAGAGGCCTTGGATGTTTCGCCATTGAAATTTGGTGGTTTTCATCAATATAGTCTTCACCTGGGTAGAAGCTATCTCTTCATCAGATCTCATATCATTGGTACGGCTAGGTGACTTACGCATCATCTCTTCAGAAATTGCTGTAGTCATCTGAGCAAATATGTACTGATTTCTGTAGCCTGTATCGTGTTGCAGAATCGGTCTGATTCCTTTCCTTGTGTTCATTCTAGCCAAATAACGAGGAGACGAATGGATATTCAAATTTGGCTCTTTCATGATATCCAAAATGCTTGATGGTGCTGGTTCATGAAGACTCTGGACATCCGAACCATTTTGTACAGTTTCAGCAGATCCTTCAGAACTCATATTAAGGAAATCTATCCCAGTAGCTAAACCTGATATCTTCCGACGAGTCCTATGACAATGATTATGTGAACCTCCATTGCTGGATGTTTCGTCCAGCCTTTTTTCAACTCCAGATGTTGGCTGCTTTTCTGGGGCTGGTAGAGGAGCTTTGAACCCATCAATAGAAGAAATCATTCCTTTGGCTGAATTATCCAAGCATACTGACATTTGTGAATTCGCAGCGGTGATTGTCCTTTTCTGCTCAACTGGGACATCCCAGTGTTTTGTAATTGCACTTACTACGCCAATGTAGAAACTACCGCATGACTTGAGCTGCTCCAATACAAGGATCACATCATTCACATGGTAGTAGTTTAATGAGCCTGAGCCATCTGTATCTATCCTGCAAATACATAATGGATAACATCAGCCAATTTATGAAGACTTACAGCAGTTCCTACAATCAATATATGAAAGAAGTTCCTAGAAGTAAATGATGAGACGAGGCTAGTCAGATGTCCAAACATGCGGTTCCACTTATTAGAAAAATTACAGAAGGACACAGTTATACAGTTCTATCATGTTATATGCGTATTTTAGTTAATCCTACATAGTTTAGTTAATCCTCCAGCTAGCTAAAATTGGGGTAATGTTTTTAAAGCTAATCTTCACCTAGGAGCTATGCCATATAATCAACATACGTCTACAGTGCTCGCAAGACATCATCACAAAATTGTACCACTGAGGTGAGACAACAAAAATTGCTACTAATCAAATTATATATATTTACCATAAAAAAAATTAGAGTGGTGAACCCACAAAATTGATTCCACTGAGATCATGCATTAGCCCTTCTTAAACAAGAGAATCAAAGGAAGAAACTTACACCAATAAGTAGCCACAACTGATGTAGTACTTTCGGCCATGTGGATCAATCTCTATAAACTCTGCTCCTCGAATTTGCTTTTCAGGCTTCAATCCTGGTACACGCCGATCAAATGAACATTCGGGGCAGTACCAATCACCCTCAGGCAAAAGGTGACTGGCAACACCGACACACTTAGAATGATAAGCAGCCGGACAACCATCACAGCACAGTAAGTTCCCATCCATTTTACAAAAACAACAGTCGTCACTGTTCCGGTCAAACGAGCCATCAATGACCTCATCATTCAAAGGAAAATCATCTGCCCGCTCCATCATAGTTCGCTTTCTGCGCCGTACTTCTGTGTTCGTTTTCCTATCGATTTCCATTTCAGACTCAGCTGCAAAAGATCTTTTATTAAGCTCTGATCTCACAACTTCAGCATCTGTCATATCATCACACAAACGGCTAAGTATCTCGATTTTCAGATTCGTGGGCTGTCTGAAATACTCATTTCCGAAAAAGTTAAACCGAGCTAGATCCACTCCAGGGTTGTCCTTAGACCCAGAAAATAGCAGGTATTCGACTACAAAAAGGGGATAGTTAACCACATCCAGCATATTCCAATCAAGACTCCTGCATTTAACACACGACCAGCAAAGCATGAGAGCGCAAACAGGAAAAGCTTCATGTCCATAAAACAGCAACAATAATAAACATACCTCAGGCAAGCAGTCGCAGATAGGTCACCTTCACCAACGAGTTGCTTCAAATGTTTTCTTAATATTTGCAAGACAGAAACATGGATGCTATCAAATAATAGACTGGGAGACGTGCATCTCATCGCTTCCACAAAATCCTCCAACTCAAAGGGACTCAAAAACAGCAAAGTACTGAAGGACCTCAGGCAAGAGTAGGCAGTAAAGACATCAAGAATGGGAAGACCATCTAAATTCAAAACATGCGAGGATGGAGGTAACTGTGGCTTTGGCGGAAGCAAAGAAATATTTTCAGCTTTTCCATTAATGATCGTAGTTTTCTCGTCTGTCAGACTACTAACTGACGGAGAAGGGGATAATTCATCAGCTAAGCAAGCTGTTATAGTGCTACTGGCAGGTGATCGAGCTAACATTCTACGTGCGCTTCTTCTCAACCGAGGTTGACTCGTGAATTTTGGATTCTCCGAGCCTTTTCTTCTTTTCCTCCTACCACTAGTATATTCATCCGAAATTTCCCTATCAGAGAGGAACTCATCAACAGCCTTAGCATCATGCTCAGGCAGATCATGATCCCGCTCAACCCCATTAGAATTAGGAGTAGTAAGATCTTGCAGTGAAACAACGTTCTGCTTCCGTATCTCCTCCAAAAGCTGAACGCTTGATACTTCAGCAACATGAACTTCTTTATATTCGCCAGTCTCGAGATTATCCTTGACGCCATTTTGGTCCTGCATGTTGGTTTCTTGAATTATGTCACTTCCATTCATTTGAATGAGTACGTCATCCTTGCTGTTCTCTACGTTAACCTCCAAGTTCAAATCAAATCCTCCCTCCCGCTTCTGGGCATTCGAAGCACAGACACCAGCATTGTCCAAATCACAGCTTGCATCCATATTCAAATCAATATAACCCCTCCTTTTATCCTTACAATTTTGCTCATAATCGACATTTACGTTAATCAAACCTAAACCTTCATTCAAATTCCAATCCAAGCCGGTGGTCAGATCAAACCCAGTTCTCGGTTCCGGAACAGCCCTATTCAAGTCCATCCCAGACTCCCATGTCCTACCTAGGGTTTCCTCAGGACCACAATTCAAATCGACGACATTCCCTCTCAAACCCATACCAACGCAATCACTAACCCCAGAATCCTCCGGAACTCCATCATTTAAATCGAGATTTCCCAAGACATTTACCTCATTTTGCCACTTCTCCTTCCCTCTCCCAGAGCTGTCTCGCTTGATCTCATCCATCCTCTCGACCCGAGGCCGCTTCCTTGTCCTCTTACCAACTCGCGGCTTCACTTGGACCGGTGTTTCCTGGGGTTTCCCTTCTCCCATCACGAGCGCAGCAACCTCAGCAAATTCCGAAATCTCCGTAAGGCCATTCTCATAAACGATCTCGAAAAATCCAGACGAATCGTAAGATCGCACCGTGCCGGAGCAAAACCCAACCCCGTCGATCTCCTTCCTTACGACTTTTCCCACCAACTCCATTGCTGCGAGCTTGCTTTCGCTTAACGAAACGAGCGAATCTGTGAACCAACGAAGCAAAGAAAACCCATTAGCCAAGTCTGGATTGCAAAAAGGGGGCGAAATAGAAGCGCTCGTTTTTTTTTCTTTTTTTTTTGTTGCTAGAAACGCTTACAACGTGCAGGAGAGAGAGGGACAGAGACTCTCTCTCTTCTCTCTCTCTTCGGGGAAGGAAAGTAGAAAGAGAATTCTCTACAGAGAAACGCTTAACGAATTCTCTCCTCACTCAGAAGAAACAAGACGGGTTGGTCAATGTTAGGAAGAGAAGGCCATCTCTCTCCCTCCCTCACTCCTTTTTTTTTTTACCTTTTGTGGTCAAATTGTGTTATATTATGTTTTTCTATTTTTTTACCTTTTATTAATAATCCAAAAAAATAGCCTACAGGTACTCTTAACTTTTCTCTAGTATGGTTTTGCATGTGTGATGTTTTCCAAGAGCTAAAGTGTTGATTATAGGCATGCTTTTTATGTGAATGGCCGGCGACACATTTGAAGGGCAAACAATATATAATTTTTTTACCGCATAAAAAAACTAATGGCAACGGTTACCAGATGAAATGCAAAGAGTAGAGAATTGTTCTCGAAAAATCATCAGTTAAGATCTAGAAAATCCAACACCACTAACAACAACAAAATTTGAGAAAATAACCTTTCTCAAAACATAATCACAAATATTAGAAAAAAAAGAGAGAGAAATTAAATATTATACCGTTATCAGATGCTTTGATCAGGATAGAAAATCGAGCAAACTTTCTGTTGAAGTATAAAACTAATTTAATGTAGTTTCACTCTTGAGTGTTTTCTTGATAAATTTTATATGTGCTATTATATAATACTATATGAATATTCTCCTGCAGATAATTTTCTTTTTCGGAATGGTTAAACTTTTGCCACGTTTTTTTCGAATAAGTTTATCCCGTAAAAATCTAAATTCTCTTTTCTTATTTGTCATATCTATATCTATGATCACTAACGATTAAAAGACCGTTTCTTATTGTTCAACGTGTCATGATCCAAGATTATTATCAATCTTATATAATCTAAAATGCTTGGTTTAAAATACCGTTAAAATGGATTAGTTATTGTAATATCATAATATTTTAGCAGTAGAATGGATATGTTAGTTAAAACAAAATAGAAATTAAGATTTAGTATTTGTATTTTTCACATTACTGGTTTGTTTACATAACCCACTGATATTATATATATTGAAATTTTAAGCTGACAATATATATTTAGGTTATTATTATGAGAAAATTAAATAATTCTATGAGTATAAAATATAATTATAAGAAAAACTATATAACCTAGAACATTCAATAGCCGTGAAGTATCTTCTCGCGCGGTTTAAAACAATTTTTTTCCTATGGTCTCGATCTTTGTTTTTACTTTGACAACGCAACTTCAGTTTTCCCGTAGTATGGTAATCCATCTTAGTTTTTAGTTTTACCACTGTGAAATAAAAAGTAGACCTTCTTAATAAATAAATGAAAAAGACCAATGGTTGGTTTAATCCGGCTAAAGAAACTCAAATTTGATAATACCGGTAAGAGTCATTAAAACTCAAAATTAACACATACAAAATTAACTCAAAATTAACACATACAAAATTAACTCAAAATTAATTTCAGAGAAAGATTGCACAAGGGAGAAGAAGCACAAAGAAACTCAGCTGCGACAGAAAATGGACGCGACGATAGGAAAGTTTTTCGATTCCGTCTCTGGCATCTTCTCCGGCGCTGCCTCTGGCTCCGCCGATGAGTTCCCCTTGTGCGACACCGACATCATCTCGGTAATCTTTTTATGATTCGCCTTATATATGTTCCTCAAATTGACCGCATAGGAACCTCTTGGGATTACGATTTTCCAATTGTTTTGATACCTCTTCAGATTCTGGATCCTCTTGCGTGTTTAAAAATTTGTTTATGTGAGTGACCTGAATTTTTGGCATGTATACATAACCTGTAAGTCGTAAAAAATCATTTTCAGGGATGTGAGAAAGAGCTCGCAGAGGCTCAGAAAGGCCAAGACGAAGGGCACAAGAAGGAATGTATCATGCGCCTTTCATGGGCTCTTGTTCATTCAAAGATACCAGCGGATATACAGCGTGGTATAGCAATGCTTGAAGGTAGATAACACATGTTTTCCCTGTGGAATCTCAGCTACCTAAAGTTCTTTCTAAATGTCGATGATTTGAATCCATGATGATGCAAAAATGTTTAAACTTGGTTTTGCAGCTTCGGTGGTTAGTGATACAAGTCCAATGAAACTAAGGGAGAAGCTGTATCTCCTTGCTGTTGGGTACTATCGAAGCGATGACTTTTCAAGAAGCCGGGATTTTATAGAACGCTGTTTGGAGGTTTGATAATCTGATCCATTGATACTTTAGATGATCTCATTGTTGATGTATTGATCAATCCGCACTTTCTCTTTCTCTGGTTTTAGGTTGAACCCGAGTGGAGACAGGCTCAGACTCTAAAAAAGATTATAGAAGACCGTATTGTGAAAGGTAATATCATGGCACTTGTGCCATTTCTCTTCCTCGTCCATCTACTTTTCTCTTAATTCTATTCAATTTTTTGGTAAGTAGATGGTGTGATCGGCGTTGGAATTGCTGTAACTGCTGTTGGAGTTGTTGCTGGTATTGCTGTAGCCCTATTACGCAAAGGCTGAGAAGGAAAGAACCTATACATGTGCATGTTTCCCTGATCTTCAGTGAGTTTGTTTATTTCCTTTGCGGGCTTGTATGAATGTCTTTATTAGACGAAAATGAATGATTTGTAATTCCAATTTTACTATGAATAGCTAAACAAAACAGAAGGGATTGAGGAAGAATCAAACAGAAACTCTTTATTATTACTTAAGCAGGAATTTAGAAGAAAATAGATAATGCGCTACTGTTATGAGGTTTTGATTTGTGGATCAGCTTTAAATTTCTGCATGTCCTAGCAAGGCTAGAAGAAAAGTCTTGTAGTCCCCTGATGTCTCTTTTGCTATGGCTTGATCGAGGCTCACATTGTTCCTCTTGCGATACAGCTCAGTGATCTTCTTCAGGTCCTTTTCTGCTCGTGTGACAATCACACGGGTCAGAGCATCTTCATCTGTCCCTACTGTATTGATTGCATTGCGCAAAACCTAGGTGTACAAGAGAGTAAAAAAATATATATATGAATACCAGTTGGTCGTACTGGGATAATTTTGAGACCACATTTAACATATTGAAATACCATTGTTGTATCTTACCTTTGCGTAATACCGGTTAGGGTTTTTAATGCACCTGATGGCTGCACGCAGTGCACTCAGGTACTCATTTGTAGGGTGCTTGAGGAGATCCTGGACATCAAATGTTTCGTCACTGATGTCAAAAAGGACATTTTCATGAAGAAAAAACTGGTATGGATGCTTTTATTTCCACTAATTGATTCAATAAGTCTTTTTCATTGTTGTCTAAACATTTCCCATTGACTGTTAATTTTTTTTTATATACCTTAGTGATCGATCTGCCATAGATATCCTTGTAGCTGTTGAAGATTGCGCTGAGCTGCACACTGCTCCTTGTACTTAGCACACTGATCGTTTCTTCATGATCTACAGCATTACCGCGGATTTCATCATGAAGAATCGAAGCCTCTGACTGCGCCAGCACCTCATCAACCTCTTCTCCATCATATTTATAGGCTGTCGCCATTGCAACCAAGAGCTGTACCAAAACGCCAAAGCGTTCAAGATCAGTCAAAACAAGGAAGAAAACATTTGGGAATCAAAAATTGACTCACCTTCCTTATGTCGCCAGTAGTACGTGAGGCCAAGTCTTCCTCAAGAGAGCGCTTGTAGAGGCAACGGTAAGCACGCCTAGCAGCTAATAGGTCTTCAGGGGATCTCATGCATGCAATCTCAACGAGGACCTTGTAGTCAAGACCAGGCTTTTGAAGAGCCAAATTGGCCAAGTGAGCATCTCTCTCTGGAGGATCCAACACCCACAAGCATATAGCTCTCTGCAAGTAACAAATATTTTTCTATTCAGAGAGATACGTTTTGTGAATTAATCGAAACAGAGCATAGGATATTGATAAAATGTAGACCTCAAAGTCGCCAGAGAGCTCAGATTTGAGCTGGTGAATGAGATCCTCATGGTATATCTCCTGGTAAGCTTGTCTTATGAGTTTCCTCTGGAACAAATTTCGGTGTCCTAGGATCGAGATGATGGTTTTTTCATCTGTTCCCCATCCTGAAACCCAAATAAAAAAGAAAGAAGATGAATAAAGGAACACTATAGAGAAACTTGAATCACAAAATTCTTGAAACACTAGTCTAAAAAATAAAGTAGAACCTTGGCAAGCCTTCTTGATGCTTTCAGCATCTACGACAGGGGAAAAATGTGGAGGACAAACAATGGTGGCCATTCTTTTTTTTCTGTTTCTGCGTAAGATTGTTGTTGGCTCACTTTTCGATATTGCTTCCACTGCTTTGAGCTCTTTATATAAGAGTTGCTAATGGTTTCATAAAATGTTCAAACCTCATTGATTGTTTACGCTATATGTAAATCTGAAACTCTTCTCACTTTAAATTGACGCCCGTTTCTGTATGACTTTGCCGTTATGTGTTTTTGTTTGATTTACTCGCCTTCCCTTGTTTGAGTCCTCTATATGAATGTGTTTCAATTCTTTCATTTCTAATGTGAAACAATCAAAGATCAATTTTTTTAAATCTACTTTGTAACCAGATTGTCCAAAATTTAGATTACTCTATGCAAAGTTGCAAACTCTCACTCTCTGTATATCTGTCTATTAATACATTAAACCTTAATTGCCTAATCTAATTTGCCTGGGCAATACATAAAACACAAAACAGAAGATTTGGGATATGTACGAAATGGTGTGAACAAATACAAACCAAAAAAAGTTGGATAAAAAAGTAAAATTTTAAATTTTTTAGAAATTGGATATAAAAAAAGAATTTTGTATCATGTAAATACAAATTGCATAAAATAAGGGATTTTGAGTCGAAATCTGTTTTAACAGTTTATCAAAAACTTTAACCGGCCGGTTTAAGAAAAAAAAACTCGTACAGAATAATAAATTAACACTTTAACAGCTCATTTGGAGGAGGTCGAAGAAGTGAAATAATTCTCCAACTCCGCCATAGCAGACCGTCTCTTTTTCTCCGTCTTTCTCTCCCAAAAGTTACCGGATTCCGCCGGGTAGATCTCGCCGTTCACCGCCGGTAAGTTGCTCCTTATTAATTTTTCTTTCCCGTATGGTTCTCCGCGCGATGGGTCGTCCTAGGCGATTACCGGTGATTACAGAACTGAGAGGATGTATGCTACAGTCATTTTGATTCAAATGTCATTGAAAAAATTCCAGAATCCGACGCATCTCCCTCTTGTTCTCTTATTAGACGTCTTTATTGGAATGTTCATATGATCTCTCAGACTTGATTCTTCAATTTATTGAGTTTTCAATTTAGGAATTTTGTTTTTATTTTATCAGATGAAAGAAGGAAGCAGAGCAAGAGGTCCCAGATCATCTTCTGCTAACTCCGTACCTCTGATTCTTGACATTGAAGACTTCAAGGTAATGATTCAGCTTGTGGTTGCTTATGTTTTTACCTTTGAATCACAAGGGATATTCTGATTTTTGGGCACTCGCAGGGTGATTTTTCATTCGATGCATTATTTGGGAACCTGGTAAACGACCTCTTGCCGTCTTTCCTAGAAGAAGAAGCAGATTCCGGTGATGGCCATGGAAATATTGCTGGAATTGATGGTTTGGCAAATGGGCATTTACGTGGGCAATCTGATACATCCAAGCTGTCTCAGATGTCTTCTGCTCCTTTTTTCCCCGAAGTAGATGGTCTCTTGTCTCTGTTCAAAGATGCTTGCAAGGAGTTAGTTGATCTGCGGAAGCAGGTAAGTGTCTTGTGTCTACATAGAATACAATCCTTTGTTTTTTTTTCTCTTTCTCTTCATCGTTCTGATGTCTAAGGTCTTTGTTAAATATTTTGGAAGGTTGACGGAAGGCTTAACACACTAAAGAAGGAAGTTTCGACACAAGATGCCAAACACCGGAAGACACTGACTGAGGTTGGCAGACATATACTTCTGCTTTGATTAGATTTCTTGGCTATATTTTTTCAATTTGTCTAATTGGATTCTCGTTTTAGATAGAGAAAGGTGTGGATGGTCTCTTTGAGAGCTTTGCAAGGTTGGATGGTCGTATATCAAGTGTTGGACAGACCGCTGCAAAAATAGGAGATCATTTGCAGGTAAAACTATTCCCGCATATAACCAACCAATTGGTGATCTATTCAATATTAACCCATTCCTCCTCTATCAGAGTGCAGATGCTCAGCGGGAAACTGCTAGCCAGACAATAGAGCTTATAAAGGTAAGAGTGCATCTATGTTGGATGGTTGGTTCGCATAATTCGTTATATGAATGCTTAAAGTAATCCTTATTCAACAAATGCAGTACCTGATGGAGTTCAACGGTAGCCCAGGGGATCTGATGGAGCTTTCCGCTTTGTTTTCTGATGATAGCCGCGTAGCTGAGGCTGCTTCTATCGCTCAGAAATTACGTAAGATGTGATAGATATATGTTACTTGAAATGTGTCTGAACTGTTAGAACATTTTATTTTAATCTATGATTTGCTGGCAGTTTTTTATATATGATTTGATACCTATATTTTAACTCTCTTGCTTCGAGAACAATGAAAGTTTACAGTTAATTTAGGCTGTAATTTATTTCAATGCTCTCCCTGTCAATATCAGGATCCTTTGCCGAGGAAGACATTGGAAGGCAAGGTGCGGGTACAGCTGCCGGAAATGCAACCCCTGGCCGAGGACTGGAAGTTGCAGTTGCTAATCTCCAGGATTACTGTAATGGTAAACTATTTTGTTTATATTGTGTTTCTCTGTATATTTACAAAAGAGGATTAGTTTATTTTTAAATTCAACCATTATGACATTTGAATACAATGTTGTAGAACTGGAGAACAGGCTTTTATCTCGTTTTGATGCTGCATCACAGCGGAGAGATTTATCCACCATGTCAGAATGTGCTAAGATTTTGTCACAGGTTAATACTTTATTCTGAAGCATGCACCTTTACAATTCATGGGAAAACCTGTTCTTTTTATCTTAGATTCCGAAACGAAGTCCTTTCTCACGTAACTAGTGGTTACATACTGATTAGTTCTAGACAAGGGTGTCACATAAGGAAAGGATGTCTACTTCTACTCTTGTATAGCTTCTTGGTGTTCATATTTTCTTCTTGATTTTCAGTTTAACAGGGGTACGAGTGCTATGCAACATTATGTGGCAACTCGTCCAATGTTTATTGATGTGGAAGTCATGAATTCAGACATTAGGTTGGTGCTTGGTGACCACGGTTCTCAGCCTAGTCCCAGCAATGTTGCCCGTGGACTTTCTTCTTTATACAAAGAGATTACAGGTCTGTAGAATTGGTATTGATCTCGATCCAATACTTGAAACATGCTTCTGTGCCATTCATATCTTTTGTTACTTCTCATGTGTAGACACTGTACGCAAAGAAGCAGCGACCATTACAGCTGTTTTCCCCGCTCCAAATGAAGTTATGGCGATCTTAGTTCAGGTAATCGGCACCTATAAATCGGACACTGTAGCATGGTCCCAGCATATGGATAAGCTAAACCAATTCATCTTGTATATTACGCAGAGAGTTCTGGAGCAGCGTGTCACAGGTATTCTTGACAAAATTTTGGTGAAGCCCTCTCTTATGAGTCCCCCACCTGTGCAAGAAGGCGGACTATTACTAGTGTGTAGATACCTCCTTATCTCTTTTCATGTCTATCTGCCTAGAATAAATGGGATAAGAAAGTTAACTCTTGGTTTTTTTCTTTAGTACCTTAGAATGTTAGCAGTTGCATATGAGAGAACCCAAGAACTTGCTAAAGACCTCCGAGCTGTTGGATGCGGTGATCTGGATGTTGAAGGTTATTTTGTTTCTCATGTGGTTCTGAGTGATAGAAGTTTTGTGTCATCATGCAAACTTTTTCGTTGGTGCTGACAGTCTTTATTTTGATTGTGCAGATTTGACAGAGTCCTTGTTTTCCTCGCACAAGGATGAATACCCTGAGCATGAGCAGGCCTCCTTAAAACAACTATATCAAGCAAAGGTTTAATAATATTATTTCATTTTCCGACTGAGATATTTTTTTTGTTCGTTAGTCTGAAGTGTTTAGGTATGTGTGTTTCTCTACAGATGGAAGAATTACGTGCTGAGAGTCAGCAAGTCTCGGAGTCATCTGGGACAATAGGTCGCTCTAGGGGTGCTTCGATATCATCTTCTCAGCAGCAGATATCAGTAACTGTTGTGACGGAGTTTGTTCGATGGAATGAAGAAGCAATATCCAGATGCACACTGTTTTCATCTCAGGTTAGTTTTTAAAAAAAAATAGTTGCTGTGAATTTTGGGAATAGATGTAGGAATTAGGAAATTAACAGAAATAATCTATAATGTTCATTTTAGTAGAAATATCTGACAGTAAGTAAATTGTAGCATCTGGGATTGTGTATCTGACCTATGTAATTGTTTCCTTGTGCAGGCAGCCACACTTGCCGCCAATGTTAAGGCCATATTTACTTGCCTACTAGACCAGGTATTCTGTTCAAGAAGATTCTAGAATCATTCATATTCATTGTGCTGATGCAGTGATGAGTTCTTGCAGGTGAGCAAATACATAACTGAGGGACTTGAACGGGCAAGGGATGGCCTGTCTGAAGCTGCAGCATTGAGGGAGAGATTTGTTTTAGGCACAAGTGTTAGCAGAAGAGTAGCTGCTGCAGCTGCTTCTGCTGTAATTACTTCACTTTGCTCTTTCCCACTATTCGAAGTACTCATTATTCCAATTGCTAGGTGGAGTACTTATAATTTCTCTGATTTATTTCTCAGGCAGAAGCTGCTGCTGCTGCTGGTGAAAGTAGCTTCAAATCCTTCATGGTTGCTGTGCAACGTTGCGGTAGCAGTGTTGCTATAGTTCAGCAGGCAAGTTGGGCTACCTTTATGGCTATCAGTTCGTTTCAATTATTTTTATGAGAAAGCTTTTGCCACTTCGAAATAGTTAAACAGTCGATCTTCTGCTACGGAAATTCCATATTTCAGTTGCTATCCTAATTTTATAATTTTCTCTTCCAGTATTTTGCAAATTCTATATCTCGACTTCTCCTACCAGTGGATGGTGCACATGCTGCTTCATGTGAAGAAATGTCAACTGCTCTGTCCAAAGCAGAGGCAGCGGCTTATAAAGGACTTCAGCAGTGCATTGAAACTGTGATGGCTGAGGTGAGTTGCTTTTTTGTATATACAAACAGATCCATGAGGATCAATGCTGAACAGGTTTAGGAGTCATACTTATAATTGTCATTGATTTGTTTTAAAGACTCTGATATGGCTTTTTTTCAGGTCGAAAGACTACTTTCATCTGAGCAGAGGGCTACCGATTATAAGTTACCTGATGATGGAATTGCTCATGATCACCGCCCAACAAATGCCTGCATAAGGTTGGCCTAGCTCAAGCTCTACTTTTTTATAGAGGCTTGACCTTTTTTTTTTGGCGTGAAAAGTCATTAGTGTACTTATTTCTAGTGTAGTTGGTAGTTTTCTGAATTTGCATGATATATATTGGTCACTTCTCAACATGGTGCTTTTCTTTTATCTGTTTTTCTAATGAACTTGTCACTTTGATGATCTCTAATCCCACTCTTTTGTTTAGAGTTGTGGCTTATCTTACCCGAGTACTTGAGTCAGCGTTCACTGCCTTGGAAGGTCTTAATAAGCAAGCCTTCCTGACTGAACTGGTATGATTTGTATCACCAAAGATCTTATTAAGCCTTTTGCTGACTATTTTTCTTTGCTGTCCTGTTTTTCCCAAATGTTGCAGCTTCAAATTCATAGTTTAAAAAGAAGAATTTTTCTTTTCGCTGCATCATATGAATGATGCTTTATATCGAGTTGGAGGAGGGTCTGAATTAATTTTATTTGTTCGTTTTAGGGAAATAGGTTAGACAAACTACTACTAACTCACTGGCAGAAGTTCACTTTCAATCCCAGGTATGAATACTCAGCTCTTGGTTTGTTTTCTCATATTCTTATTAAAATCACATCTGCAAACATATGAAGGATGAAAAAGATATCGCAGTGTCTGTAAACTCTGTACCAGAGATGCATAATAACCGGAAAAATAAGATTTAGGACCCTAGTAACCAAACAAAGATAGCCATACCAAATTTGCTAGCTCTGATTGTCAATGCAGTGCTTAGTCGCACCACTTGGTATAAAAGTTTTGTTGGATCAGACTCTTGACCACAGTAAGTAACAAATCCATTGAATAAAGCTTGGTTCTGTTTTGTGATTGGTTAACAGTGGAGGACTGCAGCTGAAGCGTGACATAACCGCATATGTAGATTTTGTTCGTGGCTTCAATGCTCCATCTGTGGATGAGAAATTTGAGCTTATGGGCATGTAAGAACATTCTTGAGCCTATCATCATGTTAATGATTCATTGATTTGTCGCTTAACATCTTCTTATAATTAATGTATTTACTTCTGTGATTACAGATTGGCGAACGTGTTCATAGTTGCTCCAGAGAGTCTGTCGACTTTGTTCGAGGGTAGTCCAAGCATTCGCAAAGACGCGCAAAGGTAAGAGATCGAGAGGGAATATTAAGAAAATTTGGAAAATGAAATTGAGTAGAAAAAGGAATGTTGATTATATGGAATGTATGTGTGCAGGTTTATTCAACTGCGGGAAGACTATAAGAGTGCAAAGCTGGCAACAAAACTCAGTTCCTTGTGGCCAAGCTTAAGCTGATGATGAGATCAATGTTTAAAGACACTTCAAACCAGTCACTGCCAGATATATTTTTATTTTATGTATGTATATACTTTAATCATCTTCATTTTTTATTTCTGTGTTTTACGTTATGTATCTGTTTATTTTTCCTTTGCTTTTCCAATTTTTATTTGATACCAGAGACTTCTTAATCAGACATGTTTTCGGAAATTAGAATCAACATACAATATGTATCATTGTAGGATTAAGGATTCGTTAGTATCATTTGATATGAGATGTTGATGCTTGTGAACTATTTGGATATGGTAGCACAATACCGATACTTTGGTGACATAATTCTTTTTCTGAATGGTAAATCAGTTTTGGAAAGAAATTTACTAAAATAGATAAATGTTTCTCATCAACTAAATGTATAAATCGTTTGTTAATTCCTCTTAATCTACTAATGTTAATTTATATTGTGCTAACTAAACCGAATTTCCAAACAAACCGGACAGATTAAACCGAATGCACAGTTAACGAAGAAAAATGTATGTTTCCCTTTAACATTTGAACGTTGCAATAATCCGGTCTCTGTGTTGATTTGAAAAAACTCCCCAAGAACCCTAAAAAAACTCTAAGCGCACCAGATCTGATTCATCATCGCTTTTAGACCAATACTTGCTTGATTCCGCCCTTGTTTTCTCCAGCACTCTCTTCTTAACTCGATCACATTCCCCTCCGTCTCCATCGCTCCTTGGTTGGGTTTTAACCTCTCTTGGGGAGCTCCTACACTGAAATTCCTCTATTCGTTTCATCGACATCTGGTGAGACCCTGAATGTTTGGTTTGATTGTTGTTAAAATATCGATATTGGTTTCATTTCTCGCTTATTTACTACCCAATTTGCGTGTATCTAGAGAAAAGGGAAGACCATGGCGAACACAATTGTTCGCGGGCAGATGATCTTCCAGGACGAGAATGCATTGGCTCTTGGAAAGAGTAATGTTTCTTACATTGCAATGAATCGTTGTTTTTTGGTCAGTTATTTTTCTTTCTAGAGGAGGTAAACTTGTGTTTTCTGATTTTTGTCACTGAATCTTTGGTTTTTCTTCCCAAGCCAAGGGGTAGATATATCTTTGTGATTGTAAAAAAAAAAAAAAAAAAAAAGGTCCGTATTGCTTAGAATACATTCTGAATTTTTACTTCGGGTGTAAATCAAAATCATGTCCAATAATATGCTTAGGATAACATATACAAGATGTGTGTGTCCATCTTGTATATGTTATCATCTGTAATTGCGGAAAACTCACAAGCATGAGAATGTCTGTTGAGTCATGGAACATTTTTGTTCATTATTAGATAGGAATGTTTGTTATATAGGGAGCAATCCTGGTAACTTATATTTATGAGATGAGGGAAGCAAATCTCTCAAGTTTTTGTATGTCTTTTTTTCTACTTCTGAAATCACATCACTTAGTTTTCCTCTTGACTACTGTAGAATTCCTTGTTTCCGTTGGAATTTCTCGTTCTTGTTCTTAATTTTATTTGTTTAACATTGCAGAGGCTGTTGCTGCGGGAAAAGGCAAGAGTTCCCTCGCAGGTCCAAAGAAAAATGGGGCCGGTTTTGGAAGTCGCAAGGCTCTGCATGATATTACAAACAAGTCAAAGTTGAAACCTCAAGCTTCTTCCAAGGCGAAGAAGAATCCCGAGGGAGTGGACTTTGACATAGCAAAGGAAGGTTTCTTGCATGATCACCGCAAATGCGTTGAAGAACAACAACAAAACCAGTGGGACAGTTACTTCTCTGAACACATTATCCTTCATGGACATGGTGATAATCACTGTCATTGTGAAGAAAGAACCCTTATTTCTCTATGTTTCCATTACTCTTGGTTTAATCTAATTGCTCTGCTTTTCAGATACCAACATCAAGGAAGGGATTACTGAATACGACATTAAAGAGGTAAGATTAGCTTCCCTTCCTTAGCACTCTGTCTTTTTTTTTTTTTTTTTTAACTCTTTTCGCTTGTTTTGCGCCTAAGGTGGATGACAAAAGCAGTAACACTTGGGATGAACTCAAGGAGATACCAATGGAGGAGTTCTCCGACTTGCTGGAATGCTCAACTCAGTGGCGCTCACCATCAGACTCGCCCATCCATTACCATTCTTCTTTACCTTCATCGCCTTGGCCATGGCAATTTGAAACTGTAGATTTCAAGCTCAAGGAAGATGAAGACACAACCTGAGTTCCAGCTTCGATTCTTGTTGGATTTTTACTTTGTAGTAATTTTTCAGTTCCCAGATGTTATGATGTGTCTACAAATCTGCTCCAAAACCCCTTCATTACTAAGTATTGTTTGTAGAGAGTAAAAACAATATATGCTTGTAGCATTTACAGTATGGGCACCACAAAGAATTTACAACCTTTTCTCACAACAAACACCACACAAAACCCCAAACTACAATGAAAGAAGCACTTAAAAACATCTAATTTTCTCTATATATTATCTGTTGTTATATCCCGAGATTCTGCACTCACCTGACTCGGGCGTGGAAAAATAAGAGAAGTGGGTCGGTGTTAAAGAGTTTCAATGAGGCAATTCCTCACTGGATTTGTCAACCATTCGTACGTTGTATTGTTCGTAGACTCTTCCTCTGTTATCTGCCCACCACTGTTCCGCTTGTTTCTCACTAAACTTTTTTCGGCTGTCATCAAACAAACGGTCAAGCAAAATTACATTCCAAACTTTACGGACATTTAAAAACTGATTGTTTCCTTTTGGAGAAATAAGATATGATTGTACCTAAAACGGACACGTTTGAGGTCTCTAGCACCTCCGGCTAAGGCTGTAAGAGTGATATAGACACCAGGTTCATCTTGTTCCACCCATTCCTTCTCGTTCTGTGCTTCATTCGTTGCTTCACCATTTCCATATACAGGTGTAACGGATCCATTAGAAAGCATCGGGGTATTTATGCCGTTTGACTCGGATTCTTGACTATTTGGTCGGTTTAAGATGTTAAAAGGGTCAATGCGACCAGGGCTTGAACCAAATGAATTAAGAGACGGAGGAGACTTCACACTCTTAGCTGATCCAACGGGTAATCTTTCAGCCATGTCTTTCAGCTGCACATTTACGTTGATGCTTTTAATCAGTCATAAGATACTCACCCGTACTTGCACAAACCATATTTTTATTTTTAGCTTTGAAATTACTTGAGCGGTTAGTGATTTGATCACTTCTTTTGCTGCTTTGCATCTTGTCGTCTCTTCGCTAGCGATTGCCAACGCTTCTTTTAGCTGCTTGGCCGTTCTTTCCAGCTCAACTTCTTGAAGCTGAGCCTTCCTTGTTAGACTTTCGACCTGATGTACATTTACTTGTTAGCAAGAAAGCAGTCATAAATAGTAACCGAGGCAAAAAAAAATTGTTACTTCACAAAACAAGTAAATAGGCAGCAAAAACCTTGTCAAGCCCTTTAAGTAGCTTGATCTCATATCAACATAGTAAAATCCGAAACGTAATTGACTATGATCAGAAAACACAGAATGAAAGAAATTTAACAGTTTAATCTCACCAGCTACGAGTTTTTGCAACAAAGAAATGGGTGAAGAATTATGGAAATAAGAGAAACAAAAGATGGGGGAGAGGAAACTTACCTGAGATCTTAGCTTAACAACCTCTTGGCTTAGATTATCATTGGTTCTCTTAGTATCATCCACAACAATTCTTGGTGTGGTTAGTCCCGAAAGAGTAGGAGTTGGTGTTGTTGAACGAGGTGGACTGGCACGTCTTGATATTGGGGAAGTTGCCCGTGACACAATTCGAGAACCAGGAACAGAAGCTGAGAAGAACTTTTTTGATGCTCCAAAAACTGGATTGAAGGACTTGGCTATGTTAAGCGCACCCCGTTGAGAGCTTCCACTTGGTATAGGCGAGACACGGCTACTATTGAATTCGTATTTCTTGTTCCTCTTATATCGACTGTCCACTTGTCTCATGGAGTCCATCAATGAAAGTCTAGCTAACTGTCCATCGGATCTAGAATCCAACTTGTCGTCTTTGTCAATGGGGGGATCTGATCCCTGGTTAATGCTACCTCTTCTACTCAGAGAAGAATGAGATGATGGATCAGTTTCCATGGTCTTTTTCAATTTGTTAAAACACTTGTCACACACTCTATATGGTTTGTTTGGGTTCGGTGCCATACAAGCCTTCAGAGACTTTTTATTACTGCAGGAGTGGCAAAACACTAGTCCGCAATTATAGCAATTGTGCCTCTTTCTCTTAAAATTGAAGGGCTGACGGCAACCTGAACACATGGACTGGTCCATCCCTGATGCCCACCTGTGAATGCAGACAGCTGCTGTGAAGTTAGTGCCACAGGCAATACTTTTCACCTGTTTATCCTTAAGCGACTCTACCAATGTCGGGGAATTTCTATCATCTACATCCCCATGACCAAGTCTACCATTTGATCCCTTTCCCCAAGTGTAAACCTCTGTCCTCGAAGTTAAAACTGCAACATGATAAGCACCGCAGGCAATCTCTTCGACAAAACTCTTGTGAAGTTTGCCTTCTACGCGGTTTGGAACTTTTCCATCTGCATGTGAGTTTCCAAGCTGACCATAGACAGGACTGCCCATTGTATAGACATGGCCTGATGTTGTAAGTGCAACCGTTAAACTGTGCCCACACGCAACTTGACAAAAATTGGGTTCAACAAGAGCAGCAACACAAGTAGGCACAAGTTTTGGCTCTTTATTACCATGACCAAGACGACCCTTATCACCATCACCCCATGTAAAGAGCTTTCCAGAAGAGCAATTACTTGAGCTCGAGCTCCCAACCATGACTTCCACAACTGCTGCTGTGTGCCATACACCACAAGCTGCGCGGACAGTGCGAAGACCTTTCAGAGAGTCAACCTCCCGAGGTATAAGAACACTTTTCCTGTCACCGTGGCCCAAAACACCAAAGGTCCCATCACCAAAAGTAAACAACTGCCCAGCAGAGGTCACGACTGCTGTGTGGTAAGGTCCACAAGCGATGGATGATACATGAATGCCTTCCAACAGAAAATTAACCCTTTTAGGGACCCAGTGACTGACTTCATTTCCATGTCCAAGAACACCAAAATCCCCTTTACCCCAGGTATACAAATCCCCTGATAGAGTAACTGCACAACTATGGAATTCACCACATGCTACAAGCTCAATATTTGTAGTGTTAAGTGCATCAATGAGCTTTGGATGTTGTATGTTGGAATCAACACCGTGGCCAAGCCTGCCTTCAGATTCCTCTCCCCAAGAAAAACTTTCTCCTTGTTTTGTAACAAGCACAGCATGCTGTCCACCACAAGCAATATTTTGGACGTCAAGTACTATTGTCGATTCTAAAGCTTTTGGCAATAAGGAATCCATTTTTATGTCAAACGAAGTTCCAACTCTACGGTTTCCACCACCCAAAACACCTTCTCCTATTCCTTCTCCCCAGATGAAGACATCTCCTAGTGCATCTCCATCATCATGACCAGAACCATGACTCGAGGAACTAACAGCACTTGACATACTAACCCTAAAAGCATCCATTCCCATACCCCTCATATGTCCATGCATGCTATCTGAGCCTCCAGAATGAACGGAAATAGTTCCAGAATCGGAGGGATAAAATCCTTTTGGAGGAACTGCATATAGTGCAATGTCCGATAATGCCTTGTCAAGCTTAGGCGGGCTCTCAAATGGACTGTGAATGCGATGGTGATTAGAACCATCCTGAAAGATAGTGAAATGTTCTTAGTGTTAAAATGCACAAAAGTGTATGAGGAAAACTTTTTTTAGTACCTTCTGCAAACTGTCATTGCTACTAAATGGAGAATGTAGAGGAGAGCTTCTCCGGGTATGTGTCCTTGGGCTGTTAGCTTCAGATGGTGTCCCATCACTTCTTGATTCAGTCCTCCTGTTTCTTTGATGGCAATGCGAAATCAAGGCTTTAAGACCAGTGAACCACACCTCCGCCTCATCTTTATCCTTGCAGATCTACCAAATAATATCCAACCACCAGATTAATATAATTACAGTGGCATTTCGAATGACAGGGTGATTATTTTATAGCGGAAGCAAAAAAGCAAATGGTTTAAGAAAATCTCACCACATCCAAAGACCTCTCGCTATATATTAGTGAAAAAGACTGATATTCCTTCTCGGGACGAGGATACCTCTGAAAAATAGGCTACAAGAAAGCCACGATTGCTAGAATTATCAAAATATCACACAAGATAGGTATGGCGCAAATATGCAACCTCAGACAGTCAGACTAATGAAATTGACACATGAAAAGTTGCATAAAAGATCATAAAGAAACCAAGAACGAAACGCCAACCAAACACAGCATCAAAAAAAGATCAAGGATACTTAGGAAGACAGCACTACGAAAGTAATGTAGGACTGCTACACAACTGAGTTTGGTATATAACATGCAGCTATTGGAACAGCCATAAACCACACTGTGGACCACATAATAAGGAGAACCAGACACAACTTTGGCGCTAGAACATAAATAACCTGAAGACTACACCTTCTTGGGAGGAACAGAGATCCGACCCAATAAAGAAAGTCCATGGCAAATGAATATTACCGTCCTCATGAACTCGTTCTAAGTATCTCACCAAAAGCTCAAGGGAGAATCAAAATCACACATGAACTTACAGTGCGTTGTCCAGATATGATCCTAGACACATGGCTCAGCTTCAGATGTTTCTCCTCCTTTCCGGAGATCCATATCAAAACAGTTTCATCCTGAAAGTTACAGGCAACTACTACTTAAACACCAAAGAATGAGCTACATATAAACTACGTTGTGAAAGAAAAGATAACAAAATGAAATATCACCGTGGAGTACTGCTGACAAGCGATTTAAGGAAATAGAACCAAACATGACTTACATTAGAAAGGCGAAATGGGCAGAATTTAGGCTTCCCTCTTCTTCCATACTTAAGCAAGTAAGCTCCCTTTTTCAGGGCAATGATAGCCTGAATCAATGAAATAGCATAATATAAGCAAAGTAGGTGAATCTTTTGCGATGGAGATTTCAGCTCAGTAATAACAATATCAGAAGAAATAGTGGATACAGGATATAAGCAGAAATTTACACACTGAAAAAATAGGAGGCTTAACAGATATTCAGCAGTCTTATCTCCATGATAATTGCATCTAATAAGAATCCAAGCTGAATGGTAAGAGATATAAAGTACTATCAGATAACTGAACTTTGTGATTGGTATAGTGCCAGCAAAATGAAGTCTCAGGCTATCCATTAAGCTGTAATAGTCTACCAGAGAGGCTTAATTCCACAAACGATAAGTTTGCAAGGGAACCAAAATTCACGTTCCTGAATCTAGACAAGCTCATCAGCTCCTCACAGTGAATAGGACTCCATGAAAAAACTAAAATTCATAGATAACCTCCTTGAGTTTGAAATCGACGTTAGCTCTAAGGATTCGCCTAGACAACACTCTTGTCTAACCTAAGAAATCCGAAGTGAACAATCCTACGAACAATAGATAAATCTACTTCCATAAAGACTTCCCCATTCAAAATTCAATACAAGTATACTAAAATACGACTTGGGGTTAATTATAGCAACATCGACATGGAGAAGGGAATAACAAAAAACCTGCTCGATATCTCTCTCCACTGGACCGGCTCTGCTAAGATCCGACGCCATCCTCCCGTTTCTCGACATACACGAATTTCAACGAAGTTCCTCAGAACCTAAACCCTCCATCCACTTTACTCTTGAGCTCAAATGTGAAAATGAAAATATATACATTCACGGAATCCACTAATCAATCATCTCCATGATCATCGATATCGAAACAACTCTAACACGTTTACTTCCATCTGAGTAGCCGCAAAGCAACTATGTTCCAGCTCGAATAGATTCAAATCGATCCGAATAGCAAAAAGAAGAAGCCGCCGTTCAAGCAAGAGAAATCAGAGAATGACTTGGTTGAGAATGCTGATAAGCTCTTCTGAAGACGCGAGAGAAAGTGAGCAACTATTGGGAGGACATGTGATGATCTCTACTACGCAGTTTTCTAGCGAGAGAGAAAGAGAGAAGAGAGATGAGAAAGATTAGAGAGAGAGAGACCAAAAGGTGGATTCTACAGACGAGAGAAATAAATCTTCCTTTTGCTTTTTATTATTTTCTTAGTTTCCCGTCTAACTATATTTATTATCAATAATTTAACTTGTGTTAAGGATCAACTCATTGGAATAGACCTATGTTTTTATGGATTACATGGATTATATATTTGCATTATTTGAAAATTTAGTCATAATATGTGTTATTTAATTATTAATTTTAAATATTTTAGCTTAGTTTGTGTGTCTTCTTCAATTAATGACCTGAAATATAAACTGAAGTGTGATGTTATTTACACTAATATACCTTTAATATAAACTAAGAAATTTTTAACAAATATTTTAAAGAGCTCGTTTTCCAGTCAAATCCCTTGGCAAGTTAATGGAAAATCCTACTTCCAATGGCCAGTGGGCAACATGTTAGGGGGAAGTGTACTAGTCATGAATGTCACCCTGGAAAATTTATGGTTAGCCAATATTCTTCCCTTTTTTTTGGTCGCCAATATTCTGCAAAACAGAAATTATCGACAGATAAACATTGATCAGATTTTCGACATATATGTGATGATCTAGTTGAACTTTCCGGAACGAACAACTGATTAGTCTCTAACATGCTTCAATCCAAGCTGAAAAGTGAAAACTATCCAGAATTTGTCATACAAAAGCACTAACATGCGTTTTAGAATAATTTATGCGTGTTTCTTTGGAAAAAAAAATCGATGTGCGTTTGAATCAGGGCCGTGTCTTATTATGCAGATTTTAGAGGCCCATTACTTGGATCCATCTTAGATTTCCGTTTCATATACAGATTCTGACACAAAAATGATATATTTTTTTTTTTTTTGTGTCCAACACATAAATGATATATTTGATTCTTAATAAAATTGAAAAAAAAAGTCCCCAAAATTTTAAACTAATTAACAAAGTAAATTACGGTAACTGATACGAGCGTCTCATCTATTTTTCTCTATATACTCAAATCTCAGCTAGAATGAACCCAAAAAAACGATATACAAAGTTTCAGTAATCTCAAAACCCTTATGATACCATAATTTAACTCAACCGTCGTTCATGTTGTTGCCCTTAAAAGCTAAAGTACCGAAGACCATATATATAGACCATATGTGAGAGTCATCGAATTTAAAGGTTTTGTGTGGTTATATCTATTGATAATTTGATATCATATATGTTTGTCGTCAGCGATGTTAAATGATTTATGGACAACGTAAACACAGGAAAATTGGATAAGATAAGGAAGTATGTATGTGGACCATTATATAACCCGTTCTTAGGTACAGTTGTCACAAAATAAATCACGAGCTCAACGTGTTGTAACGAGAATAAAATACTAATTAAAGATAAGATTAAATTCTTTGACCTTTTAATTTGTGTAACTACTTACACGACTCTATGTAAATTTTGTAATTAGAGTATTATAAAATGCAACTTTATGCCAGGAAACTAAACCCAAAAAAATGTGCAATAAGGATATATATAAACAATAACCTCAAACGGAGAGAGAGGATCAAAGCCGAGAGGATTGACCATAGGACCGACCTCATAAATTAATCATGTGGAGAAGCAAATATTTGGAGTCTTTTGACCACTTCAAAAGTCAACTCTCCTTCAAGTGGTTGCCTTTTAACTACAAACAAAACACAAACACCATAAAGACAGATCCATCTATATATCGTTCCTCTTATATAATACGACAATCCACAACTTTCCAGCTTAAAAACAAAACCTATCTGTGAAAACAAATGGGCAAATCTCTAATCACTTCTTGTTTTCCTACAATCCGTAGACGCCAAGCAACTGTCACGCTAGTTTTCTTTGAGCACGGATCCACCAAAACCCTAAGTGACTCCAAGAAACATGTTGCTGGAGAAATCATGTTTGAGTTTCCCGATCAAATCGTGTGCCACGCAGATTCATTCTTCATCGGCCGTCCGGTTCCAGCTCTAGCCATGGACGACTTTCTCATCCCTGGTCAAACCTATTTCGTCTTACCCATCGAACGTTTCGCCTACAGAATCTTAACCACTTCGTGTCTCTCGATCTTCAACTCTAACTTTGAAAATGTTCGGTCGACTAATCAACCACCGTTGAATTTCACGGCGCCGTCGAGTCCACCGCCGTTCGAGTATTCTAAGGGACTAAACGGGAAGATTCTGATAAAAATTTCTCCGGAGTTTATCATTAGTCTTATATGTAAGAACAGGAACAGAAACGAAGAAGAGGCAATAATAGATTGTGGTGAAAGCAGTGATGATCAGATTTGTAATTCTCCCGAGTTAAAGAAGCATTATGATCAACTTGTCGGAACGAGAGAACACTTATGGTCGCCGAAGTTGCAGACCATCTCCGAGCATGAGATTAGGGTTTCTCCATTAAGGTTCTTGGGGATTATTCGGAGGCAACAAGAAGTGAATTGATTAAACTATGAAAAGTATTCTTGTTTCTTCTTTTGTATTTGTTTTGAAAAAAATATGGAAAAAAATTTAGAGTGGTTAGTTGAATGTTTGTTATCAAGTTAGTCATGCATGACAAGTTGACAAATTGCATGTTTTTGTTGTATATATTTCCACAAAGTAATATATTAATTTGTGAGGTCCTCCAGGATGTATATATGATATATGGTTCATGCTTGAGCTTGACAATTCAACACTAATTTAATTAACGCTGCGTCGTCGAATGTCAATTCATTGTAGCTTTCGTAATTTATTGGCTTCGTTTGATGGTCTTCAAAAGATAGAATATAAATTAAAAGAACACAACTAACGACTTCTTCGATCTTCTGTTTCTTCATTATTCTTCCTACTAAACTAAAACCTATCAACTTTGAATTTTCCTCTAATTGCCAATAAAATACCATTTTTATTGTCAGCACAGGTGACTCTCTCTAGCTAATACAATATATTGGAAGGATACCATTTTCGCACTTGTTTCCGTCTATTTATTTGTGTATTTCAACAGACTAAAATACCAATTTTATTAATTGGTTTTGACTTTTGAGCCTTTGGCTGTCCTTGCGGTTACTACGCTTGTATGGCTGTTCGAACTCAGGTAAAATGACCATTTTTAAGTCCTAAAAATCGTTTAACCACGGTTGTGTTTTTCAATATTTCATTTTTAAAAAGTAAAAGAAATCACTGCACTTCTCTAAATTCGATCTTGGCCTATAGCATGTTAAAGATGTTCGAAGATGTGTTTGGTACCATTGTTTTTAAATATCGAGATATGAATTTAATTTATACACTGTAAATAATCGTTTTAAGAATCGAAACTATCATAATCAGTCTCTCCGAGTAGATCGATCAAATTGATACTAATGCTAGGGAAAGATGATAAACAATTTACATTGCACATGTATAAATTTGATTTAAAATATATAAAAACTGTGTTTATACGAAGCAAAATATATTTAAATTTTAAGTGGATCACGTTTACTAATTCCTGTACTGGTGTGTTGGTCGACTTCTCCTCTTATGATTCCTTCCAAACAAAGTCGAACTAGAGTGCAAAGGGTAACTTCTTGTAGAAGGCACTAAAATCACCATCTAGACCATCCAAACATGGTATATACGTAACAACTTTAATGTATGAACGTCCAACACGTACGCCTAAGAGCATCCGACATCAAACCAAAAACCAAACCGCTAAGTCATCCGAAAACATGATGAACCAGTGAATCTAACCGGCCAGTATGAGTACCGGTTCGTAAAAAGATTAAAAAGAAAGAGGGGAAATTAGGGCGCGTGGGGCCGACGGATGTCGGAGGGAAGTGAGACAACACGCCACCATCCGCCGATTAGGCAAAGAAGCATTGGTCTTTGTCTCGACTCCCTCCATTATTGGTTTTACTTTTGTTTTTTTGCAAACATTTTCCTCTCTCGAGCCCCGTGCCCTTCTGCTCCTTTTCTTTTACTTTGTCATAAAAATCTACTGCTGCTACATGCTTTTGTTTTTCCTAGTTTTTATTATTTTCAGAAATAACGTTAAACACTCTTTCTTTTCCTTTTTTTTTTCACTTCCGTAAAACCTTATCATTTTTAGCTTCTTTGCATATAGACATAAATGTTATCACCATCAGCTATAATCTCGTATTCAATATTTAATTTTCCCAGTTTGTTTTTGAAGAGCGAGAAATAGGACACAAACCCAAATGATAGACCGGAATATATATGATCAACAAATGAAAAGATTCAAATCGCTAATTTGTTACTTATTCTCTCTTTTTTTCAATCATATTTTTTTGTAAACCTACAAGACATTAAAAATTACTTTCTGATGACATTAACAAAATAACAAGTGACAATTTTGAAAGACAATTACTTACTTAGTGGTTAATTTGAAACATAACACCACATATATACTGTTTTGTATCATTTCAGTTAAGAGAGATATCAAGTAAAAGGCAAAATCATACTTGAAAATTAAAATGTGTTGTTAGGGCCTTAACGCTGTGTTGAAAAGAAGTAAAGAACTGTGGGTTCAAAGAGATGAAACGGGCTTAAACACCTCAAAAGAAAAGCAATGATTCGACGGCCGCAAAGCGTGGTAAGGAGACGACGAACATTTTAGTGAAAGGGTTCTTTCACGTGCATTACTCAAATCAATTATTCTCCTTTTAAAGCTTTATATATATATATATATATAAAAAATAAAAATAAAGCGACTTTTTCTTAATTGCAATAAACGTACGTACAAAGATGCATATATAACTAATTAATTAAGACCTAATCCTCAAGACTTTTGGTGTTAACCAAGGGCTTCTGAACCTAGACTCGACTAATTTTGGAGTGAGAGATAGATGACCAAAACAACTTATCCACCCAGTTTCGGCTGGCCGTCGATAATTTTGTTTCAAATATGAATCAACAAACTAATGGAAAAACGAATTTATGTTGTCCCAAGTCGAACTATCACTTGACCACCAATGGTAAGTTCTTAGTGACTTAATCAGAACGATTTTGGTAAACCTGAATTATATGATAGATGTCACAAGACGAACATATCAGAAAATAACTAACGTGTTTGATGGCTTTTTCAAGATATATTAATTGATAAGTCAAAGCAATGTGTTTCATTCATTTCATGAATGATGACGAGTTATAGCCGAGAGATAAATAACACTAATATTGTCAAAATGGATATGTAGTTGGTATCGACGAGTTTGTAGAGAAGCGAGAGTACCCAACTTCGTTTCTCATTTTAACCACCGACCTATATTTAGTGGTGGCCAAGCAACTTAGCAACACATACTCTTTTTTTTTTGGAAGACCGTGAAGTTATAGTTTTGTTTTTTTTTTGTTAAGATAAAACTATTTAGGTACTACTAGTGGACCTATAATTTATTATTATGTTTTCGAATGCCTTATGTTCCGGCGAGCTGATCTTGGATATTTTGGCCACCTCTAGCTATTTGTGGGTGTAGCAAAAGTCCGAAAACGCTTGTGTGTGTGTGGGGTAATACCGTACCGAACCATGGACTTAAAGAGAGTCAACCGGTGCAACCGGCGGGAATTATGACGCGCAAGTGGAGCCACGCGCACGAGCGCTGGTGGTGAACCTTGTCATCTGATAAAGCATAATATAGAAATTATTTTAAAAAAATGAAACTTCAGCTAAAATCCAAAAGCAAAGGAGAAGAAGGTATCATGTGCCATTTCTTTGAGTTATTATTATTAAAAACATAATAGCCAGAAATAATAAACAAAAGGGTATATTTAAAAAAAAAACACACAGATAAATTTGTATTCACTTTCCTCTATCTTTCTGCAGTTGTCCATGATGATTATTAGAGAGAGACAGGAACAAGAAGAAACAATCTAGTAGAAGAAGGAAACAAAATTTACATCATGCAGTATTGTTTTTAAGAAGATCCAGAAGAAACCCCCAAAGAGAGTACAAGAAACATCAGATAGCAACAAGATAGAATATAAGATTTTTAGAGAGAGAAAGTTGAGTTGCAGTGTTAAGATTTCTTAGAGAGAGGAACCGAAAGAAAGAAGAGTTGCAGTGTTCTTTTTCCTCCTGTGAAGAACAGAGAGAGAGAGAGAGACAGACACCAAAATAAATAAAGTCAAAAGTGTCAGTAGCTAGATTACACGATCTTCTTTCTTCTTCTATCCCCATCAGATTATGTTTATATAGATTTTCAGAAAAAGAAGGAATCTTGTATAGACTTATGGTTTATGTACATTGGAGCTGTGTTCTTCGTTTGTTTACTTAGAAAATAAAACCTTTGTTTTACATTAGATATTTTTTTTTGTAATTTTTAATTTTTGTGGGATTTAGGGTTTCGATTTAATCAGCTGTGGCAACGACGAGGAGGCATAATCTGCCGTCGGATTCCGGTGCCTTCACCGACTGGGCGGCGACGACGACGACGTCTTCACGCGCCACCGAGGATTTATCTCTTGGTTTCAATGCTGGTCCCACCGTCATCCACGGTGGTTTAGACTCAGCTTCCACCGCCGTCGGCGTTCCGTCATGGCCTCCCGGAACCTCCGTCCGATACGGCCTTCCATCGTCGGCGGCGGCAACGGAGATGGGCATGGTCGGTCTAAGAGACGTCTACCTTGTTGCTCCGGCTTACCACCACCACCAGAACGCCGGGGTTGTATCTGGATCCGACCATATTAACAGTAATGCGGCGGCGCTCGGTGTGGGAGTGATTCCTCTCCTCACGGCTGCGCCGCCGCAGCAAAACGTGGAAGATACCGACATTAACTTCCTCGGAGACAGCCGGAGATGGCAGAACAACAACAATAATAACCAGACGCAGTATCTTCAGTTCAAGAGCACAACTCACCAAGCGACGGTCGGATCAAGCTCAAACAACTCGGGGTCTGGTTCAGCCGCGTCGGGAACAGCCACGTGTCAAGACTGTGGAAACCAAGCGAAGAAGGAGTGTAAGCAGAGGCGGTGCAGGACTTGCTGCAAGAGCCGTGGCTTTGAATGTTCGACTCACGTGAAGAGCACGTGGGTCTCTGCGGCTCGTAGGAGAGAGAGGCAGGTCTTGCCCACGGCGAATCCAACGGCTGGCTCGTCTCTTTCGACCTCCTCCGGGACCAAGAAACCGAGGATTATGGGGTCTCAACAACAAGCCACTTCTCATACTTCAACTTCTAACACTCCTCCTCAAAGTTTCGATACCAGCTCCAGCCGCCAAGGTAATAATATTACACTTCATTCATTTGTATACTAATATTTTTACATGAATTCATGGTTGTAAATTAACACTTGTTGATGATTAATGCTACGGATGATCAAGCAAGGTTTTAGTGGTTTGGTTTCCGAATGATGGTGATCAAAATAAAACATACTATAGGTCGTTTTGATACATTCAATTTTCGGTTTAAAGAAATTTCTAAGTTTTTATTTGGTCTTGGTTATACAAAAATGAATTTCATTTCAACCATTGTCAAATTTAAGATCGGATAAGTTTATCTGAAAGGCTCATATGTAATGTTATGTCGTTACATTAAATCAGTTGTATTTGTGAAAAGTAGGTGTTTGGTGGTAATGATCATAATTATGTATTTTGATTTGGTGATAATGATTCATAATTGTGTTGTTTTATATATGCAAGATGGAGGAGGGTCAAGAGAAGCGTGGCCGGGGCAGGTTAAGGCTGCGGCAGTGTTCAAGTGTGTGAGAGTGACGGCAGTGGAGGATGGGGACGACGAGTACGCATACCAGGCGGTGGTGCAAATCGGTGGCCATGTATTTAAAGGCTTCTTGTATGATCAAGGGCTTGAACCTAAAGAAGGTTTTCCTAATATGTCCGATTTGCATTTAGGTGGTGGTGGTGGAGCCAATAACCATAACGGAGTGTCTGCCTCGCCGCCTGTTCTCGACCCACCAAATGTCTACGGTGGTCGTGGTGGTGGTGCAGGCGGTGGGTTTTACGGTTAAACTTCTTTTGATGTATTTGTTTTTATAATTTCCAAATGGGGTTGGTTGGATACAAACTAATAGTTCACTAATTCTATTTTATGAATTGTCCATGTGGACGAAACACCTCTCTAATGCTGCAACAAAACATTCTTGGCAGATGTTTTTTTTTTTTACCTTAATTGGTGGGAGATTGTTGTTGTGTTCTTTTTGTTTTATATTCAAACGTACCATAATGTTGTGTATTTTTACATTAATCTAAAAATATTTATAGAGACGATCCTTATTATAAATATCAATTTAAGAAAATATAGATATTTTCAATTTCAGAGTTGGAGATTTCGATTCATTCTTAGCGGGTGAAGTTTAGTTGGCTAGTGTTTTTAAGTGTTTACTTATGTAACTTTTCTTTTCATTTCATGTCTAAATAATAAAATTCTAGTGAGAAAAAATATACAGGACTACTAACATAAGTTTTTCTAACATTCTATGATTTTATTTCGTTCAAGTGTTTTGATATTCCATTAATTTATTATTTATTTATTTACAGATACCACTAAATATCTTACCTTTTCCCCCTAAAAAAAACTAGTTGGCATATATGTCTCATTTTGTCAACCCATATTATTGTACCGGTTATAGCTTCTGAATCTAAAATTTGGATTTTCTTCCATTGCCAAATTAAATGCTATATTCTTCATATGCAACAATTCATGAGTTATTATCACCCATCAAATGTTTATGGCTTAAAAGCTGTTTTGCTATAATCTGACTCACTGAGCCTATCTATGCACTTTTTAGCCGTTACTATTTCCGCTGACTTAGATCAAAATCGGAAGGATACTTCGTTATCTTGTGACTTCCACCTAGGCAGATTGGTGTGCACTGTTTCCTGTAGTCGATCCTGTCCAAAAAAGGTTGGTCGAATTCCATAATTTATAGATTGGATTATGTGCGCGTTACTACTGTTGTTTCACAACTACATCTTGCAAAAACACCTCTTACATTAATCCTTTCTACAAAAACAACTATGGCTACTATACCATTCAAACAGTTAAACTGAATACCCATAATGTCAAACCATAGATTTTTCGCCACCAAATTGTTAAGCATCAGAACATATATAATCTTGTCTAGCCATGTATTCTCAGAAATATAGATATTACTTCTATAGAAAAGAAGACTTCTAATTAAAACCTGAATATGCGTGTGTGTGTGAAAACACACTTACGCATGAAGACACTTGGTGAATAAGAACTTCATTCAAATATATTTCTGAGCTTGAATGTGGATTCGAATATCTCGAACATAAAATAATTGAATTCTCATATGTTTTATGCTTTATGTAGGAATAAAGCCAAAAAAAGGCTAATTTATTCCTTTAAACACTGTACCATATAATAAAACAACATTAATAAATTCGACTGTGTCGTAGGCTTTATAGGGTTTAGGCTTTTTAAACTTTCGAACGTTATATTCGTCGCCTCCTCGCAATATAATGATATATCTAGCGAAGATCTTTTTTTATTATTATATGTCTTTTGGTTTCATTTGTATAATACTGATGAGCACAATTGTCAATCAGAATATTATAAGAACTGAACCAAACATATATGTACGTGCAGGTTTGCAGGATATATGGTTTCTCGTTGGTGGCTATTAAGGGTGAACAGCATCACGTCTTCGCAATCAATAAAAATGTTCAAAGATTAGGAGAGAACAGATATCGAAGATATATTGTTTTATGCAAAATACCATGTAAAATCAATCATTCAAGTCCATATATAATGTGCACAATATTTATGAAAAGGCATATCTGAACGATTCGTCATTTATCATAAGAGATGATATGTTAGAAGTCAGTCGTTTGCCATCTAGTAGAATCATTACACAAAACATAGTATAATCATAACATGTACAAAACTTATAGTTATTAAACCATCAAATTATTATTGTTCGCTATAATTATGTTGAATCGAGTGCTCTTGAGGTTTTTATTTGTTTGATAATTAAGCAAATCTTGAGATTCTTGAAAATTATGATACTTATGGATTCTTTTTTTTAACTCCTGGTTTATCTTCCAACTTTGAAAAACGAGAGAGAAATTTGTCGACGTTAAAAACAAAAAACCATTTAACAAAAGTTAATATCACATGTAAGAGACAGCGCGTCAGCGTCAGTCTGCATCAGGAATGAGTCTATGCCGAAAGGTTTACAACGAAATAATTTTTTGCCAACTGTGGAAACGTTTACAATTAAAATATTTAGGTGTTATAATTAAAAAAAGAATTATGAAACTATTTTGATAAAAGTGATAGGCATGTGCGAAAACAACGTGACCATGGAGGACAAAGAATGCAAGTAAATAAATCAAGAGGTGCATGGATTTGCTAAAGTTGATATTCATTCCCCTTCGGACTAAACAAAAATTAGCAATTATATAACTTTTACTTTATTGCTAGTATTTAACTGAAGGAATGGTGCACTGCACATATGTTAAAAACAAAAAAGGAATGGGGCACCGAAAGATTATCACTTTATTTATATCTTCTTAATCTTAATAATGGATTATGATAAAAATACTTAAACGTGGAAACATTGGAACTCTAACGTTCAATTCAGTATTTTGACCTTAAGGTTTGGTTAGAAGCCATAAAAAGATCAGCAAAAGCTGTAGACCATAAGAGTTATGTTCTACATCGAGCCGGAAGAGGCTCTATGCGGTGGATTTGATATCTTTGAACACTTTGGGATGAAAATAATATAAATGATCAGTAAGAAAAAACCACATAATAGAGATTTTGAATACACCGAAATTGAGCTCAACAAACTCGTGGATTGCTAGTTAGTTATCTATAAGGAAATATACGAAGGTATTCACACATAAGAAACTCGTGGATTGCTAGTCATTAAGGCTTTGTGGCTGAAAATTATAGCTAAAGAAGGAATCACTGTTATGTATTTATGCTTAGGCTTTGTATCCAGTAAGAAATCCAACTATATCAACGATCTTTGATATATCCTACAACAACATAATAGAAATAGATAAACCAGTAGTGTTGTTTTTTAGTTATTCCCTGAATAAGACTAAGTACGTTTTCCAGAGAATGTCGGTGGCTGGTTAGAATGACATGAGATACTTGAAAAGCAATCGGAACAGGCTCATTACGAGATGTAAAACCAAACATTCCTCTGACCTTGTCTGATCAAGAACAATTATGCTTATAATACTTCTCTAGAAAGAGAATATAAAAATGTTTAAGAAAGTTTGTCATGAATCACATAACTTTTAAACTTGTAATTAGATCTGCATAATGTATGTTACTAAAAAAAGTTCGGAGGATAAAATTCTATAAAATTTAATTTGGACGAAGTTTTCGTTTTTTTCACCTAAAAGTTCATATTAGTTCGATATTTTGAATATTGGTTTGAAATTAAACCTATGACCTATATAAAAAGAGGTATTAAGTTAAACAACTAATTTCATGTTAATTTTTTTTTTGTTTAGTTTTTGGTTCAGCTTCGGTTTACACAGAATGCATGCCTTAGCCGCCACATCCCGCGATTGGCTACCATCGTCCTCCATCCTCTATTGCAAAATTCACAACTGAAATCAACTATAAACTAAAAAACCAAACCCAAACTGGTCCAGCGAAGTTGAACCAACCCAAAAAGCAATTGAACAAGTGTGTGGTTTGTGGGTATTGCAAGTTTGCAACCAAAGATGTTTCATCGAATTCATAAAATCCCATTTCTATCAAACCACAAGTCTTCATGACAAAGCAAAACTTTCACAATACAAAACGTCACCTGTAAATTACAGAAAGACAGAAAGAGAACAAGCATTTAGGAAGATAATGAAGAAGCCTTTAAAGTCAGGTCACACTGGTATTTTCAAGTTCCATTTGTGCAACAGTTGTGTTGATAGCATCTATAATCTCCATCTTCCCTCCACCAATGGCTTCATCCATCGGAGTCCGCTCGTACCTACAAATAATCAAGCTTCTAATGGTTTAGCTCAGTTCCTCTAATAGACTTGAAAAGAGAAGATCCAAGAGACTAACCGATTCAAAAGGCTTAGACTGGCTCCTGACAAGATCAATCTCTTCACCACCTGTAAATAGCTTAACCGGGTTAGTTAAACCGAAAAAAAACATTTTCTCAAGCAAAACAATGAGTGATGGATGGTTGTTACCTCGACATGGCCATTCAAACATGCCCAATGCAGAGGAGCATTGTTCTCCTCGTTAAGCGCGTTGATATCCTGCTCATCAAAAAGCAAAGCCTCAATCAATTTCCAGAAATCGAATCAATGATATGACCGATTTGGCTTAACGAAATATAAAAAATTAGCAAATGTTGTTTGTTTACCACTCCTTCACTGATAAGGTATTCCACTATCGTCATATGTCCATTTGCTGCGGCCATATGAAGCGCTGTGAAGACGATCAAATAATATGACAAAAGACCAATGTTCCAAGAATGATGAATCATACATTCCAAACTTCTTCATCAATCTTTTTCACGGAGATATAAGATCACAAAAAATGTAAAGGCTGAGTTTTTCAAAAAACCTGTTCGGCCTTGTGAATCGCGAGAGTCAAGAGAGACACCATTAGAAGCCAAGCTTCTGAGATCATCAATGTCATTATATCTAGCAGCCTGTCAAATTAGCAATAAACCTAATTTAAAATAATTAGAGATGACAGTCGCAAACTAACAAATAACTCAGAGGACGAAGATAAGCAAACCCAAATTTGAAACATGAGTAAAAAAAAAATCCCCAAAAGTGGGAAAGAGACAAAATTTAAGGGACGACGGGGACAGACCTCGAGCAAGTCCTCAACTTTCTCTGCTTCTACGGTCGTTTCTGCTCCCATTCTCCACCGGACAAAACTAATTTCAGTCTGAGGGTTTCAGGTTTCTCTACTTTCTACGCCTGGGCTCTCGGGTCGGGTTATTGTCGGATATATCATATATCTATGTTTTTACTTTTTGGTTTTTTTTTTTTTTTTTTTAATCAGAAGAAATTTGTTTTTTTAGCTAGGGTTGTTTTTTTTCGGGGGCGCATCTTAGCACCGCATAATTTCTGGGGTAGAAGTCGTAATAATTAAGATCTTGTGTACCTCTCTCTATCTACATCTCCTCCTCGGGAGTTTCCTGCGGAGGATTCCGATTCCGATTCCGATTCCGATTCCGATTCCTCTTCTCTCTGTTCTTTTAGGTGTCCGAATCATTCTCATAGCACTTTCCTCTCCGTCTCTGTCTCTGTCTCTGTGAGCTCGAGTGTTGTTCGTCAGATTACTGGATTAGGGTTCTCGTCTGCTTGCCTAATAGATTTGGGAGGAACTGCAATTTTTCTTTCCTACCACCTGGGATCAATTTTTATTTTTTTTTTGCTGCCATGAGTTCCTCGATCGAGATCGTTGGTGAGAAGCAAGTGGAAGTTTTGCCTCTTCCAGATCAGGTTTTGTTTTCGTTTTGCCCTGATTGATTAATTAATCTGTGTTTCTGGTTTGCGTTCTGGTTGATTTCGTCAAACTTTACCTATTGAATTCTAGGTGCTTCAATAATTTGGTGAATTTTGTTTATGATATCTTTGACTTCTGTATTCATTCTGTGCTTAATATACGTGGGGGTTAGTTTAAATTTTGGATCTTTGGTTGCATTTGCGGTTTCCTCGTTCTGGTTTTACCTCTGGATTGTCTGATATTGAATCCATGCCTTGTCCATGAATTTGGTTTCTTTTACTTTTCCCATGTAAATCGGAAACAAAATGATGTTGATGATTTGCCCATATTATTCGTTCACGAGGTTGATTCAAGTTGTAGTTTTTTCTGTGTGTTAGGATGAAAAGAAGACTGAGCAATTGGGCAATGAGCAGAGTTTCGGGAACCATGGCGGCAGTTGTGCAATATGCTTGGATACAATACCTCTTCAAGAAACAGCTATGGTGAAAGGCTGTGAGCATGCTTACTGGTATGTCTGATGGATTCTTGCTTAATCCACGCTATTATCTTTGTTGATTTTGTTTCTTAGTGATCTCATTTTGCCACTATCCAAGTCTCTTTTCTGTGATGTTCTTATCAACGTATAGTCCGATACTGAGTAAGTTACTAGTTGTGGTTAGATTAACTTAGTTCTTTTTTTCTTTCGTTTGATTCTATGTACAGATAAAGTATGCTTGATTAGTAATGCAATAGGACTAACATTGACGTTCTTTTATCGTTTTTAAGAGGTATGATTCATTTCTATCTATATCTATAGTGTGACGTGCATCCTCCGTTGGGCCAGTTACAAAGAGAAGCCTACCTGCCCACAATGTAAGCATCCATTTGATTTTCTCAATGTCCACCGCGCTCTTGACGGAAGGTAAATCTTTCATCTTCATTTCCATTTGGTTCCATTGTTCACTCCATTTCCATTTGGTTCCATTGTTCACTCCATTTTACTTGGCTGGCTCTTTATGTGTCTTGCTTGCTTTGTTGTACTCTTGGCTTATATCATTGTCTTTCCTTTTTCCTTTCTAACTAATTCTGTCTGTTAAACTTCGCTGCAGCGTTGAAGATTTCATGTTCGAGGAGAGCGTCTGCCTCCTCCTGAGAGCATCATGGTTTCAGCCGCTGGATGCCGTGGAGCGGGTTTCAGACAATGACATTCACAATTATGACTTTGAAATTCCACCGGAGTATGAAGATGAAGACGATGATGACCTTGACGAGTTTTATTTGCACGGTTCAAGTCTTCGTTTAGGAAACAGGAGGTGGGGTGACAATGGTTTCGTCAGGTCAGGCCGCCAAGAAGCAAGGCCAGTCCAACATAAGCACCGAGGTGGCCAAGCTTCTGCCTCTGAATCCGGCTCCTCCTCCTCACGTGAGCCAAAGGAGAAGACTAGCAGTGCCATTACAGGAAGGCGTGCGAAGAGGGCGATGAAGCGTGAAGCTGCAAACAAAGCAGCGGAAGCAGTCGCAGCTGCAAAGCATGAGGCTCATTTGGTTAGGTTGGGAAGGAAGTGACTCTGGTTGTATCTCTGTAATTAAATCAAACCCACAACCCCAAAATCCACTGACTTCCATACTTGAGAATCTGTACAGCTAGTAGAATCTAAGAGCACCTCCACTGGGAGGTTCTCATGTTGGAGATGCTCTAATAATGGTCGAACAAGAAACCTTCCCTATCTTTGTAATTTCATCTCCTTTGTTAGAGATATTAATTTTATCCAGCAATTTTCTTGATCATTGGTTTTATGAGTGAGAATACTGTTGGCTATGATGTGAAAATTGATCATATGGAATGAGAATTAAGTGGTTATGGTAATGATGATCATGAAGAATGGGTTTTGGTGGGGTCTAGATTTGACTTTGGGCAATTTTGGGTGGTGCAGGCTGCAAATCTAAGCAATATCAAGGCTACAGATAACAGCTTATTTAAATATATACATACTGATACACCAAAAACAGACATCTCAATCCCTTACCTACCCCATTACGATCGTGGAATGATTAGTCCATGTCAACTTTGTTGACCAAAATGGAATGTTATTCATCGCCATTAGCATCTGAACCGGCTTGAGCTGTTTGATCAAATTGCTTTGAGTGAAATAATGTGTGGTTACGAAGATCTATAGATTAGTATCAACGACGTCACCTTCTGTTTTAATTTTCTTAATCTCGGTCTTCATAATGATCATGTTTGTCTTGCACAAAAAAAAAGATCATGTTTGTCATCATCATGTGCTTTTTATCTTCTTGAAATTTATCTGTTTTGTTCCACTGATTCTCACCTACTCTTCCATTCAATGCTCCTGAATTTCCTCAAAGCAAAGCTCCTCTTGCTTCAGCAACACTTCTCTATCTCTCTCTCTCTTCTCATGACTTTCCTTTAAGGTCATGCTACTGTTCAGTCTCGTTTTACGTTAACTCATCTATAGCTTTATCTTGATGATCTTGTGAATAAAGAAACAGTCATTCTTTGATCATCTCTATCTTTTTTCTTTTCTTGATTCCTATGGAATCTCTGAAACAAGCTTCTTCGTCTAGATTCTGCTACCATCAAAGCTTCTCAGGCGTTCTCCAAGTGTTTGTTCACAACGCAAGAAACATCCACAACATCTGTATCTACGATAACCAAGACGTTTACGCCAAATTCTCTCTCACATACAATCCCGACGACACAATCTCCACCAGAATCATCCACAGGGCAGGCAAAAACCCAGAGTTCAACCAGAAACTTATGATCGATGTGACACAGATAGAAGCTGCAGTTCTCAAATGTGAGATCTGGATGATGAGCAGAGCCAGACATTACATGGAAGATCAGCTTCTTGGTTTTGCTCTTGTCCCAATCTCAGACATCATAGGTCGAGACAGTGTTACTCAAGATTACAGTCTCTCTTCCACTGATCTCTTCCATTCACCTGCTGGTACCGTGAAGCTCACGCTTTCCATCGTAAACCCTTCTCCTGATGCTACTTCTTCTTCTTCATCCAATCCCAAGATTAACACTTCGATTTCTTCAGAGGTCGTGTTGCTTGACCCACAAGTCTCTGAAACTGTGGATTACACGAGGATCGAGTTCCCTGACATCAATGTTGTTAATGAGAACAAACAGATGGTTACAGAGTACTTCAATGGATTGAATCTCAGACCCGGAACAGCTTCTTTTCTCTGTCTCGGCTCGACACATTTGCCAGAAACCGACATAACAATGGTGTGCTTGGAGGACAAAGAGCTTTATGGGAATGGAAGTTTTATGGCTTCTTCTTCAACAACAACAAGCCTAAGCGACGAGAAGAACACAGCGGATTCTAACGAGAAGGAGAATCGAGAGATGACTGGGGTACTAAGAAGAAGAAGCAAAGAGGGAGAAGAAGACGAAGAAGAGAAGAAGATGAATGTGGAAACAGAGGAAACATCGATGCAGAAACAGATAGCAGATATGTATATGAGAAGTATGCAACAATTCACCGAGTCTTTGGCAAAGATGAAGCTTCCCATGGATCACAACAACAGTAACAACAACACTGAAAATCAGATTCAGAATCGGAATAATAATAATAATGCTAATAATAATAACGGAGTCGAGAAGAAAAAAGAAGGGTCTCGTGTCTTTTATGGTAGCAGAGCCTTCTTTTAGCGGAATCAAGACCTCATTGCAAATAAGTTTTTAACATTTTAGTTTCTTGGCTAATCGATCTCTCTATGTTTGATTCACATGATCTTCCTACAACCCATTTTTATAATTTAGTAACTTTTTTTTTGGATTTGATTATAATATAGTAACTTACTCCACGGGATTAGTTTTTTTTTTTGCAATTTCTTTTTGTAGATATATGGGATTTTGGACATAGGTGATGTCAAATCGATCAACAAATTAGCACATGTGACAGAAAGCCACTACCATAACATGTTTTTATGGCTCATCGTATAAACGAAATCACATTTTTTCACCTAGATATTTTTGTTTTTTGTTTATATATGTAAGAATCAAGCTGAGCTCCTATTAACCCAATAACAGCCCAATAAGGATTCACATGGAGATTTTTTAATTCATCTTCACATTCCCAAAGACCAAGGTGAAAGAAAAGATTGATACTTCTGATAGCCGACGCTAATGGATTCTCATCCTCCGGCGAACGAATCCTCCCCGTCGACGGCGCCGTCGAACGTCGGAGACCTAGTTCCTTTTTATTCCAATTACCTTTGGAATCGCCTTTCTTCCTTGCTCCCTACTTCTAATTCCATTTTTCTCGGGAAATTCTCAAATCTCTTTCGCCAAACGTTTACCAAAAAACGACATATTTCCTTTCCTCTTCCTCTACCGTCCGACTACCCATGTTCTTCTACGTAAGATTCATCTCCTCCATTATATCTTATGTTTTTTGGTAGCTTCTGGTAGTTTCCTTACTTAGTGCCATTAAACTTCTCCTTTGACGATCGCGGCTCGGAATTTAACTGTAGAATCCGTTTCTGATAGTGGAGTTTCGTGTTTATTTGATTATATACTTTGGCGAAAGACTATCCTCTAAAATCTGACAAAATTGCAGACTATTTTGACTTTTGAGCATACTTTGTTGATTTCTTCAGCAATATCTCGGCGGATACGTCGAGGATATATGCTGTTTTGGAGGAAATAATGGGTGACGTCCTCTCAAACTTGCATGATATCCAGAAGAGTTTAGATTTTTGGCATTCTAGAGCTGAGGTGAATCAACAGAACATTTCATGAGATGAACCTTTTCTTTCACTGGTTTTATTAGTGAGCATCTTTCATTTTAAAAATGGTTTTTCAGGGTTCTAATGCTCGAAAAGCTTACTTCATGATTTTCGAGAGAGGACCAGTAGCTTTTGTGAATGAGAGTACGAAGCTCGTCCGCAAAACTCTCAGTGAGGATTCTGCGATGCAGCATCTTTGTCAGTCATCTTCATCTCACATGTCAGATAGGATGAGGGTCTTGATGGAGTTAAGATCTGCACTCGCTTCCTATCTTGCTCAGGTTATCACGAAAATTTCATTCCATTATTATCATAATAAGCGCCATTATAAAGTTCTGTGCGAGTTTAGCATTGTTTTGCGCGTTCTACTTACTAATGTCACTACTTACAATTGGGTTCTCTAGCTTTATGTGGAATTGGATGAACGTGGTGAAGATCTTTTGAAGAATCCAGAAAAGTCACTGCCATCATTGTTGGCTATTATCAATCGATTGTTTTTGAACTTGGAGGGCTCTTTCAGCCATTTACATGCTGTGCGTGAGGTAAACACACTGATTTCGTACTTGCGAGTTTACTTTGCGATGGCACCTTCATTTGTCTGACCTTCTATCATTGAAAATTTGGGATGGCCCTGAGTCTTCTGTTTCTAGATTTCTATTAGCCATATTTATTGACTTGCATCATATCTTGCAGTCTGATTCTTCTATTGATGGAAGTTACCCAATGCCTCTCGTGTTTGATCGACTGCCTGAAGTTAATGAAGAAGGATCCCAGTGGACCGATTGTGAACTTACTGATGCAATCAACCTGGTTCATAAGAATTTGGAAAAACTTAACTCATATTTATCAGTTATGGTAGGTGTGGCGCTGCAGTTTATGTATCATTGGCCATTATTCTTATTTTCAGAAATTATCATGTAATGACAAACATCTTTCATTTGAAATCAACTCTGATTTTTCCTTCTTCCAATTTTTTTTTAATAGGTAGGTATACATCGAAAGCCAAGAAGGATGACCCTGTACTGGGTCCGATATACATGTGGTGCAGTTGGGCTTTCTGTTTTTTCTATATGGCTACTACGTCATAGTAGTTTGATGGGAAGTTCTGACATCGAGAATTGGATTCTTGATGCAAAAGAAGCAACAATGAGTTTCTTCGGTGATCATGTTGAGCAGCCGGTTTGTTTTTTAGCCTCTTTCAGATTTTAAGTGAGAACAGTGACTTTTCTTCCTGGTCAAATGAATTGTTGCATCAAACTCTACTAAAGGATTAGAAATAAAACAAAAAGTGATGGCTAATGCGACTCTCAGTTTTGTTCTTATCCAAAATAGTTATGTGGCGAGTTAAGATGATCGAGTTATTAATCTGTTACTTGATATTTTTCTTACCCTTGAGTTTCTGAATTAGTTTCCTGATCTTACAGCTGCTTGCCATTAGGGATGAACTTTTTGATACTTTCCGGAAAAGGCACAAGGGTGTCATGGATACTGAAGAAGTGCATCTGACGCAAGACTCACTGCATAGGTCGGTGTTCATTTCTGTCTTGATGCTCTTTACCCTGGTTCTATTTGTGCTATTGTATATGTGCGTGCATTGTTCCCTTTGCATTATAGCAATTTACTTGTTATATTCATATGGATTTCGCTGATCTAGGGATTCAAACCACAACCAAAAATATCTGTAATCATTCATTAGATCTTCTTATTATTGGCTGTACTCCTAATTTTTCTATTTGGTATGCAGAATGCTGAGGAATTTCTGCGAGCAGACTACGCGTGAGAAGGTCCCAGATAATGCATCTGATCAGGAGATGCTTGAAGTTGTTATGAACCAGTACAACTCTGAACATTATTCTTTGTTAGGCAGCTAAAGACACATATAATTGCTTTTACAACGAGTACACTCTGTATTAATTTAGGCAAGGAAATAATCGAGTGTACACATTTTGGAGTAGTTCTAGTCTTGGCTAATGAACAATAAATATGGACGTTTTTCTCATGACTTTGTATGACGATTTCCTGTGATTACTACGGCAACTTAGAAGTTCCACCACATGAGATGGGTATATATTTGAATCTTGCCTTCTAATTGCAGGTATGAAAAGGAACTTGTGCGCCCTATTCAAAACCTCCTTAACGGAGAGCTTGCCCGTGGTTTGCTTATCCAGGTAATTTAAGTTCTTGGCATGGAGCTGTAGATTACTTGTTGTGAGATTCTAATTACATATTTTTTTTTCCAGGTCCAGAAACTTAAACTGGATATAGAAACGTAAGTTCAGTAAACCAGTAGCTCTCAGTTTAACAGTAGATCTCTTGAACATTTTGTATGTAACTGAACACTCTTCTCCTGCAGAGCGATGCTTGAACTGGATCAGATACTTCGTGCAAATGAAATAAACTTTGCCATTCTAGCTGCATTACCTGCATTCTTTCTCAGCCTTGTTATGCTCACATTGCTTCGGACATGGCTTAAACAGGTGAGGAGATTGATAATTCAAGCCAAATATATATATATATATATATATATATTTGCGTGTGTTTGTGTATTAGTTTATATGATTATGGGACTCATTGTGCACAGTCAGTAATGCAGCTATTGTTATCTTTATTCCGTTTGATTTCACTGGTATGAATAGGATAGCAAAGCTCAAGGACGAGGAAGAATTGCACGTATTCACAGGAGACTACTTGTCGTTGAAATTGAAAAGAGAATTATGCAGTATCAGAGCTACATTGAACAAGGACGTGTAAGATGTCCAGTGTTTTCTTCCTTTGATTTTTGATCATTATAATTTTACGAATGGGGCTTGTAAGAAATCATGTGAAAAGTTCCTGGCCCTTCTTGATTCTTGATGCTGGTACAGGATAAGGACGCAGAAACAGTATTTGGTTTGCTGATATACAGCCTTGAGCGTTTGTATCGGGTTGTTGAGAAACCTGCAAAAGCAAGCGGCGAGTGGGATTTGTAAGTTTTCACGCTGATCCCATCAAACGTTTAGCTGAAAACAATTATGAGTCATAAAGCTAATTGTTATATATCTAAGTAAGCGAAAGCATTTTCTGCTCGATTTCCTGCCAGAACTGACTGATGTGTTTTTATAAACAGAGTGAAACAAGATCTGGTCGAGTTAGGAAAGGCACAGCAGCAAACATCGTACAAGCTAACGGTGACACAACGACTAGTAAAGGTTTATGACTGCTTGCTTCCCACTCTGCAGCGACAATAGTTTTTAAATTCATGATCTGGGTTTCTACTGTATTGCAATTTAACATATCGAAACCTGTTTTTGTGGTTTTGGTTGCTTTTGGTGTCAAATGTTCTCCAACCATTCTGTCTCATTCTCTCTCGGGTAAATCGTGTGTCGGTTCAATTCCCGGGATGAGATACTTTTATGTCCAGACAGAATAAAACATTTATAAAAACGTGTGCCAAGATAAAACCCAACAATGCTATCTTTTCGCTATATAGTTGGGGTTGGTAGGATCAGAGAGCTGTGTTAAACTAAACTAGATGATTGATCCTTGTTGTGATTGGAAATGAGTCAATGACATTGACAGCGTTAGTGATGTGGATGTCACTCAACTTACGCCAGATAAAGTGTGAGTAATTTCGTATCCGTATAAATAGATGATACTTTCAGTCACAGATAGCTATCTTAAAGATTCTTAACTGAAAACAAAAAATAAAAAAGTGAGAAAACCAATGACTCCTACCACCGACGTGAGGGACTTTGTGGTTAACCAACGGAATGGAGTAAAAGGGCTCGTCGACTCTCTAACACTAACCACACTTCCTTCTCCATACATTCAACCTCCTCAAGAACGCCTCACCTCCGACAAAATAATCTCATCATCGTCGTCGAAGATTCCGGTCATCGACGTGTCAAATTGGACGGACCCGCGCGTGGCTAGAGAGATCTGCGATGCAGCGAGCAAGCTCGGGTTGTTTCAGATAGTGAACCACGGGATAGCTCCGGCGGAGTTGAAGGCTTTGATTGCGGCGGCGCGTGGGTTTTTCGAGTTGACGGCGGAGGAGA